ACTTCATAAGCCTACAAATCCCATGATCCCGGCTGTAGAATTCCACCAGAATTCGGAGAAAGCCCCGTCGAACGCCCACGGCGTTCCGAAGTGTCAAAACTAGACAATGCGGCGTCGCACCGTGTTGATACGGCGAATTAAGAAAAAAGGCGGGGTAAATAGCTAGCAGAACCTTCAAGAACAGCGCTAGGGAAAAAGTTAATCATGCGGTGGAATTCCGGGTAAACAAATTACGAAATGAGGTGGTAATTAACTGAAAGATGGAGATTTTGATGGCATAGGGAATCTTTGATTTCAATAATGCGGTCGTCTGATATGGCGTATTTTAAAAAGATTTTAGTAGTCGATTAGAGTATTTTGCACTGATCATGCGCTAAAATTGTTGTTTTGAGGGCAATTTGGAACAGAGGGGAAGACATGACTCATTGGGTCAACTGTTTTACTCGGCGGAAAATGGTGGAATAATTGGCAAAAACGGTGCATAAAAAGAAAGAATGGCAAACAATGAGGAACGAAGCTCGTCTTCTAGTAAATTTTTTTAATAAATCACAATTTTACATCAATTTTAATAGTACTCAATAGAGAGTTTATTATATCATTTTATAACCCAATACAATGTCGCTTGACATAGATTGATGATATCGCCGCTGAAAATGGCTTCCTCGAACACCCGATCGCTACTGATCCAATGCCTTCTCCTTGTTATAATCCCTTTACTCCAAATTCCTTTAACGGTCAAATGACTGCGTCGAAATTACCAACGCAAAAAGAACTCGTTTTAGCACTTGAATCCCAAATATTTTTGTAGAAGGTTGGAAATGAAACTGTAATGAGATTAGATCGGCTGCAAATTAGAGCAGGGGCAGCTCGCTAAGATGATTTTTATTTTGCACAGTGCAAATAGAAAATTGAAAAAGGCTGGTAATATGTATAGTATATACTTCACGAAATGATAGACGCACCCTGTTTTTAGCGATTATGTTCCTTGTACTAAATGATATCGAATAATGTTCAACAGATGAAATGTGACAAATTAATCGAGAAATCATGTCCCGTAGCGATTTTGGAACAAAATTTTGCCTTGACTGAGATATGACATTTTTTAGACTTTTTTGGGGTCCACAGAATGATAGACGCAATTAAGTAATTTTTCGTTTATTTAAAAGAACTTTGAGTCAACCTGCTCTTATTGCACTTCCCCGTGTTCTCTGCAGTATTACAAGGGTTATTACATTGATATCCGGCGTACTTTATCCACGCATTGGTCTTATGAGCCATCTCCAACCTTGTACATGAGGTAAACATTCGTTTTGAAAAAAAAATTAGGTTGGGCTGTTTTCTTGGGCAAAAAACTAGCTAATACTGTTAGATTATACGTGTAAATCTCGCTAATGGGAAAAAACAGCTTGTTCAAAGATCTCGGGTATTTTCTTGGCTTATAATCTTCAGCAAGTAGCTACCGTAATACATTTAGACCCCCCAAATACCAAGACGAATGAACGGATTGGCAAAATTTGACTTGCGAATTCGAATTCAGCATGCCTGATAACGTAATGCTGCACTCATCAGCCGTTAGAGAACAAATTGGGTCTGTAAACTCTTTCTAAAAAAAAGTTCACAAAAATAGGCATATTTTGGCCTATTTTTACACGTTTATATTTTAACTAATCATCTGCGGCACATAGTACATTTAAGCAAGCAATAAGTTGCTGTTATAGGTTTTTTAACATGCTGAGTTTGATTTTCTGAGCAAAAAGTTGCCATCGATGGAAATTTTCTGTACCCTTAGGGCCTTTGAAGGTTACTGTAGATGGTCTACGGTAATTTAATGGTCGATTAAACGACTTCAAACGGATCGGTATTGGTTTATTTTATATCTTATATTTGCTACAAGTAATCTAAAATGGTTTAAGATGGTTTTTTGGCGAAAGCAAAATCGTTAATCAAATTTTTTTTTCAAACGAATTTTTACTTCATGTACAAGGTCGGAAATGGCTCATAAGGCAACTGCGTCGATGAAGTACGACGGATATAAATGTAATCACCTTTCTAATACTGCAGAGAACACGGGGAAGTGCAATAAGAGCAGGTTGACTCAAAGTTCTTTTAAATAAACGCAAAATTACTTAATTGCGTCTATCATTCTGTGGACCCCAAAAAAGTCAAAAAAATGTCATATCTCAGTCAAGGCAAAATTTTGTTCCAAAATCGCTACGGGACATGATTTCTCGTTTAATTTGTCACATTTCATCTGTTGAACATTATTCGATATCATTTAGTACAAGGAAGATAATCGCTAAAAACAGGGTGCGTCTATCATTTCGTGGAGCAGTATAGAGTGAATTATATCCCGATGTGACCAGAATGAACGATTAGTTGAACTCAGAAATAAGTACTCCCTAAAAGAGTGACCTTTACAGTATTTACGGCAACTTTACAAGCCTGTGCCACTCGAAAATCCATAAACTTTAGCGCTCGTAAATATCGGACCGGGTGGTCTTCGCCGCTAGAGCTCTTTGCATACAAGTTTTTCGAACGTTTTTATTGACTTCCAATTTGTGCGATTTGAAACATTCTACAACGTCTACGAAGGATTTATTGATGTCGAAAACGAACGAAACTTGGGAAAATGCATGTAAAGGGAAGTGAAATGTGTGGAAAGGAGAAGTATAACTTGTATCCGTCATAAAACACGCAAAAACAACGAATGCCACAGGCAGTTTGACGAAATTAGACAGAGGGGAACACTTGACTCAAGATGGGTCAAGTGTTTCTCTGTGCCCAAAATGTTGGGTTTTAGTGGAAAAATTGTTGCTGAAAGACAGAAACGGTACTCGCTATGATTTACAATGAAAATTGCCGTTCAATTTTTGTGGAAACAGCAAAAAAATATCGAAAAATAAAAGAATATTGTATGATGTTTTTTTTGATAATTCTTCTACTGTTGTTCGAGTTCTGAGAGATCATTCCTATTGAGGAAATTCAAAATGAATGTCGATAACATTATTTACAACCTCAAATAACAGAAATTTCATTTCTTCGCAATTAATCGCCTCAATTTTCAGACCACAAACGCCTCGAACAGACCCTCGACTCATGCTCATTATGTCTGGAATCGCGTTGCTTCGACAAATTGACCGTTGTGGCCGTGGGTTTCAAGGTAAGAGGGATCCGGGGTAATTAATTGTGAAGGGCGAGGAATGCAGCCGCCGCTTCCAAAAATGAAACAGACTCAAGGTTAAAGGGGGAATTTTTTTTGCAAACACAGGATTAATTACTGGTAATTTACTAGAAAATCGATATGTAATAAGAAAAGGAGGGGTTTGAAAGGCATTGAGAAGGTTTAGGAAGAAGAATGAAAATTTTGGAAATGTTATATTGTAGTAGACAAGTTGAAGATCAGATTTTGAAATTTGAAAAATTTAGGGCGCAGATTATTAAAACCTCTGATAAAAACACGATTACCGCATAATAAGGAGGACATTACACTTCTTGGGAATCAAAAATTGACCTGATATTGTAGTAGGCAAGAATTTTTGTCTTTTGTTTTTTGCGGCTTTTGATGAATTTTTTGTAAAGTTAAATACCATCAGGTAAATAAAAAACCAGAATGTTATTTTATGGATCGTATTTTAAAAAATCGGTCAAGATTTTTCAGTTTTTCTTAAAATTTTTCCAATTTTAAAATCTTGATGAAAATTTGATTGACGCTACCGAAACAACCTTGAATTCCGCCAAAATCTGTGACAGATTTCTCATTTTACATCATAGGAAGTGTAAAAGGAATTTTGTTTGGAAGAGAGAGACTGAATGGCGCCAGTCCGTAATAACCGGGAAGTTGATTGCCACCCAAAAAAATGGCTGCAAAATGTTGGAAAACATCGACGAAATGAGAAAAACTGGGATCAATAAACAGTAAAGATAATAAAATTACATTGTTTGGCGTCATTTACCCGCTAATTTTGGTTTTTAGCTTCAAAAACATAATTTTGGCTGTTAAAATTCATTTTAAATGTCCATAGCTACTGCAATGTCAAGTTTTACCTTCATTATTGCCGATTAGTCTTATTTGCAGCTATTTTTTGACCTAGAAATCGATCAATTTTGCACTGAACACATGACTTTCATAGCCATCATCACCAAAAATTGAGTTGACGATGGATTTCTCCCAAAATACATCATGTTCACCGAGAAAACTTCCGTTAAATACGGTAAAAAGAATGTCGAACGGCGATATTCACGAATTTTCATTGATGAAAGACGGAAAGTGAGGTTTGATCGCTAATTTGTTGCACTTTTGTGGGTGAGAAGAAAATGGTCGAAACTTCAGAATAAAACTTTGTGAAAACTCGCTTTCAAATTCAAAAGAACAACATTTATGATTTTTGTGCGATTATACGAATTTAAGTGAAGCTGTGATGGCTAACTTGTTGTTCTTTTGAATTTGAAAGCGAGTTTTCACAAAGCTTTATTCTGAAGTTTCGACCATTTTCTTCTTACCCACAAAAGTGCAACAAATTAGCGATCAAACCCCACTTTCCGTCATATCATCAATCAAAATTCGTGAATATCGCCGTTCGACATTCTTTTTACCGTATTCAACGGAAGCTTTCTCGGTGAACATGATGTATTTTCGGGGGAAATCCATCGTCAACACGGTTTTTGGTGTGATTGCTATGAAAGTCATGTGTTCAGTGCAAAATTGATCGATTTCTAGGTGAAAAAAACAACTGCAAGTAAGATTAATGGGCGATAATGAAGGTTAAATTGACATTGCAGTAGCTATGGACATTTAGAATGAGTTTTAGCAGCCAAAATTGTGTTTTTGAAGATAAAAACCAAAATTTGCGGGTAAAATACGGCAAACATTGCAATGTGAAAATTGATGGTTTTTAGGTGAAAAAAAACTGCAAGTAAGGTTAACGGGCGATAACAAAGGTAAAATTTGATAGAATGCGAGATAAAACAAGGGGATTTGATAATTTATTCGTAAATGGCGGTCATTTGCGTTTCGAATTTTCCATCTCAATCGCCTCTCTGAGCTTGCGATAAGACATTTTTTGCATATCCGGCAATTTCGAGATCAATTTGTGGAGTTGGGCGAGGAATTTGCGAGGGGTTTCATCCTTGATGTACCTCTCCAAATGGTCCGCAACCAGTTTTTCCTCCAGCAAGTCCACTTTTAGTTGATAAATGAGCGTTCTCTGAAGGAATTGAGCAATAAAATGCAAATTACAGTAGGAAGGTTAATCAAAAAGCCAAATTACATCAGTTTCGGACTTCCAAATCGGCAAATGCCTGTTGAAAATGAATAAAAGCACAAAAAACCAGCTCATCATGTCATCGAAATGCGTCCTCTCCAACTTCAAATGAGCGGTGGGACTGCAGAAAACGGGATTCCCGAAGAATGGGATTCGTGGCCGAGGGGACTTTGGCGGGATTCTGGCCAGCCCAAAATGCGTAATCATGATCTTTGAGCCACTGAAATCGTAGCGAAAACTGGCCGGTTTGATATCGCGATGTACGATATTGGAAAATAGAAGATCTTCCATGCATTGAAAAGTCAGAGACACCAAGATTAACTGCTCTTCCAAAATCAGGCGTCCGCTGAGAACATTCTTCTCAATCGATGGGCCAAGCTGAAAAAGTCAATAGGGGTACAGTGGCGGACCTGATCAAGTGGCAAAAAACATACCATTTTGCATCTGGGAAGTATCAAAAATGTGGCAAAATGCTTCCTTCTGCAAGTGAAAAAACTCCGATTTCAAAAGCTCTTTTTGTGAGGGAAAGGGCGCGCCCTTGAAAACGAAGTTTTTTCACTTGGAGATGGAAGCATTTTGCCACATTTTTGATACTTCGGATGCAAAATGGTACGTTTTCTTGCCAATGGATCAGGGGCCTGTTTCATCAACGAAAAATAAATAAAATAAACGAAAGGGAAAGCGAGAGAACACCCAAAACACGTTTCGAAGCGAGAGGGTCGCGACAGATTAGTAGAGACCATCTATAGAGCGGCGCATTTATCACAGCGATCGGAGTGACTTTTTACGTCCAAAACGGGGGGTTCTCAGCAGTAATCAGTGGATAACTCGGCTCCCGGTGGTCGTAGAATCACCCTTCCAAAAACCAAATAAAGCTATTCCTTAGAGCTACGTGATATCCAAATTTCATATTTATACTTCAAAAAATGAACTCAGTAGACACCTAGTAGATCGTAGTATTCAACTTTTTTGACGTTTTTTCTGAAAAACGTTATTATTTCAGTCAATTTTTAACATAATGGGATAAAATTGGTACCAGTCGATAGCCAAACGTTTACTCTACAAAACTTTTTTAGAGGGGCGGTTTATTTCAAAAAATGAACTCGGTAGACACCTAGTAGATCACAGTATTTACGATTTTTTTACGTTTTTCGGGAAAAAACTTTGTTTTTCACTCAGTCTTTAACATAATGGGATAAAATTAGTACCAGTCGATAGCCCAACGTCTAATCTATAAAAAATTTTTAGAGGGGCGGCTTCTTTTGCCCTGTGGCCTGCGAAACGTCTATGTTTACTGTCATGAACCACCGTTTTTGACACAAAAAACCATCGCGTTTCGAGGGCCCTTTTCCTCTCTTTTGGTTTTTTCGGAAACGATCGAAGGACTTTTTACGCAAATAGAAGACATCGTCTCACGAAATTGAACGTTTCGCAGGCCACAGGGCAAAAGAAGCCGCCCCTCTAAAAATTTTTTATAGATTAGACGTTGGGCTATCGACTGGTACTAATTTTATCCCATTATGTTAAAGACTGAGTGAAAAACAAAGGTTTTTTTCGAAAAAACGTAAAAAAAGCGTAAATACTGTGATCTACTAGGTGTCTACCGAGTTCATTTTTTGAAGTAAACCGCCCCTCTAAAAAAGTTTTGTAGAGTAAACGTTTGGCTATCGACTGGTACCAATTTTATCCCATTATGTTAAAAATTGACTGAAATAATAACGTTTTTCACAAGGAAAGTACTTTTATGGGGGCTCCTACTTTTTGACGGGACATATCTCAAAAAATCAGAAAAAATGTGCTGATCAAGGATATATAAATCTTAGCTGCCCATTTTGGGTTTTTAGGGGTGAAAATGCCCAAAAACTGGCTTAATTTCCCTAAAAAAGGCGCAGGCATTCGAAACGATAAAAAGCGCATTCGGTCTCTTCCTTCGGAAGAGAGCGGTGTGGCCGAGTGGCTAGTGCCGCAGCCTGGGAATCAAGAGGGGGAACGCCGCACGGGTTCGATCTCCCTTTTGGGCCGAATCAACTATTTTTGAAGATGATGGTCGGAAAAATAAATTTTTGTGCCAGGACTGAATGATTACGTCTTAGAAGCTCAATAAACATCATTTTAAGCCCAAATAAAAATTGTAAACCCGTGAAAAATTGAGCGAAAAGGGGTTCATATGGGACTTTAAGTCAACTTCCGCTTGAGTTTTCACCCCTAAAAACCTAAAATGGGCAGCTAAGATTTATATATCCTTGATCAGCACATTTTTTCTGATTTTTTGAGATATGTCCCGTCAAAAAGTAGGAGCCCCCATAAAAGTACTTTCCTTGTCAGAAAAAAACGTCAAAAAAGTTGAATACTACGATCTACTAGGTGTCTACTGAGTTCATTTTTTGAAGTATAAATATGAAATTTGGATATCACGTAGCTCTAAGGAATAGCTTTATTTGGTTTTTGGAAGGGTGATTCTACGACCACCGGGAGCCGAGTTATCCACTGATTACTGCTGAGAACCCCCCCGTTTTGGACGTAAAAAGTCACTCCGATCGCTGTGATAAATGCGCCGCTCTATAGATGGTCTCTACTAATCTGTCGCGACCCTCTCGCTTCGAAACGTGTTTTGGGTGTTCTCTCGCTTTCCCTTTCGTTTATTTTATTTATTTTTCGTTGATGAAACAGGCCCCAGGTCCTTTAGAACTGCGCGGGAAAATTGGGGGTTTTTGAAAGATTTTCACAAGATTTTGAGTGAATTTTTTCTGTTACAGTAATCCACAAAGTTAATTAGAACCTAAAAAAGGTAATAAAATTCCTTTCATTATTTTTTTAAACCCATAAAAGGCCAGTTTTGGTTAAAAAATTGTAAAAAAAATCCAAAAATTTAGGGTTACTGTAACAAAAATAAAAGCGGGTTTAAGACTCTTACCCTTGCCACCACCAACAATCGGAAATTGAGCGCGTTGAGATGCGCGGTGCTGATAAAGTCCTGAATTGTCCCGCGCATTTGATATTTATGGCCTTGTCGCATCACTGCAGCGATGGCCTGAATACGAAAATTTTTAATTTCGATATAAGCAATTCATTCCACTTACATCGATTCTGTTCAGTCCGCATTCCATATCCTCGTATTGCACGGTGCACATTTGTCCTGCCATGTCCAAGTCGAACTCTCCGAAAGTTTTGTCGAAAACCCTGGCCGGAAAAGAGACTCCAATGTTTTTGAAGGTGGTGAAGAGGCCTTCGGCAGGCCTCGGAGGGCCTACCAAAGGTTTGTGGGGGATTTCTGCCTCGAGGCATTCGACTTCGTTCTGCGCGAAGATTGCGTCAATGTTGTCAGGGCTTTTGAGCAGAGAGGTGATGGTATCCTGTAAAGAATGTGGGTGGTGTTTGGAGGTTTCTTGTATGGCAGAAAGACAAAAAGTTTGCTTATAATGGAAGGCTTTGTTGTTCACAGGTCTATTTTGAACCTGTGAACAACAAAGCTTTCCGTTATAAACAAATTTTTTATTGTTTATGTGATTTGCGGCGTGTTAAAGTCGCCAAAACGTCCAGAAAAGTACAGTTGGAGACCTGTTCCAGTGGCAAAAAACGTACTATTGTGGATCCGGGAAGTATCAAAAAATGTGGCAAAATGCCTCCCTCTCCAGCTAAAAAAGCTCCGTTTCGAAGGGCGCGCCCTTTTTCTTCACAAAAAGAGCGGGTGCGCATTTGAAATCGGAGTTTTTTCACTTGCAGAGGGAGGTATTTTGCCACATTTTTTTGATACTTCCTGGATACAAAATGGTACGTTTTTTGCCACTGGGTCAGGTCCCCCACTGTATCCAGCAGACCGAAATTGGGTGTCAAAAGTTATCCAAGAGACAGTAAATAATTATTTTTGGGTCGCTTCGATAACTTTTGGCACCCAATTGGTTTTTTCTGGATGTTTTTTCTCGAGTTCTTTTTGGACTGGCACAGTTCCGGAAGACATAGGTGTAACAAGATGCCAAATTCGGCATCTTCTTACCAATGGAACCTCCTTGGAGGAAGCCACAGTAACCGGCAATCCAGAAGTTTTTTGTGTTGAAGTGGGTCCTCCTTCGCTCTCAGAGATATTGCTAGAGACATTGCTAGAGACATGGCTAGAGACGTTGCTAGTGCATGAAAGACTGGAGCTGGCGAGCGTTTTTGCTCGTTTTTGGTCCATTAGGAATTGTAGTTCGTCCTTCAATTTCTTGGCTTCTTTCTGCAGCGATATCGAAAGATTTCGTCATGTACGACAAGAAGGGTAGAGTTTCAGCTACCCACCTTTTTCTTGGCCAAACGTCGATAGAGTAGGACCAACATTACAAGAGAAATTAACAAAGCTACACCAAGAATGGAGATTGTGACAATATAAGGGATCGAATTACAATCCATACTAAAAATGGATGATTTGAGAGGAAACATGGTCAAGTTTACCTTGTTTTTTCTGCTGTTGAGTCTCTTGAATCCATTTGTAACAGTACATCGGAAAATGGGCGCGTTTGGTTCGACGCTGGTGACATGATCTCCTTGGTAAATATAGATGTTTTTGGAAATCCCGCGATCGAGAAATTCAGCCGCGAAAAGCGACTGCTCTGTATGGAAAATTTAGGAAATGAAGTGATGTTTTGAGCGTCGAAAAATTGGTGAAAGTTTGGTCAGAAAATACAGTAATTCCAAGTTAGGCTCTGATTTTTTGGAGCTACTCCCGAAAAGCCCTCATTGGAGTGCGTAGCATCTTATTAGACCTTCATTTTGAAAAAAAGGCCAGAAATCCGAAAAAAGTTATGAAAACTTCAAAAAATCGCCGGATTAATACAGTAATCTAGATGGCGCTACGACATTTCGGGTCAGGGACAACTCGGGTCGCGACACCTCGGGTCAACGACATTTCGGGTCAACGATGCCGTTTAATATTTTCGCTTCGGGACTGGGAAAAAAGAATTTTTTGGTGAATTTGAAAAATTTTTGAAATGTTTTCGCTTCGGGACTTGTAAAAAAGAATTTTTTGAAGAATTTGAACAAAATTTTAAAATGTTTTCGCTTTGGAACTTAGGAAAAAGAATTTTTTTGAGAGTTTGAACAAATTTTTGAAATGTTTTCGCTTCGGGACTGGGGAAAAAGAATTTTTTGGAGAATTGAGGTTTATTTTTAAAATTTTTGAGGGAAATAGTGTATAAGCGACGAGCAAATAAGAAAATCGTATTCATTGTCTATGTTTTTAAGAGACAGTGCCAGAGAGTGGAGTAAGAAGATAGTCGTAATGATTGTATGCACATAACGATTTTTTATTTGCTCGTCGCTTATAAACACCATTTTCACAAAAAAATTTTAAAATAAACCTCAATTATCCCTAAAATAACTATTTATCCAAAAAATTAAAGAAATAACATTTGTACCTTATGAAAAATAAAATTGTAACATTCAGAACAAAAAATCCTTTTCCCACGTCCCGAAGCGAAAATATTAAGCGGCATCGTTGACCCGAAATGTCGTTGACCCGAGTTGTCGCGACCCGAGTTGTCCCTGACCCGAAATGTCGGGACGCGATCTCGATTTTTTACCTTAAAATTCTGATCAATAGCAGCCAAGGAAGATTTTTAGCATACTAGTCTGTTCGCGAAGTTGCTGGAGTGATTTCGACGAAATGCACTGTGAGAAAACATAGGTTCACTTTGCACTATGCAATTTTCGGCTTTTTGCACAGTGCAATAGGTTTTTTTGGGCTGTCGCCCGCACCCTGACTTTTTTTGCACAGTTGGGAAAAAGTCAGGGTGCGAGTGACAGCTCAAAAAGCCTATTGCATCGTGCAAAAAGCAACAAATTGCACAGTGCAAAGTGAACTGTTGTTTTCGAACTGTGCATGTCACTGAAATCGCTCCAGCGACTTTGCGAACAGACTAGTATGCCAAAAATCTTCCTTGGCTGCTATTGATCAGAATTTTGAAGTCAAAATTTTAGATTACTGCACTACAGGGTGTTTCAAGAAATTTGGCAGAAACTAATTGCGAATATCTTTGAGCTCTTGGGAGTTATCGCAGAAATTCTTTTTGTTTCTAAAACTTGATAACGGGCGGTTTTGTACTGAACAAAAAAAATTTTTTTTCGTCGGCGGAGAGGCCAGTTCTCGGCGGAGGCATTTGGGGCCTTTTTTAAAAATCACACCTTATTACATGGTGGAAACTCTGTTACAATGGCCAAAATCATGTTTACGTTAAACCTCCGTGGATTTTGCGGTATGCTTTTTTTTGTTTTCGATTTTCGCTCATCCGCGGAGGCACGGCGGAGACCTCAGGTTTCGGCGGACGTCGTTTTGACTCTTTGGATCATTCAATTCAGGTTGGAAAAAAGTGTGGGGTGATTTTTTGTTGTCATCCGATGCACAGATGCAAAAATTTCGCACTTTTTTTCCCCGGCGGAGGATTCGGCGGAGGCTTTATCAAAGGGTCAGAACAGTCTTAGGAGTCCGGGAAAAAAACTCAGCTACAAGAATCCATCACAGCAACATCATTTTTCTTATTTTTTGGTTCGGCGGACACATCGGCGGAGGATTCGGCGAAGGCTTTATCAAAAGAGTCAAAGTTTTGTTTTGACCCTTTGATAAAGCCTCCGCCGAATCCTCCGCCGGGGGGGAAAAAAGTACAAAATTTTTGCCATCTGTGCATCGGATGACAACAAAAAATCGCCCCAACCTTTTTTCCAACATGGATTTGCAAAAAACCGTGGGCCCAAAACAAAGTCCGCCGAAATCTGAGGTCTCCGCCGCGCCTCCGCGGATGTTGCGTAAAATCGAAAACGCAAAAAAAGCATACCGTAAAATCCACGGAGGTGTAACGTAAACATAATTTTGGCCGTTGTAACAGAGTTTCCACCATACAATAAGGTGTGATTTTTAAAAAAGGCCCCAAATGCCTCCGCCGAGGACTGGCCTCTCCGCCGACGAAAAAAATTTTTTTTTTGCTCAGTACAAAACCGCCCGATATCAAGTTTTAGAATCAAAAAGAATTTCTGCGATAACTCCCAAGAGCTCAAAGATATTCGCAATTAGTTTCTGCCAAATTTCTTGAAACACCCTGTAATTCGGCGATTTTTTTTGAAATTTTCATAATTTTTCGGATTTTTCGAACTTTTTCAAATTGAAGGTCTAGTAAGATGATACGCACTCCAATGTTCTCTAGAGCTTGTCATTGCGAAGCTTATGCTGTGGGGTTCCTTACAATATTCACATTTTCTATTATAAAAGCCGGCTTTTTGCTCTGCTGACATGCCAAATTTTAGCCTTTTGAGGTGAAAAATTTAGATTACTTTAGTAGTAACAGTAAATTGGGAACTTCCCAGTTGAAAAATCAAAAAATTCTCCGAAAAGTTATACAGTAATCGCAAGTTTACCTCAAAATTATCAGATTACCGCTCCAATATTTTCAGACCTACCTGGCCGTGGTCCCATGGAAAGGCCTCGATCAATTCCACTGCCGGATCATCCCCTCCGAACATTATACCTCCCAAGTTACAGTTGATGAGGACGTTTTCGCGGAGCTCCGACTCTGGCGAAAAGGTCTGGTCGCGATGTTCAGAGCCCAAGATGACGAGGATTGTGTGTTCATCGAGACCGCGAAGAATGTGAAGAACACTTTGCACATGAATATTGAGTGCATCCCATTGCCGAGAGAGTCGGGAGATCTGGCTCCCATCTACTTTAAGGTGAGATTTTGAAAATTTTTGGGGATTTTTTGAATTTTTAGGAGTTGGAAAAGTTGTATCAGACCTTTAGATGGATGGTAAAATAGGAAAATTATATTGATTTGAAAAAAAAATTCGTGAAATTTTTTTGAACAAGCAGATTACCTTATTTTAGGTGAATTTTGATAGAAAATGTATTCCAAATTCCGGTTTTTTATTGAAAAATGTGTTTTTGAACCTTGTAAGGTACGATCGAATGTCTAGAACCTAAAATTTTGTGAAAAATTTTTTAAAAATTACCTTATTTTAGGTGAATTTTTGATAAAAAAACGAAATTAAAACTCCGATTTTTCAAAATAATATATGAATTTAAAGGTAAAATACGTGCTTCAGGCTTGATAAGCAATTATTTACGATAAAAAAATTTGAATTTTCGTTTTTTTCACCTTCTTTTTGACCTAAAACAATATAATTTTGGGAAAAATGGCTAATAAAAAAGAATAAAGTTGGGGTAAAAAGACGGAGTAGATAATTTCGCACCTTTAGCAAGCCCTAGAACAAGCTGGCGAGCGATGGGGCACCCATCGGAAGATCATCAACTTGGCCGACACCAAAGAAAAGAGCGTCCGCAGAGCAATTCCCCCCGGATTTTCCTACTTTGCCATCGATTTTGGCCTCCAACCCGGCTATGCGCATGTAATTGAGAACGAAGACACATTCCCAGCGCATTTTGCACAGGTAATTTATATATTTTTTATACTATTTTAGATCAAATTTGACATGGATAATAAGATAATATAAAAATTTTTAAATTTGGTCTCTAGACTAATGAAATTGTGATTTTTTTAGGAGATTATCGCCGGCATGCTCGATTTGGACCACAAATTGTGGAGGAGACCGGAAAAAGAGACACTAGAAACACTAAAACAGAAAAGAGACGCCTTCCGAGAGCGATGGGCCGCCTTTGATTGGACTGAAACTGCCAGACAGAGAGTCAATGAGGCCGGAGGAAGTCAGGAAGAATAAAAAACAAAAAATTTTTGTAAATTTGTAAAATATTTTATATTACACTTGATCAAAATTTGATTTTTTTTGTTGATTTTTTAGATTTTTGTTGGTTGAAAATATGACTTATAATGTCAGTTTATAAGTCAATTTTTGCATTTTGAAAATTTTTTGGCACTTCCCGACCTCAAAATCGATATTTTCGACCTTTTTTTATATTACACTTGGTGAAATTTGTTGTTTCAAGTTGTAAATTGGCACTCTGACCCTCGAAAAAGTTTGTTTCAGGCCTTTTTAGACTAATTGATGCCTGTTTTGATAAAGTTGACTTTCAAAATTTTTGATTTTGCCGAAATTTTATATTACACTTGATAAAAACTTGATGGTTTAGGTAAAAAAATATAAAAATTCTATAGTGAAATCACCGTTTTAGGTCATTTCACATCGAGTTTTCCTGTTTTAACTTCAAAATTCTACTTTTCCGACCATATTTTATATTACACTTGACTTCGATTTTAGGCCATTCTTCCTTTCAAATCCCATTTTTAGCTCTAGCGGATTTATTCTGGCGAATAACTGTTTGAAATATTTGAACCGTTAAAATGGACGATATAAAAGACGAGTAAATTAGGAGGTCATAATCAAAAAATTATTGAAAAAAAGACGAAGGGAACTCTAGCCGAAAATGGGGGGCGGGCACCTAGGAATACGTCTAATTAGGGGGCCAATATTGTAGTGGACGTTCATTTGAGACAGGTGCGGCTTTAGCGAGCGCTCATCATTTTCCGCGCCATTCCCTCAGGGGTTTTTCGACGATTTTGGTCACGCCCGCGTGTCTCAAACCGTTTTCTCGACTCCTTTTCTATGGTAATAAAATATAGGGTAAGATAGGAAAACTTACAAAACGACTAAAATTGGGGGTAAAAATATAAATTTAGATCAAAATTAGGGGCATTCAGACAAAAAAAACTCATCTAAATTTAGATCAGAGACAGAAAATAAGTGGATTTAGCAAATGACTGGCCAGGACTTTTATCACGTCGTATTTTAGGCCTTCTTGGCCTGCTTGCGTCCCTTTTGTTGCTTCTTCTTCAACTTTGTCACCAATTTTGGACCAGCCAATTTTTCTTCTTCCTTCTTCTGGGATCGCTCCAACTTCAGTGTTCGATAGTTGATGGCTTTGGGTTTTCGTGGAGTGGCGCCCAATTGGACAAGGCGCTTTTCGTCCAAGCTTAGACCATCCGAGTTGACAAAGCGTTCTATCTGAAAAAAAGTTATTCAAATTTTAAAATTATTCTCAAGTATAATGTCATGATAACGTTTACTAACCTAACCTCCCATAAAAGAACCGTAAAGAACCAAAAAAGTTAAGAATCGAAGACCACACAACATGATTAATCAATTTTAATTATACAGATGTCTATAAATGTTCCAAAAAAAATCCTTTGGTTTGATGGAACACTCGCCTTTATCTATCTAACGCTTTCACACTCGATTTACAAGAGCTGTTTCTAATCAAATCTCCTTACTTAAAAAGCTATCAAGTATAACATTTTTAACAACTATTCGTGAAACCCAGTGTATTTTTGAGAACTTTTGATCGAAATAGTTTCAATCTGCTCTACTCCAACTACATTAGCCCTTCTGGCGTGAAGATCAACCCATCTATTGCAAAATAACTATCAAGTTTTCTATAAGACAACTTGACCTACTCACCGAATCATCAAGTCTAAAACAATTCAGGAAACGACTTTAAAGGCGTCATGGTTACTACTCTCGCTATACATAAAGTATCCCGCTAACTGATCTGAAGGTTACTACTTTCTAACACAGTGTACCTAGCATCTCAAGAACCATAAATGTTTCATCGTATAAGATGTCCTTATGACGAAATTTCGACAAAAATCCTATCCTATCAAAATCTACAGTACCATGGGAAAGCTTGGAGCCAATGATCTTTACCTAAAGATAGAAACACAAAATAAAAAATCAACTTACATCAAATGTGACCCGTTTCTGAATGGCCAACTGATTCTCCTTCTTGTTCTGGCCGTTCTTCGGGTTCTTCAGAATTTTCGGAGCCCGTTTTGTTGGTAGAGGTGGAGTGTAGTTGTGGGGGAGCAGCTTATTCTCTGGATTCGGCTGACTCCACCAGTTCATGGGACCCGAATCGACAAACCCGAATTCGTCCTCCTTCAGAGACGAACCTTGCCCGAAGGCGGCCTCGTTCACGAGGTCTTTCAGAGGCTTGATTTGGCCGGCCTTCTCAAACAGCTCATCCGATGTTACGGCGCCCCAATCCTCGGCCATTACCTGTAAATTTGGGAAATTCTTTAATGACATGTATAAGGTTGGAAATCGCGTATAACACGGAAATTAGACTCCGATGGCAAAGCAGGAGCTTCTAAACAGTCAAATTAGGCTATCAACTAACTCTATTTAAAATTTTATCCTAATCCTTTCAACAATCTTCGAAATATTGGCCTTTTCCAAAACCTCATGGTTAATATCCGAAGTCACGTTAGTCTGGAAAAATCCGAAATCAATATAAAAAATTACTCGAGACGTTAGAGAGACTTGTTTATCAGCTCACTCGACGCAAAACTTCGTCTGTTTCTCCCAAACATTCTTTTAGTTATATCAAAAACAAGAAAACATCCAGAACGCGCATGGGTAATATCAGAGATTGCATCATTTTTGACTCTGCAAAACTCAAAATAAGACCCGATGTTTTTCGGGAGCAGGAACACATATTACACTATCTTCCCATCGAATCTCAACCCTCCCTACCAACCAGTTTGGGGAGCAAAAACAAATTTTCTCATTTTAGGTAAGGAATTGCTACTCAGCAAAAAATTATCAATCATTCCCAGCATTGTGAAAGTCAAAAGGTGGTGTTATCAGCGATCCTTCTTCCTTGTTTGGACAACCTTTTCACCAAGTCTCAGCAGATTCCACCTTGTTTCCTAAAAGTTACAGTAATCCGAAAAGTTTAGGTACAATTTCGAAAGCAAATTCCCGGGCCTCGAGTAAAACTGGTCGAAATCGATTTTCCCCCCACTCCGTGGGCGACGTCAAGTATTATTCGGAGTTGGGGGAAGCAGAAACAAGCCGAGTGGAGCAAAAAATAAACAAAAACAAAAAATGCTTCACCTCCAAGATCACGTTGTGTATCGACAGGTTGGGCTGTCGCGAGGAAAAAAATAACGTCTTTCGGGCCCTTCCTCTTCTTCTCGTAGGAGAACAAGAGAAGAAAAAATATTTTTTTGGGGAAATTATTTTTAGGTCCGTTGTCTTGCAGCGAAAACGTTTGGCGGAAAATTTGAAAATCACGAGGAAACAAAGAGAAGTGGGGAGACTTGACGCCTTGGGTCAAGTGTTACTCTTTAGGTAAGATTGGTAGGATTTTCACGGTAAATTGCTAGAAATTACTCAAAAACCCCTTCTAAACTCAATTTCAATTATATTTGAGCAATTTTCTTTCATAAAAACACCAAAAATCGATGTAAATTCATTGAAAATGAGGTTAAGTGTTCCTTTCTTCAAGGAATCTCGTATTTCACCCCAAACTTTCGCCAAACAACCCACAGAATGCCATTAAAACTTTTTTCAAACCTGATTTATTTATTTCTAAACTACACAACCCGTTAGCTTCGAGAACACCGAAAAGTTTGAGATCATAGACCAGTATAAGTACCTACTACAATATAAAATTTTAGACTGAAATTAGACAAAACTACTCTCTGACAATTCTACTAGACTTGACAATAACAAAAATTTTCACATGTCACTATAAAAACAAGCTTTTCATGAGAGAAAGACTTGACCCATCTTGAGCCAAGTCTTCCGGTCTGCTATAACTTCAAAAGACGTCTACAAAATACAATTTTGGACATTTTTACATACATTACCAGTGCTTTTACAACCCGTTCAAAACCCTGATATTAGACTCTGAATTCAAGGCGACCAAGGGGAAAACTTGACTCCGAGTCAACTGTTACCCTCATCCATAAAACCTCTATTTTTCCGTTTGAGCTTGTTCCTGCATGCTGATAGCGTTCATAGTCGCTTGTAGGAGCATGCTGGTCGGGTTCGCCGTCTCATAATCATCTTCAATCGGCTCTGCCGGCCCTTGTTCATCTTCACCTTGACCAACAAAAGTTTTATTCAGATTTGGTTCAAGCGCTGGCGGGGGCAAAGCTCCTTTTCCACGGAGACGACGTCGAACACAATGGATGTTATCCTCCAGGATTCCGAGGATCTGCTTCTTATCGCATACCAGGTCCCTCTGAAAAATGTACAATATAACTTTAAGCTTGTCGAATAAGAAAAAATTTCTGTCAAAATCTCGTTAGCTCTCTAGTCTGGTTATATTTCAGGCGTAGGAGACATTTTATACGATGAAACATTAAAAAACAATCTTCAAACTTTCAGACATTTTTCACCGTATAAAATGGCCAAAATTGGAAAAAACGTGAAGTCTAAGAAAACTCTAGAGTATTTTACAAGTCATTTCGCATCTTATTTTTTTAAGCTACCATTAAAAAGCATAAGAATTATGCATTTTAAATCCACACATCTTTCATCGTATAACATATCCCACTCCCAAAAAACGTGTCCATTATTGTGTAGCGTATTTTACAAAACATTTCTTGACCTATTACACAACTAACTACCCAATAAACCGCATTTTTTCCTTCTCCAAACACCTTTCATCGTATAAAATGTCCCAAATCCTTCTAATCCCCCTAAACTTCCATGAAACATCTCTCAACCCCATTTCCTATCTCCCAACTCACCAAATAGTTCATCATTTTGGGGTATGGTTCAAACAAATGGATGAGAAAAGCTCTCATTTCATGGCGTCTTGGATAATACGACCGTTCGCAAAATCGCATCAACGGATCTCGAATATACTTGCAGAACTCGGTGAGTTCTTGTTTCTTGAGCTCAATGGACTCGTCTTCAATCTGATGCAGGAGGATTCGGCCGGGCAACGTGGATCCGAGCAGGCTTTGAATCGACATTTCCTTCAGATTTTCGTGAAGATCGTAGCTTTCCACAGGGATTTTGCTGGTCATCTGAAAATTCGAAAATGAACTAGCGGCATGAGAAGCTCATAATTTATCCCTTCCACATCTTTTTGATGAAAAATTTGGAATCCCGGCAAATTTTTTTTGAGGAAAACACTTGACTCAAAAATAATTAAATGATACAAAACTAACCCGTATTTTACAAAAACATTTTATTTCAGACCCACAGAAAGTAAACATACCCTCTGCGAGAGACACTTGACCCAAAAAATCGATTTTGGGTCAAGTCTTACACTCATCGAAAAATCATTAAAATACAGTATCCCAACCATTATAACTCTCTAAGACGACTCACTAAAGTTTCTTTCTCTTCTTTAGCAACTTTTTCGTCCATATTTTCTTCTTCTTTTACGTCTTCGTCCAAATCTTCCGTCGATTTTTGAATTCCTGGCTTTCCAACTCGCCCAAGTCGAATTCCATTCAATTTCGTATTTCCATGGGGTCTAAAAGCAACTTCTCGGACTTCTCCAGGTAGAGCGGATCCAGCTTCGACCAAGCCAATTCCCGGGACTTTCTTGAAAACAGTTGGCGAATAAATCGTTTTGTAATGGCTATATTTCTTTTTCAGAAGATCTGCACGCTTCTTTGTTTCTAGTTTGGAGTTCAAATTGATGGTGGAGGGAAGCTGGATTGTTGTGAGGTCGGGTAGCTGAAATTTGAAAATTCAGAGAAACACTTGACCCAAAATTCTTTCAGAGCTCTTGGAGAACGACAGTAAAGAAGGAGACTTCGTATTTTACACAAATAACTTATTCTCACCATCTATTTCTTCACTTATAGTGTAAAAATCGAAAAAATATATGAGGGGAAGACTTGACCCAAACCTCAAAAATAGCGGAAGCTCAATTTTAAATTCAAATTAACATTCCCAACGTGTCAAATCAAGTCTACATTACCATTTTCAATCACAATTTTTATTTTCACATCGCCTATATTACACTTGATCCATCAGTGAAACACATGACCCAAAATTCACCAAAACCACTCAAAAAATTTCCTCCCGCGTATTTTACAACTCTAAACACCGCCGTCTATAATTTTTCCACCATTTTCTACAACCACACCCCTTGAAATCAACATTTCCTTCAAATTCCCCAAAAAATGTGTCAAGTCTTTCCCTCGCTGCAATAACTCAAAACTCACCACCAAAACCTTGTCGCTGGCGGTGTTCTGCGCCTGAACGGCGGCATTTCTCAGGATCACCATCTGCCTTCTCGCCGCCTTCTTGTTTATCACTCTCTTCGCGTTCCGAATGCTTTTTTCCAAGTGGCCATGGACCTGTTTGCGATTACAGACGAAATCGGTCATCTCCAGTTGGGTAAATCGTCCCAGTAAGTGTTGAAAATAGGCGCGGAGTTCCACTCGGCTTGGTCGGTTGGGTCTGAAAATCGATTTTTTTGGGAAATTTTTGAAAATTTCAAAATTTTCCCTCAGGCAATTTTCAAATTTTTCTCTCGGATTTGGATGAAATTTGGCGTAAATGAAGGTCATAGAATTCTAAGCGAGTTGTAAAAATTTCAGAAAAAATTTTTCAGAACCCTCGGAGATACGATGGTTTGAAATCTCATTTTTTGAAATTTAAAATGCTTGTAACTCCATTATTTTTGCAAAACGTGATCAAAAATTTTCAGAGAAGTCTTATAACCCCTCAATTTTCAAAATCCAACAAAAAATTTAAAAAAGAATCATCAATTTTTTCTCGGAAATTTTTTGGAAATCTCAAAGTTCACTCAAAAAACATGTCCAGCTCTTCCTAAACCCAGAAAAACTGTATAAAAAAAAAATTAAACTCACGTTTCAGCATGTTTCATAATCGGTTCTCTGATCATCAGCGCCAATTTTGCGCAATCCGCCGAATCCAGTGGTAAATTCGCTTCCAACATGGCCAAAAGCACTTGACCTTTGTGTGTGGGAGTCAGCAGCTCTTCGATCGTCAAGCTTCTGATCTCCGGATGCAGATTGTCGACGGAAACATCGCCGTGCCGCTGATATCTGGCGATCTGACGGACTTTTACGTCGGATTTTGGCTAAAAAATGAAAAAAAATATCGTGGAAGTGAAAATCTTGGAATTTTTTTGATTGTAAAATACGTGGCATCCCATGGCGACGTATTAATGTCCTTTTTCAAGCTTCTGCGTCAGTTTATTAAATATTTTATACCTAAAACAAGGTCAGGAGAAGATGCTAAAAATAGGTCCGAAAACAGAACCGAAAACGCTATCAAAGCGTAAAATAATAAATAACATTCCTCAACAGCAGGGGTGGTCAGCGGGCCGGGCTGGCCCGGCCCAAACGGGCCGGCCGGCCTCAAAAATGGAAATTGACAAACGGGCCGGGCCCGTCACGGGCCGGGCCGGGCCTGGAGTTTTTTCCGGCCCGGCCCGTCTAAAATACAATGCCAAACCGTTGGCATTCATTGTTTTCGCGCCGGGAAAATTAATTGATGTTGTTATAGTTGCTGTTTTTCAAGTTCTAAAACGTTTACAAGTCTATAGTTCAATTATAGAACCACAAAACTATCACATTGATCCTTTACTAGCTAGATCAACGCCTTTTTTGCCTCAGTTTAGATCCCGAGCCTGGGCGCAGTTCGCAGAACCCTCTATAGACGGGCCTGCACGGGCCGCGCCGGGCCCGTCACGGGCCGGGCCTGGAAAAAGACTAGACGGGCCGGGCCGGCCAATTAGACGGGCCGGGCCGCGGGCCGAAAATCGGAAAAATAGGGTCCGCTGACCACCCCTGCTCAACAGAGCTATAGAACAATATTTCGCTTCGTTTGGGCCCATTTATCGCTTTGAAATTTACCCTCTTATGTCTAAAATAATATAAGCTCCAGCTCTTCAAATTAGATCAAAATATGGTCAAAAAAGCTCGCAAATTGTAAAATACGACGATCGCAGCCCACTAAACTCAGACATCAACCTTATTCGCATTAAAAATTAATTTATCCATCAAAAAAATCATTCTCCTCTACCTAAAATAAGGTCAGCTCTAACCCTTCAAATTCGATTCAAATAATCTCAAACACTTTTCCAAGTCGTAAAACACACTCTATAGCCGCTTCCATATCCATTTTACATCAATCTACATCTAAAACCAAGAGAAAAATCAAAAATCCTCACCTTCTCCTTCTTCTCCTCTTTGAACAACATTTTGGTCAATTTCTCAACCTCCGTAACTTCTTCAACCGGCTCTTTCGGAACTTCCACGGCCTCTTTGACGTGCTCTTTCATTTTCTTGGATCGGCGGCCATTTCGGATGCTGTTTTCGAGGCATCCCAGGGTCTGTTTTCGGTTGCCCACAAAAACCGGGATATCCACCTGAGGGAAGTCGCGGAAAATGTGCTCCAAGAATGCCCGTTGTTCGTAGCGAGATGGGTAGCTCGGTCTGAAACTTTAGTTGTAAATTTTCGAAACAGAGAAAAAACTTTTCTGGACGAGAGAAACAGTTGACTCAAAAGTGGACAAGCGCTTTTTTCGAACGGTAATTTTGTAAAAATTAGCGGTTTGTGGGCGGATTAAAATGCATTTCTGGATAATTCGAGCTGAATTTACTCTCAATTGTCTTAATTTACGGCCAAATTCTTCAATTTTAAAATTTTGGGTCAAGTGTTTCCCTCAAGGTCAGAAAATGTAAAATACGGTAGCCCCCAGTGTGGTTTCTTTCAAAAAATTAAAATTCAAGTTAGAAACACTCTAAAATCTATAAAAAAGTCCACTTTTCTCCTCCAAATCAACAGCACCAATTACTTTTCAAAAATTCAAATTCAAATTTCCCGCCAAACCGTACCTTTCGCACAATTTCATAATAGGCTCCCGGATCATGTTGGCCATGTATAAATAATCAGGTCGTTGCAGTTCATTCTCTCCTCTGAGCCTGCCCAGGACTGCCAGGCCGGACGGAGTCTTTTCCAGCAGAGATTCAATTGTAACATCCAAAAGTTCCTGCGACAATTTAACATTCTTCTTGCTTGGGGTCTCCAGCTCCTCCGAAAGCTCCAATTTTCCATCAGACGTATTTGGAGAAGTTTTGGAACAAAGCTCAGCGAATTTTGCCAATAATTCGCTATTTTTGGATATTACACTTGCTTCGGACGTCATTTCTGGACTGTCCAACCGGATTTTCTTGGGCGAAACAGGTTCACCATGATCTTCAATGGCCTCATTATCATTTATACCATCCTTTTGAAGCATTTCCTTGTCTCTGGCCAAGTGTTTTTCGGCTAAACCCAAAATTTCCGCTAATCCTGCGGAAATATTGGGTATTTCCTCCAATTTTTCTGATGAAATCTCTTCATTTGTGGTATCAATTTGTAGCTCATGGTCTTCTTCATCTTCTAATTCAACTTCTACCTCAATTTTCTTCGATTTTTCGGGACGTTTCAACGATTTTTCAGCTAAAGTCGAGGTATTTTCATGATTTTCGGCCGAATTCTTCAATTTTTCCGCGGCCAAAGGCAAATTTTCTTCTGTCTCAGCTTCTACTGATGTTTGACTTTCTTTTTCGTCCATTTTCCCTTCCTCATCATCATTTTCTTTCTCAATTTTGATCGATTTTCGCGATTTTTCCGCATTTTTCAGCTCTTCAGCGAGTTTAGCGGCCAAACCCAGCTTTTTGGCCCAGTCCATTGAAATTCCAGGCTCTGCAGTCGATTCAGCGTTCAATTTCAGACTTTTGGCGACATTTTTCGGCAATTTTTCCGCCAATTTTGTTAGCGCTTCGACCAAATTCGCCGGGATTTCCGTTTTCTCCGCCGATTTTCGTTTTTTCACCAATTTCCTCGGCGATTTACTGGACGTCGGTTCGATTTTAACTTCTTTGGACTCTGAATCCGACTCCTCGTCCGATCTTTTGGCTCTTCGGCGGGCATTTCGAATACTGTTTTCGAGCAGACCGCTTTGCTGTTTCTTGTTGCTGACGAACATTTGAAGCGACAATGCTGGGTAGGGGTCGAACAGATGCTTCAGAAACACTCTCTGTTCATTTCTGGTGGGGAATCCCGGCCTAAAATGGAAGAAAATCAGAGAAAATTAGGTTGAAACAGAATGCCAAGATTTCCTGGTAGAATTCAAAAAATGTCGTAAAAAGAAATTTTAATTGTAAAATACGGAATATGGAATATTATCCTGGCCAAAAATTACAATAAGCAGCATTTTCTACCATTTCCGGCTTAAAATTTGACTTGAAAGGTTTTCGTGGTGGGACCCAAAACAATATCTTGAATCTTGAATTTGATGAAAAACTCAATTTTAAGAAGAAAAAATAACTCTATTGTATCCCCAGGGCCATTTTAAGCAAAATTCTAGCGTAAAATCAAGGTGTCAGGTTTTCGTGGTGGGACCCAAAACAATATCTCGAATTGGACAAAAAACCCAATTTCAAGAACGAAAAAAAACTCTGTTATATCCCCAGGGCCATTTTAAGCAAAATTCTAGCGTAAAACCGAGGTGTCAGGTTTTCGTGGTGGGACCCAAAACAATATCTCGAATTCGGTGAAAAAATCAATTTCAAAAACGAAAAATAACTTTATTTTATCCCCAGGGCCATTTTAAGCAAAATTCCAGCTTAAAACCGAGGTGTCAGGTTTTCGTGGCGGGACCCTCGCAAAGTTCTTTTTGTTGTAAAATACGTGAAAGGAGGAGGTGAGTACTTGTAGAACGATTTTTACAACACCTCTGACCTATTTGCAGCACTCAAAACATGATGCCAAGTTTTCGTGGTGGGACCCAAAAATCTATTTCCAAACTTTTCCCCCATTTTTAATTTTAAAAACTCACTTTTCGCAAAACTTCATGATCGGTTCTCGAAGTAGATTTGCCATGGACAAAAGTAATTTCCTGTCAATCTCTTCATCACCCGCCTCCTCCACCTTCTGCATGATTTGTCGGCCTTTTGAGGACTGATTCAACACTGTGGGTAGGGTCATTTTGGCCAGCTCTGGATGCAAAAGTGATGTGTCGATGAAATCGTCGCCTCTCGGGGTTGTGACCACACTCGACTGACTTGGAAACAACTCCATCAACAACTTGTCGGGGTTGTTTTGGTCCATCTGGACCAATTTTTGTAGAACTGAAAAAAATTAATTTGAATATGCAAATTTTGGAAATAAAATAAATTATATTTGTCATAGCGGTTACTGGCACGTATTTTACAACTAAATTAGTATCAAAATTCTATTATTTTTGAAATAGAAAAAATCAAAAAAAAAACAAATAAATAAATTTGAATATGCAAATTTTGGAAATATAAAAAATATATTTGTCACTCAGTATACTGGCACGTATTTTACAAACTAAGCTAGTACCAAATATCTATTATTTTTGACATAAAAAAAATTCAAATTTGAATTTCCCGCCAAAATAAAAAATGTCACAAGTATGAGGCAAACCCGTATTTTACATCGAGAAATGTTGAAATGGTCAAGATATCGTCTATGGCTGTCATTTTTTATCAAATTTTTAGATTGCGAGAAAAATGAAAATTTAAATTTCCCGCCAAAACTCAAAAGTCCGAACAATAAGCACCGTATTTTACAAAATTGAAACTAGTATAAATGTTACTGAAAGTCGTCGTAGAACCTCTGAAAATTTTTTTTTGACCAAATTGAGACTTTGTAAAATTCAAAATTTGAATTTCCCGCCAAAACTCAAAAAATTTAAAGCGGGCGAAGAACTTCGTATTTTACATCAAGCAAGGTTGAAAGGGCCAAGATATTGTCTGTGGCGGTAATTTTTTATCAAATTTTTAGATTGCTGGAAAAATTGAAATTTGAATTTCCCGCCAAAATAAAAAAATGTAAAGGCATGGGAAATACTTCGTATTTTACATTGAGAAATGTTGAAAGGGCCAAGATATCGTCTGTGGCGGTAATTTTTTATCAAATTTTTACAGGGTGGGGCATCTTTGTGGCCCGATTTGAATTGGCTATAACTTCTTTAGTTTTTGGCCAAATTTTAAAATTCTTTTTTTCCCTGAATCGTCAGCCAACCCCATTTTGTTTGATACCAAATACGTTATACATAGGTAAGTGTCATCTACAGTTATTGGATTTATTCTTGGAGTTCATTTTTTTGGTCGTTTTTCGGTTGTTTTTTCGGTCTTTCCCGGTGTGTCCGAAAATGGAGTCCGGTGTGGAAGAAAAGGCTTGGTCTGTGGTTTGGTATAGCAAGTACGGTTCGGCGATCAATTTTCAAACGGGGATACCGCATAAAATACGGACGTAATGCCTAACCTCCAGATCGCAAGACAATTCGACGTTCGTGGAATAAGTTTCTTGAGACTGGCAGCGTTAACAGGAAACAAAAAAAGCAGGAAAGATGAGTACGAACGGAGCTGAAAATTTAAGAAGTTTTGTCTAAATTCCGAGAAAATCCGCATATGAGTACACGAAGTTTGGCCAGAACCGAGGGAATGCCTTCAGCAAGGACCATTCGACAAACTCTGGAGGTTGATCTTCACTTTTTGTTCTTATTCTCATCGTCGATTTTCGGGAGGGTAAATTCCGCCGTATTTTTCTTCCACACCGGACTCCATTTTCGGACACACCGGGAAAGACCGAAAAAACAACCGAAAAACGACCGAAAAAATGAACTCCAAGAATAAATCCAATAACTGTAGATATACACTTACTATGTATAACATATTTGGTATCAAACAAAATGGGGTTGGCTGACGATTCAGGGAAAAAAGAATTTTAAAATTTGGCCAAAAACTAAAGAAGTTATAGCCAATTCAAATCGGGCCACAAAGATGCCCCACCCTGTAGATTGCTGGAAAAATTGAAATTTGAATTTCCCGCCAAAACTCAAAAAATTTAAAGCGGGCGAAGAACTTCGTATTTTACATCAAGAAAGGTTGAAAGGGCCAGGATATTGTCTGTGGCGGTAATTTTTTTATCAAATTTTTAGATTGTTGGAAAAAATCAAAATTTGAATTTCCCGCCAAAACTCAAAAAATTCAAAGCGGTAAGCATCGTATTTTACAAGATTGAAACTAGTATAAATATAACTGAAAGTGGTCTCAGTATGGCCTCAGAAACATTTTTTGACCAAATTTAGTTTTTGTAAAAATCAAAATTTGAATTTCCCGCCAAAATAAAAAAAATTTAAAGCGGCCAGCCCGTATTTTACAATTGAAACTAGTATAAATATAACTGAAAGTGGTCGTAAAAAGACCTCTGAAATTTTTTTGACCAAATTGAGACTTTGTAAAAATCAAAATTTGAATTTCCCGCCAAATTTTCAATATGAAATTTTTACTTTGACATTCAATTTTCTGTGACCCTGAGAGCATAAAGGTAAAAAATAAATAATTTCCAACACTTTTATCAACCCTGCTGACAAATCCACAACTAATTTTACCCCGTTTTCACATTTTTTTTTTCAAAAATCCCATTTTTAGACCCAAAAATTTTTATAAAACAATATTCTCCATGCCCCGGAGAACCCTCTGGCTTCGGGCATGGCCGTGAGAGCTGTGTGGAAGGCTTTTGTGTTCTCGGTTGGGTGGGAGAAGAAGCGGGCAGGGGGTGTGGTGGGGCTGGGGGAGGCGAAAAGAGGAGACCCGGACCCACGGATAATAGTTTTGGTAAGGGAGAGGGGCAAAAAATGAAGAAAAATGGGGGGAAAGGGTGCAACAACTTCCTCTAGGTATTTTCGACGCCCATGGCAGGGCATTTACAGTCTATTTCGCAGGTGTAAAGCCTAAAATACGGCCGGGAAAGTCAAATTTACTCATTTTATGAGAAAAATTTACGAAAAATTGGGTAAAACTCCCAATTTTACGCGATTTTTTAAAATTTCAAGAGTGAAATTGAAAAGAATAAAGATCTTAAAGATATATTTCACATCTTGAACCACATATCCTGTCGAATTTTGCCCAGATTTTGCAAAAATTCCCAAAAAGTCATCAAAAAAATTTTTTTTAATTTTTTCTTTCTTTGCTATGAAAATTACTATCCCAAATGATGCAATTTTGCGGAAAATTATCTCCAAATTCCGTATTTTACCCATAACTGCTCAAAATTTATAGCTTTCAAACATTTTTTCGACATTTTTATCAAAAAATCGGCGAAAATTTTTAAATTCATGGAATTTTTACCGAATTTCATATAAAATTAAGGTGGCTGGAGGCGTATTTTAGTGGCTTTATAATTTCTGGATTCGTATTTTACCCTTAATCATCGATATTTAAACGATTTTCATCAAAAAACTTGAGTTTTCTGACATTATTTTGATTTTTCTCGAAGTTTTGGCCATAAACCGTCTTAAACAGTTAAATGCCCTTAGGCAAAATAACAAATATATCGTCATGGATAAAATACATCGTATTACGAACCAATTTTCGGCCGAATTTTGCCGTTATACGGAGATTTTACCATAAAAACTGGTAAAAATTGCCGCTACCCGAACAATTTGTCTTACATAATGAGACATTAAGCTCTGCCGGGAATTATGGAGTAGTGGGGGAGTGATAAAAACAGAGGAGGCCCCTTCCTTCCATCTCCCCTCCACCCCTGCCCCTCTTTTTTCTCGTTTCCCCCGGCCTCCGCTCCTTTCTGATGTTGAGCAGGGGGTGAACGCGCCTCGCCCCGCCGCTCCCTCCGCTTTTCCAGGCCCTCCACACCACACAGCACAGTGGGGATCGAGGATCTATACAATTTCAGGCAGGTAAAGTCGAGAAATCCGCAGAAATGTTGGAAAAACCACGAATTTTCAGAATTTTCAAAAAAATTTCGTGAAATACAGTAACCCAATGTCTTGAAAATCTCATAAATAGGCTAAGGGCTTGATTTTCAACAAAAATTGAGACTAAAATTTGTAATTTATACTGTTTTAGCCAGGTCGGATTGGAAAAGTCTCTAAAATTTTGAAAAAATCTCAATTTTCATAAAATTTCAAATAAAATACAGTATCCCAAGACTTTCAAAAATATTTTGAGACCTTGAGATTTAATTTTCAACCAAAAGAAACCCAAAATTTTACTATGAATGCATATTTATAACCGTTTTTAGCCCGAAAACAAGGTATTTCTAGGAAATTTTAAAAATTTCCGTAAAATACGGTAAATAAAAGGCTGTAAAAACATCCTACATTGTCTATTGTGACCTACAAAGTGTGCAGAATCAAAATCAGTCAAAAATCCGACACCGTGTCGACATAGCGCAGTGGATTTTCGATTTGTTTGAGATCGACTCGAGTTCGACTCCCCGCTCAAGAAAATGACAAAAATCAGCCACTTTATTCAAATTTGACCTCTAACCTCTTTAGAATATGAAATTACAGGTCTTGTAAAGTGCCTGGAATTCGGTTACATAACGGTTTCTTACAATTAACCGCCCCAAAACCCTAAAACACCAAAATTAGAGGGGGGAGAAGGGAAAGCGCCCCCACCCCAAGGTGGTTCAATGCACGGACGACGAGCGGGGAGGGGGTGGGCGAGGCAGGCGAGACGAGGGGCTATGGGCAGTGTGGGGCATAACAAGTCTCTCCGAGAATTTTTTCGAAAGGGCTGGGTAAGGGGAGAAAGGAGCTCAACAAATTGATAAAATTTGAGGATTCGATGGGAAAACGGCTGGAAAACACACGGAAAATGGGTTTAAAATACAGTAGATTTGATGATTATTCAGCGCGGAATAAATTTGGAGTCAGTTTTCGGTCGAAATGAGTAAAAATTTCAAGATTAGGGGATATGGACCTTATTTTAGGCAAAAAATCTTAAAAAATCGCAAAAACTGAATATAAATCTCCGTTAGGTGGGCTGGTAAAGACAGAGGATACCATATACGACCTAATCTAGCATTTGAAACAGCAATTTCATCAAGAACCATCAAGCCATAACATAAAACAAGATTTTGTGATCAGCCCTAAAAAGCACCGAAAAAATCACAATAAATCAGACAAATTCCAGCTCCAAAAGCAAGGCAGTTTGACAATCTAACGGCTTGATGACGGTAAATATTTCTGTAGCTTCACTTACAACCAAAAAAATATAAATTTTTGATCAACACCAAAACCAAGTATAATATAACTCAAAAAACCACTCAAAACCAAGTAAAAAATAACGACAATCCCCTCTTACCACATTTCAAACCTTCCGCAACACAAAATTCTTCTCCATCGCGAAGGATCTCCCGAATATTGGGCGCACTATGCAAATTCTCTCCCGCAGTCTGCACAGAGCTCGGGCGCACGTCGGGCACTTAGGAATTTTTTCTTTCCGTCTTTTCGAGCTAGACGGCTGAAAAAGCGAAACGCCGCAGGGTGTAGAAAGCTTCGACGCAGCCAGTTTTTCTTGGATTCTTTCCGGACGAGGTGGTTATGAGATTCATTGGGTTTCAATTATATCGGAACGATGCCCTTTAATGGATAATATATTTTTTGGTGTTTTTTAGTTGTTTCAAAACTATATTGTTGAGTCCTTATCATCGAAATGGGCTAAAAGGTCGCTCGTGACGTGTAATTTAAATGTTTGAGCAAGCAAACGTTTTTTAGTTTGGTTCTGCCATGGTTAATATAATTTGATATTCTTCATTGCAAAATCTATTGGGATTACCCTGAAATCTTTTATAATGCATAATGGATGCTATATTACCGCTTTTTGTCGTGTACTTTGTTACAGCGCAATTTAGAGATAAAAAAAGAATTTTATTGTTATTTCCAGGACACCTCCTTGGGCCATCGATTTTGATTGGAAATTCATTGTTCCGGCATCTGTAACTAACCAGCAACATGCCTCCCAAGAAGGTCGACCTGAAGAAACAGGAAGCAGATAGACTTCAAGGTAATTTTTCGATGTTTGTTGGATTTTTTCTGCGTTTAGGCCATCTGAAAGAGGTTGAAGAACAAGGGGATTTTCTGGATAAAGAAAGAGGTATTTACAGTAAAAATAGGACGAACAGACCTCTTTATGCTAATAGAGTCATATTTTTGTGATTGTTTTGGGTGTGGGAGATTATTATGAGCAAAATTTCTGTTTATCTTCCTGCTCTTTTGCCATGGATAAGATAAGACTGGGCATGCGTACTTTTCTCATTAGTATCCCGTTTAGCAATGTTTTCTGGCTGATATAAGAATTAATCTCACTTTTTAAGCACTTTCTAATCTTCTTTTGGTTGAATCCCATCTAATATTTGACCTATGTTATCCATGGTAAACAACTCTAAAATAACTATGATTTCTTTAAGATTTATAGATATTATTGCTTTCAGAGATCCTCAAGGAGATGCTCAACGAAGAGGAGAACAAATATTGTGCGGATTGTGATGCCAAACAACCTCGATGGGCCAGTTGGAACTTGGGTGTCTTCTTGTGTATAAGATGCGCTGGTCTTCACCGGAACTTGGGTGTACACATCTCTAAAGTGAGTATTTTATAGTTTTCTCTTTTCTGGAAGTTTAGGTACGATTTCTGGGCTTCGAATATCAGATTTGGGCAGGCTTTGCACTTGATGTTGTACTTGACCCACGTCAATTCAATTTTTGATGAGGACCCCTGTTAAACGAATTATTTCCAGGTGAAATCGGTCTCACTGGACACCTGGCTTCCAGCTCAAGTCCAATCAATGCGGGTGATGGGAAATGCAAAGGCCAAAGCGGTGTATGAAGCTACTTTACCGGACAGTTATAGACGTCCTCAGAACGACCAAGCTCTAGAACACTTTATCAGAGCCAAGTACGAAGCGAAGAAGTACATTCTCAAGGGTTGGATTCCACCAAAAGTCGATGTAAACGACCTTCCGCCGCTTACGGAGCCAGGTAGGATCGATTATATTACTTTAGATGTAGTTGTGTAAAATATGGTCAGAAAAGTGGCTGAAATGCGAAGTATATGGGTTTTTTGCATGAAACATGATGCTTTCAGCCAAATCAGCGAAAAAGTTTGTCGCCATTGGGAATCTGGCCCAGCCAGCGGCCCAATCCAGCCAAGCTCCGCCCCCTAAACGGGAAGAAAGTTTGGTCGATTTGTTCGATACTGTAAGTTATTTTGGACTGTAATTGATGTGATTTGTAAATTTAGCCCGCCTCGACAGCTCCAGTCCAGTCAAACGACCTGTTTTCGCTGAATTCCCCGGCCAAAGTTCCGGAAACTCCGTCGGGCGGAGATCTGGACGACCTGTTTGGCCCAATTGTATCAGCACCGACTCAAAATGCACCTCAGCCGGATAGCAGTGGCCTGGCTGATGGCTTAGCAGGACTGAATTTTTCGACGCCGGCCACGGATGGGAAAAGTGAGAGTTTGAGGCAAAAAGTTGGGATTTTCAAGGGAAATCAGGGATTTGAAGGGATAAATGAGGGGGTTATGGTAAAATACGGGGTGACAAGTTAATGAGGTTTTTTGCTGAGTGAGGTTAGAGTAAGAGGGAACAGTTACAAAATGAAAATTTGGGGTTTTCTGACATGAAAAATAGTTCTATGGGGTATGGAGAGACAGGTCGAGATATACAATGACGGACCTGATCCAGTGGCAAAAAACGTACCATTTTGCATCCGGGAAGCATAAAAAATGTAGTAAAATACCTTCCTCTCCAACTGAAAAAACTCCGGTTTGAAGGCGCATTTGAAATTGGAGTTTTTTTCACTTGGACAAGGAGGTATTTTGCCACATTTTTTGGTACTTCCTCGATGGAAAATGGTACGTTTTCTTGCCGCTGGGTCAGGTCCGCCAATGTAGTTGAGGGGATGAAAAAGAAGTTTTGTGGTAAAATACGAATTAATTAGCTTTCGATTTTGTTTGTTGTGAGGATAGTGTAAGAGGAAGCAGTTATAAAATGAAAAAAATTGGGGCTTGTCGAAGAAAATTTTTGATTTTTGCAATTTAATATGATGTATAATATAACATTAGGTATGAAATGAATGCATATTGAAGGCTAGAGCAAGAGAGCGTCATATAACAACTGAATGAACATGAATTGCCTTCAGTTTCCCACTAAAATTTTCATTTTTCAGAGACCACCGACGATATCATGTCCCTGTTCAATAACCCTCCCCCGCCCAACAACCTCAACCAGTTCTACGCCCCACCACCTCAGCAGCCACCCGCAGCTCAATTCCCATCCGCATTTGGGCAAGCGCCGGCCCAGAATTTGCCTCAAAACAACTGGGCCGCGAATTGGTCCACCCCCGCCCAACCCCCGGTTCTGATCCCTTCCCAGCCTCCGGTTATGGCCGCCATGCCCCCACAAAACATTGGAAATCAGCCGCAGTTGGCTAACCCAGCGTTTGCAGGGTTTGCGGCACCAGTTCAGACGAAACCCGCCGACTCCAAAGCCTTTGAAGATCTGTTTAGTCAGGCTCAAATTCAGTTCCAAAAAACGGACTTTTCGGCTCCGAAACCGCAACAGCCGGTCGCCACTACAGCCCCATCAGCTCAAAATGACCTGGAATCACTTTTCATGTAAAGATTTATATTCGTTTTGGCCAATCCGGAGACTTCCGACCTTACTTTAGACGTTTTTGGTCGAATTTTTGAAAAAAAGTATGTTTAGCACCATCGAACACGAATTTTAACCCATGTCGAGTAATTTACAAAGTAATTTACGTCTTTTTATAAATGTATCATACGGTAACTTTGTCTTTTGATTGATTCTTGACATTATTTTAGACGATTTTAAGAAATTTTTTGATTACTTTTAAAATTTTTTTTTGGATTTTTAGGAAGGTAAAGAATATTGAGGTACAAAAATACCTATATTCAATAGTCTTGTCTAAATTTGTCTATGAAAACGAGCAAATTTTGTGATTTTTCCCCCGTTTTTTCATGAATTATATAATTTTTGATAATTCTACGTCGAAAAAGTTGAGTTTTCAAATGTTTCGCAGCTCATATCAGCTAGTTTTTGCTTTCCGCTGCAGCCAGCTCGGTGAAAGAGTCTTAACCCCGCTTTTATTTTTGTTACAGTAACTCGAAATTTTTGGATTTTTTGGTTTTTTTTTTGAGTAAAATTTACTTTTTATGGTTTTAAAAAGTAGAAAAAATAATTCTTGTTACCTTTTTTGGGGTTGTAATTGACTTTGTGGATTACTGTAACAAAAAAAATTCACTCAAAATCTTGTGAAAATCTTTCAAAAACCCCGAATTTTCCCCCGCACTTCTAAAGTGGGCGACCTGATCCAGTGGCAAAAAACGTACCATTTTGCATCCAGAAAGCATCAAAAATGTGGCAAAATGTTTCCATTTTCAAGTAAAAAAACTCCGTTTTGAAGTGCGCCTCACAAAAATAGCGGGCGCGCTTTTAAAATCGGAGTTTTTTTCACTTGAAGAAGGAAGCATTTTGCCACATTTTTGATACCTCCCGGATGCAAAATGGAACGTTTTTGCCACTGGATCAGTCCCCCACTCTAAAGCAATTATAAGTTATTCAAATTGGAAAAGATATTTTCTTTTTTCACTCTTCATATTGTACTTGTTTAATCCACATATTACACTTGCAGATTTATATTGTTTTAGTGTTTAAAAATAAAAAAAGTTGCAAAGAAAATGGATTTTTAACCGTACTTTGTAAGGACAAATGGTAAATTCCAGATGAAAATGAGATTTACTTTGAATTTGATGTTGTTTTGAGGCTGTTTTTATAGAAATGTTGTAAATTTTGAGATTTTTTGGGTTTTTGATGAACTTTTATATTATCCTTGATTTTGATAGGATATTTTGGGTAGATTCAGGTCTTAAATGATGTCTGTAAAAAGTTTTTAGACTTAAAGGGTCTTGTAAATTTTTTTGGAGGTCTTTTTTATATTATTTTAGACGTCAAAATTGAAAAAAATCGCAAATTTTTGACATTTTTAGCCATTTTTGATGATTTTTATACCAAAAAATCCCAATTATCCACGAATTCAGATATATCCTTTGACGTAGAGTGCTCTAAACAACTTTACGATTCTTTTATACCCTTAATCCAACTTGAAATCCCCCCAGATTTCACTAATATTTTCGACAAAAACAGGCCAAATCCTAATCCCAAATTTCCTGAATTTTCGATTAAGCTGCCCTTGGAAAGCGCTCGATTTGGTCGCTTCGGGAATCCTTCTAGGATCTTCCGAAAAGGGAAACCCTAAAACCTGCGGACGTAAGAGGCTCAGGCCATCCGTTGCCATGACATTGACATTGGCCATCCCTAAATTAGAGGCGAAAGTTTGGATGGAAGATGGCCGTATTTTGGGAAAATTATTTTTGGGATGATGAATGGAGCTAATTTGAAACGTTTAAGGGCTAGAAATAGGTTGTTGATCAGCGACGTTGACGCCAATATTGTAGTAGATGACTAAACAAAAAAGTTAATTTTTTATTAGAAGATGACCGTATTTTTGAAAATTGTTGTTTGCCAGTAATGAATAGTCCTCATTTGTGAATTTGAACTTCTTGCAAGTCAGATTTTTGAGCTATAAAGTACAGTTCAGAAGGCCGATATTGTAGTAGGTCACTTTGAAAAAGAAGTTTATTTTTGGATAGGAGAAGCCATATAAGTTCAGAAAAATTGTTTGTGGATCGTGAATGACCCTAATTTGACTGTTTGAAAGCATCTGCAATAGCTTGTTGCTCAACAAACTTGGTCTTTTGAGGTCGATATTGTAGTAGATAGCTGTCTCAAAAAGTGATATCAGCAAGTCATTACAAGCGTAGAAATTATTCAGATGTTCTCTAAAGTTCATATTGGGCCTATAGCATTACCATGGAGATGAATTTTGGACTGAAAATTTGCATATTTTCATGAACAATATAAGTGAAGTTTCAGAAGAAAGAATGGCCTTTAACTGCAAGATTTATAATTTTCGAAACGTTTTAGATCTTAAATATTTAATAAGAAATATTGCTGAGCGTTTTCGACCACCTGAGCAGCTTTGAAATTCAAATTTTTGAAATCCCGCCAACTTTTGGCATTCTGTTTCAACCTCTGAATTGGCTCTCAAACCCCTAGAAACAGTAAAAATAGCCCTAAAATAATGTTTACAATCCATAAAAAGCCAATTAATATTACTTCTAAGCATTTTTAAGATCAAAATTATATTATCCATGACAAATTCTGATGTTTTTTTGTCGAAAAAGTTGCAATAATTTTATTTCTTGCCCTATAATTTTATTTCTTCCACTCTACTCTCCTTTTCATGTTATTTCGAGGATATATTTCCGTTTCCCCACGTGAGACTCGCTTCGTTTCTCCCTCATTTTCCAATCTCTGCCCCCTTTTCGCGAAAATATTGCATATTCCCCGCGTAAATAACCGATTTTCACGGCGAAACGAGCTCCGAAACCTTTTCGAGAGTGCTGTTTACGTTTGACGAGGATTCGACTAGACGGACGGGGGAAATGAACCTTTAGTCTCGTGAAATTGGAATGAGAAAAATTTGCATAAAAATTAGAATAATCGTCAGTAATTGAAATATGATACAGGAAACGCAAATAGAACTCGTATGCATGAAATTTGAGGGTTTTTAGAGGAACAAAAATAGTGATTTGTTCATTTTTGCGAAAATTTCCTCAAAAAATCATGAAAAAGCATAGTAAAAAGTGTCATGATATCTTCTAAAATTGATTTTCTGGTGCCATGATGAATTGTAGGCTTTCTACTAACTGGAAGTCTTCGTATTTTACAGCAATTTGAACGTTTTTGATCTTTTTCTCAATTTGCACCTCTAAAATCATGTTTTTTGAAATTTTCATGGCCCAAAAGCTGATTTTATTTATGATGACTACATTAGAAATACCCTGAGGGGTTAGACACACTATTTTAATCCGTATTTTACCCAATTTTTCCTGTTCTTCCAATAGATTTTGCAGTTTTCCCTCAAAAAGTCATCATGGATAATGTTTTAATGTGGATTCAGCTAATTTAATGGCGTTTTTTAGGCTCTATCCCTTGCCAGGGTCGTATTTTACCCAAAACTGACCCGGTTTTATTACAAAGAATTGAAATTTTTCCCCCTAAAAGCATGGGTAATATCCGGATGTCCATTTGCTCTCCGAAATTCGCCCATTCATCTGTCTGCTGTGGGATTATAATGTGTTTGCGTGTTGAACTCAATCCTTTTTCGGGCGCATAAAACTCGGGTTACACTCTTCAGCGCACCTGTCCGCAAATCTGTTCCCAAACAAGTCGAGAGCGCACCAATTGAAGAGAGCGCCCAGAGAAAATCGAAAGGCACGAAGAGGGAAGAGAGAAAGAGACTTGTAGAAGAGACGCCAGAGAAAAGGCTGAAGTGAAAAAGCGCGCGAAAGGAAGAGAGCGCAAAAGGGCAAAGGATCGCTGGTGGAAGAAGAGAGAACCAGAGAAAAGGCGCGAAATAGTGCGCTTTTTGACGAGACGGCAGAGAAAACCCGGAGGTTTCCTTGCGGAAAATAGCGAATTCGTTGGATTTGAAGGGAAAATTAGTGAGAATAAGGAAGAAAGAGACGTCAGAAGTTAGCTGAAGATTGGTTTTAGCGGAAAATCTCAGTAACCGGCAATTTTAACGTCAAAAAGAGGAGTTTTACCTAAAATAAGGTCGGAAATTGAGATTTTTCAACTAAATCTGAACGAAAACCAGCAGATTTTGAGCTGAATAGAAAGAAAAAACCACAGAGAGAATTTTCGACGACAATTTGAGAGAGCGAAGCGAAGAAAGAGACGCCAGCCAGCGAAATCATGGCTTTCGACGAGCTCATTGAGGAAATGGGCGGAGCCTTCGCCCAGCCTCCCGCAGGGCAGGAAATGGAAAGCGAAGAGGAAGCGGAGAGCGTGGTCCTCGAACCCTGGTGGCTAATCGCGCGCCGCTACGGCCTCAACACCTACCATCCCAACTGGCAGGACCTCCTCAACGACCCCACCGTCCGCACCGCGCTCGCGTTGGTTGTCCTCACCGCCATCTCCTTGCCCCTCTTCAGCATGTTCGCCTATCGGTTTTGGCGCAGAAAACAGAATGAAAAAGGTAAGCGAACATTTTTTGGTTTTTGGAATTCTGCACTGTGCAATGAAAAATGGCGGAAATTTTTTGCACTGTGCAATCAAAAATGTCGCATCTTTTGTCGCGCGGCACAATCAAACAAGGGAAAGATTTTGTATCGCACAGTGCAGTTAAAAAAGTCGAAATTTTTGCACTGTGCAATTCAAAAAAGTCGCAACTTCTCTTGCACTGTGCAGTCAAAAAAGTCGCGAATTCTGCCGCACTGTGCAGTCAAAAAAAGTGAAACGTTTTCATTTGCACTGTGCAATCAAAAAAATCGAAGCTTCTATCGCACTGTGCAGTCAAAACTGTACAAAATTTCGCACCGTGCAGTCTAAAATGGCGAAAAAAATTTTGCACTGTGCATTCAAAAAATATAGAACTTCGCACAGTGCAATTGAAATTTATTTTTACGCTAAAACTTGACTTTTTTTACAAAAATCACGATTTGTGGAAGAAATTTACAGCAAAAAAACTAGTTCGTTTCCTCTAAATCAACAACAAAACTCATTGAAAACAGGTTTATGATGCAAAAAATACCTTGCACTTTGCAGTACACTATTTTAATCACGTCACCGATGTGACGATTTTAAAAAAAACTTTGTGATTGCACAGTGCAAGGGTGAAGAAATTTTTTTTGCACGGTGCGAAATATGGCTTTTGATTTTTTTGACTGCACAGTGCAAGAATTGCGACAAGATGATTTTTTGCGCTGTGCATAATGTGAGTTTTGGGCTGCACAGTGCAACAATTGCGACAAAATTTTTTCGAGTGCACAGTGCGGTTTTTCTGACAAAAAAAAATTTTGTGCACAGTGCAGATGGAGAGCCTGGTTGCAGCCGCACTGTGCAATTTTTCGGGTTTTCGATTGCACTGTGCATTCTGCGACAACATTTTTTCGACTGCACAGTGCGGTTTTTGAGGATTTTTTTTGCCGCACCGTGCAGATGAAGGAACAGTTTTTTTGACTGCACCGTGCAATTTTTTCGGGGTTTTTGACTGCACTGTGCTATTTTTTTTTTTTTTTTTTAAATACGTCATTGAAAAAATTTTTTTCAGCTGGCTACGTGACCGTTGACCGTTCCCAACCAGGTCATTTCAACACCGATCTTTTGAATTCCATCGCCGAACCCAAGGCGCAGAAAAAACCGCAGAAAAAGACGAAGGTAAATTTTTCAAAAATTTTTTTTTGAAATTTAAATTTGATTTTTTTTTTTTGAAATTACGGTAAGAATACGTTCGAAATGACCTATGAAGGAAAAAATATAGAATTTCGTGTGAGGTTTATGTGCCCACGTCAAAGGAAGTCGTGTTTAACCAGGTGTAAACAGAATTCCTTTGAAATTTTTGGTCGAAAGAAGCTAAAAAGCAGTTTAAAATTCGAAGTTACAAAAAAATTCTGACATTTTTAGCAAGAAAAAGCGAAAAAATGGCAAAAAATGTCGACTGCACTGTGCGAAAACCGAAGAATGCTTTTGCACCGTGCAGAAATCATAATTTTTATTTTTGCACTGTGCATTCGAATGAATTGCACTGTGCGAAACATTGAGTTCACGGCTTTTTCTTCGACTGCACTGTGCGAGAAAGAGGAAATTGAAAATGAGCGATCTGCACAGTGCAATTGACCTTTGCTTTTGGCATTCACTTCCTCCATTTTTTTGAAAAGAAAGTTGGCGCGTGATTTCGAAGTGGCTTGTCGCGACAGATTTATGCGACTTTGAACAGTGCAAATTTCGTTTTTCTTTTCATTTTGATTGCACTGTGCGGGCGAAATTTCGTTTGCACTGTGCAAAGTCCTAAACATTTGCCGCGACAACCCTCTTCGAAAGCACAATCAAAATTTCCGTTCAAAAAATGACAAGCATTGTGCAATGGAATCAAAAGCGATGTCGCGACATGTCGCTGACCCGTTGCACAGTGCAGTTTCTCTTGCTCGGTTTGAACTGCACTGTGCGGATGGGTTTTTTTTGTTTGCACTGTGCAATTGCATGAAAGGAGATGTCGCGATAAGTCGTTGGTGCGACAAGAATCCGATGTCGCGACAAGTCGCTGATCCTTTGCACAGTGCATTTTTTCTTCTTCAGCTTTGATTGCACTGTGCAAATTCTTTTTGTCTTTGCACTGTGCAATTGAATGAAAGGAGATGTCGCGACAAGTCGCTGATCCTTTGCACGGTGCGTTTTTTCTTCTTCAGCTTTGATTGCACTGTGCAGATTCTTTTTCTCTTTGCACTGTGCGGTGGAATCAAAACAGATGTCGCGACAAGTCGCTGGTCTTTTGCACAGTGCATTTTTTCTTCTTCAATTTTGATTGCACTGTGCAGATTTCTTTTCTCTTTGCACTGTGCAATTGAATGAAAGGAGATGTCGCGACAAGTCGCTGATCTTTTGCACAGTGCAATTTTTCTCTCTCGGTTTGAACTGCACTGTGCGAATGGGTTTTCTCTTTGCACTGTGCAATGGAATCAAAACAGATGTTGCGACAAGTCGCTGGTCTTTTGCACAGTGCAATTTTTTTCTCTCGGTTTGAACTGCACTGTGCAGATTTCTTTTCTCTTTGCACTGTGCAATGGAATCAAAACAGATGTCGCGACAAGTCGCTGGTCTTTTGCACAGTGCAGTTTCTCTTCCTCGGTTTTAACTGCACTGTGCAGCCAAATTTCGCACCGCCCATTCAATAATCCATTTATCTCGGCACTGCACGGTGCAATTCAATTCCCATTGCACAGTGCAATGGGCTCCTAATTTATGGGCCTTTCCGCCGCGGGCAGTGGATTTAAATTCGGCGCAAAACGCGAGCCCAATTGCGCGGAAATGCGTTTTCCTCGAAAAATAAACAATTATGGGGACAAAGAGCGGCCAGATCTTTGGCCTAATTGCATCGCCAGAAGGGAGATGATTGTTTATTTTACGATTTTTGGAATTTTAAAAATTTTGGGGGAAAAATCGGTTTTAAAAAAAGGGAAATTAAAGATGCACAGTGCAAAAAAATATTTTTTGAATTTTTAATTTTGCAAAAAAAAATAAAAAAAAATTTTTTTTGAAGAGAAAAGTCGATTGCACAGTGCAAAAAAAATATTTTAATTTTACAAAAAAAAAATAAAAAAAAATTTTGAAGAGAAAGTCGATTGCACAGTGCGAAAAAAAAATATTTTAATTTTGCAAGAAAATCAAAAAAAATTTTGTTTGAAGAGAAAAATCGATTGCACAGTGCAAAAAATATTTTAATTTTGCCAAAAAAATGAAGAAAAAAAAATTTTTTGATAAGGAAAGTCGATTGCACAGTGCAAAAAATATCTAAATTTTGCAAAAAAAAATCAAAAAATTTTTTTTGAAGAGAAAAGTCAATTGCACAGTGCAAAAAAATAGTTTAATTTTGCAAAAAAAATCAAAAAAAAATTGTTTTTTTTATTTTTTAAAAGTTTTTAAGAGTTGATTTGTACAGTACGAAAAAAATTTTCCCCGAAAAACTTTGAAAACACCTCAAAAATTCCCAAAAATTCTTCAAAAAATCTTGATTTCCCCTTTTCAGAAAGGCCATCAACAGATCCCATCGGACGAAGCAGACTGTGTCGACTCTGACGAAGACTCCTCACCCTCTTCAACCTGTGTTTCGTCGCCAGAAATTGCCCCGAAACTCACAAAATCCGAGGAGAAATACGCGATGAAGGGGAAATTTGTCGATTTCATCGACGGAAAAGAGATAAAATTCGAGGAAAAAGAGGAAAAAATCACGTTTGATGGGACCAGAATCAACAATCAGCTGGATTTCGGCGACTTGAAGGAGGAGGATGTGAAGAAATTGGTGGATATGCAATGGCATGGCAAGCTGGCCACCGCCAAACTACGGGCAAAAGCGAATAAATTGGAGGAAACGATGAGCGAGGAGGAGCGGAAAAATGTGAGTCTTTACCTCAAATGACCTTTGAGTCATCTATTTATCAAAAAATTTTCGATCTACAGTAATTGCGCGACATTTTATACGAAGAATTCGTTTTTTGAAAGAAAGACTAATTTTTCGTATAAAATGTCACTTTGAGAAAACGAAATTCGCTGGGATTATTTGTCATAGGGCTGTTAGTAATAATCAAATTTACTTTTAGACCTTTCGGTATTTCGGTGACATTTTATACGAAAAATTTTATTTTCAAAAATCTTCGTGTAAAATGTCACCCAAGCCGGAAAATAGTCAGAAAACCAAGCCTTTGCAAAATGCACAGCTTTTTGATCCCATCAATGTCTATTTTTCATTAGGTTAAAGGCGTATTATACGAAGAATTTTATTTTCAAAAATTTTCGTATAAGATGTCACACAAGCCGAAAAATAGTGAAAAAATCAAGTCTCTGCATAATGCACAGTTTTTTATATTTTTTTATCCCATCAATGTCTATTTTTCATTAGGTTAAAGACATTTTACACGAAAAATTTTATTTTAAAAAATTTTCGTATAAAATGTCACCCAAGCCGAAAAATAGCCAGAAAATCAAGCCTCTGTATAATGCACAGCTTTTTTTATCCTACCTATGTTTGCTTTTTCATTGCTTAGAGACATTTTATACGAAAAATTTTATTTAAAAAATTTTCGTATAAAATGTCACCCAAGTCGAAAAATAGTCAGAAAATCAAGCCTTTGTATAATGCACAGCTTTTTTATCCACCTTATGTTTGCTTTTCCATTACTTAGAGACATTTTATACGAAAAATTTTATTTTAAAAAATTTTCGTATAAAATGTCACCCAAGCCGAAAAATGGTCAGAAAATCAAGCCTCTGAAAAATGCACAGCTTTTTGATCCCATCAATGTTTATTCTTCATTAGATTAAGGACATTTTGTACGAAAAATTGACTTTTAAAAAATTTTCGTATAAAATGTCACCTAAATTTAACCGTAAAGCTTAGCGCGTGTCTTGCAGTATTTTACACGCTTTCCCTTTGATATTTCAAATTCCAACTTTATAATCCGATTTTATTAGGAAATTACAGCTAAAGTAATTTTCTAATTTTGCCAGCTAATCCAAATGTCCCATCATAATCGGCACGCAAGATTTGCGCTATAAAAATATCAAAGCCATGAATTTTTTATTCAGATTTTTTTTTGATTTTTTTCAAAGAAGTTTTTTTTCAGGAGCAGCGACTGAAAAACGAGCAATTGGAAAAAATATTTGCACTGATGCAGCAAGACAAAGAAAAGTTTGGCGTGAACGATAAGACCGAAATAATGGAGCAGATGAAGATGTATTCGCTGTAAATAATCTCATAATATTTGACGCAACTTGTATCATACGATAATATTTTTGCTTTTTGGTCTTACATTGGTCATGGTGCGGAGTGTACGGTAAATAAACAGTGTAAATACATGTAAATACAGAAACTTTTTTTAAAATTTTTAGTAAAAGGGGCTGATAAGCGCCCCGGCGATCGGGAGAGATGCCGTACTTCCCATAGAGCCAGTGTTAATGTATACTCAAGCTGTGAATTATTCCGACCAGGATGTTCAACAATATCGCAAGTTGTTAGTAAAATCTATAAGATCTGCTTGGAACAACGCAGCCAAGTCGCTAGCTAAAGCAGCAGCAAGCAAGAACGATATGATCGTTACACAAAAGAAACAGACATCGACATAGGTTGTATTGTCATGTTAAAACGTAGAGTAGTGTCACGGCTTCGCGTGCGAATTTGCATATTCCCACGGAATGACCGACAAATTGGTGTAAAAGGAAGAGAAATCGCCAATTATAGTATTATTTGTGTGTTTGTTTTTCCCGGTTGGATGTTGCAATAAATCGTATTTTCTATTTGTCTATTGATTGGTCTATGGTCAGCTCTTGTGAAGTTGGTTCCTCGAGTATTGTGAGTTCATTTGTGACGTTGTTTCATTAGTATTGTTAGTCGTTTGTCACAGTGCTTTGCATAGTATTATTTGGGCTTGGGATCAGAAATAGCAACTAGATTAGGGACCTTAATACACGCGCTCTCACTGAACTCGTGACAGTAGGTGCCGAAGGAGTAAATCCTAAACTACTTCCGAGATGGATAGGTCTCTTTAGAGTTATTGACATTGAAGATCCTCATTGTACGATAGTTAGTATGGACGATCCAAGGAGAAAACCCAAGATAGTCCATCTTAACCAGATACGGCGATACAAACCGCCAACGAGTCCCTTGTTTGCTCCTCATGCGCAAGAGGAGGTAGGCAACAATGAAGCCGACGGTGAGGAGATCAGCGGACTCCCAGGTCACGATCATAAAATCGCCGTCGATAAACGACAAAAGCAAGGGTTGATAAAAGATACCAACGATTACAGACGCAAACTCCGATCGCACTCGCCAGTTTATGCCAACTGAGCTGTGAGGAGTAGGCGCGCCGCGGAACAAATTTTGTCCTCTGTATAATTATAATTTTTCTGTTATAGAAAAGTTGGAACTTGCAGAAAGCCTCGAAAACCTCCTTATCGGAGGCGAAGAACAGGATCGTGTGGAAATCCCCGTCCTAGACCAAGGAATGTTGGCGGAATTTTTAAATGAGGAGGTGATGATTCTAGAAGTAGTCAACGAAGACGGTAGAGCAAATGAATTGCTACCAAATGGACAACCAGCCGAAGAGCCACCTGTCGATGTGATCCCAAACGCCGAGCCAGAATCCCCAAGAACGGGATTCTGGCTCGCTAAATCTACCCCAAGAACGACATGGCATCCCGATATCTTTCCCAAGAATGGTTGAGACCGTAGCAAATCCGCCCAGAAGAGTATCAAGAGTGGCAAACTGGAGCCACTACTACGGATCAAAGACAGGACGAGAAACTGTCCTGCAACATGGAATCAACGGTACTGTTATAATGCATCTTGTGGGTTTTTCTGTGCTTGAAATTAATAGTAGGAGAAACGTAAACGCATACTGGAAGCGTGGGTTTCCATTAGTGACCGCCGCGACTTACTAACGCGAGCAGTAATCATCGAAGCCCCAATAACTATTCCGGTTTTGGGAGCTATTAGAAGCATCTTTGGAAACCAAGTAAAAGTCTCGGACGGGACATCGGATTTCGACATACCGACCTGGCAAATCATGTCGGAAAGAGGCCAACCCCTACTTCTAGGGCAGCCATTAATTCTATACAGGACTGAACTGCCACACTTAAGACAGATAAAATCAGACTATGGGCCTTCAATCTATAGGGTATCGGCAGAATACAATGGGGTCTATAATATCACCCACGCTAGGGCAAGCCTAGACGCATATACTAGAAATCCCCCGGCCTTAGCTAAAAGTCGGGAGGAGTAAAAAGGACTGATAAGCGCGTCGGCGAAGAGCCGAGGGCGAAGAGAGTTGGGGAGAGAGGTCGCGACGATATAGCAGACCAGTCGGGGTTTTCTAGGTCTAACTTAAGACCTATTTATTAATATAATGAATTCTTGTAAACGTTGTTGAATATTGTCTGTAATATTGTAAGTAATTGTTATCTAATATTGTAGTTGTGATGATCAGGCCAATATATAATATATACATTGAGCTGCTAACGTCGGAATTAAATATATTATACCTGTCGAGTGACCAGGTTAGGCTGAACAGTCACTTTTCTACTCTGTCCATTTTTCACGAAGCCGTTTTTTTACAGAGAAAATCCAAATGGGTAGATAATTCCTCTCATCGCTCTTTTCGAAATTTTTCTGTTTCAAAAAGTTGCGCAGTTTTTCTGCGTTGTTTTTTCTGCCGTTTGATTAGTGCCAAATTTATGAGACATAAGCGTCATAAATCGTATAGACGCATAAGTGAGCGGGTCAGTTAGACCTGAAAGTATAGATGCTTGTTCGCCATTCTCCTACTCGGTTTTCATTTACCATAATCCTTGTTGAATTTGCGGCGATCCGGGATTGGAAACGGGGATTTCCGCTTACGACCGTAATTGCTGTAATCCGTGGATCTTCAAGAGTACCGTAAATATTCCGTGCAGGTAAGTCTTCTTAACACCATGATTTCTAACATCTATTTCAGTTGCAGACCGGCTAATATTAAAATGATTTTTTGTATTAATTAAAATTAATATACCGCTGATATAAAATTGCGTGCAGTAGGGCGATATCGCCTTTTCAACACGACACCAAAGAAAATTTGGCGTAAATTTTCAACCGAGACAAACACGTCTCCACTACGAGTGGGAACGCAGCACTGCCCTCTGCCTCTTCTGATGTGTGGGAAAGACCATTGGTATGTCCTAAAAAATTGACCATTTTTTGATTATGGTCGAATCAGATAAAAAAACCTTTCAGGTCACACAACGATCAGCAGAAAATTGTAATAGACCGGTGGCAGTCCAGCCAAATATCTTTGAGGAGACGTCTGTTCTTGCTTCCGCTACTGTCAACCTTGTGTTGACTTCACCCGAGAAATCTACGTCTCAAAAAGAGACCATGTCTCGGAAAGGCACCTCCAATATCTCCGAGGGGATGAAACCGTAATTTAGATGTCTGAACGAGCGTTGGTCTCGTGAACCAATTCGAAAAGGCTCTCCTCGGAAGTAGCTACCCCATCCGCCCAAACGCCTCTGAATCGCGCTCCAACCGCCGGACAAAGAAAAACCACCGTAAGAATCTTCTGGCTCTGCGCGTTAAGGTGTGTGTGCAACAAGCGCTCTCGACTGGTGGACACTCGACACAGGCTGGAGTGGCAACAGCGTAAAACATTCACATCGTCAAAACTTTACAAGTTGCCGTAAACTTCGCGCAACTAGAACGTTGTCGACGTAATGGTCGTAATTCAAGCGACAGCTCAGATGGCCGTGGCCATCGCAGATGCCCGGTCCATGACAAACGGAGCTTGCCGAGCCCGTTGTGCTCAGAACACCACCAATAGACTGTAACCTGCTGGCAAACATTCGAGTATCGTAAGAATCTTCAAGCTACCAAACCGCCCACACACCTCCCTTGGTGAAGAAATTAAGCCGTTCTATTCAACCATGTCCTACTCATACGTGGCTGAGGACTATGACCTCATCGAACAAGATCCTCAAATCCAGACAGTCGTAAGAATGCCTTCGTAGTCTCGTTAATGCTCAACTGGGAGTGATCAAAACCGACATCCAATACTTCTACGTAATTTTCTCAGCAGTGATGAAGACGGCTTTCGAATTGAAGGATTAATAAGACGTCCAAAAACAACAGTAGTCCAGCACCCACCATCTCCTACACCTACGTGGCTGAGAGGTACGAACTCATCGAGCAAGACCGCCAAGTCAAGACCGTTCTGGGTCTTCTGTCAGAGGTCCCCGGCCACTCGATATCTGTATCCTCCAAGGGACAGCGGAAACTGAAGCGCAAGCCACTTCAGTTCGTGATTCCGAATCCGGCCAAAACAATCACCATTCAAAACGGATTCGTAACCTCGGATATCCGGCTCACATCTGAAGTTGGAAGCCCGGCCAAAGTGGACCCACACATCTCACTCGACGAAGAAATCAAGCGGTTCTCCTCAACAGTGTCGTAATCGTACGTGGCTGAGAGATACGAACTCATCGTAAGAATGCCTTCGTAGTCTCGTTTACGATCAACTGGGAGTGATCAAAACCGACATCCAGTACTTCCACGTAATTTTCTCTGCAGCGACGAAGACGAATTTCGAGTTGAAAGATTACCGAGATGTCCAAAAAAACGTAGTCTAGCAGCTAAACAACGAGCGACAAATCAAAAGATGAGAAGGAATAATTGCCAGTCAACTGAACGATGATACAACATTGATTATAACAAGAAACTTTTCGACCGATACGGGAAGCTTATGTAATGCACATTAACTTTAGAAAGGAATTCAGTTGCTATTTATTATTTAGTCAGTGTTATCTACGATTCATTGTTTCTTTTATCAGTTATAATATAATAATAAAGTTATACAGGGTCTTTCAAGAAACGTGAAGGAAAGTCGGAGGTTATAACTTTCGGTGGAGGCGGCGCAGAGAGCTTTTTGGAATATGTATTTTTAAGCGACATTATTTTTTGTCTATGAAATAACAAGATTTTAAAATGAAAACTGAGGCGCGACGACCTTCTGAAGTAGGGGAATTTCTAACCCGAAAAGCAGTGTTTTCCGACAAAAAAGTAATTCCAAATTTCGCTTATGAAAATTTCGAAAAAATTGAAAATCTCGGGAAATTTGGATTTTATCAACCAATCTTCCTCCTGAATGAAAATGTCGCGGAATGAGCGTAAATTCGATTTCCAAGCAGATTTGGCGAAGTACCCCAAGTGCAACGCTCAGATTTTGATGAAACTTGGCACAAATTTAGAATAATTTTTTCTAAGATATATGCGAGAATCCTAGCTCGCGCTTCGCAGAAACAACCGAGATTTTTAGATCGAAAGTCGGCGAAAATTTAGGACTTTTTGCCGAATTTGGGCACGAAAAGTGTCATGCTTATTTCAACCGTAAAAAATAATGTTTCTATAAAAAATCAAAATTTTTCCGCACGAAAGTGCCAAAGTTATGGCCAAAAAGCGTTTTTCTTTCTGACCGCTCTCCACGTTAGGCGTCCTCTCTCCGCGGAAAAAATGGTTAAATCTCGGTGGCTCTTGCAAAGAACAAGCTAAAACTTTCAGGAATTGATATTTAAATGATGGCGTGTGTGCAAAATTTAAAGAAAACCTGAGTGTCGCACTTGGGGTACTTCCCGTGTCAATGCATGAGAAGATTGGGATATGCAAATTTCTTTCCCAGCATTTTTTGAAGCTTCAACTTTCTTTTTTCCCCATTTTTCATACCGAGTGTCACAGCGACTAGTCGCTTTCCCATGAAGCTCCCAATCCTCTTCTTCGCCGCAATTTTGGAGACTTTTGCTCAGTGGGATGAGAGCGCTGCCTATAAGAGTTTGCTGTTCGATTGCCCCGAGGCGGCCGAATACTTTCCCCCGGACGCAATACGTGGCCATATTTTTGGTATAACGCGGTTCGCGGTCCCGTATTTCCACAATTACACGTTCGACCTGGAAACACTGGAAATCGATGCGGCCAAGTAGGGAGTTGGTTTCGAGGTTCGGCATTACAGAGCTGAAAATCAACTAACAAAATTCTCGTGATTTCAGCGCTTCCAGGCCTGTGACACATATTTACAACTCCTGGGCATTCTTTGGGGATTTTCATCAGCCCGAGACGCCTCATCTAAACTCCTGGGTATTCAATGCGGAATTTCAACATTTTGGAATTCTGCGATATGTAGAAGAAGAACGGTAAGTATTACTCTGAGTGCAACACTCTGATTTTTATGAAATTTGGCACAAATTTGGAATAATCCTTTCGTATGCTGGACTGCCAGTCTGCGTTTTGCAGAAACGAGTCAGATCTTTTTTTCTTTTTTCTTTTTTTTTGAAAAAGCGGCATTTTTTGGAAAAGATGCAAAAACAAAAAAATAAAAAAAAATTTTTGAAAAAAAATTGAGAAAAAAACGAAAAAAAAGGAAATAAAGGAAAATAAAAAAAATAGGAAAAAGTTCCTTATTCTGGCCACAAAAATGTACTCTGCGAACTGCGCCCAAGCTTGGGAACTAAAGTTAAGAAAAAAGGCTTCTACCTAACTGGCACTGATTACTATAATAGCTCTGTAGTTTTAAGGGTACCTACGAAGGCGATAACGACCCATTTAGTTCTTTACGGAGGCAATAAGTTTAGTTCTGGACAGGTTTCATCGTATAAAGTGTAAAACCGCAGGCTGCAGCCGTTTTTGAAGGGTAAGGTGTTACGTAAAAAAAGGTACCTCACTAACTAAATCCACTTGTCCGGGGAGTTGACAACGATGAATTGAGGCCCAAATTTGGGCTAATTCTGACCAGTTTCCAGTTGACGAAAGTTGGTCATCTTTGAAGCTCTATAAAAACCGCTACAATAAACCAAACTACACGAAGCATGTATCAGTAGACAGCGTTTTCAACGCTCTTTCAGGCGATATTTACACATGCACCAAAGCTTTAATTCTACTTGTAAAAAAAGCACAACTAAAAAAACGGCACGGTCATACTTCTAACAGGGGAAATACTCCAAGTGCGACGCTCACAAGGGAAGTCGTTCAGATCGCAAATGAACTATGACATGAGACCTGTGTGGTTTTATGGTCACATACTCTACTATAACGAATATAAAGGCATTTTTGCGTCTGGGCCCAATCTACATAAAGGCACAAATCTACATAAAATTGGAAAAGCACAAAAAAAATTTTTTTTACGCATACTGTAGTGTACACAGTAGTCTTACCCTTTACATTGCAGGTGAAAGGAATCGAACCCAGCCCCCCGGCCCAAAAGAAGATTCGTTAGACGAGCGCTCTTTCCACTCGGCCAACTGGGCAGCTGTTTGGGTTTGCTTTCGGAGAGAGGACTTTTTCGGCGCTCTCTTCTTGCGAAACTTTATAGTCGATTTTCTCGGCCGCGGGGGCCCAGACGCAAAAATGCCTTTATATTCGATATAGTAGAGTATGTGACTATAAAACCACACAGGTCTCATGTCATAGTTCATTTGCGATCTGAACGACTTCCCTTGTCAGATTTTGATGAAACTTGGCACAAATTTAGAATAACTCTTTATAAGATTCATCCGAGAATCCTAGCTCGCGCTTTGCAGAAACAACCGAGATTTTTAGATCGAAAGTCAGCCAAAATTTTGGACTTTTTGCCGAATTTTGGCACGAAAATTTTCATGCCTACTTCTACTGTAAAGGATAATGTTTCTACAAAAAATCAAAATTTTCCGCACGAAACTGCCAAAGTTATGGCCAAAAAGCGCTTTTCTCGGAACTTTCACCCTTTCATTTTCAGCAAACCTTTTTATGACTTATGGTTCAACGGCTGGTACGGTCTGGCCTATGGTTATCTCTCCGGAATTGTCGACATTTTTCAACGAGTCTTTACGGAAGGAAAAAACCTGTTTTATTGGAGTCGGAACGGCTCGACGATTACACTTAACCGATTTCAAGTACCGGTTTATATACTCCCACCGTATGATGACATCAAAAACTACTTTTACATGCACGATCTGCGCGTTATGTATTATTTGAGGGGCGATGAGTGTCTGCTGGTGGCTAAAAATTTGGCAACGGTGAGAAATTGAGGAAACTTTTGGATATATTTGTTTTTTTTTTAATTTTTTTTGTGTTTTTTTGTATTTTTTTGTATTTTTTTGTGTTTTTTTGTATTTTTTTGTATTTTCTTGAAAAAATTTTTTTGGTAAAAGTTCCATTTTTTGTTTTTTTTTTAATTTTTTTGTATTGTTTTATATGTTTTGTATTTTTTTTTTATTTTCTTGCAAAATTTTTTTTGGTAAAAGTTCCGCTTTTTGTATTTTTATGTTCTTGCAATATTTTTTCTTATTTTTATTTTTATTCTTTTTTTTAAACTTTTTTTTATATTTTTTTAATTTCTTTCAGGCACCAAGTCCCCCATCTCCCGGCCCTCCAGAACTATGCTACAAACCACATGGAATTTATGCCAGAGCCAAGATAGGCGTAATTTATCCTCTTGTATGTTGGTTTTTACAATATTTCGCACTAACAAGGGGAGTACTCCAAGTGCGACGCTCAGATTTTGATGAAACTTGGCACAAATTTAGAATAAATTTTTCTAAGATATATGCGAGAATCCTAGCTCGTGCTTTGCAGAAACAACCGAGATTTTTAGATCGAAAGTCGACGAAAATTTAGGACTTTTTGTCGAATTTCGGCACGAAAAGTTTCGTGCCTATTTCTACCGTACAGGATAATGTTTCTACAAAAAATCAATTTTTCCCGCTCGAAACTGCGAAAGTTATGGCCAAAAAGCGTTTTTCTCTCTGACCGCTCTCCATGTTTAGCGTGCTCTCTCGGCGGCAAAAATCGTTCGATATCTCGGCGGCGCCCGCAAAGCGCGAGCTAAAACTTGCAGGATTTGATACTTAGTCCATACCCGACGTTTATGCAAAATTTAAAGAAAATCTGAGCGTCGCACTTGGAGTACTTCCCCTGTAAAATATAAGTAATTTTGACAATTTTAACAATCTTTTAGTCCAAGTTCGCATGGCTCGGACGACATTGCAGATCCCCGTTATGGGACGAATACGACGCACATGCCTATTATTTCATCCGTTTCGTTTATTCACCGCCGTCGGTAGGTGGAAATGATTTTTATTTTCGTTTATGCACAGTGCAACGCAAAGTTTGGGGTGCAAATTTCCAAGTTTTGAAAATTGGTTTTTGCACGGTGCAATAAAAATCGTTTTTTGAGAGCTTTTTTTTGCACTGTGCAGACGCGATGTTTTGATCGCCCAAATCGCGGAACTCTTTGATTGCACGGTGCGTAGAAAGGTTTGGAGATTTTTTGAACCGCACCGTGCAAAAATTTTTTTGTCAAAGTTTCCTGTTGACTGCACAGTGCAAAAAGCAAAGACAAAAAGTTTCGATCCGCACCGTGCAAACAGTTTTTTGGTTGCACTGTGCAGGCAACAAACAACTTGCTTTAAAATTTTTTGCTACAGTTGTGAGTTTTTTTCAGGGCACCAAAAGAACAACGACCACCACCACGACTACTACCATCACAACTACCACCACTACAACCACCACAGTATTTTTATTTTCTTTATTTTTTTTTACCTTCGACCCAAGATTTTTTGACTGCACAGTGCAGAAATAAACAGTTCAAATTTTTCTGACGTAAGTTTTATTTTCAGACCACCACAACAACAACAACGACCACCACCACGACTACCACTACGATGTCGACTACAGTACCCTCTACTGTAAGTTTATGGCGGGTTCAAAAGCTGACAGGACTTTTTTGTCCTTTGAACAGGTTTTTATTTGACTACACAGTGCAGTACCAGCTTTTTTGGAATGTCACCTAACCGAAATCGGCGACACGCACGGTGCGAAAAACAAAACTGCTCTTTGCACTGTGCGAAAACAAAAACTCTTCTTTGCACCGTGCAATTGGCTTTTTTGGGTTGTCGCACGCACCCTGACTTTTTTCGCCCGGTGCACGTCGAACTGAGGAGTCCGGTGACCGGAATAGACTCTTCGCTATCAGCTTTTTACACTTCGTCTATTTCGCAGAGAAAGAGAGAAAAAAGACACGCAAAAGCGAACTCTCTCGCCCCAAAAATTCCCCATTTCTTCCCCGACAAAACGTTTTTTCGCGTCTTTTTTTGGCAAATTAACAATCCACACCGGACTGTTTTAGCTTATCTCAGTTTGACGTGCGGTGCAAACGCCAAAAATCAGTCCAGCGACTCTCCGGAAGGACTAGTAAAAGAACAAAAAAAAAGACGTTTTCAATTTTTACTGTAGGTTTTATTTTCAGACAACCACAACAACAACGACAGCCACCACAACGACTACCACTTCAACGTCTACTACAGACCCCTCTACGGTAAGTTTATGGGCATTGCCCAAAACAGCAACAAGAAATTTTTGATTTTTAAATTTTGGACTCTGCGAAATTTGTGGCAGACCGCACTGTGGATTGAGAGAATTTTTTGACTGCACAGTGCAGTAGAAATAGAAAAAATTATAATTCCAAGGCTTATTTTTAGACAACTACAACAACAACAACAAGGACCAACATCACCACGACAGTCACTCCAACATCTGATACAGTAACCTCTAATGTGTTGTCCTCAAGAATTGTTCCCGGTACTAGAGAGTCGACTGAAAAGTAGGTTTTGTTGCAGTAGTCAAAAAAGCTTTTTATTATTATCCTTGTATCGCAAGATGCGGATTTTCGGCGAGAATTCTTTATTTTTGCTGCACGGTGCGAAATTAGTTTTGCATTTTTTGCACAGTGCAATTTTTTGTCAAGTTTTTTTATTGTGCGATACAGTAATTCTTTGGCTACCGGTACGGCCAAGTCCTCCAATCGAACGTCCACTCAACTACCCTCTTCTGTATCGCCAACAAGAATTGATCCCAATGCCAAGCCAAGTACAAGTAATATGTCTTTTGTCACCACAGACTTGCCTGCACAGTAGGTTATTTTACAGCAGGCCAAGAAGTTTTAAGCCATTTCGAGACATGATTATCTACTTTTAGCTTTGATACGTTGGTTCTGGTCCCCTATAACTCAGCTTTCTACATCAGTGTTGACTCGCTTCTCGCCTTGCTAGCCCTTCTTTTACTGAGTTCCCTCGCAGGTGTGTTGGTCTACAGAAGAAGGAGAGATAAGGTAAAGACATTACTTTTAGGTCCTAGAATGACGCTGCGTTTTTTAGAAAGAGAGAAACATGAATGCCTCAAATCAGCGTCCTTTTAAGTCGACGGAAACTTTGAAAAATGCAAGTGGTACTGTTGATGTGAAGACAAAGACGGAAACTGGCAAGTCGTTCAAGGTAAGCGACGAAACTGAAAATATTTGTGGCTGAATCAGAAAAATGTCTTTTGAAGCGTGCCTCGCGGAAAGGCATTTTATTTATATTTTTTTGCATTGTGAGGCAAAAATTTTTTGGCACGGTGCAGTTAGAATTAAACTATTTTTTGTAATGTGGTTTAAATATAAGCCTTCTTAGATTGCCATGAACACGGAAGACGAAAATTTAACCCTCAATAAAGCCAAAAATGGTAACAGCAACAAGGTAAGAATGGGGATTCACCACCGTGCATACCAAAAAATGATGACAGCACCGTGAAATGGGAAATTAATTTTTGGCATAGTGCAAGGTTTTTTGCTGTGAAAAAAGTGTTTCAATAAAATTTGTAAATTTTGTCTTTTCAGAAAGCGAAGAAAGGAAAGAAGGGAAAGAAGAGTCTTGACCGCTCTGTTGTGATCCATAAACCCACATCGCGCAAGTTTAAGAAATCGGATGGAAGCAAGAAGCTTCATTAGACGAGAAAACTGTCTGGGAGTGAATTTATCTACTATTGCAAAAATAAATCACAAAACGCTTTTTTTCAATATTTTATTTTCTCAATGCCCTGAAATTTTTTTCCGATTGAACAATGAGTACTAGGCGGGCCGAAAAGTCGGTCCTTAGGGTTTTCGGGAGGGGACTTTTCGGCTGATGAGTAAAAAAATTGAAAAATAAGATTTTACTAGTTGGAACACGAACCATTTCGATAAGATGAGAAAAGGATAACAAATGAAATAGCGTCTACGAGAGGTAGAGGGCAGCTAGGAGAGATCAACGGGGAGTAAAACCTGGATCGACGTAATAATAGCCAACTGGGATATAGCAAGTATATTTATCCAGCAAACGTCACAATAGCACACAATACAACAACAACGAGGATAGACTCGGGTAGTCGGAGGAAGACGAAGGAGTCGACCGTCCATCGAGCCGGAGATTCCAGTTGAATGAATGAGAGCCCCCGGTCGGAGTGAAGTTGAGCGGTCGGAACGGATTGTCACGTAGAGCGGTTGATCATGGGAAACTCGGGGAATCGGTCGGGAACTTGACGGACCATCGAGGTGCCGCTGCTCCTACTATGAGCTGTTTTACTAAGCTGCGTAAAATTTCCGATTGATCCGTCATTTCAGGTACAAAATTGTAAGGTTCTAGAGTTTATGTGCATCACACCTGCCTCCTCGTTTGTCATGCCTGCATTAATTTGTCAAACTTCCACTCCGCATGATTGATTCAAGCAAAGTTATGAAAATTACGCTTCGCAATATTAATGCAAAAAATTCCCGTCGTAGATGGGCCACGTCGTTCGCCTTATTTCAATACGTACAAAAGAAAAATAACTTTTGCCCAAATTACGCCTATTGGACAGCTGCAAGAATAGTGAAATGATCTAGATTATAAAGCAACATTGCATTCCGCCGTCGACGTCGTGTCATTCTCATTATATAGGCTTCCATATTTAGGAAATTTCGTAGGTATAATACATGAAACACTTTTCTAATGATGAATTCGCCCTGGTTGCTCCCAACGAGCGAAAACCATTGCGCTCTTCCAATATTACGTGGTCAATCGGTTGAATTTCGTGATAAGAGCGTTCTATCAACCCTCTTTTTTGTTCTAAAGTTGATGTGCATTACAGAAACATTTGCGTCGTGTACAAAGTTGGTGATCTCTTCGGCCACGGTTGTTGCTGGCCATCTTATTAATCTCCCAACCCGAAATGTGTCTTCGACACTACTGAGAACATTACGTCAATTAATTGCATGTCCATGTTTGTGAAGACAAGTTAACAGAATGGAGTTGTCCAAATTTTTTCCCATCTTAAAGTCCAATCCTTCAGTGATAATAACGAATAGGCATCTCTAGTCAACAAAATCTCTTGTTGCTGTGGGAAAAATCTGCAAAAGGATGATATTTTTGTGCTGGTACCACAGGAATCTAGAAAACTCAAACGAAAACCCTTACGCTGACTGTTACTTTAAAGCATACGATTGATCCGTCATTTCAGGTCCAAAATCTGAAGTTTATGTGCATTACATCTGCCCCCTTTTTACGATTGGTGGATCATGATTTTCAAGGTATTTTTGAGCATTGACGACCTGAAAAGAACATAAAATTTATTTTTCTATCAAAATGTGTTCTATAAAAACATATTAACATACCTGCATAATAATGCTTCACAAAACTGAAGGATCGTGCAGAAAGAGTGACCATCCATTGAAAGACGTCAAAAAGTTGGACTATTCGAGTGTGAGGTTGGGAAACGTGAAGATTCTTTTCTCGCAACGCATGTTTCGCATAATTCGCCTTCTTTTCTTCCTTGGAATACTTACACGGATTGATCTTTCAGGTACCAAATCGCATAGTCCTGGAGTTTATGTGCATTACATCTGCCTCCTTGTTCGCCTTCTTCTCTTCCTTCCATTGTTTACTGGCTTGGTGGATCTTGCAGGCAACATATCGTTTGTCATCCAGATCGTAGGCTCGCCATACTTCACTAAAATATGTATTATTTCTGGGATTAGTCATCATGGATAACATAAACTTCATGGTTTAAAAAATTTTATATTATACAAAGCAAGCAAATACCACAAGCCGTTACAAAAGCGAAAATTGTAATCCAAAACAAAAAACCTCGAAAAAAAATTAAATATATCTCACCTAAATCCGCCCTTGCCCAACAGTGACAGCAGCAGATACTTCTCGGAGAAGCACACATCGGTTTTTAATGGCGAACAGAACGGTCCAACTAAAGCAACCGCTCAGTTCTGCTTCTATAGACTTTATGACACTTATATATCGTAAATTAGGCACTAATCAAACGGCAGAAAAAAAACGCAGAAAAATTTGCGCGATTTTTTGAAACAGAAAATTTTTGAAAAAGAACTATGAAGGTAATTACATATTTGGATTTTCTCTGCAAAAAACATGACGTCATTACAGTATTTTTTACAAGGAAAGCGGAAGAGGGTGGGAAGACTGTTCATATCACGAAATTAAACCGACGCCCGCACAGTGTGAAAGCATGTAAGAATTTTTGGCCCGCCTAGTGCTCATTGTGACATCTGGAACCCACGATTATTGCATTGGCATTCCGTTTCATTCGAGGCTTCTCGGCTGTAAAAATACCAAATTTGTGAATTTTCTATCCAGATCCTTCACGCTTTCTTAGGGCACTCAGAAAAACAAGATCTCAAGAAAAAAAAAACATTTTTATCAAATTTATATTTACAACAGGATACATCTTCACTTCGGGCGAGCTTTTTTGTCTAGTGAAATTTTTGGCTTTCCGTTGTCTTGAACTCACTGGATGCGGTTTTTTGAATCGGAGCAGAACGGTCTTTCTTTCCCTTCTTTCCTTTCTCCGCTTTCTGAAAAGAAAAATGTTACATATTTTATTGAAACACTTTTTTTCGCAGCAAAAAACCTTGCACTGTGCCAAAAATTGATTTCCCATTGCAGTCATCATTTTTCGTTATGCATGGTGCAAAAATTAAAATTGTATGCACGGTGAATCTCCATTCTTACCTTGTTGCTGTTACCATTTTTGGCTTTATTGAGGGTTAAATTTTCGTCTTCCGTGTTCATGGCAATCTAAAAAGGCTCATATTTTAACCACATTACAAAAAATAGTTTAATTCTAATTGTACCGTGCCGAAAAATATTGTCTTCACAATGCACGTCAATCCAAAATAGAAGAAAAAATTTCCCGCCCCTTTTTGGTGATTCGTTCAAGACGAAATGTCACTATCCGATAAAAAGCATTTTCTTATCTTTCTTCTTCCTTTTAGAGAAAAAACAATTATTTCGGGCGAGAAAAAGTGCCGATAATTTCGCGACATTTCGTCTCACTTTTAAATCAATGAAAACGATACGAAGTTTCGAAACGGTTCAGGAAATGCGCTGGATTGACGTGCAATGCAAAAAAAAATAGATAAAATGAAAATGCCTTTCTGCAAACTTGCTCTGTACAAAAAATTAAGTTCCCATTGCACAGTACAGTCGTCATTTTTTGATCTGCACAGTGCAAAATAAAAAAAAAATCTTACCTTGTTGCTGTTACCATTTTCGTTCTTTTTGAGGGTTAAATTTTGGTCAATGGAAGTCGTGGCCATCTAAAAAAACTCGAATTTTTATCACATTTCAAAAAATATTTTAATTCTAACTAGACCATTTCAAAAATTTTTTACTGCACAGTGCAAATAAAAATAAAAAAAAAACTCCGTTTTGCTGTTAACGCTTCAAAAAACATTTTTCCCATTCAATCAGAAATATTTTCAGTTTCCTCCCTTACCTTGGACGACTTCTGATTCATCATGGAAGAGCGAGTTTCCGTCTTTGTCTTCACATCAACAGTACCACTTGCATTTTTCAAAGTTTCCGTCGACTTAAAAGGGCGCTGATTTTTCAAGTCTCTCTCTTTCTAAAAAACGCAGCGTCATTCTAGGACCAAAAACCAATTTCTTTACCTTATCTTGCCCTTCTCTGTAGACTAACGCACCTGAAACGGAAATCAGGAAGAGGAGGGCTAGCAAGACAAAAATCGAGCCAACACTGATGTAGACAGTGGAGTTTTTCGGTGGCATCACCAATTCTTCGAAGCTAAAAAAAAGTTAATCATATTTCGGAAAAAGTTCCTTATTTTGGCCACAAAAATGTACTCCGCGAACTGCGCCCAAGCTTGGGCACTAAAGTTCGGAAAAAACGCTTCGACCTAGCTGGCACTGAATTACTATAATAGCTCTACAGTTTTAAGGTTACCTACGAAGGCGATGCCGACTCATTTAGTTCTATACGGAGGCAATAAGTTTAGTTCCGGACAGTTTTCATCGTATAAAGTGTAAAATCACAGGCTGCAGCCGTTTTTGAAGGGTAAGATGGTACGTAAAAAAGAAGGTACCTCACTAACTAAATCCCCTGTCCGGGCATTGACAACGATGAATTGAGCGTGCACGTTAAATGTGGGCTAATTCCGCCAGTTTCCGCAAAGTTATAAGTTGTGGCCAAAATAAGGAACTTTTACCCATGTTTCAAAACGGCTTAAAACTTCTTGCCCTGCTGTAAAATAACCTACTGCGCAGGCAAGCCTGTGGTGACAAAAGACACATTACTTGTACTTGGCTTGGCATTGGGATCAATTCTTGTTGGCGATACAGAAGAGGGTAGTTGAGTGGACGTTCGATTGGAGAACTTGGTTGTGGCGGTAGCCAAAGGATTCCTGTATCGCATAATAAAAAAAAATTGGCAAAAATTGCACTATGCAAAAAATGCAAAACTAATTTCGCACCGTGCAACAAAAAAAAACAAATAATTTTCGCCAAAAATCCGCATCTTGCGGTACAAGGATAACATTAAAAAACTTTTTTGACTACTGTAACAAAACCTACTCCACAGTCGACTTTGCACTACTAGGAGCAATTCTTGAGGGCGATACAGTAAAGGTTACTGTAGTAGACGTTAGGGTGTTGTTGGTCGTGTTTGTTGTGGTGGTGTTCTGAAAATACAGAACTTAAAATGTATGTTTTTTTTGCATTTTAATTTTTTTCTATTACACTCGTTCTGCGACAAATTTCGTACAGTGCAAAATTTAAAAATCAAAAATTTCTTGTCGCTGTTTTGGACAATGCCCACAAACTTACGGTAGAGGGTGCTGTAGTAGACGTTGGAGTGGTAGTCGTTGTTGTGGTTGTCTGAAAATAAAACTTACAGTTAAGAGTAAAAATGTCTTTTTTCTTTTTTTACTGGTCCTTCCGGAAAGCCGCCGGATTGGTTTCTGACGTTTGGACTGTGCGAAAAAAGTCATGGTGCGAGCGACAGCCCAAAAAGCCAATTGCACAGTGCAAAAAGCAAAAATTGCACAGTGCAAAGAAAAGTTGTGTTCTTCGCACAGTGCGCGCCGCCGATTTTGGCCCGGCGACATTCCGGAAAGGCTGGTACTGCACTGCGCACTCAAAAAAAAAAAAAAAAAAAAAAAATCCTGTTCAAATGACAAAAAAAGTCCTGTCGGTTTTTTGAGCCCCGCCATAAACTTGCAGTAGAGGGTACTGTAGTTGACGTCGTGGTGGTGGTCGTTGTTGTTGTTGTTGTGGTTGTCTGAAAATAAAACGTAGCAAAATTTGAACTGTTTTTTCTGCACTGTGCAGTGAAAAAAATCCTGTGTCGCAGAGTAAAAAAATGAAAAAAGCATACTGTGGTAGTCATGGTCGTGGTCATGTTCGGTGGGGGAAAATTTTCAATTGAAAAGTAAAAAAATAAACAAAAAACATACTGTGAAAGTTGTAGTTGTAGTGGTAGTGGTGGTCGTAGTGGTGGTCGTTGTTCTTTTGGTGCCCTGAAAAAAAGCTTACAATTGCAGCAAAAAATTTTAATGCCAGCTTTTTGTTGCCTGCACAGTGCAACCAAAAAACTGTTTGCACGGTGCGGCTCGAAACTTTTCGTCTTTGCTTTTTGCACTGCGCAGTCAACAGGAAACTTTGACAAAAAAATTTTTGCACGGTGCGGTTCAAAAAATCTCCAGGCCTTTCTACGCACCGTGCAATCAAAGAGTTCCACAATTTGGGCGATCAAAACATCGCGTCTGCACAGTGCAAAAAAATGCTCAAAAAACGATTTTTATTGCACTGTGCAAAAACAAATTTTCAAAGACTTGGAAATTTGCGCGCCTAACTTCTCGTTACACCATGCATAAAAGAAAATAAAAATCATTTCCACCCACCGACGGCGGTGAGTAGACAAAACGGATGTAAAAGTAGGCATGTGCGTCGTAATTTTGCCACAGCGGTGATCTGCATTTCCTTCCGAGCCATGCGAACTTGGACTAAAAGATTGTTAAAATTCTCAAAATTATTTAAATTTTAGTGTAAAATATTGTAAAAACAAATTTACAAGAGGATAAATGACGTCTATCTTGGCTCTGGCATAAATTCCATGTGGTTTGTCGCATTTTCCTTGGGGCCCATGAAGCGGACTTTTTATCTGAAAAAATAAAAAAAATGAATAAAAAAGTTGTTTTCGTAATAAAAAATTATTGCAAGAAAATAAAAAAAAATACAAAAAAACAAAAAAAGTAAAAAAAAATGAAAAAAATAAAAAAATAATAAAAAAATAAAAAAAAATAAAAAAAATAAAGTCCAAATATATAAAAAATATAAAAAAAAAATAAAAAATATACAAAAATTTCTTCAATTTCCTCACCGTTTCCAAATGCTCAGCCGCCAGCAGACACTCATCGCCCTTCAAATAGTACAGAACGCCCACATCCTGCATGTAGAAGTAGTTTTTGATGTCGTCGTAAAATGGAATCAAATAAACCTTTTCTATGTCGGAATCACGTATCCAGCGTCGCCTAAGGAACCGTGGAGTTAATTCGTAATGAACCCAATAAAACACAAAGTCTCTGACCATGAAGACTCTTTGAAGAAAGTCTTCGTATCCCATATGAATTTCGATTTCTTCAGACGTGTTCAGCCACTGGATTGCTTTACGCTGCGTGCTGCAAAACGCAAATTAGCAGTCTGTACGTTTTAGGAAAGCCTATTCTAAACTTGTCCCAAGTTTCATCAAATTCTGAGTGTTGCACTTGGAGTAAAATGCAATAAAAAAAAGAAAGGAAATTTTTCCTTAATACTTACCCGTGATAGTTGCGCAAAAGTCCAATTTGTTGAAAATCCGTAGCGAAGAATGCCCAAAGATCATTCTGATACCTTGTGGGGACAAATTTAGAGTCGCGCTGAGGACGCAAAGGAAGAGGTGCGCTGAAATCGCCGTCAAATTTCATGCCGAATTTCAGAAACAAGTCCTCACCTCGCTGCATCGATTTGCTCTGTTTCTAGGTCGAACGTGTAATTGTGGAGATACGGAACCTCGGCGTGTACGAATCCAAAAATAAAGCCACGTGTTGCGTTCTGGGGAAAGTATTCGGCCGCCTCAGGACAATCGAACAGCAAATTTTTAAAGGTGCTCTCATTCAACTGAGCCAAACTCTCCGAAATTGCGGCGAAGACGAGAATTGGGAGCTTCATTGGAAAGCGACTGGTCGGTTCGACACTTGGTAAGAAAAGTGGGGGAAAAAGGAAAGTTGAAGCTTCAAAAAATACTGGGAAAGAAATTTGCTTAAATTTTGGGGTACCCCATTTGGGCGCCCCAATCTTCCCATACATTTAGTGAGAAATTTGCATGAAAATCGAATTTTCGCTCATTCGGAGGCATTTTAATTCAGGAGAAAGGTTGGTTGATCGCTCTCCGAGACATCTGAAAATCAATTTTTTTTCGAAATTTGCATAATCGAAATAATTTGGAATAGTGGGAATTTCGAATTTTGAGTGTGCCAATTATAATATTTCCCGACAGAAAAATCAACCAATATTTTCCAACCCTTTTCTGTTTTTTATTCTGTAATGACGTCATATTCTTGCAGAGAAAAGCCAAATATATAATTACTTTCATCGTTCTTTTTCAAAATTTTTCTGTTTCAAAAAATTGCGCAAATTTTTCTGCGTTTTTTTCTGCCGTGTGATTAGTGCCTAATTTACGAAATATAAGCGTCACAAATTCTATAGAAACAGAAGTGAGCGGTTGCTTTAGTTGGACCGTTCTGTTCGCCGTTAAAAAACTATGTGTGCTTCTCCGAGAAGTATCTGCTGCTGTCATTGTTGGGCAAGGGCGGATTTAGGTGAGCTATATTTTCTTTTTTTCGAGGTTTTTTGTTTTAGATTACAAGGTTCGCTTTTGTAACGGCTTGTGGTATTTGCTTGCTTTGTAATATAAATTTTTTCTAAGCCATTAAGTTTATATTTTCCATGACGACTAATTCCAAAAATAATTCATGTTTTAGTGAGGTGTGACGAGCCTACGACCAGGAGGCAGATGTAATGCACATAGGCTCCAGAACTGTACGATTTGGCACCTGGAATGAAACATTAATCGTATGGTGGAAGTATTCCAAGGAAGAAAAGAAGGCGAATTATGCGAAACATGCGTTGCGAGAAAAGAATCTTCACATTTCCCAACCTCACACTCGAATCGTCCAACTTTTTGACGTCTTTCAATGGATGGTCGCTCTTTCTGCACTATCCTTGCGTTTTGTGGAGCATCATTATGCAGGTATGTTAATATCTTTTTTTATACCACATATTTTGATAGAAAAATTATTTTAATGTTCTTTTCAGGCCGTCAATGCTCAAAATACCTAGCTTCTCATGATCCACCGATCGTAAAAAGGAGGCAGATGTAATGCACATAAACTCCAGAACTATCCGATTTGGTACCTGAAATGAAAGATCAATCGTATGCTGTAAATATTCCAAGAAAAGAATGGCGAGAAAAGAATCTTCACATTTCCCACCCTCACGCTCGAATCGCCCAACTTTTTGACGTCTTTCAATGGATGGTCGCTCTTTCTGCACGATCCTTGAGTTTTGTGGAGCATCATTATGCAGGTATGTTAATATGTTTTTATAGAACACATTTTGATAGAAAAATAATTTTTATGTTCTTTTCAGGTCGTCAATGCTCAAAAATACCTTGAAAATCATGATCCACCGATCGTAAAAAGGAGGCAGATGTAATGCACATAAACTTCAGATTTTGGACCTGAAATGACGGATCAATCGTATGCTTTAAATTAACAGTCAGCGTAAGGGTTTTTGTTTGAGTCTTGTTTAGATTCCTGCGGTAACCAGCACAAAAAAATCAACCTTTTGCAGATTCTGCCTACAGTAACAAGAAATTGCGTTGACTAGAGATGCCTATTCGTAATTGCCACAGGATTGGATTTCAAAATGGGAGAAAATTTGGACAACTCCATTCTGTTAACTTGTCTTCACAAAAATGGACATACAGTACACAGACGTAATGCTCTCAGCAGCGTCGAAGACAAATTTCAAGTTGAGAGGTTAACAAGATGTCCAACAACAACCGTGACCGAAGAGATCACCAACTTTTTACACGACGAAAATGTTGCTGTATTGCACATCAACTTTAGAACAAAAAAGAGGGCGGGAAGAACGCTCATATCACCAAATTAAATCGGTGGACCACGTAGTATTGGAAGAGCGCAATGGTTTTGGCTCGTTGTGAGCAACCAGGACGAATTTATCATTAGCAGAAAAGTGTTTCATGTACCCACGAGATTTCCTAAATATGGAAGCCTATATAATGAGAATGACACGACGTCGACGGCGGAATGCAATGTTGCTTTATAACCCAGATCATTTCACTATTCTTGCAGCTGTCCAATTGGCGTAATCTGGACAAAAGTTATGTTGCCTTTGTACGTATTGAAATAAGGCGAACGACGTGGCCCATCTACGACGGGAAAATTAAGAACAAAAGATTGGTAAACTTTATCATTATTTTTTGAATCCATTTCAGATACAGGCCCAAGAGGTTACCGACTTTCACACGGCGCAAATCTCGGTGCTTATGTAATACACATCAACTACAGAACAAAGCTATGTACAAAAGAATAATTAATTCTAAGGTTTGGTCATCCTTAGATGTAGAGACGTGTGAAGTCGAAGACAATTTCCGGACAAACCCGCAAATGGAACCGCTCTGCAGTCGTGTCGACGCGGATAACAGATGCATATTGGAAGGCGTTGCTCGAGTGTTAGAGATCAGTCCACTCTGAAGGTTGCGAAATGTGGAAGCCCAAAAAATTTTTGCTAATGCCCATCCGCTGCAGAAACTTTTTCCAACCAAACAGCACATACTATTTTTTGCAGAACAATTGCGAAATAAACAATGATTCATTCTTCTTCAGACGACCCATACTCTACATTACGAAACCATCTGTAGAACTTTGTGCTGTATTTTGCACCTTTCGTCCACTACGAAATACCTAATTGAGTTTCCAAGGAGAACTCCATGGTGACGCGTACAAATATAAGGACCCGAAGACGGAATCAACGACACTTTCCCAAGCTTGCCTTTCTTTCGCTTTTTCCGGGTCACAGTTGTTTTCTCTTGTTGACAATTTGTTGTTTTAGCGCTTGTGAACTATGAGTGACGACCAGGAATATGTTGCCGATGTGAGGAAAGCCGACGAGGATAGTATTCCGCCAGAGGAGCCGGTAAGTTTGACATTTTGTCAGCAACAGCGATGTTAACTAGGCGTGAGGGAAAAAAGAGTATTGAAATTGTTTATTCGGCGCCGAAATTCATGAACTACTATACGCATAACATCCCAACGCAGTTGTCAATCGGCATAAGATTTGCCGAGATTGAGAATCCACGCTATTATCGTTTTTTTTGTGGCAAGAGAAGCCAATGTAGGTGTTGAGGGTGCCCAAAAAGATACCACTTAAGCTGCGCTGGTTACTATTAGTATTTTAATGAAGTGCATGGACATTTTGTCGCGTTACATACAATTGCTTTGCAGGAGCGAAACATGAAAAACTACGACGACATTCCGGTGGGTCCTGCTCAAGGCTACGTTGAAGAGGACAAGCTCGACAAAACCCAGCCAGTTGAATACGAAGAGAAAGACTAACTATATAATAACATCACATCTCACAGTTCTCGAAATTCTATTTCTATCATATTGATCTGATCTTATGCACTAACTTATTTCTGCTATTTCCTTTCGCCAATTTTTAAAAATAGAATAAAATTTACTTTACTGTGTCTTGGTTTTTGCAAGCTGACTGTAGGAGGAGACCCACATGTTATTTGCAGAGGGAAAAACAACACCCGCACTGAAAGAAGTAACCCAAGCTTTTGTAATCTTGTTTCGTTAGTTGATCGAGATTTATGGTAGCATGAGATTGGGCGAAGAGCAAGCATTTTGACACAAGGCTTACATGGAAGGGTGTCGAAATTTTAACGAAATCCTGTTTAAAAATCACTTCAGAAAGCCAGACATCAATAAAACCACCTCGAAGGCCATAGTCACGTATTATATAACAAACTCAAAAATATCGAAGTATATAGTAGGTCGGCTCAGGCGGCGGACTTCTGGTTCTGATTGGTATTTCCGCCGCGGCGGAATGCCATTATGGCCTTCGTCAGCTTCACAACGACTCTCCGGATGTTTTAAGTCGGAACCATAGCGCGCGACAGCGGTAATGAGGCAAGTTTCCCGCTTCACGATGCAAAATGGAGGCTTTTTGTGCACTAGCGCGACGAAATATCCATGCACTTTATGAAAATATGAATAGTCTTGTGCTGATCTCACATACGTCATCGCATGTAAATTCGCTAGTTCACAAAATTGTAAACAGCAATAAAGCATTCAAACCCCGAAAAAGATCGACAACGACCTTTATGTCCGTCCGATCTCCGACATAATCTTGCAGTCAGAGTTCATCGCTGCATAATTAAGCGCCAAACTTCACAGGTCCACGGATGACTCAGAATACGTTGCGAGTTCATCCGGAGGTTAAGCTGAGAAGGCAACAGGAATCTGAGAGGCGGTCCCTTTTTTGGTGATATTTATTGAAATCGATGTGATTCCGAGCAGGATTCCATTCACATGAAGCGAGTCCGCTTTTGTGCGAGCAAAAATGAAATCCTTCACTTTTTTGGTGTTGATGACAGCGATTAGTCTGGGTAAGAACATCATTCGCCTTCTTTAGCTGGTTTATTGAACATCTACGGTAGGACGAATCTACCGGGAAAATAATGTGGATTTGTCGCAGCGAAGTGTCCCAGCAGTGATATAATAGCAAATTATCAAATATTTTTTACACACATCTAGAATGTCACACTAATTTGGAGATTTCGCAATCGCGATTAAGAAGTCTATGGATGCCTTTATATCTTTGATTCGAGTTCAGCCGTTCAGTCAGGCAGCTGATTCTCTGCCAGTTCCTTACAGCACACAAAAAACACCATTGCAGTTTGCTAAGACTGATTTTTGATAGCTTGTTTTCAGCTCTAATTACCGCTCAGCCCGTCAAAAGAGAAGGTCCACCGGAAGGTGATGAAGTCATCGCTGATGACAAATACTTTATTCGAGATTACTTGAAATACATCCACAGCAAGCTCTTCTACGACGATGATCCGTCGAGATTTCTGCAGAACCTTTTCAAATGACTGTTTGTTTACTCGGTAGTAGTGTTGTTATACTATCAACTAGTTCTTGACCTCAGGATATTATCTATTTATAGATACTTTGTTGTTATTTGTATATATTTACACATATATGTATGTATATGTAAAAAACGTGATTTTAAAGAAAGCGATTAAACTTTTTACAATAAAATGATTACTTTACTGGTTAGTTTTGGCCTTCTTCTTGTCCTCGTTTGCTTTCCGCTGCAGCTGAAGACACGTTTCTCGGCGCACACACTCGCCTTTGGGGTTCTTGGAGGAGAGCAACACAAATCCGTGTTTACATTCACATTTCGGCTCACCGCAATGCAACGAAACACAGGGGGAGACCTAAACGGATTATGATGAAAGCATTATGATAGGAGTTATAGAGAAGGATTTGGAAATGCCATCAGAGGCTAATGTCAAAGATTACTATAATCTGAATATATATAACAAACTGCGCTCTTCTTGCGAGAGAGCACGAGGAATGATGAGAGTCGGAAAAACGGCGATTTACCGGCAAGATATTATATTCAAAATTTTCTTTTTTTTGAGAGAGAGAGGACGTAGAATGAGGAGAGTCTTAACAACAAAAAGTTTTCGGGTATAACTTTTTATTTTTGATCAGGAAAAATTTGATTTTTCGTAGAAACCAGTACGCTTTGTCAACCCATTTTTGTATTCTTGCCAAGAAAGTACATGAAAAATGCTTCAAATATAATGGTTTTCTGGCTATGTTGTCAGGGTGTCCCATAAAGTTTTCACACCAAATTTCAAGGTTCTAGGCCCAGCGAAGACCAATATTCTGGGTGAAAAGAAAATTTTGTGCGCCAGTAAAACAGTCCTACCATTAATCATATTCAAAATACTGAGCCATTTTTGCGAATTGTTTGCTAAAATTCTGGCATACATCTTCGAAAATTGTCGTCAAAAAATTTGCCAACTATCAAAAAAACAGCAACTTTTTCAAAGCTCCAAAAAATCTCAAATTTCAATAAAATTCCAAAATCAATTTTTTCCCACCTGCAAAATATTATCGCATCCTTTCGGTGGGCAGTCAGTCGTGCATTCATGGAAATATTGATTTTTCGGACACCGCTTATCCTGCGGGCCATCCGGCGCCCCATAATCCGGCTTCTTTGTCGTTCTACAGAATAATCCACTCAAAGAAACGAGAAAAATTGTTAAAATCAGCCGTTTATTCATCGTAAAAATAGGTGAATGGTGTTCGCTGAGGATGCATAATAAACAGTGGAGTCTGTTTATTTTTTGTTATTTGAAAGCGTTCGGATATTTTGATTAGGCTGGAAGTAAAATGGAAGAAAAATAAAATTTGAGGGGATTAGTCATCAAAAAAAAATTTTGCGCAAAAATAGGGAAACTGTTGGCGTGGAGCGAACGGAAATGCATGGGAGCTAGCTCAAATTTAGACTATAATTTCCTCAAACATAAGTGAGATTCTATTTTTCCTAGTTCCCTCCTTTGCGCTTTGCAGAAATGTCCGAGAAGCTCACAATAGCCCAAGGTCAAGGAAACTAAGGTTGGAAATAACCAAAGCGAGAAAAAAATAGTCGCATTGTACATAAGTCGTCGCCAAGGCTCCTCCGAGCAATCGCCCAGCATCCAAAGGGTTTGCTATGCCTGGTAGGCACCTCCAGCCATAAAAAGTTCTCCGGCTCCGAATCCCGGCTCCTATGCAATAGATTGTTTAAGATACGTTTCCAAAATTAAAAATTATGTGTGCCAGAGATCATACAGTCAACGTTTTTGCAGCCAAGTCGTACGCAACACATCCTCCCCAGTATTGTTCAAGCAATTTGGTTAAACAAGATCACGAAATTTTTAGTTTTCTGAACGCTGAAAAGCCTGGCTCCGACTTTGGGCTCGGGAGCCGGAGCCACACCCAAAATTACCGGCTCCGGCTCTGGCTCCCGGCTCGGAGCCGCTCAGAGCCGGAACCAAGAGCCGGCTCCGGAGCCGTGGCAATCCCTGAGTCTCCTCCTGCATCTATCCATCGATTTGACTTCGCCAATGTCGCCGACCCAAAATTCCCGAACACGCACTTGTCTGGTGTACTAGAATAAAGTGCGTAGAATTTTCGTCGCGAAGCTTTTCGCTCTCTGTGGTTCACTTTTTCACTGTGTCATTCCAAAATCGTCACCATATAGGCTTTTTTAACTGCTCAACTACATAATCATTGAACTCCCGTTTTACGAACTCGTTCTCTGAAACTGTCATCAGATATGATGAAATTTTAATTTATTAGGAATCACAAATCTTTGTAAATTTTAATCCCCTTGCAGCAGATATGTAAATAAAAAGGGATTATTTCGGTGGGAAGCCGATTGTTCCTAATTCTTTTTTTTCCTGTAGAGCGATGCTTTTAAACAGTGCTTCCGGATATGGTTTGCATGTGCAACATCAATGAGCAGAAAAATTGAATTTTACACAGGTTTGACTGGAATCGCAATATCAATGATTCAAAAATTTTGTGTCGAAAAAATAAGTGAATTGCTCGAGGGCAAATGCTTATATTTTCAGGAAAAAAATTTTTTTTTTGGTTAAATCTTTTTCAACGTTGCTTCGAAAAAAATAATAATTTTTAAAAATCCGAAAAAAAAATTTGGGATTTTTTGAATTTTCGAGCTAAAAATCTTGGTGATTACTGCAAATCATGACGTAAAATTTTATGAAATTACATAGAAATCTGTGTTCTAAATTTTCTACAAGTTTCATCGAATTCTGAAAAGAAAATTTTTTGGGATTTTTTGAATTTTCAAGCTTAAAATCTCGGTGATTACTGCAAATCATGATGTAAAATTTTCTGATATTGCTTAAAAAATTGTGTTCTATAATTTGTGTAAGTTTCATCGTATTTTGCAAAAAAAAAATTTTTTTGCATTTTGAAAAAAAATTTTTCTATCAAATATATAAATATTTGGCCATAAATTTGTTCTCCTAATCTCTTCCAAAGCAATCCACTGACAATAAACACTATAAAGTTTCATTGCGCAGACACCCTTCATTTCTCCCATTTTCTTTCTCTCCGCTTTTTTTGTGGACCGGATTATCTTCGTTTTTTCTCCCATCGAAAGCTGTCGTTATAAAGGGAAAACGAAATAAATCCGGGTTCGAAACAACGCCGACTGGAAAGGGAAGGCCAAGGACAAAAGGAGAAGGGTGTTCTTGGACGTGGGAATCGAAAAATTGGAAAATGAAAAAAATTTTTTTTTTTTTGAAAAACGAGATTTTTTGGTTTTTTATCGCAAAAAATTGGACACAGCTGTCAAATACGGAAAAAACACAGTGCAAAAAAGGCCTGTTTCAATTTTATTTTTTCAAATTTTCATTATTTTTTCGATTTGTTGGCGATTTCCAGAAAATGCGTCATCCTTCTCCCATAACACAAAAAATAATCGTCCAAAATGGATCATAATTTTTTAGCAGCCTCTTCAAGCAACTATAGAAACACGGTCATTTTCATTTTTCTTAAAAATGCGTCATTAAAAGTGTCATCATGACGGATTTTCTGGAATTTTTGAAAAAAATGACTGGTTTTTGACCGTAACTTTGAAAATACAGTAATCCAATAATGAAAAATTAAAATTTCAACTCTTTTCAAGTGGAATTGAAAAAAAAATTTAGATTTTTTGAAAATTCTTGGGAATTTGTGCTTATTTCCATAAAATGCGTCATCCTTTTCACATAACATGGAAATTAATTGCCCAAAATAAAACACAATTTTTTATCAGCCTCTTCAAGCGACTATAGAAACATGACAATTAGCATTTTTCCAAACAATGCGTCACTAAAGGTGTCATCATGACGGATTTTCTGGAATTTTCGAGGAAATGACTGATTTTTGACCGTAACTTGGAAAGAAGTGTTATCGGATGATGAAAAATTAAAATTTCAATCCTTTTCAAGTGGAAATAAAAACTTTTTTTGCGATTTTTTTAAAAATTTTGAGATTTTTTCCAATTTTTCGGCTTTTTTTCACATTTTCCAAATTTTTTTCGCAACAAGTCGAATGCTAATCCCGCCAGCTCCTCACCAAAGCTGACGGGATCCCCCGATAACCATAGCCAGATGCATTTTGCGCAATAAAACCGAGAGCCCAATCTTTTTCCGCGGGCTTATATAAGAAAAGGCAGACGAAAAGAAGGGGGGAGAGCAGTTCTCGGGGAGCGAAAAAACGCAGAGCAATGATAGATTGCGACTGATGCTGATCTTTTGTTTCCGAGGACGCACCTCCGATTCACGTTTGGGGTCATTTTTAAGCAATCGAAATTTTATGCAAATTTGTTGAAAAAATTGCGAATTTATGCAAATGAGGCGTTAAAAATGATTTGATATGAAAGAAAAATGTTTCTGGAATTTATTTTTAATCGTTTTATATTGGAGACACAAGTTTTCGAGTGAAAAAAGTTGATTTTTGAACATCTGATATCAAGTGTAATATAAAAAGTTGCTTATGCATGCGAAACGCACGTTCAAAAATATTTTTTATTAAAGAATATGGCTCGAAAAAGATTCTATGGCGTATTTTACACTAAAAAAGACAATTTTTCCCTTGAAATTTGCTAATCTCATCAAACATCTAAGTTTATATAAAATTACGCTAATTCATCCTAGTTCGTCGTCAATATTGATGTTATTCAAAACATGATGAAGCACAAGTTCCATTGGGGCCGATTCAGAGTTGATTGGACACTCGTTTCCCCAAAAAAATCGCAATTTCCACATCTGATGTCATGTGTAATATAAAAGTATGCAAATTTTTGCCAAATCTCATCCTAAAATTTTGCTGAGATGCGTTTGGAAGCATATTCAGCTCTCATGTTTCATGTTTTGTCACTTTCGATCCCGTTTTGGACTCGTCAATTACAAGCCAACTCATCCCAGCCGCACAGGCTCCGCCCCTTTTTGACATAGCGAGAAAACCGGCGAGAGGGGGGAGAATCTTTCATTTATATTTTTTCGTTTCATTCCCAACATTTCCCTCGCCCCATACTTTTCCCTTCTCCTTCTTGTTTACGATGAAAAATGGGGCGAGGGCGGCGAGAGAGTGCGTCAGAATGAGAGACGGCGAGAGAAAATTAATGTCAAATCAACAAAATCTACGGGCCAAAATACGAACATGACATTCGCAATACTCAAAAACACATTTTTTGCGAAATCCGCGTCTTACGGAAAAATCCGCGTTATACGGAAACAACGTGCTGTATGGAAGAAAATGGTCGGAAAACGAATGGACTCTTGCTCTTTGTGCGCCAGACATCATTAAGACCGCGGAGACGCCCGACAAACGTCGCAAAAACCCCGTGAAACCCGAGAAACCGCCAAAAAATGAGAGGCGGACAGAGAAAAATCCAGCAATTTGATGCACAATGGACGCGTCGGAGCGCCGCAGACATGCCGGTGGCCGCGACGAGAGAGCACAGCGTCTGCGGTGTCTGGCGCGCCTCGCACTCTTTTCCCCACTCGTTCTCTTTTTTCTCTTGCGCCCATCGCGGGCCCGCGGTTGGGGGGCAGGCGACCGAAAAAAAGTCGGGGGATGAACTGATATTTATGGTTTCCCAGCTAGTTTTACGACCTCCCCCATCGGCCGGAGTGGTACCCTCGGCTAGCCGACAGTCCGCGCTTCCCTTTCGTGTAGCGTTCGGCCCTGAAACGGAATGCCAGAGGCGATTTTTGGGAAGTTTTTCGCCGAAAAAATCCGAATTTTCCCCGATGCGCTGGCGTTTTAATCCCATAAGTTGCTGCAAAAAGTTGCAACTGCCGAAAAAAGTAGTTTAACGGATAGAATGGGATCTTGGCTACAAGGGGATATTAATTTTACTATCAATTTCTAACGGGGGCATGGCAAATTCCTCGTTTTCCCGGACCCCCCTCGTTTCGGATGGGTTGAGAGGGGCAACTTGCAACTGCCATAACTTTGTCGTAAAGCAAGATCCAGAGCTAAAAAGTAGTTCCACGGATAGCCAATGACCTGTACAATAGAATAGCATACACTTTAGCTGATGTTGACATAAATTTCATGCGGTTTTGACAGTGTAAACACTTTAGGGATTAGAAACCCCTTGCCCAATGACTCATGTTTTCTCGAATTTCTGCAAATTTTCAAACCAATCTGCTCTAACCAATATGTTTTTCGAATACTATGGGATGTTGGAAATACGATACACTATTTTTTGCCTCGTTTTCGGTTTGATGTAATACCTTTTAATTGCTTTAAAGTCGAGCCGTCCGTGTTTTATCGATTTCTTGATGTTTCTTCGCGTTTTTTCAATATCCACTGTTTCTGAAAATGTGTGAATTGTTCTTTATTGGGGAGTACAATATGTGGGCTATCGGGTAGTCGTATTTTAAGTTGCCGTAAACACTTGCCTTGGGGCTAAAATGACGTGTTTTTGCAGTTTGCTCGGGTTTTTGGGGGTTTTGAGGGGGGAAATTGATTGTAATGTAATTTTTAGAGGATGTAACTTCCAAATTTTGACTGTAATTAACTTTATACAGTCTGACTGCTCATGTAAACATTGATTTTGTAACGTATATGACTTTGTTATTTCGAAATCGGCTTGTTTTCGCCAAGATTCTCGATAATTCGGGGGGAAACTTACAAATCATCGTACTTTCTGGCACTTCAGCTGCTCTCAATGTCTCTCACTTTCATTCACAATTACATATAATGCTTTGTTCGTCATTCTGGAGCTCCCTTGACCTTGTCCTTTGCTTGCTTTTGCATATTTCGACGACATTCCACTTGATCTACTAGGGGATTTTTAAGTCATCGTTTCAAAACGAATGTCGTTAGGTGTGATGAACATTTATTTGCTGATGTAATTTCATTGCAAACCCTTCATTGTGCGTTTTTTTTGGAGGAGAAAGAGGGGGGATTTTGGTTCGGAAAAGCCGAGTGAAAAACGGGCAGTTAAAAATGAAAGGGGGTGCTGAATTCCGCCGTCTCCGCATCGCCGGTCCCCCGGTTTTCGAATGGACCGCCACTCCCTCTCTCCCCGACTTCCTTGTGGCGTGCGGAGAGAGCGCCGCGAAACGAGAGAGCGGCGAAAACGGCGAGACAGGCAGAGAAATCGGAAATAGTGGGGGAAACGGAGAGATAGGTTAGAGAAAAGAGAGAAATCACGGGGAATCGAGAGAGTGGCGAGAGAACAGAGGAATGGGGCGAGAGTTTCGGGGCGGCTAAGGTGTTCGTCGCCGCCGCAGACGGCCGAATGAAGGTCAGGTTACGTAACACACTGCGGAGCGGCGGCCCGGTGTTTTCGCGACGACTCCCAAACACTCACAGATTGGGTTCGGAGGCATGACGTCGCACTGTTTGATATGCCCTGAAAATTGCTCAAATTCGATTATTGCAGCGTGCAAATTTCGAAAGTTTTGCGTTCGCACCGTGCGACGAACAATTTTGCACTTTGCACCGTGCAAATTTCCGAAATTGAATTTGCACAGTGCGGAGAAATCGAAATTGTTTTTTGCACAGTGCGGAGAAATTGAGATTGTTTTTTTGCACCGTGCAAACACCTTTTTGAAATCGAACTGCACTGTGCAACAAAAAAAAAAAATCGTTTATTGCACCGTGCAAATTGTTTTCGAATTGAAAGTTTATTTTGCACAGTGCATTAGCGACAAATCATCGCTTTTTCTCTTGCACGTTGCGTAAAATCAATTTCGATTCACCGCACGGTGCAAAAATTTGGATGCACTGTGCGGATTTCATTTCAACAAAAATTTGGATTTGCACAGTGCGTCCGCGACAAATTTACTGCACAGTGCAGTTTCCAAATTCAAAATTTATTTTTGCACAGTGCATTAGCGACAAATCGTCGCTTTTTGTTTTCCACGGTGCGTAATCTCAATTTCGATTCTCCGCACGGTGCAAAAGTTTGAATGCACTGTGCGGATTTCATTTCAACAAAATTTTGGGTTTGCACAGTGCACAAGCGACAAATTTGCTGCACAGTGCAGAAAAATTCAATTTTTGAACCTTGCACAGTGCAAAAAATTCTATTTTTGAACTTGCGAAAAGCCGCACAGTGCAAAAATCATTTTTTGGGCCCCTCGCACTGTGCAAACAAATATTTTCCAGTTCCGCACTGTGCAAGCCCCCTTCATTAGCGTATGCACAGTGCAAACGGTCTTTTCCAATTCCATGCACAGTGCGGTCCGCAAAATTTTGAAAAGAAGCCAAAAAGGGGCCGAGAGAGAGCGGCTTCTCGCTGCAAGTGCCCTCCGAAAAGCCGTCCGTAAAGCTCTAATTCGCCGCCGGCTGTAAACTCCCATCTAATTAAGTAGTTGTGAATCGTCAAACAGGAATTCCGGCGGATTTACAGCCAATTCGATGCGAGTAATGTAATCTGAGTCGGGTTTGTAGCAAAACATGTTTATTATCGTCTATTTGCATTCCATTTTCTCCCCTCCGAAGATCACATGTTCTGTGGAAAGCGGCAGCCGAAAACAAGAAATCGTATTTTTGATTTTGAAAGGCAAATGCACCGTGCAGACGGAATTAATTGACGTCGCACCCTGCGACGGAAACGATTTTGCACTGTGCAACGGGAATTGGGGTGGATTGCACTGTGCGAATGCTTCGGAACGTTGAAAATGTTCAAAATGACGTCATTGCACTGTGCAAAGCTCAATTCTTTGTTTTTGCACTGTGCAAGAAGACTATTTTTGATTTTTCGCACAGTGCAGTCAAAAAATGATTGCACTGTGCAAGGTGTCGCGACAGCCAATCAAAAATGAAATCTGTTTGTCGCACTGTGCAAATCTCGAATTTCTTATTTTTGCACTGTGCGGTCAAAAAATGACTGCACTGTGCAGTCAAAAAATTTCTGCACTGTGCAAGGTGTTGCGACAGCCAAGGAAAAATGAAATCTGTTTGTCGCACCGTGCAAATCTCGAATTTCTTATTCTGCACTGTGCAATCAAAAAAATGCCCGCACTGTGCGATGGAAAAGAGCGATTGCACTGTGCAGGGTGTCGCGACAGCCAAGGAAAAATGAAACCTGTTTGTCGCACCGTGCAATTTTTATACTCCTAATTTTTGCACTGTGCAGTCCGAAAATGTCTGCACAGTGCGGTCAAAAAATGTCTGCACAGTGCAAGGTGTCGCGACAGCCAAGGAAAAACCAAATCTGTTTGTCGCACCGTGCAAATTTCAAATTGCTTATTTCTGCACTGTGCAGTCAAAAAACTGTCGCAATGTGCATCCGAAACTTCACTGCACCGTGCATTCCGTCAACTCCGGTTATACGCACAATACGAAAGACATTTGTAGATAGGTCTACCGGGAAAATCGGCTTTATTACACCGCATGTCATTTGGAAATACCAAAGCTTACATTTGTTATTTTCGGAGGGAAAAAGGAATGAAATTGGAGTTTGGGCCTCAAAGAAATTCCCCCCAAAATAATTCAAAGGGATCAGAGTACAAACAGCAAGAGTGTATGGGGAACAGAGAGAGTGGGCGGGGCTTGACAGTGAATAAGAGGGAATTTGGAGGAAAAATTACAGAGTGTGGGGTGTGGAGAGACGACAGAGAGGGTCGGAGAAAAGCGATCTTTGTTTCATTGAGTGAAATAACATGCGAAAGTGAGAGGGTGGCGAGAGAAAGTCAGAGAAAGAATTTGCTACGAAGAAGAGAGCGAAAATAGCATGCAAAGATGAGAGAGCGCGAGAGAAAGTCCGAGAAAAAACCCCTTTCGAAGAAGAGAGCGAAATAGCACGCAAAAAGCGAGAGGGCGGCAGAGAAAGTTAGAGAAAAATCCCTTTCGAAGAAGAGAAGCGAAATAGCACGCAAAAGTGAGAGGACCGAGACAAAATTAAGTCAGAGAAATTTTCTCTCTTCGTTTTTGCCGCCAAAATAGCATGCAAAAAGTGGGAGAGCGCCAGAGAAGGCTAGAGAACGGGCAAAAATAGCCCATAAACCCGAGAGAACGTCAGCGAAAATTTCAAACCTCCGGCAATTTGAGTGGAATGTCAAATGAAATGACTAATTATGATGATAAAAGAAAAAAGAACATTAAGGAATGAGAGGATGACTAGAGAAACAGAGAAATTGAAGAAAGTGGGCGGACCTTAGAGGAATTTACCTAAATTTTGTAATAGGATTGTTAGAAAATGTTGTAAAAAATGTAAATTAATTGTCAGCAAGTAACAAAGATCAAAACTTAATTGTGCATGTAGTTTATTAGGGTTTTTGAGACGAAAAAAGAGACTTTTTTGAGGAAAAATATCGAAAATTTTCGTTTTTTGCCTATAACTCGTTGAATTTTCGGTGAAAAAGTTTGATTTTTTGAAGAAATTTTCTACAAGACATACATAATGCACTATGAAATTTTGAGGTTGAAAAATGAAAAAAAAATTTTGAATTTTAAATTTTTTTTTCAAAAAAGTTGCTTTTCTGTCTTACAAGGTCATTAAAAATTCTAAACCAGTCGTCTAAAATACTCCAACGTCTTCGCTTCTTCCCATTTTAACCGCAGCTGTCCAAATTTCCCGATTTTTGCGCATTTTCCCCATCAATCTTGAAGGATCTTCAAATTTCGTCTCGTTTTCTCTCCCACCCTCTCTCCATTTTTCGCTCTCTCGCTTCAAGTCGAATGTCCTTGAAAGGTCGCGTGTTTGCACTTATAGAAACGGCGTCTTTTCTCCCATTCAATCTCATAAAAAAAGGAGTGAATAATAAAGACCGGCGAAAACGGCGAGAGAGCGCGCGAATTGAGAGGGTGGCAGAGAAAAAAGAGATTAGTAGAAGATTACAGCGACAAAGAGCTACGAACTTTTCGAATTTACACACGTTTCGTCCTGAAATACGACTATTTTAGAGCAAAAAATTTTCAAAAAAAAAAAATTTTCAAAAAAAAAAATTACAAAATTAAAAAAAAAATTTCAAAATTTCGTATCAAAAATGGTCTGAAACATTGCGTAATCACATGAACAACCCTTCAAAATTTTTTTTCCGGTCCAAAATCACAGAAAGCCGAGAAATTCCCGCATTAAATATTATGCACGGTGCAGGTGAAATTAGAAATATCGCACCGTGCACACAAACTTTTGGACCTTCGCACTGTGCCAGGAATTATGTTTGGTGTTTATGCACTGTGCAATTTTCATTTTTTCCTTTTGCACGGTGCGATTATTTTCCCAACCACTTGCACTGTGCAGGCGCGACAAATTTGGCGATCTTTTGCACTGTGCAGTGAGCGTTTTTTCTATTTCGCACAGTGCAGTCAACACTTTTTTTATTTTGCACAGTGCAGTTTTCATTTTTTCCTGTCGCGCGGTGCAGTTATTAAGCGCGACAAAATTTGGCGATCTTTTGCACTGTGCAGTGAACATTCCTTTTTTCGCACAGTGCAATTTTCATTTTTCTCTTTCGCACAGTGCAATTATAAAGCGACAAAATTTGGCGATCTTTCGCACAGTGCAGAGAACATTTCTTTTATTTCGCACAGTGCAATTTTCATTTTTTTCCCTTTTGCACAGTGCAGTAATTTTCTCAACCCTTTGCACTGTGCGGAGCTTACTTTTTTGATGAGTGCTGCAAAATTGATTAGAATTGATAGCAAATATCATATGTTTTTGCCTTTATGCGTCATCTACAATTACTGGACCACTTTTTCTTCGCAAAACGGACCTTTTTTCCGACGAAAACATATGGTGTTGGCTTGTGATTCGACTTCGTGCATTTTCTCCCGTCTTTTCATTATGAAATGACCCTTCAAGAGGCCTCAAACTCTCTGTTTTCGCTTTTTTTCGTCTCGAAGAACCCCCACAAATTTCGCAAAAAAGTGGAATTTTTGAAAAAAATGCATAAAAGCGACCAAAGAATGCGACAAAAGGATAATTAATGGGCTAATTATGCACGAAATACAAGGATGAAAGGGAAATTACAGCAAAATGTTGAAGTATTAGCATTAGTTATATTAGAGATGCCTCAAAAAACGTAAGAAAACCTGCAGAAATCGACTGGTTGAAAAATAAATCTTGCAAATTAGACTTTTGCAAGCATTGCTAATGATTTTACAACAAGTCTAGACCATTCATTTGTTTTTTACAGCGATTTATCATCAAGGGTAACAGTTGACACTTGGGTCAGGTGTTGTCCTTTGACGAAAAGGCTGGTAATAAGGTCATATTTCCATTAATTCTAGTCTATAGATCATTTTTCACTCTCTAATGTCCATGTTATTATGTTGCAATACCAAAAATGGCCAAATCTAGGGTTTTCCAGAAAATCCGTCATGATGACACATTAAAAATAGTTGTCCAGAAACAAAATTTTGACGTATTCTAGTCGTGAGAGACATGTGGAAGTCGATAAAAATATTTCTAGTTCAAATACCACTCAGCATCGCCGATTGCCAGCACTTCGGATGACGGATTTTCTAGAAATTTCTGGACTTCGCAAAAATCGCCGATTTATTTTCGTTTCTCGACTTTTTTCGCGTTACCTCGTGAACTACACCTTTTTTACGTGATTTTCACGTGTTTTACAATCCTCAATTTACTGATTCTCCGTCATTTCAGGCCATTTTGGGTCTCGGTTGTTGGTCCTCCCTTCCCCCACCCGAAAAACACCCCTCCCACCCGCGCCTGTACAGAAATTGTGGTTGATTTTTGTAAATTATTCATCAGGGATTCGTTGTTCATGCGTGTTGATCCACCAGAAATTTCTTCGGTAAGTTTTTCGAATTTTTTTTTTGTTGTTTTAGGTAGAAAAGTGGATTTTTCGATTTTCGAGGATTTTCTGGGAGAGTTTGGTATAAAATTGATGGAAATTCAATTTAAAATTGATTTAGAACAATTTCGACTAAAAAGTAGTGGTTCAAAGGGACGTTTTGCAGATTTTTGATATTGGTTGCCTAGTGTAATATAATTTTCCCTTTATTTTCGGGAATTTCGGAGGTTTTTCGATCACGGTTTGCTTCAAAAATAATGCATAAAATTTCCAGGACGTATTTTAAGTTATAAACATTGTTTTTCGACTAAAATCTAGAATTTACCCAAAAAACTGGGTTTTCACTGTTTTATAGACGATTTTGGGGAATTTTTGATCTCTAATTTATGGTGTAGAAATTTTCTTTCTCGTATTTTAACAAATTTCCCAATTTTCTCCCAAAAATTCAGCCAAATATTCCCATTTGCATGCACTGTGCGAAAATCCCGAAAATTTTCGCACAGTGCAGTTCCAAATCGAAAAAATGCTTTTGCACTGTGCGAAGTTTCATTTTCATGTTGATTGCACGGTGCAGAGGTTGTCGCAAGGAACCTTTTGTTTTGCACGGTGCGAAATAAAATTTTTGCTTTTTGCACAGTGCAATTGGTAAAGATGGGGTGAAAAAGTGGAATTTTCGGGGAAATTTTGGGATTTTTTTTTTTAAAAAAGTAAAAAATAAGTTTTTCTAACCTGTTTTTAGGGAAATTCTTGAAAAATTTTTTTAAAAATATCAAATTTTCTCCATTTTTTTACCTAAAACAATATAATTTTCCTTCATTTTTTGTGTTAAAAATAAAGAAAAATAAATTTTACATGCTTTGCAGTCCTTTTTCATCAATAAATTTTTTGAAAAATCGCAAAACATTCCCATTTTTCTCGATTTTTTACCTAAAACAATATATTTTTTTCATTTTCTGATCTTCAATCACCTCCAAACCATTTCAGGGTTCGCTAATTTATTCGTTATAACCGTCCATTCGTCCCAACCATGTTCCCGAACGGGAGTTCGGCGAACAGTGCCGGAGGGCAGAACGGTCAGCTCGGCTTTCCGATGGCTTCCCTTCTCCAAGCGGGTGGCCCCGCCGCCGCCGGACTCCAGAACTTGAATCAAGCACAAATCTTCAGCCTGCTGCAGAACCCCGGGCTGTTCACGGACATGCAGAAACGGGCGGCGACCGCGTGTAAGTTTGCAGGAATTTTTGGATTTTTTTTTATTTTTTAGGGATTTTTGAACGTTTTATCGATCAAATTATGGATCGTCAAGGGTTTTGGAGGCTTTTTTATTATAGTTACCCTTTGATTTCTCGAGTTTTTGAATGAAAATTTGAAATTTTGCCTGCTACAATATAAGTTTTTGCCGAAAAATTGAATTTCCAGCCTTTTTTGACGATTTTATGGATTGAAATGGCTTGAAAATGAAATAAAAGACATTTTAGAGCCATTTTGAATTAGTTCCCAGCTTGATTTTACCAATTTTCACCAAAAAATTTGATAATTTCCCCAACTTTTCAGCTGCCCAACACGTGATCCTAGCCCAACAACAGGCCGCCGCCCAACAGCAGGCTCAACAACGAGAGCGCGAACTGAAGGAACAACGGGAACGCGAGCAAAAACAGCAGCAACTGAAACGCGAACAACAGCAAATCCAAATGCTGAGGATACAACAACAACAGCAAGCAAATCAGAAGGCAAATCAACAGGCAAGCAATGCGAATCAAGCACAAGTGTTGCAGAATATGGTAAGGAAAATTTGGGGTGATTTTTGGGTTGTTTGGAGGGGATTTGAAAATGTCATCATGACGGATTTTTAGACGTCATGATGACAGTTGTAAAATACGTTTGTATGAATGAGTTTTTGTTATAGAAAAAAGTGTATTCTTTTTAGGACATGACAAAAAAAATTTGGGTAAAAATTCCGTCATCGTGACTGATTTTTTGGGTGTCATGATGACACGGATAAAATACGTCGTAATGCTGGACTTTTTGAGTTTAGAGAATTAAAAATGATTTGAATGAGCTTTATAATGAATTTCTGAAGTATTTTTATTAAAAAATCGGTCGTAGTGACGCATTTTTTTGATGTCATAATGACAACTAAAAAATGTTGAAAATGCGTTTTTTGAAATAGTGCAGCGTTTATAACCGTAGTGGACGTTTTTGTCCCCACCCCGGTTTTGTCCCCAAGGCGGTTTTGTCCCCAGGACGTTTTTGTCCCCACTTTTTTCGAGCCTTTTTGTCCCCAGACCGGTTTTGTCCCCAGGACGGTTTTGTCCCCAAGACGTTTTTGTCCCCACTTTTTTTATTTTTTTGTCCCCACACCGGTTTTGTCCCCAGGACGTTTTTGTCCCCAAGCTGCATAGTGCGATTAAAAATTATGCATTCAAATGTTAATGCTGTTGGTTTGGAGCCCAGTATTGCTCAAACAACATGTTCTTAGCGCTTGGTACTGTATAGTACGAGGTGGTACTATATAGCACGAGATAAAAATTAAGACATAACACGTCAATGCTATGGGTTTGAAGCCCAGTACTTCTCAAAAATGTGTTTTAGCACATGGTACTATATAGCACGAATTTGTTTTTGCACAAAATGAACGTTTGATCAGTACTGCATACCAAAACAACGTTATTCACGCGTTATAGCTTAATTTTCACCTCGTGCTATATAGTACCACCTTGTACTATACAGTACCAAGTGCTAAAAACACATTTTTTGAGAAGTGCGGGGCTGCAAACCAACAGCATTAACGCGTTATGGCTTAATTTTTACCTCGTGCTCAATAGTACCACCTCGTACTATACAGTACCAAGCGCTAAGAACATGTTGTTTGAGCAATACTGGGCTCCAAACCAACAGCATTAACATTTGAATGCATAATTTTTAATCGCACTATGCAGCTTGGGGACAAAAACGTCCTGGGGACAAAACCGGTGTGGGGACAAAAAAATAAAAAAAGTGGGGACAAAAACGTCTTGGGGACAAAACCGTCCTGGGGACAAAACCGGTCTGGGGACAAAAAGGCTCGAAAAAAGTGGGGACAAAAACGTCCTGGGGACAAAACCGTCTTGGGGACAAAACCGGGGTGGGGACAAAACCGGGCCCAATCTTTATAACTGATACGGAAAATGAAAATGATCTTTTTGGACTGTAATGAAGATGGTTTGAGGGAAAATTCGGTCAAAATGACTCATTTTTAGGTGTCATGTTGACACCGCGGAATTAAGTCATAATGACCCGTTTTATGTCGCACATTGTAAAATACGATCATTCTAACCTTTTCACTAGCTTTATTCATAAAAAAGTCTTTTTGGAATTTTTTCGTCAAATCTTGATGTCGAAAACAACTTTTATTACCTTGAAAATATAGCCTTCAAATTTTTTTAGATGATGCTCCTCCAACAACAGCAGCAGCAGAACAGCAGGCAACTCCAATCCAACTCGCTGATGTCCCAAATGGGCCAAGGAGTGTCGAATTTGCAAATGCAACAACAACTGCAGCAGCTGCTGAACCCAAGCTCCCTTTCCATGACCCCGCAAATGCTCCAACAATACCAAGCGATACGGCAGGTGAGGAAAAATTCATTTTTTTGGAGGAAAATTAGAAATAAATTTTCGTTGCACAGTGCAGTTTTTTCGAGGTTTGAATCTTGCACAGTGCGGTGGAAAAAATAAAATTTTGCACTGTGCAATGAAAAGTTTGGGGTGTTTTGCACAGTGCGAGGGAAAATTTTGGTGATCACTTGCACTGTGCGGTCGATCGCGGGGTTTAAATTTTCTGCACCGTGCAAAAAATGTCTTGTTTTGAAGATTGCACGGTGCGATTAGAAATTTTGCGATTTGCACTGTGCGATAAGGCAAATATGGAATTTGCACGGTGCGAAACAAAAATTTGAAGTAACTGCACTGTACGAAAAATTTTTTTGACTCGGAAAAATGCACTGTGCGATGGAAAAATATGTTTTTTGGGTTCGCACGGTGCGAAACAAAATTTTGAAGATTTCGCACTGTGCAATGGGAGATTTGAGAAATTGCACGGTGCGAAAAATTTTTGGAGGAATTTTTTTTCGCCCGCAAATGGACTTTTCGATGCCCGCAAATTTTCGCGGTTCGCGACCGCAAATTAAATCGAAATTTGCCCGCACTTTTTCTGCCCGCAAATTATAAAAATGTTATGAAACGCCTGGAATATGGATAATTAGTCAAATATCCGTGCAAATACGGTGAAATTAATAAATTTACATATGTAAATGTGCATTTGACAAAAAAATTTTTTGAGAAATGTTTCTAATCCATGTTTTCTGGGATAAAATTTCAAATAACGGAATGATATCATGTTTTTGGACAAAGCTGATGAATATGGAGTCCAAATCAACTTGTTATAAAGGCCGAACAAAACTTTTTTTGTCTAAACGAACTTTTCGATGCCCGCAGATCGGAAAATCGGGTCCTCGGACAATACGAATGTAAAACTCTTCATTGTAATCCCTTTTTGAGCAATTCCTAGCTACCACTAGGCCATTGCCGCATGTCTCTTCGCAGAAAATTTGAATTTCAGTTTTGCGGGCAAAAAAAGTTTGAAAACTTTTGGATGCCCGCAAACAAAAAAATGCTCCAAAACCTTTCGTAAGCCACCGTAATGAAAATTTTTTGATTACTATGACAAGATTAAGCACTATGATCATTTTGTGGCAATTGATGCCGATTTGTTTGCAGGAAAACAGATTTTTGACAGAAAAAATATTTGCGGGCAAAAAAAGTTCTAAAAATTTTTGAATGCCCGCAAATCTGAAAAAAGCTTCTAAATCAATCGAAAGTAGTTGTGATGAAAAAACGAGTTCCATAAGTCACATTACGACACTTTTTACGGCCAGTGACACCGATTTTTCAGTAGAAAAATCCAAATTAAAATTTGCGGGCAAAAAAAGTTCCAAAAATTTTTGGATGCCCGCAAATCAAAAAAGGCTTCCAAATCAACTAAAACTTATTGCCTTGGGAAAAATTGGACTCATAGTGCCATTATGACAAGTTTTATGACCACTGATACCGATCTTTTGGTTGAAATGTTGAAATTTAAATTTGCGGGCAAAAAAAGTTCCAAAAATTTTTGGATGACCGCAAATCAAAAAATTTTTTCCAAATCAATCAGAACTTCTTATTAAGAAGTCACATTATATTTATTTTGCTTTTTAGAAACTTTAGTAATAAGTGAAGGTTTTTATTATGAATGTCCTCAAAAAAAGGCGCCTCTTCCTGTAGCACGCCGGTAACTACTAGGGTGTCCCTTAAGTCTTGTGTATTTTTGGGTTTGAGAATTAAAGTCTTGTTTCGCAGGCCTAAATGAATGCACCCCTTAATGTTTGGTACTGTTGAAACCGCCATCTTTTACTCATATACTCCGCCGATTTAATTTGGACCAGTCTGAAACTTGAAAACGGTTATAGATATGAACTCCATTCCTTCAACAAGTTTGATCACCAGTCGACTCTATGTTCAACTGTAGCCAAATATTTCCTCTGCCTTGAGGCACAAGAAAAATATTCGGATTTTTTAATTTTTTCTGTCGAAAAAGTTTGGACCAGGGCAACAAAAATTTGCATTTCTTTATCACTAGGTGGGGTGAAACCATGATAACTTGTGAAAATAATTGTGATTCCCTGGTGATTCTAGCGAGCAGGAAATTTCGAGATTAGCGCTGTGTTTAAGGCCCTGAGGGCAATTTTTAAGAAAATTCCCAAAATTCCAGAAATTTTTCGTCCTAGCGATTGAGTAAGAAGCGTAAATCGTCTTAAATTAGTTTCTGTGCAACCACAGTATAGTGTACATTTAATTGGTTGACGTTATAAAACAGTTTTACATCTAAAATTTTTTGTTCTTGGAGGATTTGCGAGTTTGAAACTTGGGTTGGCGATAATAGTGAGGCCACTGCGCTCAAACAACTGCTAAATCATACAGCGTTTAGCGTGGGACGTATGAGGGTCATGCCACACTTTCCTTCAGTGTCAAAACAATATCCGATTTACACGCGACAAATGCACAATAGACCGAAAACTTTGATAAAAAAATTTAAGAAGAAGGTGCTTACTTAAAAGTTTTCGAAAGTGAAAAAAGATGTTCCTATATGTATATTGTACGTTTATTCCGCTATGAGGTGCTAGCCAGACCTGATAGAACTTAATTTGATGCACATTAAATTGTTTTTTCTCAACATGTTTCGAGTGGGCCAACGAAAAGTTTTTTTTATCAAAGTCTTCGGTCTATTGTGCATTTGTCGCGTGTAAATTGGATATTGTTTTGACACAGAAGGAAAGTGTGGCATGCCCCTCATATGTCCCAAGCAAAACGCTGTATGATTTAGCAGTTGTTTGAGCGCAGTGGCCTCACTATTATCGCCAACCCAGGTTTCAAAGTCGCAAATCCTCCAAGAACAAAAAATTTTAGATGTAAAACTATTTTATAACGTCATCCAATTAGATGTACACTATACTGTGGTTGCAAAGAAACTAATTTAAGACGATTTACGCTTCTTACTCAAGCGCTAGGGCGAAAAATTTCTGGAATTTTGGGAATTTTCTTAAAAATTGCCCTCAGGGCCTTAAACACAGCGCTAATCTCGGAATTCCCCGCTCGCTAGAATCAGCAGGGAATCACAATTATTTTCACAAGTTATCATGGTTTCACCCCACCTAGTGATAAAGAAATGCAAATTTTTGTTGCCCTGGTCCAAACTTTTTCGACAGAAAAAATTAAAAAATCCGAATATTTTTCTTGTGCCTCAAGGCAGAGGAAATATTTGGCTACAGTTGAACATAGAGTCGACTGGTGATCAAACTTGTTGAAGGAATGGAGTTCATATCTATAACCGTTTTCAAGTTTCAGACTGGTCCAAATTAAATCGGCGGAGTATATAAGCTGCATAAAAAAGTGACACATAAAATAATTTTGCGTTTAACTTTTTTTGACAGTGGTTGCTCAGGTCGCGCCGATACCAAAAAATATTGTGACTTCTTAATAAGAAGTTCTGATTGATTTGGAAAAAATTTTTTGATTTGCGGTCATCCAAAAATTTTTGGAACTTTTTTTGCCCGCAAATTTAAATTTCAACATTTCAACCAAAAGATCGGTATCAGTGGTCATAAAACTTGTCATAATGGCACTATGAGTCCAATTTTTCCCAAGGCAATAAGTTTTAGTTGATTTGGAAGCCTTTTTTGATTTGCGGGCATCCAAAAATTTTTGGAACTTTTTTTGCCCGCAAATTTTAATTTGGATTTTTCTACTGAAAAATCGGTGTCACTGGCCGTAAAAAGTGTCGTAATGTGACTTATGGAACTCGTTTTTTCATCACAACTACTTTCGATTGATTTAGAAGCTTTTTTCAGATTTGCGGGCATTCAAAAATTTTTAGAACTTTTTTTGCCCGCAAATATTTTTTCTGTCAAAAATCTGTTTTCCTGCAAACAAATCGGCATCAATTGCCACAAAATGATCATAGTGCTTAATCTTGTCATAGTAATCAAAAAATTTTCATTACGGTGGCTTACGAAAGGTTTTGGAGCATTTTTTTGTTTGCGGGCATCCAAAAGTTTTCAAACTTTTTTGCCCGCAAAACTGAAATTCAAATTTTCTGCGAAGAGACATGCGGCAATGGCCTAGTGGTAGCTAGGAATTGCTCAAAAAGGGATTACAATGAAGAGTTTTACATTCGTATTGTCCGAGGACCCGATTTTCCGATCTGCGGGCATCGAAAAGTTCGTTTAGACAAAAAAGTTTTGTTCGGCCTTTATAACAAGTTGATTTGGACTCCATATTCATCAGCTTTGTCCAAAAACATGATATCATTCCGTTATTTGAAATTTTATCCCAGAAAACATGGATTAGAATCATTTCTCAAAAAATTTTTTTGTCAAATGCACATTTACATATGTAAATTTATTAATTTCACCGTATTTGCACGGATATTTGACTAATTATCCATATTCCAGGCGTTTCATAACATTTTTATAATTTGCGGGCAGAAAAAGTGCGGGCAAATTTCGATTTAATTTGCGGTCGCGAACCGCGAAAATTTGCGGGCATCGAAAAGTCCATTTGCGGGCACCGAAAAGCACGTCCAAAATTTTTTGATAATTTTGCACTGTGCAAAGGCGTAATTTTTAATAAAAACGTAACGTTATTGTGAACGACGTATTTTAAAATGAAATTGCATACTTTTTTCCTTTCAGCAACAGCAACAATCTCAACAACAAACCACTTCGGCGTCGGTCGCCACGTCTCGCTCCGACGAGCCCCGAAGGCCCTCGCTGATGTCCAATCTTCAACAAACCCCTCAATCCCAGTTGAATTTGAATTTACGTAAGAGATTTTGAGATTTTTTTAAATTTTCGGAAAAATAGGCCAATTATGGAAAATATCGTAGTTTAAAAATTTGATTTTTGTGGTTTCAAAAAATTTGCAGTGCTTCTGAAACAGTCGGTAGTGTTTTCTCCAATTTTGGGGAAATTTGGGCTTGTTTTGGATGACGTCATTTAATCAGTCATGATGACAGGGGTTTGGAGATGGTAGTTTTTGTTGATTTTTTTGGTAATACGATTACTGCGGATTGGAAATTACTGTAAAAAAATTTGAGCCATGTTGGATGATTTTAAATGGGTCAGGATGACGGATTTAATTTTGTCATCATGACATGCCCAAAATTTCAAATTTGGCTCTAGAATGACAGGCACATTATGTTTTATGAAGAGATATATAAAAATTTAGGTTATTTCCTTTGAAATACGATTATTTTTTCAGTTAAACCCGATCCAAAGCCCTCGAATTTCGGCTCGATAACTTCCGGTGTGCCCCTCCGGCCGAACTCGTTCGGCCTGAACCTCCCAGCCCAACCAGCCACAACGACCACCCTCAACAAACCGGTCGAACAGAAGCCTGGCTCCTCCCAACAACAAGGCCAGATTCTGGAGGAAAAAAGAGAGAAGAAGGATGTGAGGGATAAGATCGACAAGACCGAAGCCGATCTCAAAATGGTAAGAAAGTTTTTTTGAGAGGGTTCTGGAAGCCTATGAGTTATTTTGGATAGGAATTTAGCGGCTTGGCCAAGCGCAAGAGCGAGTTTTGAAAAAAGGTAGGGCGCAACTCGCCAAGGTTGATTTTGGCTTAAAAAAGGTTATTTTGGAAGTTTCTGAGCTCATTTTTGGCTTGTAAAAATTGTGGACACTGTTACAGCAGCGTCTTAAATTGTCTTACCGACTTTTTCAACGTTAGCTAGGGCGCAGCTCGCCAACTGGAATTGGTTGAAAACCGATGATTTTGGTATTTGTGGATTGGTTTGACGATTAGGAATGACCTGGTGACTTTAGAATTTCAGTTTTTGGCGATTTTGCAGGCCTTATCGCTTCAAGTTAGGGCGCAGCTCGCCAACTGGAATTGATTGAAAACCGATGATTTTGGTATTTGTGGATTGTTTTGAGGACTCGGAATGGCCTAGTGGCTTTTTAATTCCCGTTTTTTGGGATTCTTCAGGAATTATCGCTTCAAGTTAGGGCGCAGCTCGCCAAAAAAATTTCCCGATTTATTGAGTTTTTTGAATATTGAGAGCTTCGCTATGTTCGGCAGGACATATTTTACTGATTTTTCCCTTCTACAGATCGATGCTCAACATGCGGCGGCGAAAAAGAAACGAGAACAACTCCAAAATTTGCTGCGAACCCGCCGAGAAGAGATGGAAAGAGAACGAGTCGAAGCCGAGGCCGAAGCCAGAGCTGCAGCCGCAAAAGCGGCCTCCATTGCCGAAGCTATTCGGTCGAGAATCCCAATGATTGAGAAAATCGACGGGGAGAATCAGGCCACAATTGAAGAGAGGTTCAAGTCCATGAATTTGGCGCAAACTGTAAGAATTTTGTTGTTTTGTGCGGTAAATTGTGATGAAAAGGGTGTGAAATTACTCATTCTTGGATTTGAAAATAGTTTTTATTCGGTTGGTGAGCTTTTTTGAATGAGGGAAACAGTTGACCCATTCTTGAGTCAAGTGTTTTCCTTGGAGAAAAATTAGTGAAATTGGTTGATTTGGAGGTAAAATACGTCGAGCCTTATTTTTTGTTCAATTTTTTGGTATGGAGGTACGTAAAAAAAATTTTGAGTCAAGTGTTTCTTTTGTTGGAAAAAGTCTCAAAATTCGATAAATTTTGAGCTAATTTGAGCGATTTGGGTTCTCTCTGTGTGAAATAAAGTAAAAAAGTACTTTTAGTTATTTCAGAAACAAATTTATGAAATTTTGGGTCAAGTGTTTCTCCCAAAAAAATTTTTTTTTTTTTTTTTTTTGAAATTTACGAATTTTGTTGTAAAATACAGAAGCCGAAGTAAACATTTTTTGATTAACTGTTATTTTTGGGAGCTGAGAAGAGAAAGATTTGATTCATTTTACGGGTTTTGGGTCAAGTCTTCCTCTTGGAGAAAATTTTCTAAAATTTTGATTGATTTGAATTCATTTGCAGTCAACTCTGCACTCCGACACCCCCGAAGAGATCACCGCCCGCTACCGCAACATGAGGCCATCCCTGATCGAGCAAATGAAGCGCCAAAAGGACTTCCGCGACCGAAAAATGCGCGAACACCAAGAATTGTACGAATCCAAGTATCAGCAATGGCTGAAGCGAGTGGACAAGGCCGAGAAAGCCCCGAAAAAAGTGGCCAGAGACGCGAAACATCGCGAATTGTTCGAGAAAATCTTCCCCGAAATCAAAAAGGAACGCGAAGACCGCGAAAGAAACGAACGCCACGAGAGAATTCAGCAGGCCGCCGAAGGAGTCATCAAAACCAAGGAAGAGGTAGGGGATTGGAAGAGATTTGGAGAGGATTTCGGAATTTTTTTAACGATTTTTTGGGGAAATGGGGATTTTTTTGGATTTTTGGGGTTTTTTGAAAAAATGAAGGAAAAAAAGAGGTAAAATAGGGTAGAATTTGAAAGAAAATGAAAGAAGAAAGATACAGGAGAATAAAGGAAGATTTCGGAAGCGATTTTTTGGGATTTTTGAACGATTTTTTTGGCAAAATTGGGAATCTTTTGGATTTTTGTAGTTTTTTGAAAAAAATCAAGTAAAAGAGGGGTAGAATAGGGTAGAATTTGATAGAAAATGAAGGAGATGGGAAGCAGGAGATGAAGGGAAGATTTCGGAAGCGATTTTTTGGGATTTTTGAATGATTTTTTGGGGGAAAATTGGGAATTTTTTAGATTTTTGGGGGTGTTTTGAAAAAATAGTGAAGGAAAAAAAGGGTAAAATACGATTAGACTTTATTGAACATAAAGCATGAGATGAAGTGAAGATTTTGGAAGTGATTGTTTGCGATTTTCTGACCCATTTTTTTTGGGAAATGGGAAATTTTTTGGATTTTTGGGGTTTTTTTGAAAAAAAAAATTATGAAAAAGAGGGGTAAAATACGATTAGACTTTACTGAAAATAGAGGAGATATGAAGCAGGAGATGAAGGGAATAATTTGAAAGCGATTTTTGGGATTTTTTGACGGATTTTTTTGGGAAAAAATGGGATTTTTTTGGATTTTTGGGGGTTTTTTTTTTGAAAAAAAATGAAAGAAAAGAAGGGTAAAAACGGGTAGGATTTGATTGAAAATGAAAGAAAGAGAGGAGGAGCAGATTTTTGGAATTTTTTGATCGATTTTTTGGGCAAGATTGGGAATTTTTTGGATTTTTTGGGGAAAGTGGAGATTTTTTCGAAAAAAATCAGGTGAAGGAGGAGTAAAATACGCGTGCGGTTGATTGAAAATGAACAAGATAGGGAGCAGAAGATTTTAGAAACGATTTTTGAGATTTTTTTGACCGATTTTTTGGGCAAAATTGTTTATTTTTTTGGAAAAATTTTTGAAAAAATGGTTAAAGTAAAGTTGGAATTGATGGAAAACTACAGTCAAATGGAAAAATGAGCCAAAAAAATATATTTTTAATTCGATTTTTTGGATTTTTTTGAGAAAAATTTTGGAAAAAATTGCATTTTTTTTTTGATTTTTTGGGGGTAAAAGGCGGTAAAATAAGGTCGAAATTGAAGAAAAAATCTGAATTTAGTAAAAAAAAATGATTAAAAATTATGCTTGGGAGAAGTAGAAGCGTATTTTACAAAGATTTTTTTGCTTCAGAAGGTCACCGAAAGAGCCTGCCAAATCCCCCAACTGCAGCTGAACCGAGAGAAATTCGCCTTTGTCAATAATAATACGGTCATCAGAGAGGAGCTCCTGGCTAATACGAATGAAGCGTACGTTTTGAGAGATTGAAATTTTGTTTTTTGTTTTTTTTTTGTTTTTTTTTTTATTTTTTGAGCGAAATTTTTGATTTTTTTTTTTTTTTTTTTTTTGATTTTTTTGTATGGTTTTAGACTCTCGGACTACACGGATAACTGGACCCCAGATGAAAAGAAAACCTTCAACGAGAAGATCAAACTGTTCGGCAAGAATTTCCATGCTCTCTCGCACTTCTATTGGAATAAGGTGAGTTTTGGATAATTGAAAGTTTTGGTAATTATGCAAATTTTCAAAAAAAATTGGATTTTTTTCTGCATTTTTGAAAAATTTAAATTTTCTGATAATTATGCAAATTTTCAAAAAAAAATTTTTTTCCTTGATTTTTTTGGCCAAAATTTGCATTTTTGAAAAATTAAAATTTTTGATAAGTATGCAAATTTTAAAAAAAATTTATTTTTTCACGATTTTTTTTTGCATTTTCCTGGATTTTTCGGGCTGAAATTTGCATTTTTGAAAAATTTAAATTTTTTAGTTATGCAAATTTTCAAAAAGTTTTTTTTTTGGATTTTTTGGGCCAAAATCCGCATTTTTCAAAAAAAAAAATCGAATTTTTTAATTATGCAAATTTTCAAAATTTCATAGTTTTTCGATTTTTCCTGAATTTTTGGGATTTTTTGGGTCTTCTGGGCTGATATGCAAATTTTTTTCGTTATGAAAAAATTATGCAAATTTTCTAAAATTTATTTTTTTTCACTGTTTACTTGATTTTTGCGATTTTTTACTATAATTTTTTTTGGAAAAACACAATTTTTTGCATTATGCAAAAATTATGCAAACTTTTTTACTCTTCAAAATCTCTTTATTTGCCTTGTGAAAGAGTGAATAATACGATTTCCGGCATTTTACAGCATGAATTACGTGTCCTTTCCCGGTTATATGACTGTTGTTACAGCAACTGTCCCGAAAATCGGCTTAATTCCCAAAAAAACATTGTAAATTCCTCTGCCGCCATTTGCAGCTAATTAAAAGGGACATTCCAGCCCGGTTAGCCTCTTGTAAGTGGCCTCAAGGCCTTTATCCCTAATTTGGTGGTTATTTGGGGTTGTTTTGGGAGAGGAAATTGGGTGTAAATTGTAATAAATGGTGTGAAATTTATTGTAGAAGATGAATTGAACAGTCTTTTGGCGATTTTTTGACGAAAAATGATAGTTTTGACCTTACTTTAGGTGATTTTTGGTAAAAATTGATGAAAAATCTCATTTTTTCGCTTAATTATTAGGATTTAGGGCTTAAAAAATAAAGAATGGCCTGTAGATTTACTTAAGAACCGGTAATTTGCATATTTGAGGACTAAAATTTGCATAATTTTTACTTGATTTTATATTACCCATGAAAAAAAGTGCCGAAAGATGCCTCAAAATTGCTTGCGAAAGCCGGGAAATGCCCGTAAATCGTAGGAACTAATCTTTTAGTTAGTAAAAATACTCTTTTCATCAAGAAAAGTGGATTTTCCCCCATTTTTGGGCATTATTTATATTAACCATGAGGTTTTTGGCCAAATTACCCCTGTTTTCCCTCAATTTATTGTGCAGATTTTGTTTACCAGTAATTACTGCGTATGGGATTGTACTATTTAGTAACTCAACCACAAAATGTCAAGTGCATTCCACTTGAAAAGTAAAAATTTCACTGAAAATGCCCTTTTTTAGCAGAAAATGTCTAATTAAGCGGCATTTTGGGGTCTTACAGTATGAAAAAGAGTGTGATTTTGAGAGAATATAGTGTGATAAGTGTTGTATAGTAAGCTAGGATTGGCATTCAAAGGATAAATGAGAGTTTTTGCCCAAAAATTATGTTATAGTAGGCAATTTTTGGAAATTTTAAAATTTTTTGTCTAAAAAAGCTTTTTTCTAGGAATTTTTGACGAGAATAGAACTCTTAAAGGTTGAATGGGTAATTTTTATGTTGAGTAGTACAAGTTGACATCATTTTTTGTATAGAATTGGGCTATTTTTGGGAGCTTTTTTGCCATAATTAGTTTTTTTTTCGTTAATTTGAGTTGTTTTTGAACTCCAAATCGGTAGTTTAGAAAGCTGATGGGGTTTGGAAGGGTTTATATTAATTTTTAGGCTTTGAGTTACTGTAATTTTTTGAGAATTTTTGGTTTAAAATGAAATTTTTTGATTTTTAGGGGGATTTTTTAAAAATTTGGTTTATTTTGATTGTTTTATGAGTTGATAATACTGAGTTAATGGGTTTAGATGATATTTAAATACTCAGGGTTACTGTAGCTTTTCTAAAATTTGTGGTTTTCGTATTAAATTTGCGATTTTTGGCGATTTTTTCACCAATTTCCCCAAAAATGAGTAAAAAGCCCAAAAACTTGTAATGAATTACTAATATTTGTATTCAAACTACTCCCTAGTACGTAATAGAGCCTTCGGAACACTTCGGCGTCATTTTTCCCTTGCATTATTTGCCCTTTTTCGGGCATTTCAACCCCAAATGAACCATAATTAAGGTCCAAAAGTCCATTCCAAGTGCAAAGGGCCCTTGAGCCCTTCGTACGCTCGTTTTTCGAACTACGACACAACTTTGGAGCCCGCCGACCAACAATTTTTTACTCTGTTTTTGGGATTTTTTGCACTTTTTGCGCCACAAAAACAATTTTTTTTCGCTTTTTTTGCCCTCCGAAATTCCATGTCAGAGCGGGTTTTTTCTTGATTACACGAGTATTAGAGAGGGCTGTTTTCGTGTTGAACGCGTATTATTTTTGGAGAAACTGCAGGAAAATTGAGGGTTTAGCGGTAAAAAGTGGGTATTTTGCAGTTTTTTGGAGTTTTAAGGGTATTTTGAGCAGTATAAATGGCGTTTTGGAGGGTATTTTGACAAAAACAAGATGTGATTTAGGTTGTAAATGTAATTTTCGGTAATTTTTGAGGTTGTGAAAAATTTGCATAATTTTGAAAATTATGTAAATTTGAATAATTTATGGTAATTTGGATGTTTTATGGGTAAAATACGCATTGATATTATATTTGAGTAAATTTTAAAAGGTTTTGAATAATTAAAAAATTTGCATAAGTTTGAAAATTATGCAAATTTGAATAATTTAGGATAATTAGGATGTTTTATGGGGTAAAATACGTCTTGAAAATTTGTTTTATCAAATTTGAAAAGGTTTTGGTTAATTCAAAAATTTGCATAAATTTGAAAATCATGCAAATTTCGGTAATTAATGTAATTTAGATGTTTTATGGGTTAAAATACGCCTTGACATATATGCCGAAGCAAATTTGATAAGCTTTTGGATTATTTAAAAATTTGCGTAAATTTGAATATTTGCCAAAAATGAGAAATTTGACGCAAAAAACTTCTCCATAAGGCAGATTTGACCTTTAAAAATGCATTTCATAAAATTTTTGAATAAAAAAGTTGTAGTTTCTACTCGATTAGTCCTGAAATTGCGACTATTTTTAAAGATTTGTCTGCTTCTGACACGGCCCACCACAATTTCGCCCTTTTTTCTCTCCTATTTTCGTGTTTGTGCACGGCTTGTAATTGCCTCAAAACGGCACGAACCCATGTCTAAGTGCCCATCCCCACCCCATGTCCATCTCACAAACGTTTTTTTTGCACTGTGCGGTTTTGTACGGCCAACCCGTGCCAGCTGCTCTTTTTCGACTAATTAACTGTTGGGAAATACAGCCAATGTTCAGCACGATTTCAACGAAATACCATCCCTAATATTGGTATTCTCCGATCCTTTGCTTTTTGCACCGTGCGCCGAGATTTAGTTTTTCGGCTGCACAGTGCAAAAGGGTTTTGGTGTGGATTGCACAGTGCGAAAAGGATCGAGTTTTTGACGCACGGTGCGATTGAAGTTTTTGTTTTATAATTTGCACGGTGCAAAAATATGAGGTTTCAGAAATGCACAGTGCAATGGGAATTTTTCTTGTCGCGATAAAGATTGCACAGTGCAAAAAAGCTTTTGGTTTGGATTGCACAGTGCGAAAAGGATCGAGTTTTGGCCGCACGGTGCAAAGAAGCTTTTGTTTTGTAATTTGCACAGTGCAGAAATCTGAGGTTCAAAAAAATGCACAGTGCAATGGGAGTTTTTGTTGTCGCGAGAAAAATTGCACAGTGCAAAAAAGCTTTTGGTTCTGGGCGCACAGTGCGATGAAAACTTTAGTTTTTTAATTTGCACAGTGCATAAATATGACTTTCAAAAATGCACAGTGCAATGGGAATTTTTCTTGTCGCGAGAAAAATTGCACAGTGCAAAATTTTCCTCTTGTTTTTTCTGCGCACAGTGCAAAAACTCTTCTTCTTTTTTCGCCTGCACAGTGCAGAAGGCTTTGTTTTTTGATTGCACAGTGCGGAAAGGATCGAGTTTTGGCCGCACGGTGCGATGAAAACTTTCGTTTTGTAATTTGCACTGTGCAAAAATCTGAGTTTCAAAAAGTGCACAGTGCAATGGGAATTTTTCTTGTCGCGACATAGATTGCACAGTGCAAAATTTTGAACTTTTTTGTGCACGGTGCAAAAAGTCCTCTTCCTTTTCCACTGCACAGTGCGGAAGACTTTGTTTTTTGATTGCACAGTGCGGAAATGATTGATTTTTGGCGCACGGTGCGATGGAACCTTTTATTTTGCAATTTTCACAGTGCAAAAATTTTAGGTTCACAAAATGCACAGTGCAATGAGAATTTTTGTTGTCGCGATAAAGATTGCACAGTGCGAAAATTTTTGTCTTTTTTGCGCTCCGCACAGTGCAAAAATCAGAGTTTCAAAAAGTGCACAGTGCAATGGGAACTTTTCTTGTCGCGATATATTGCACGGTGCAAAAATTCCTCTTCTTTTTTTTGACTGCACTGTGCAGTCGAAAAGATTGAATTTTCGCACCGTGCATGAATGAAAAGTTGGTTTATTCCAGTAAATATGGCCCAAATTCGACGGGCTTTGTCCCAAAAACTGAATATCAACCATAATCCCGGATTTGCGGCACCGTTTCTGACTGTGTTTTGGTATTTTCTCCCGGATTTTAGCAGCTTTTTGCTTGTTTATCCGCGGATTAAGTAATTAAAGCGAGAATTGACTAAAAAATAGAGCGTGTTTTGGAAAATTAAGCCTTAATTGGGCCGGCGACGGTGTTTTTGACGGATTTAGAGAAAATTACGGTAATTTGCGAAATTTGCATAAATTTGCATATTATTTAAAGTGGCAAATTTTGGAATTATTTTGATTTAGAAATACGCCCTGAGGGGTTTATTGGAATTTTTAATGATTTTTTCGCAGAATTTTTGCAATTTTTTTTTGCGAAATTTCAAAAAAATTTTAAATTTAAATTCAAATTTTTGGTGTTTCAAATTCCCGGAATGATTTCTGATGCCCTCAATTTGCCTCGTGCCCGTTTCTGAAAACAATTTTTGTTTTTTGGACACTTTGGCCGCTTGTTTTTCCGCACCGTGCAAATTCAAACATCACTTCGGGTCGAATGACTCCTTGTTTTTTGTTGTTTTGGTCTCGAACGTGTGTCTAAAATGCATTTCGTTACAAATTCCAGGCAGTAATCATCCAAAATGATCCACTGAAAGGTCGAAAATTTTATTTTTTTGATCAAAAATTTTGACTTTTTTTTTTTTTGAGATTTTGGAGATATAAAGGGCAATTCGGGATAAACGGATTGATGAAAAGTGTTGACTTAGCTGTAGCCTTGATTTTCGGTCTTTGTCGGACGTGTTTACAAAGATTTATTTTAATTTTTTTTCGTTCTGATGTCTAAAATAATATCGAAATATGCAAATTACGGAGGTATTAGTCACTCTTTCTCGGTTTTAATAAAGTTCCACCAGAAATAGCCGAGTATCATCCGCGTATTTGGCAGATATGAACGGAAATCCCACCCATTTCCGCTAAAAATCCCTTTTTCCGCAAAAACTTTTGAATGTTTTCGGCAAGCGTTGACGCAGATTGACGGAATTTTTGTCATTTGCGACGTCTTCTATCGTATTTTTCATATTTTTCGTTATCTCGGCTGTTTTCAGACCGCCAAAGACATGGTCAAATACTACTATGCGACCAAATCGGAGATGAAATACAAGATGTTCTTCCCGAAGAACAAGAAAAAACCCAACAAATTGGCCAAACCCATACCGATGCCGGAGTTCCGCGAGATGTTCGACCATCTGATGGACACCTGCAGTAAGTTTTGCACGATTTTTGATCGTTTTGGACTGGTTTTGGCACGATTTTTGATCGTTTTGGAGTGGTTTTGGACTGCACTGTGCAGCACTTCTCAAGTTTGAGAACTGCACAGTGCGTTTTGAAAAGTTCCTCCGATTGCACTGTGCGAAATTTGACATTTGTGTTTTTTGCACAGTGCAATATTTTGTTTTTGGAAACGCACAGTGCAAAACGAAAGTTTATGTCGCGGCGACAACGAGAAAGCGACCATTGCACAGTGCGTTTTGAAAAGTTCCTCCGATTGCACTGTGCGAAGTTTTCCATTTGTTTTTTTTGCACAGTGCAATTGTTTTTTGATCTGTTTTTTTGCACAGTGCAACGAAGCTTTTGTTTTTTGTCATGCACTGTGCAGCGGTTCTCAAGTTAGAGGATTGCACAGTGCGTTTTGAAAAGTTAGTCCGATTGCACTGTGCGAAATTTGTCGCACAGTGCAATGTTTTTCTTTGTAAACGCACAGTGCAAAATGAAAGTTCATGTCGCTGCGACTGAACGGAAAGCACTGCACTGTGCAACGAAGCTTTTGTTTTTTTTGCACTGCACTGTGCAGCGGTTCACTGCATTCCGAATTATTTTTGCCGCCGACCGGCGTCCGAAAAAATGAAAAAATGAGATACGCCTCTTACATTTTTGCCAATATCTCGCTAGCCTCGAAGTGTAGCGTGAATCTGAAAATTGTGTTTCAAAGCTGACACATTTGTCCTTCAGAATATATTAATTTTGTGATGATACTTATTATGTACGACAAGGAAACCGTTGCTGAAAAATGGCAAATTTCAACATTCAATGCCAGAAAAATGTACTTTCTAAGTGCCAGATTGCAAAATTATGGGCCTCATTGTGTACAGAATCTTGAACACTATAAGATATAACAATTTCAGGCATTTTCTGGCCCGATTCGCAGAGTTATACCCGAAAAACTGCAATTTTGGCCTTCTTATTGAGCTATCTGCACTTTAAAAGTACATACAAAAAAACATTTCTATGATTTTTGTTGCCCAGGTTGTGATGGACCACTGTGCAAAATCTCAGCTTTCCAGGACTCCTCCGAAAAAAGTTATAACGGTTACAATATGGGACCCTCGTATGCCCAATATTTTGTAAAATACAGTACACCATTGTAAAAAATAGCTCTATATGGCCTACGTAAACTTACTCGAAACCTGAACACTGTTTCTCAGATTTTTCCGCACGAGGGACACGATTTCAAGTTTTCGCTATACTAAAGGGAAAACAGTGAAAAGTTGGGGACATAGCTGGGAAATTTTTATATGTAGTTGACCGTGTAATTGCGATAAAATTTTTTACCCCAACCAACGCGACAGCAGCAATAGGAATTCCATCATACAAAGCCATCTTGCACCGTAGTTTACCGTATTTTACAAAATATTGGGCATACAAGGGTCACATATTGTAACCGTTATAACTTTTTTCGGAGGAGTCCTGGAAAGCTGAGATTTTGCACAGTGGTCCATCACAACCTGGGCAACAAAAATCATAGAAATGTTTTTTTGTATGTACTTTTAAAGTGCAGATAGCTCAATAAGAAGCCCAAAATTGCAGTTTTTCGGTTATAACTCTGCGAATCGGGCCAGAAAATGTCTGAAATTGTTTTATCTTATAGTATTCAAGATGCTGTATCCAATGAAGCCCATAATTTTGTGATTTGGCACTTAGAAAGTACATTTTTCTGGCATTGAATGTTGAAATTTGTCATTTTTCAGCAATGGTTTCCTTGTCGTACATAATAAGTATCATTACAAAATTAATATATTCTGAAGGGCAAATGTGTCAGCTTGTAAACACAATTTTCAGATTCGCGTTACACTTCGAGGCTAGCGAGATATTGGCAAAAATGTAAGAGGCAAATCTCATTTTTTCATTTTTTCGGACGCCGGTCGGCGGCAAAAATAATTCGGAATGCTGTGCGGTTCCGAAATTCGAGGACTGCACGGTGCGTTTTGAAAGTTTCTCTGAGTGCACTGTGCGAAATTTTCGAACTGTTTTTTTTTTGCACAGTGCAATGTTTTTTTGGGAAAACGCACAGTGCAAAACGAAAGTTCATGTCGCAGCGACAACGGAAAGCACTGCACTGTGCAACGACACTTTCGTTTTTTTTTGATCACTGCACAGTGCAGAAAGGAAAAAGCTTTTTCTGCACGGTGCACTGATTTCGCGATTTTTTCCCCTTGCACAGTGCAGAGAGAAAAGAGAAGAAAAAATTCTTGCGAAAAAATTGGTTTTTTTTTTGCACAGTGCGTGACAAAGACAATTTTTTGCTCTGCACAGTGCATAAACTTTTGTAAAAATTTTTTCTTGAAAACCGCAGCGAACTAATCCCTTTTCCAAATTCCAGCAAAACGCGACATTTTCACGCACATTTGTTGTGTAATTTGCGATGGAGACATGAAAATCTTCACGGCTGTTCCGTCCATGTCCATGGAGAAGGAACGGCTGTACAAGAAGATCTTGAAAGAGCAGGAATTGCGACAAAAACTGCCAATCTGCACGAAATGCTTTGGAGCCTTCAAGAAGACAGCGATGTAAGTTAATTTTTAAAATTTTTTTATGGAAATTTTATTTTTCTTCACCAAGAAATCTCGTTTTAGCCGATGCCCGGTGGGAACTTGTCCCGGCGGAAAGCGAAAACAGAAACCATCACGAGCACCACCCCCAGAATTCTACGACCAACCCCTGGAGAATCAGTGTGCGATCGTGAGGAAGCTCCGATTCCATCCCGCAGCACCAAAAATTTGCTCCAATTGTTATAAACGGATTCAACAGGAAATCGAAAATGTAAGTGAAAATGGGAAATTGTAGGTGAGGGTGGGTGTAGGAGTGTGATAAATGATAACTACAAGTTTGTTGGACCCTTATTCGAGAGATTTTGAGAGTTGAAACAGAATGCCAAAAAATTAGAATGTGGAAATTGGAGGGGATAAATAGGTGTAGGAGGGTGTAGAAGCGCATATAAAGCTGTTTTTTCACGTTGTAATGGTTATTTCGGCAGTTTTTGCACTTTTTTGGGACTTGCAACAGAATGCCAAAAAATTAAAATATGCAAATTGGAGGGAATTAATAAGTGTATGAGGCTGACAAATAAGTGTAGGTGGCTGTAGAAGCACATATAAAGCTGTTTTTCACTTTGTAATGGCTATTTCAGCAGTTTGCGAGCAGTTTTGGGGCTTGCAACAGAATGCCAAACCGGCGGGAAATTTAGAAATTTAAAATATTGTAGGCGAGGGTGGATTGTTGGGACCTCTCAGAAGATTAGAACAAGTTTTAAGAGGCTGGTTTCCTGTTTTTCGACGGTTTTTGCCACTTGCAACAGAATGCAAAGACGGCGGAGAATTCGGAAATCCGAAGCATTTTGTTGATATTTTTTGGAAAAATAAATCTCTATGAGAAAATTTCAGTAGCTTATATCGCAGTTTAGACCGTTTACGGTCCTTGGAAAACTAAAATTTTTTCATTTTCAGATCGAAGACAACCCCTACTACAAGCAGCCACTGCCCGTTCCTCAAGCCAAACGAAAGCCCAACTGGAGTGCGGCTCGAGTCCGACAACTCTTCGATCTGGTCCAGGAGCTGGGCCGCGAATGGCTCTTGATTAGCCAACGCCTCGCAGACCCTCAAAACGGCTTCAAACCGAGTCCGCGACAAGCCAGAGCCCTGCACGAACGTCTCCGATACTTTTGGATGCTCAAGGACCGAAGAATTACGCTGCAAAAGCAGGCCCGAAAGATTAGCAAGCAATACCGAAGAATAAGGAGGAATGGAAGTGGTACGCTCAAATTGAGGAAGCAACAGAGCAGCGAGAGCGATGATGTCGTTGTAATTGACGAGATCAAACGCGAACCTCGCTTTGACGAGAATGGAACCAAAGGAAGAGTCAAAATGGAGCTTCCGCCGAAACTAGAGCCACTTCAAGAGGTCCCATCGATAATTGGAGTCAAACGGCCGGCCCATATGGACTCAATAGCCCATCAAATGGCTAGCCACACAGCCAACAGCGAGGCTTTGATTGCACAGGCCAATATGATCGAACAGAATCGAATGGGAATAACGACGACGGCCGGAAATCAGTCAAATTCGTTGCCCAGCCTCTTGGCCAGTCAACTAGCGAGTCAGGAGAACATGAATAGCCAGCCCGCGATCCTCGCCGCTCAAGCGACAGTATCGGCGCAAGCGGCGGCCGAATTGGCCCAGCTAAGTCAGGCAATCCAAGACCGGATCAAACTGACCCAGCCCCTCCAACTTCAGCCCGCTTTTCAAAACGAAATGCCCACGAATACGGATGTGGAGACGATTCGATTGTTGCTACTACACTTTAAGATCCCATCGACCTCACCGACCTGGAGAGACGAACTGGAGCGGAGCTTGAGGGACTCGAGTCAAAAGGAATTGGCTCTACTACAATATCGACTCAACTCGTTCAGACAATCCAAGTGGGAAGAACCGAGATGCCTAACGGGTAAGTTATAGCACCTAACTAGGGCATTAAAAGCGGTTTGGATCAAGTTACTCCACTTTAGAACCCATTTTCGGAAAAAATTTTGATATTGCACTGTGCAAAAAAATTAGTTTTAATTTTTTTCAAAATTTCAGGTGTTGGAATCAAATTCCCACTGAATGGTGCATTGACGAGCCCTCAACAACAATCCGGACCACCACCGGCGAAGAAGGCCAAAGAAGACCGGCCCGTCGATGAGAATCGACCGACCAGGAAATCCGGTCTGGCCACCGCTGCCCTCGATCAAACCCCACGACGGCCGACTGGCCCACAGTCGGTGAAACAGTTGGCACCACCGAACAACACTCATCGACCCGCAAGCACGCCGTTGGCCGAGGATTTGCAGCGAAAACCGCTAAAGCAGGAGCTGGCCAATATTCAACATGCCAGAACGCCCGATCCAACACTCGGAACACAGTCGGATGACAATGGTAGGTTCGGGCGATCGTATTTTAGCTAATCAGAGTGGAAATTTGCAATGCCAAAGCATTCAAGGTTTTCGTGGTGGGACCCAGAATTTTTAGGATGAATGTAAGATAATGTCAAATTCCTTTGCAGAAACGGTTCGAGACGTACGTAAGAAGGCACTAACACCGACTCCACTCACTGACTCGAAGAATAAGATCAATTCGAGCACCGAGAACACGGCCCCCATCTACGAAGAGCTCAGCGACTCGGATTCGGATCAAAGTCGGCCGCCGTCGACGAACGGACAGGTTCAGAAGGTCGTGGAAAAGAGAGTACCAGGTAAGTATTATCTACTAATCGAGTTTAGGCCTCAAAATCACAAAATTTTTATATTACACTAGACAAGCATCGAGTATAATATAAAATTTCGCTTCAGAATGGCCGCCCATGGTGAATATGTGGAATCTGGAGCCGGAGGAGCTGGAGAAGATCCGCTCCCTTCGCATCCCCCTCCTCAAACTCCCACCCATCCATCATCCGGAGCCGGGCCAACCGCCCAGCCCACCGTACGAAGACCTGTCGGACTAGACTGTAAATATTTGCATCGAATATCAGACTCATTGCCTCGTCCCTCCCCCTCATCCACTCTACCGGTTCCAACGTTTATATCGTCTTCTTTTCGTAACAAAACTTTTTCCACAGCGGGTTACTGTAGCCGAAATTACTGTAATTTGACAAAAAAATCTCGAATTTTGTACAATTTTGGATGTAAGACTGTCAAATTCAGTATTTACAATCTATATTCTAATAAAAATTTCCCATTTTTTGGTCAAAAATTTGTTACAGTAACCAAAATTTCTATCAATTTTTCACTTATTTCCCGAATTTGTTCCTATTTTGACGTAAGAATGACGCTCTTTTGCTCTGTCCGTCTCTCTAAATTCTCTACAATAATCAATCAGAACTCAAACACACGGGTATTGTTTTGTTCTCCTTAATTAAAGTTGTTGTTTCCTCTTCTTCTCCGAATAAACTTATCATTCAGAAAAAGTTTTGACCTCGAAGCGCCGCACTGTGCAAAAACTTCGAAACGAAAAAACAATAAAAATGCACGGTGCAGACATTTCGTCGCAAAAATTTTTCTTTTGCACCGTGCGAAAAATCCGAAACATTGCACGGTGCACTGCGGGTCGGGTCAAGTTTTTTTCATGGGGTGGTCAAGTCTTTCCCCTAATATTATTTTTTCCCCGAAATTCAGACTGTTATATGGGAGGTTAATCAAGGTAAATCTGGTCAGTTCTTGTTGATTATTTCAAGAACAAGTCTTATTCTATTTTTAGAAATCAAATTTGATTGAATTACGGTGTGGGTTTGCCTCAATTTTTAGCATTCTTTGGGGGTATGTATTCTATACCTAAATGATCGATTGTGAGACAGTTTCAAGTCTGATTTACGATATCGTTTCCATTTCACCTTCGGACGTACGCCACCTGTCCAATAAAGGTAAGTAACTGTGAATCTGGTAGTCCGTTTTCTAGTAATTAAAGATTTTGTATATTATACTAGGTACTTTTGAAGATTTTTGTTGAGATTTGCCAAGTTTTAGGCCTGGATTAGATTATTTAGCGTAATATTGGTCTCTAGTGCCTATAAAAACGTAAGTGGACAGGTTTCTCCTTCTCTTTTAGACTTTTTCTTTGTGTCCAAAGTTGATGCAGATTTTAGGTAGAGATGAAATTCAACGCCCAAACTATGCGGAATTTTCATAAAAATCAAAGAAAATACTTTCGAGGATCATCAAGCGAAGCAAAAATGTGTTTGAGACCAATCTAGCGTTTTTTTCAGGCGGATGTTATACATGATCCCTGTAACGTATAACGTCTGGATCACATCTGTGAAGACCTCTGGTGATGGAAAACGTGGTTAGGACAGTAAAATTAATATGTTGGACGTGATTTTGAGGGAAAACCAGGCAAATCCCGTACAAAATTTTCTGAATAACCTAGAATAATATACAAAATCTTTAATTACTAAAAAACGGACTACCAGATTCACAGTTACTTACCTTTATTGGACAGGTGGCGTACGTCCGAAGGTGAAATGGAAACGATATCGTAAATCAGACTTGAAACTGTCTCACAATTGATCATTTAGGTATAGAATACATACCCCCAAAGAATGCTAAAAATTGAGGCAAACCCACACCGTAATTCAATCAAATTTGATTTCTAAAAATAGAATAAGACTTGTTCTTGAAATAATCAACAAGAACTGACCAGATTTACCTTGATTAACCTCCGATATAACAGTCTGAATTTCGGGAAAAAAATAATATTAGGGGAAAGACTTGACCACCACATGAAAAAAACTTGACCCGACCCGCAGTGCGGTGCACACTTTTTCGTCAACAAAAATTTTATTTTGCACTGTGCGAAAATTTCGAAAGGATAAAAAAATAAAAATGAATTGCACGGTGCAAATCTTTTCATCGTAAATATTTCTGTTTTGCACTGTGCGAAAATTTCGAAGCGACAAAACAATAAAAATGAACTGCACGGTGCACAACCTTCTCGTCGCAAAAATTTCTGTTTTGCACTGTGCGAAAATTTCGAAGCGACAAAACAATAAAAATGAACTGCACGGTGCGCAATCTTTTCGCCATAAAAATTTCTGTTTTGCACCGACCAAACTTCCGCACAGTGCAGTTCATCTCGGCCAAACTTGCTTCGCACTGTGCAAAAAACCAAAAAAACCAACTGCACTGTGCAATAAAAGACCTTGACAAATTCGTTCAAAAAACAAAAAAAAAATAAGTAGCTAGCGACCCACAAAACAGAAAAAAAAATCTCAAAACGTCTTCTAAAACATTTTACACGGTGAAATTAACCGACAAAACTCCAAATTGAGCAAAAAAATCAAAGAAAATTATTATTTTATTAAATAAAAACATCACTTAGCATAGGAAATACCTATATTTAGCTCTGAAACCCCCTGCTATTAAACTATTCTACCCGTTTCCAACTTTTCACCCAACAAAATCTACAAAAATATAAAAAAATTGCTAAAAAATCGCTATAAAATATACAAAACACTAAAGAATTTGCAAAACTAAAAACGAAAATGAAATTCTAGACTCTTAACACAACCAAAGACGTCAAAACCCTTACAAATTACTTTCAAAAACATCAAAATTTATCAAAATTGCCTAGTGTAATATCCCTTACTCCGGATAGGCAAATGCGTGAGTGAAGCGGTCGAAACGGACTGGCAGGCCCCCATATTCCAGGAAGCATCCATATTCACTGGGGTTGATCTTGCTGAAGCCCGCAGCGGCTCTTACGGACTTGTCGTCGAAGCAGAAATGGGGGTCGGTATTGGTCGCGGAATCCACCGTATGGACTGGGGATTTTGCCTAAAAATAGAGAAATCATCACTCATTCCACCACAAAGCTTTTTCGCACCAACACCCCTCAAAAAATACAAAAAAATCGAAAAATTCGAATCCGATGTCAAGTATAATATAATAAATCTCTCAGAACAACCTCAAATCTCTCCTTACCACTTTACAATGGAACACAGAGTCATCGTCATTAATTTCCGGCAAAACAGTGTGTTCATCGAGGGATCCGGAGGTCTCATCGTGCAAATCCACCATATCTGGAAGATCACTGCTCTCGTATCGATGCCGACTCTTCAGCGGCGTGACCATCGGTGGCAATGGGCTTGAAAGACAGTTGGTCATGTCCGAATCGAATGTGGAATTCAGGGACTGGCTAAAATTTTAAAAATTATTGTCTAGTGTAATATCCAAAATAATTATGTAAAACTATGAAATCAAGTCGAAAACAGAACCGAATACTACCAAAATGACCCTACATAAATTTTCAATCCCAAACTCACTAGGACCCATCATGCGATATCGTTCTTTGATGTTCCACATCTTGCAGTTGTTTCCTCAGACGTTCGATCTGCGGAATCGTGTGAACTGGAGGTGGTGGAGTCTCAACATTGTCCCATTGGACGTGAAGATGCCCACCATGCGTGGAGTATCGATCATGGTTGGCCAGCATCTGTTGAGTGAGCTGATGACCCTTGTTCATGGCGACTAAACCATGAACAATATAAAAATCGCTCGCAACCTGCGAAATTAACAAAATCTTGGAGAAAGTTGATATTCTCTGATAGGATGTGATCTTGATCAGCTAATAAAACGGAAGCTACACCAAAAACTTCAATAGCAACGTAAGATTCTAATAATTTTCTTCCTGTAGTCAAGGTTTTGATGGGTAACATCGGAAAGGTCTAAAAACCAAGAAAAAATAATAAAATCTTACCCTCACGACATCTTGAAGGGGGTAATGCTTCGATAACTTGCGCAAGAGCATCCACTTCCGCCTCGGGATGCATGTCCAACCGAGGAACTTGACGCAACTCCTGACGACCATGAGCAAACCAGCATTTTCGCCCGAATCTAAAGAGTTATAGGTTAATTCCAATGAAACGTTTTACAGAGCTGCTTGATGGTAACAAGATAATAACTCCAAAATCTCCAGGTACAATAAATAGTCCAGCCGGAAATATCCCCCAAAGCATTTGGTCTACTATAACACCAGTAAACGCAACTCTGTTGTCCTTGCATGTCTAAAAACCAACACGAAATAACAAAAGCTTACTTGCATTCGCTCTTGCGTCGGTAGTGATCACATAACCGCGTCTTGTACAATGCCGGATTAGTCCAGTTTGGCAACGCGGCAGACGAACGACGGGAACGACTGTCTGAATCGCCGCTGATGGAACTGTTCGCGGAGCACGATCCACCGGACATGACGCAAGAGAAATGAAACTGAAAATAAACAGGGTTTTGGACGAAAATAACCAATAAACATAGCACGTATCAAGGATAATATCGGAAAGTGCTTCTTTATAAGACAATATGCAAACGTAAACACGATAAAACTGAACAAAATGTTAGAAAAGGGATTCAAAAAGACAAAGCGGATCTTTCTGGACCAAAGTGTATCAAATTCATCAGGTATTTTTGCACTTATATTACACAAGACATTAAAATACAAAATTGCTGGCAAGAAGATAATTTCAACCGTTTCTTGAGGTAATTTGCGTTTAAAACGAAGCTACTAGTGTAACAAACATTTTGAAATGATTTTCAAGATAAAACAACCAATTCTTCATCTAAAAAATCCAATTTCCCCCATCAACATCTGATACTCAACAAAATCTCAAATTTTTCGAAAACAACGGCCATTTCAATAAAAATTTTGTAGTTTTCCAGTAAAATACACCATGTTCTCACTTTATAGTAGATTTTCCAACCTGAAAACGGCAAATAGATCAAGGAATAACATCAAAAACTTCAAAAAACCGTGAGAAAAAAGCTGGAAAACGCAATTTCGTCAAGCCCGAGATGACGGAATATCTGGACGGCCGCGAGCGATCATCATTCCAGTTATTACTTTACTGCTACGGCAATAATCGAGTTTGAACTTGCCACTTGATGCAAGGGAATATTTATTGCACAGTGCAACCGAAATTTTGCACTATTTTGGCGTCCGCAGGGTGCAAAAATTTGAGGATACAAACTGACGAATTTTTCTGAAAACCAGTCAGCACTGACCGATTTTTTAGAGATAATGAAGAAGGATAAGTTTTTTTTCTTGTTCTTGTTAGTTTTCGATTGCTTCATGTTCATAAAATACAAGTTATCCTCATTCTCCACGTTCAAGATAATGTGTAAGGTAATATTTCATCGATTTTTCATTGATTTTTAGGTCTGTCTGATTGGAGGCACTTCTCTCGAGGCTGTACAGGGTTGTGAACGATAAATCATTGTGCACGTTAGTGCAAAACACAAACTAAAAAGATTTCAAACGAAAATTTGCTGTCTGCGCAAGAAAATGTCAAATATTTTGAACACTTTGGCAAGGATAACATCGCTTATTGTCTCAAAAGCTAGCTGAAAGGCTAGGCTATAAATCTGATATGATTTCAAAGCCAATAAACGTGTGGGTACAGCATTTATTTACAGATTGATTAAGAAGGGTTAGATTTCTCCTTGCTATTCTGCAAAAAGAGCTGTTTGATCTTTCGATAGGAAATCTTCTTCATGTCGGGCAGTTCCACGATCAACTCATGCACTTGGCGGAGCAATTCTCTAGCTTTCTTATTTTCCACGTGCTTTTTTAGATGCTTTTCGACATTTGTTTTATTCAGGAGGTCACGTTTGAGCCGGTAAATCTTGGTTTTCTAAAAACAAAGGCTTAAATGTGTCCAAAAAGGCAAATTCAATCTTTGAGATTCGATTTTGGGAAACTAGAAGTCCTAAAACACCGGCTTACATCAGTTTCATCCTTCCAAATCAAAGCGTTTTGATTGAAAATCCAAAGAATAACAAAAAACCACGAGATCATGTCGTCGAAATGACTCCTCTCCAACTTTAGATGGCTGGCCGGACTGGCAAAGATTAAACTTCCAAAGAATGGCACGTTTTTTCTCGGAGTCGGGAGGGGGATTCGGGCCAGTCCAAGATTAGTGACGAAGATTTTTGCGCCATCAAATTCGTAGCGAAAACTTGACGGTTTGATGTCTCGATGGACAATATTGGATACTTGAAGGTCTTCCATGCATTTAAAAGTCTCGGCGACTAGTTTTAGCTTCTCTCCCGAGCTTAAAGTACCACTGAGAACTTGTTTTTCGATCGATGGGCCGAGCTGAAAATAATTGTTTTTTGATGGGCAAAGTAATATAAATTGACGGTTTAGATGGGAAATTTTGTAGAGTTCGTTAGTTTTCTAGTGTCTTTGGACCCTCTAGGTTTTCATCATGATATATTGGTCACCACAGTACGAAATTTCCCCGTTTTCAAAGTCAGGTGACATTTTATACGAAAAAGTTTGGTTGACTAAAAAATCACTTTTTGATGGTTAAAATAATATAAATAGTTGGCAGTATGCCGTTAAAAGTGGTATATTTATTTGTTTCAACCGATCCGGGCTACAGTGGTGGACCTGATCCAATGGCAAAAAACGTTCCATTTTGCATCCGGAAAGTATCAAAAATGTAGCAAAATACCTCCCTCTCCAAGTGAACAAACTCCGGTTTGAAGGCGCGCGTTTAAAATTTGAGTTTTTTTTCACTTGGAGCGGGAGGTATTTTGCCACATTTTTGATACTTCCGGATGCAGAATGGTACGTTTTTTGCCACTGGATCAGGTCCGCCACTGTATATCTGCCTAAAATGCTCGACCTAACTCAAAACCCCTTACTTTACCTTTTTCACCACCATCAATCGTATATTGAATTGATCCAAATGCGCGGTACTGATAAATTCTTGAATGGTCCCGTTTTTCTGATACTTTTGCGCTTGTCTCATGACCGCGGCGATCGCCTGAAACGCAATATCACTCATTCTAAGCCGCTCTTACATCAATCCGATTCAATTTGCATCCCATATCCTCGTATTGCACTGTGCAGGGCTCTTCGTTCAAATTCAAATCGAATTCTCCAAACGTTGTTGTGAAAATTCTAGCCGGCAAGGTGACTCCGACCTTCTTGAAGGTCGTGAAGAAGCCTTCGTCCGGTTTCGCCAGGCCATCCAGGGGTTTGTTGGGACGCTCCGCCTCGAGGCCTTCGACCTCATTCTTCTCGAATATTTTGTTGAGCTCGTCGGAATTGAGAAGTTCGACGACTGTGTCCTGAAATGATAATTTTTGGTTGAATACTCTATTCTAAATGCAATTCGACAAAAGTTTCCGGGAAAAAATAAAATGTGTTGCACAGTGCAAAAATTTTTGGCGGAGAAAAATTCCGCACGGTGCAATGAAAATTTTTCTTTCGTTGCACTGTGCGGTCAAAGGGGATGTTCCATCTGCACAGTGCAATTCAGGTGCCTTTCAGAGAAGGACTTGCACGGTGCAATAGAACTTTCTGTTCCGTTGCACTGTGCAATCGAACTTTCGGTTCCATCGCACTGTGCAATCGAACTTTTTGTTCCACTGCACAGTGCAATCGAACTTTTGGTTCCATTGCACTGTGCAATCGAAGTTTCGGTTCCATTGCACAGTGCAATTGAACTTTCTGTTCCGTTGCACTGTGCAATCGAACTTTTTGTTCCACTGCACAGTGCAATCGAACTTTCGGTTCCATCGCACAGTGCAATCGAAGTTTCGGTTCCATCGCACTGTGCAATCGAAGTTTCGGTTCCATCGCACTGTGCAATCGAAGTTTCGGTTCCATTGCACAGTGCAACCGAACTTTTGGTTCCATCGCACTGTGCGAAAATTTGAATTCAAAAACAATCCGCACAGTGCAATTGAAACTCGTTTTTCTCCGCACAGTGCGAGGAACGCGATTGTCAACCGCACGGTGTAAACATTCCCCTTTTTTGAATAGCTTTTTCCGCACAGTGCAAAAACTTGCTTACCACTGGAATAGCTCTGGAGACAACGGTCGTAGTATCCTTTGTCATATTCATTGGGGAAAACGCAGTTTTGACTACAGTAAGACGAGATTCCACCGTATTCCCATCTAGCTCAGTTCTTTCAGTTACTGTCATCATCTAAATTTATATTATTTCATGAACTTTTGGCTCAATTTACATATGTTTTCTCCTTCTGCGTTTTCTTGAACTGATAATACAAAAATAATCCGAGCAATGCTGTAATGGAAATGACAAGGATGCCATTTGCAACAGCCAGGGAGGTTATAATTCGAAGTTCACTTGGTCTTTCCAATCCCGCCGGAATGTATGGATCGGAATCTCCGGTGTTTTCTTGCTAAAATTAGGACAGATCAACGCTAATTGCAGTACAAAAAGTTTGTAAAAAGAGTCGAGTTCAATATAATTAAACATTTTTTTTTGATTTTTTTTGTATTTTTTTGCACGTACAGTCTGGACCCAGTGGCAAAAAAATGTTCCATTTTGTATTCAGGAAGTATAAAAAAGCAGCAAAATACCTCCCTCTCCAAGTGAAAAAACTCCTTTTTGAAGAGCGGCTTTCCCTCACAAAAAGAGCAGGGCCCCGCTCTTTTTGCCCCGCGGGGGCGCTTTTGAAATCGGAGTTTTTTAACTTAGAGAGGGAGGTATTTTGCTGCTTTTTTGATACTTCCTGGATACAAAATGGAACATTTTTTTGCCACTGAATCAAGTCCGCCACTGTACGTGCAAAAAAAAAATTCCGCACTGTGCAAAAGACAAGAATGACTCTTTTATGCACCGTGCGGACAAATGGGGAAGCAATTTTCTTCTATTTGCACTGTGCAGTGACAAAAAATTCGCACGGTGCGGGAAAATTTTGCTTTCTCGCACAGTGCAAAAGGAGTGAATAAAGTTTTACTTGCACCGTGCGGTAAACATTGACAGTCAGAAAAAAATCGCACAGTGCAAAGCCAAAAAAAAGATAGAGAAAGGTCCGCACTGTGCAAAAAAATTTCTTTCTCGCACATTGCAAAAGAAATAAAAAAAATGTCAACTCGCACCGTGCAGTAAAAACTGACAGTTAGAAAAAGAAACTGCACAGTGCAAAACAAAAAAAAATAGAAAAAAGTCCGCACTGGGCAAAAAAATTCTTTTTCGCACCGTGCAGAAGAAATTTTTTTTTGCACTGTGCAATCGAAATTCAATATGAAAATGTTGTAGAATAGCTTACTTTGAACCGAAAATAAGCCGCAGAGTAATTCTGGAGATTTGTCCACTCTTGTTGAGCACAATCCTTGGTGAGATACGCAAAAGAAACCGAAAAAAATATCAAAAAAGCTGACAATTTGGACTTACAAAATCATAAACTGCATCGGAAGGGCCTGGCTGGAAAATCCCCTCATTTGGCGTACAGGGAATTAGGTCGCTGTCCTTTACCTCTTTCTAAAAAATTTTTTTTGGTAATGCCAATATCAAAATTAAAGAAAAAATTTTTTTTTATCCTTACGAGTGTTGAGTAATCAAAAATTTGATTGCATTTCTCGGCGGTAAACACATATAACACGTCCAAATGCCTTTGATATGAGAATCTAACTCCATTCGAGTCAAAATTCCCGACAAATTGGGTCTTATTTTCACCTGGAAACTGCCGTAAAACCGATGTTTGGAGGATGAAATCGGTGAAATCCGGGGTGATTACAATATTATCCGGTCGAATATTGTCTTCCACCCCCAAAGACATGTCATCAAGCGCGATTTTTGAGCTGAAAAATAAATTACCAAAGTTTTGCGGGGCGCACAGTGCAGTCGAAAAAATTTGATGATGCACAGTGCAAAAAAATCGCGACAAAAAATCAAATCGCCCAGTGCAGAGGAATGCACAGGAATAATGCACTGTGCAGCCAAACAAATATTTAATCTGCACAGTGCACAAATCTATTGTATACCATACGGAACGGTATACAATAGATTATCCGCACGGTGCAAAATTCTCAGTATTTGTCCCGAATTTTTCATTGCACTTTGCAGTCGAAAAAATGGAGCTTTTTTGCACTGTGCGGTCAAAAAATCAAACTTTTTTGCACTGTGCAATCAAAAAATGAAACTTCTTTTTCACTGTGCAGTAAAAATCAAGGTTTTCTTGCACTGTGCAGTCAAAAAAAGCAAACTGTTTGCACTGTGCAGTCTTAAAATCGGTCTCTTTTGCACTGTGCAATCAAAAAACCAGACTTTTTTGCCATGGCCAATCAAAAAATAAAGGTTTTTTTGCACTATGCAAACAAAAAATTATGCCTTTTTGCACTGTGCAGTGAAAAAATCAAACTTTTTTTGCACTGTGCAGTCAAAAAAATGACTTTTTAAATTTTGATACCCATTTCCGTTTTGGTAAATGACTCCAATTCTTTGCAATCTAGCATTCCAAACCACATGTTGCGGTGAGCCAGGGATCAGTTCTCTACTGCAATATGAAAGTTTATATTGCACGTGATAAAAAAGTCATCAAAAAGTTGAAAAATCAATAAATATTTGCCTTTTCTCCTGAATAAGGCTACTCGTCAAAGAAATTGTATAAGTGATCGCATAAAGAGCCCCATCAATCTTTTCGTAGGTATAAAGAGCCGCTTCGTTGGTTCCTTCGGGCAAAAACGCGGCCAGTTGACAGTTCTTGTACAGTGAAAGAAATGCCTGAGGCATTGTTTGGGCTGTCGCTGACATCAGAAGAACAAAGAGTCTCAAAAATGGAGACATTTGGAAAATCGACTGGTCGGAAATTGAAAATGAAAAAGAATATTTTTTTGGAAAAAATTTTTTAGGAGTAACAATGTTTGAAGAAAATTGCAAAAATCCGAGCTTTTGTCGCCAAATTCTCATTGCACGGTGCGCCAAAGGCGACAATTCGCACTGTGCAAAAAATTTTTTAATGCAAAATTTGCAAGAAATTTGAATTTTTGCCCGTTTGAGAGTCATTTTATTCTGGGGCCGTCCTCTCAGAGCTCTGAAAATTCGAAATCCCCATGATTCAAGGCTTCGATTATAGTACAAGTTTTCGAAAAAATTAAAAATCTTGGGAAATTTTGATTTTCAGAAATCTCGGAAATGATAAGCGCACTGATGAAATTTGGCCATCTTGTAGAAAATCGAATTTGACACACATAGACAAAAAGAAATTTGTCAATACTATCATGCAACTTGTCCTTCTGGGTTGCAGATGTTTTAAAAATGAGATTTTTTTCAATTGTCATCGGGGAAGGTTACAATGCGGGGTTCCTTATTATATTTTCTGCAAGCCAGCTTTTTACTCTACTGCCCGACCAAATTTCAGCCTTACTAAATGAGTCGTCACAGCCTTCGAAGGTACCCTTAAAACTATAGAGCTATTATAGTAATTCAGTGCCAGCTAGGTCGAAGCGTTTTTTCCTAACTTTAGTGCCCAAGCCTGGGCGCAGTTCGCGGGGTACCTTTGTTGTGGCCAAAATAAGGAACTTTTTCCGTACAGAATGCCGTGAAGCGTGAACTTCCCGAAAAATTAAAAAACCATTTCCAAAAAATAAATTCTTCCATTTATTCCCCCATAATCCCTACCGACCAGTCGCTTCCAAAAATGCGGCTGATTTTGCTCGCCTTCTTGCCAGTGTTGTCAGCGTTGTCGCCGCGAGGTCCTCCTCCAGATGCAGCAGAACCTTATTATAAGTTTAAAAACCTGTTCGAGAAGTGTGCTGAGTTGAAGAAGTTCTTTCCCGTGAGCGCTGCGTCGGCTCAAATGTGGTCGTTGAACATGAAGGATGAAAAAATTGTCATTCACAAACTCGTTTTTAACTTGGTCGACATGCAAATTGACACCAAGAGGTGAGTGGTGAACGGACCTTCTAGAGAGCAAATTTTTGAAACGCTGATACGTTAGCTTGGTGTACAGCCTACCTTATTGCTTGCATATTTTCAGCGTCGACGTTACTTCAGCAACCAGCGATTCTGCAATTTGGAATCATAATATGAAAGGGTTAGGTTACTTCTTGGATTCTGAATGGTAAGTTGACAGTTGACATGACTCCCGTTTGTCAGGCCAACCTTCCAGTGGGAAAGCGATGAACCTGGTCCGTCAAACCAGCTAGATTTGGGAAACACGAATGGTACCTGCTATGGATTTGCGACCGAAGATTACGTCTACACACAGGTTTTCCAGGAGGATGGAGCCAAAAAATTTGCTCGTTGGAGAGTCGATTTGAGCGGAGAAGTTGAAATTCTCGGCGATGCCAGCCCTGACGAAAATGTGCTCCTTTTCCAGTACAAGTTTGGGCCCGCGTACTATTTGACGGACCAGAATTGTCTTCAAATCAATGATCTCAGGCAGTTGGTAAGTCGCAGACACAGCTTGGGTTTTGAGCGAAACACTTGACTCATTTACCAAAGCGCTTTGCCTTTCAGTCTGATGGTTACAAAAGCTTCCGCAAATGCAACACCTCCCAAGGAATGTTCGCTTTCTCCGATCTGTACGAATGGTACAGCCTGGTAGGCCTGGTAGAAGCTTTAATTTGCTGATTCATCAATTAAGTTCAACAATTTCCTCTCGTTTTCAGAGTGCATTCGCATGGCTGACAAGAGAGTGCGATGGCGAGATTTGGAGCAACTATTGGGCCCACGTTTTCGTCAAGATTCGATTCCTCCCGGGATATCCGCCGGTAAGAAAAGGGAGGCGATTTGAAAGGGAAGGGCCGCACTGCTGATAAAATGGGCCGGTGCAGACTGGGATTGCTGCACAGTGAATTTCAAAGGCAACGGGAGGACTGCACAATGCAGGAAATTTGGAATTTTGTTCCGAATTCTGCGATGCATCTGTGCAGAACAGAGTAGTCACTTATCTTTTTTTCAGGCGATTCGAAGAACAACAACTCTAACTCCATTTGCAACGACCCCCAGGTGAGACGAAAAAGCTTGACATGTGTTTGCACGGTGCGGTCGCGGTTTTTCGCGATAAACGTTCGGCATGATGCGAAGAAGGAGCGCGAGTTAGACGCCCGCAACATTGAGGCAACGCGAAATTGAAAAAAAAAAATACAAAAATGTTTCCCGCCCAATATGGAGTTTCGGCCAAACGAAATGTCACAATTGAAAAAAGAAATAATTTCGAGATTTTTTGGAAAACCCTTTTCTACATTATACATTGTGCCTCGCCGCCGTTTGAAGAGATGCGACGTGCACCGTGCACACATGTCAAGGCTTTTTGGTCACTTTCTAGTAGCACAACAACGGAAGAAGAGATAACGTAGTAAGTTGAGCGGCAAGTCGCCATAAAATTCGTCCTTAAGCCATTCCCCATGCCCCAACGTCACCAACATCTATCGGATTGTGTTGTTGACTCTAGCTATAATCCTTGTGTTGATTGGTATCAACAACGTTATATTTTGCGTCTACATGCGGAGAAAAGTGAAGGTAAGTGCGACGTTTTTCTAGGAACACTTTATTTCTTAAAAAAATAAGGCTAAAAAATTCGAAAAACAATACTTTAAGGAAGCAAAATTGCAAGCAGCGCGTTTTGAGTCTTCGCAAGACAGCAAGGGCAGCACTAGCACTGGGAAAGCAACGGCGACTTCCACAACCACTGCAACCACTGCGGCAGACTCCTCAACAACAAAAATCTCACGGTTGGCAACGATGTCGTCGCTCTCTTCTGAGGGATTGCCCAAGGTAAGGAATATTAAGACGTTGTTTTAGTCTTACAGGACGCCGTGACAAAACTTTTGCTGAGCCCGGAAATTGAGAAGATCTTTGACCAGAATGAAGTGGAAGGGATCGAAGCAGAGCTCCCCTACACACCTCTGGAAAGACAGCCGGAACCTCCGGAGGGATTCTTCTGTACCTTCGGAAAGATTGGGGTCACCATCCCGGCCAAGACATTCTACAAAACGTTTGGGGAATTCGAAATGGAAATGGGCGGAGAGTTGTGCACAGTGCAGTTTGAAGATGTGAAATCTGAATTGAATCGGATTGAGGTAGGTGGGAAACATAGAGAAAATAACTTACTGGGACATACTAATAATATTCTAGGCGATGGCAGCGGTAATGAGACAAGCCCAAAAGAAGCAGATAAATGGGACCATTCCCGAATTCATGGTCACGGCCCAATTGGACGCCTTCAACTTCCGGTTGCTGGTGGCGAAAAAAGTAAGTTGAAGTCCTAAATTTACGATAAAAATGGACCGCTTTCTGACCGTTGGGTGCGAAACGTTCCGCAAAAAAAATAATTCTCTAAGCTAGGGTAATAATTCTGAGTCTCGAAGCGAAAGTTATGTTCGCCAATAAAAATAAAACGCAATGCCAAGAAACGATTGGTTTTTCGAGAAGTTTTCACTTTGGGATACAGAACAGCAATTCGAAGGCAATATTAGCTTTCATATCCTACGGATACCTAAAATAATATCGAAAAATGTAAGGAAGAAGCACTAAGTTATGCTATGATTACGTTCAAGTCCGTATTGAAAAACGCCTGTATTTTAGTGGCTGTTTTTTGATGGTAGCCAATGCGACGGAACAGTTTTTTTCGTTTCTGATTTAAAAAAAAAATTCAGCTTGGTCCATCCATCGAGAAACAAGTCCTCAGCGGTAACCTAAGCACTGAAGAGAGGTTGAAACTGGTCTCCCTGACCTTCAATTGCATGGAGGACCTTCTCTTTTCCAACATTGTCCATCGAGACATCAAACCTTCAAGTTTTCACTATGATTTTGTCGGCTCAAAACTCCTCATTTCCAACCTTGGACTAGCCAGAATCACTCCAAAGTCCCCTCGTCTCAAGCTGCCATTCTTTGGGAACCTCACTTTTTGCAGTCCATCCACCCATTTGAAGCTGGAGAGGACCCATTTTGATGACATGGTCAGCTATTTCTATGTGGTTTTGTGGATTTTCAAAAAGGATTTGCTGATTTGGAGTAGCGAGACTGATGTAAGGAGCTATTTCACTTGTTATAGGCCTCATTCTTTTATTACATTAGCTTTTTTTACCCCTATTTTTCAGAAAACAGTGGTTTATCAGCTAAAATCTGACCTAATGGAGGGAAAATTGCTTGAAGAGCGGTTGAAAAAGTTCATCAAGCACGAAAAGATCATAGAATTCCTGAGCCAACTCTTCCGTCTGATCCTCATGTTACCCCCAAAACGACCATCTTATCGGAAAATCAAGGAACTGATTGGGAAGAACTAATTGTAGGATAAATAATACCAAGGTTCTGGTTGAAGGAAAATAAAAGATTCCGTATTCAGTAACGGGAATATTGAGGGAAAAGGTATCCAAAAAGGGTTTGCATTCCATCATTTTTTGATTTTCGCAAGTTGTTTGATGACGTCATCATTCTTCAGAGCTAAAAGAAGAGGACCGCATGTTGAAGAGAAAAGTTCATTTAGTAAAAATTTAGATGTTCGAGAGTTTATATGTATAATTTAAGACGTTGGAATGGTAGTGGTGGCAGCTGCTGTTGCGACAGTCTGAAAATAAAATTTATTGTATGTCATCAAAAATTTGAATCACAACTTTTCCTTGTGCCAAAAAAACTCCTTTGTCGCACAGCAAAAAAGTTTTTTAAATACCGCCTTTTCGCACTGTGCAAATTTCAAAAAAACTTACCGTAGTTGCAATAGGCCGCGAAATGAATTGAATCTTTGCATAAGCATGGCTCCAGTAGTTGCTATAGGTTTGATTTGAGCAGTTCCTTGTCAGATATGCGAATATCGTCTGAAGAAAAAAGTTTTCGTCCCACTAGTTTAGTGATGATAAGACTTACCATACTGTAAACTGTATCAAGTTTGCTTGGATTAAACATTCCTTCGTCGGTGTCGCAGAGAGAGAAACTATTCTTTTCCAACCTCTAAAAAAAATTTTTTTTGAAAAAAATATTCGAAATTTTGGGTGAAATTTGACAAAAAAAAAAATAAATTTTTTTTTCGCAAAACTGCTTACCATTGTCAACAACTCCCCGAATTCCAGGCACTCTGTCTCCGACAAATAATAAACCGGTCCATTCGGCTCAATGAATTGTAAAAATCCGGCGATTTCTCCGGCTTCGCCGAGAACCTCGATGCTTCCATTCAAATCAGCCTTCCAACGAACAAATTTGGGTTGTCCTCTAACTTGTAACACCGCGTAGACAAAGTCTTTTCGCACAAATCCATACAATTCGCCGTAGTTTAGTGAGTCCAGCTTGATCGTGCGAGTTGGGTCATCGCTCCAGACAAAGTGCATACTGAAATGGGAAATAAATAAAAAATAAAAAAAAACTCTTTTATTTCCTTACTCGTCTTTTTTGAAAGTAATAAGTCCAACCTTGCGCATATCATGGCTCCAGATTCCTTGTGCCTCAAATGACTTTGGCAATTGTTGCCTAGAAAAATTATTGAAACAGAGAGGTCTGAAAATCAGTGGTGGGCTAGAATTTGACCCTGATTTTTTTGTCTTATAGTCGTTCCAGAAAGTGCGTCGATTTTTTCGGCATTTTTTCGCACCGCACTGTGCATGTTGCGCTATACTTTTCGAAACATTTTGTATCAGTCTGTGGGGAAAATAACGGCGGATCGTCGCGCCTTGGAATCGCGCATCATCGATTTGCGACTGAAAGCCGCGGCTAGGGATTTGGTGCGCGATAGCGGCGAGGCGAGACATTTTGCTGCGACAATCCGCCGTTATTTTCCCGACAGACTGATACTGTGAAATTTCTTTTCGCGCTCCGCAAAAAAGTGTTTTGCGCAAGGTGCGGCCCATAAAAAAGTCTGCAAACTTTATGAAAATGCTAGTAGTCCGTTCGTAAAGTCGCTGCAATGATTTTCGCGACATGAACTGTGCAAAAAATCCCTAAAAATCCCTTATGGGCGACAACCCAAAGAAGTCTATCGGTCTGTCGGGAAAATAACGGCGGATCGTCGCGCCTCGGAGTCGCTCATCATCGCTTTGCGACTACAAGCCGCGACTTGGGATTTGGTGCGCGATAGCGGCGAGGCGAAACATTTTGCTGCGACGATCCGCCGTTATTTTTCCGACAGACTGATAATGCACGGTACAAAAAGCCAAAAATTGCACGGTGAAAAGTGGACTTTTGTTTTCGCACAGTGCATGTCGCCGAAATCGCTCCAGCGACTAACCAGTGCGAAAACAAAAGTTCAGTTTGCACTGTGCAATTTTCATCGTTTTGCACCGTGCAAAAGGCTTTTTCGGGCTGTCGCTCGCACCCTGACTTTTCCTGCACAGTGCATGTCGCAAAAATGACTCCAGCGACTTTACAAAAGGACCAGTACCATCACTGTCAATGTTTACAACATCTATGTCCAAAAATATGTTTGGACAACCGGAATTCAAACCCCACTCACTTCGAAACGGTCTCAACACTCCCATTTTCGAAGTCAACACCGTACTCAACGGCATAAAGGCCCGTCTCATTGTTCCGAACAAACTCCAAAGACCAAATTTTTGCCCCGGTGGCTGTTTCCGGCACATATCGCTGTAGATCGCAGTGCTTATAGAGCTGCCAAAATGCTTTAGGCACTTCTTCCAGTTGAGGGCTGAACAGCGCAAAAACTGAGGGAAGAGAGGCGAGGATTAGCAACATCCGACCGGCTGATAAGATAATTGGAGAGAAGATTGAGGAAGATTTTTTGATTTTAGTTTTCGAAGAGAAATTTTGATTTGCATAATATTCCTTGGGAAATTTTTGATTATTTTTTTTTGAAAATACATTTTATTTTTAAACATTTGCGTTAGACTAGCCAAAAAGTTCGGTCTTCATAATTCAACACTTCCCATTACTGAATACATAATAATTTATTTCATAAACTTTACTGTTTGACTAGTATTACGCTTTTTCAAAAGTGCAGACACATTTTGTCGTGGGTCGCACCGTGCACAAAACTTCCTTTTGCGGGGTGCATTTTGACCTTTTGCACTGTGCAACCGGATATCGCTGCGACGCAAGCTTTTCTCAACGGAGCCGGCGCGAATTTTTTTAAATTGCACAGTGCAAAAATGTTTCGAATCAGATCGCGTCGCGCGGGGAACACGAAACTTGCACTGTGCGGTGCAAAAAAGGCCGGAAAATGTGTCTGCACTTTTGAAAAAGCGTAATAGCTTTATCCTACGAACAGTTCTTTTCGATGAGGTCCTTGATTTTCCGATAAGATGGTCGCTTTGGGGGCAGTTTGAGGATCATACGGAAGACTTGGTTCATAAAATCTTTGATCTTCTGGTCCTTGATGAACTTTTCCATACGTTCTTCGAGCACCTTCCCCTCCATTAGGTCAGATTTGAGCTGATAAACGACGGTTTTCTGAAAAATAAGGATAAAACAAGCTAATGTAATAAAAGAATGAGGCCTATAACGAGTGAAAAAGCTCCTTACATCATTTTCGCTACTCCAAATCAGCAAATCCTTGTTGAAAATCCACAAAACCACATAAAAGTAGCTGACCATGTCATCAAAATGGGTCCTCTCCAGCTTCAAATGGGTGGATGGACTGCAAAAAGTGAGGTTCCCGAAGAAAGGCACCTTGAGACGAGGGGACTTTGGAGTGATTCTGGCTAGTCCAAGGTTGGAAACGAGGAGTTTTGAGCCAACAAAGTCATAGTGAAAACTTGAAGGTTTGATGTCTCGATGGATAATATTGCAAAAGAGAAGGTCCTCCATGCAACTGAAGGTCAGGGAGACCAGTTTCAACCTCTCTTCAGTGCTTAGGTTACCGCTGAGGACTTGTTTCTCGATGGACGGACCAAGCTGAAAAATAACATTCTTTTAGATGAAGAACAAATTAACTGGCATTGCGTTTTATTTTTATCCGCAAACCCAATTCTCGCTTCGAGACTCAGAACGAGTTTGCGAGCAGACGCCTTCATTCTCTATTATTCCTCACCAGGGGAACAGTTGACACAGGACTTCCTCACTACGAAGATTTTTTTTGTTTTCCCCGCGTTCAAGAAGGCTTTTCACCATGAAGACAACTTGGATTTTTCCAAAAAAACAGTTCTCATCAAGATCCCGCTCCCCCGTACGATTTGATGTCTAAACTGCCAGTTTTCTCATCCGATAACCCACTAAACTATGGAGTATTGTTATTCTTGTTGTGCCATGGATAATGTAAGTTTTATTTCTTATTGTGTTGACCTGTTTTCAAACCTAATTATAGCTCTGGGTAGAGTAGGCTTTGTTCTGATTTCAATTTCGAATCAGAAAAATCGAGTTTCACGAAATTTTTATGTTGTACTTGGTCCACGTGTTTGCTCCCTCGGTCAAGATCGGCGAGTGTGCCACCTTAGAGGGAAGACTCAAGCACTCTACACCCTCCAGCTTTCACAGGGCACAAAAATCGTTTCTGCTGGCTTTTTCATATCCAACGGTCAAAAAACAGTTCGTTTTTTAAGATTACAACTTACTTTTTTCGCTACCATCAGCCGGAAATTAAAGGCGTCCAATTGGGCCGTGACGATGAATTCGGGGATGGTTCCATTCACCTGACACTTTTTGGCTTGTCTCATTACCGCTGCCATCGCCTGGAATACCATTATTATTATGTCCCAATAAGTTATTTTCTCTATTTTCCCCACTTACCTCAATCCTATTCAACTCAGATTTCACATCTTCAAACTGCACCGTGCACAACTCTCCGCCCATTTCCATTTCGAATTCCCCAAAAGTTTTGTCGAATGTCTTGGCCGGGATGGTGACCCCAATCTTTCCGACGGTACAAAAGAATCCCTCCTGAGGTTCCGGCTGTCTTTCCAGACGTTTATGGGGGAGCTCTGCCTCGACGCCTTCCACCTCATTCTGGTCGAAAATCTTCTCAATTTCTGGGCTCAACAAAAGGTTTGTCACGGCGTCCTATAAAAAATAAAACGATATTTGGTCTTCCTTGCCTTGGGCAATCCGCCAACAGTGAGCGGTGCCATCGTTGACATCCGTGAGATTTTTGTTGTTGAGGAGTCTGCCACAGTGGTTGTCGAAGTCGCCGTTGCTTTCCGAGTGTTAGTGTTGCTGTTGCTATCATGCAAAGACTCAGAATGCGCTGCTTGCAATTTTGCTTTCTAAAAGAATTGTTTTTTTTTTAATTTTTCGAATTTTTTTGCCTTATTTTTTTTAAAAGAGAGTTTTTTACAGATAGAAGCTTCTCATAACAAGGCCCGGACATTTCGAAAAAACGACCAACTGACAATCTTTTGATAATTTGCATAGTTGTTGTACTGTGATAGCTGAACGTCAGCGTGAATTTTTAGTTTTGAAAATTACCGTATACGGGGGTTACGGTAGGTACAATTTTCAGAAACATTGGGTCCGTATGTAAAAACCCCAAGGAGTAAAAGCACAAAACCCCGCTATTTTACGTTTTCGACCATGGGGAACATTTTCATAGTTGACACCTTTGTCGTAGGATGTAGCCTTCGACTAATTTAAAAAAATACCAAGGTACCATATTCAATGTAACTTTTTTGCAGAGAACTTGTCTCAACTTTTGAAACGTCTTACAAATACTTTGACATGTGTGTAACAACATATCAAAAATGCGCGAAAATAAAAGGGGTGGTTTTGGGGTTACGGTACTTTGATTGTGGCCCGAACGGTATATCAAAATATAATTTTTTTCAAAATCGGTGTGGAAGAGAATCATGCCAAAATACGTTTCGGACCATGGAGAACATTTTTGTAATTAACACTTTTTCTGTAGGATGTCATCTTCGACTACTTGAAAAATGACCAAGATACCATGTTCAGTATAACTTTTCGGCATTTTACTTGTCTCAACTTTTGAAACCTTTCAAAGACACCTTGACATATGTGTAACAACATATCAAAAATTTAGAAAAATAAAAGGGGTGGTTTTGGAGTTATGGTACTTTTAATCTTGATCATACAGTACACCAAACTTTTGTTGTGATGCTGACATCCGAATTTGGAAGATTCCACCGTCGTATGGCATACACGAGTCTAAACATGGTAATCGTTGCAAAAAATTTAAGAAATCGCTGATTTTGCTGTTACAGTAACCAATTGTCGGCGCACGATATGTTACAGTATGCTTAGGCCTAAATTTTCTGAATTTCCCAGTGAAAATAGTTTCTGAGGGTTGTGCAACATACATAAAACGTTACATCTTGTTTTTAAAATAATCTGCGTAAAGTTTAGCAGAGAATAAATCTAGGTGTACTGTATGTCCAACATTCAAAGTGCCATAACTCCAAAACCACCCCTTTTATTTTCCTAAGTTTTTGGTATGTTGTTACACATATGTCAAGGTGTCTTTGAAAGGTTTCAAAAGTTGAGACAAGTAAAATGCCGAAAAGTTATACTGAACATGGTATCTTGGTCATTTTTCAAGTAGTCGAAGATGACATCCTACAGAAAAAGTGTTAATTACAAAAATGTTCTCCATGGTCCGAAACGTATTTTGGCAAGGTTTGCGGGTTTTCTACGTCAAATTTAGAAAAAAAGAAATGTTGATGTACGGTACCGGCCACATTCAAATTACCATAACTCCAAAACAACCCCTTTTATTTTTGTGCATTTTTGATATGTTGTTACACATATGTCAAGGTGTCTTTGAAAGGTTTCAAAAGTTGAGACAAGTAAAATGCCGAAAAGTTATACTGAACATGGTATCTTGGTCATTTTTCAAGTAGTCGAAGATGACATCCTACAGAAAAAGTGTTAATTACAAAAATGTTCTCCATGGTCCGAAACGTATTTTGGCATGATTTGCAACTCTTCCACACCGATTTTGAAAAAAATTATATTTTGATATACCGTTCGGGCCACAATCAAAGTACCGTAACCCCAAAACCAACCCTTTTATTTTCGCGCATTTTTGATATGTTGTTACACACATGTCAAACTATTTGTAAGACGTTTCAAAAGTTGAGACAAGTTCTCTGCAAAAAAGTTACATTGAATATGGTACCTTGGTATTTTTCAAATTAGTCGAAGGCTACATCCTACGACAAAGGTGTCAATTATGAAAATGTTCCCCATGGTCGAAAACGTAAAATAGCGGGGTTTTGTGCTTTTACTCCTTGGTGCTTTTACATACGGACCCAATGTTTCTGAAAATTGTACCTACCGTAACCCCCGTATACGGTAATTTTCAAAACTAAAAATTCACGCTGACGTTCAGCTATCATATACTCCGCGCATTTAATTTGGATCAACCTGGATCTCAAAAACTAAGCAAGGCCTGGACTTGATTATTTTTGTATAATAATCTATTGTCATAAAGAACATGTTTGAGCAACAAACAATCACATTTCAGGTAAGTGTAAAATTTTAAATTGCAATTTAAGATTTCGGGTGCGCAGAAAATTTGGATCAGCCTTGCAAAAAATTATTTTGCTCGCTGAGGTGGTCGATTTTATTGTTGTAAATGGCGAATACGGATACTACGGAGAAATAATATTCTGAGGGTATCAATTTTGTGCAATATTTCTTATGACATGGCCCATTTAGGGAGATACCAAGGAATACGGTAAGAAAACTCAAACAAAGCCCAAAAACTGATAATTGTAACTCCTCAAATTGCTTGAAAAGTGTACTAATATTTACTTGTAGGCCATGCAAAGTATTTTAGCAAGGCATCCAGTGGAGTTCACGGCATCTACGACTTCTACGAGACATAAATCATAATTTTTCTGAAAAAAGTTTCTGACGGAAAGTTTATGGTACTTTTTAAAAATTTTCTAGTGCCTGTTTTGAGGGTTTAGCATATACAGGACATGATGTGTCAGCTTTTGATTTAATTAGTTCATACGATTCGTTGGTATCAATTCCGTAGGGCACAAAACTTTAGCAATATTTTGAATCCGCGAAAATTCAAAATATGGAAGACTCGTTGAGAAGCTACAGTGCATCCGAGAATTTCATCTTTTGTTTGCTTATTAAATATGCACCTTGTAGACTGCTTTAAAAGCAAATACAACGGTGGTTTTAGTTCAGGGAGGGAATTTCCAACCGAACGCGTGTGATGCACGGTGTAGTTTTTGATCCCCGCTCCGTCAGGCGACTTCAAATGGTAAAAATTGACAAATCTTTTTACGTAGAAATTTCAGTAATGTTGTTGTCTTTTTGCCGGCGCATCGAACAACCCATCAGAAAATTTTTAAAAAGTACCGTAAACTTTCCGTTAGAAACTTTTTTCAGAAAAATTATGATTTATGTCTCGTAGAAGTCGTAGATGCCGTGAACTCCACTGGATGCCTTGCTAAAATACTTTGCATGGCCTACAAGTAAATATTAGTACACTTTTCAAGCAATTTGAGGAGTTACAATTATCAGTTTTTGGGCTTTGTTTGAGTTTTCTTACCGTATTCCTTGGTATCTCCCTAAATGGGCCATGTCATAAGAAATATTGCACAAAATTGATACCCTCAGAATATTATTTCTCCGTAGTATCCGTATTCGCCATTTACAACAATAAAATCGACCACCTCAGCGAGCAAAATAATTTTTTGCAAGGCTGATCCAAATTTTCTGCGCACCCGAAATCTTAAATTGCAATTTAAAATTTTACACTTACCTGAAATGTGATTGTTTGTTGCTCAAACATGTTCTTTATGACAATAGATTATTATACAAAAATAATCAAGTCCAGGCCTTGCTTAGTTTTTGAGATCCAGGTTGATCCAAATTAAATGCGCGGAGTATAGTACAACAACTATACAAATTATCAAAAGATTCTGAGTTGGTCATTTTTTCGAAATGTCCGGGCCATCCTTCGAGTTGTAAAAAACTCTCTTTTAAGAAATAAGGTGCTCCTCGAAAAACACGGCGCTTACCCGCAGTTTTCTCCGCATGTGGATCCAGAACATACCGTTGGCAATACTGATCGATATAAGCGATATGGCCAAACCCGAAAACGCAATCAAATAGAGGGTGGTGAGGTTAGGGCATGGAGGACGGCTTAAAGATGAGTTTTATGGCGACTTGCCGCTCGACTTACGCCGTTGTCACTTCTGTTGTTGTTGTGCTGCTAGAATGTGGCCTAAAAGTCTTGACATGTGTGCATAGTACTTTGTGGGGGCAAGGGCTAACTATTTACAAAAATTCTGGCGAGGGGGGAGGTTAAAAATAGGTCGGGGGTGTCACTCTATTTCTTTTATCAATTTTGACACTTCGTTTGGACGAAACTCGACTTACGCCGTTGTCACTTCTGTTGCTGTGCTACTAGAATGTGGCCTAAGAGTCTTGTTTTATGGTGACTTGCGGCTTGACTTATGCCGTTATCCCTTCTGTTGTTGTGCTACTAGCATGCGCCCTAAAAGTCTTGACGTGCGTGCATAGTACTTTGTGGGTGTCTGATCCTAAGAATCAGAGGGAAAGGAGGTAAATCCACTCTGACCTCGAAGTTTTCATCTATACATTTTCATTTATTCATTTGTTGAGTCAAACTTGTCCCAATGGTAAGTCTTCCCCTTTGCTGGATTTGGCTTTCTCATCAACTTCCCGGCCTAAGAGAGGCATCTTCATTCCGAGAACTACCTCGGCGACGCCATATCTCATTCAGGGCAGTCGTTGGGGTAAGTATTTCGGAATTCTTGTCTGTCCGCCTTTAGGTTCGACCGAGTCTGAAAAATGGGCCTGGGGTGTCACTTTATTTCTTTTACCAATCGTGACACTTCGTTCGCACGAAAGTCTAAAAGTGGGCGGGAAGAATTTTTCGTTTATTTTGCGCTGCCGTGAGTTGCAGCTTCGCGTAAAATAGCATAGTGCTCCCTTCCGTCGCGCCGTGCTGACTGTTTATCGCGAAACGCCACGACCCCACAATGCAAACACATGTCAAGACTTTTCTTCTCACCTAGTCGTGGGCACTGTTTCGTTTCCTCGAACCGCCTGAAAAACACCAGTTTCCTCTCGAACCCCTTCCCTTTTCTTACCGGTGGATTACCCGGGATGAATTGAACCTTGGCCGAATCGTGGTTGTCATAATTGCTCCAAATCTGGCCATCGCACTCTCTTGTTAGCCATGCGAACGCACTCTGAAAACGAGAGGAAATTGTAAACTTTATAAAAAATAAATTGATAAATCAGTGCGTTAAAAGTTGTACAAGGCCTACCATACTGTACCATTCGTTCAGATCGGAGAAAGCGAACATTCCTTGGGAGGTGTTGCATTCGCGGAAGCTTTGGTAACCTTCAGACTGAAAACCAAAGATATCTTGAACGGTTTGTACTTTTTTAGGCAATAAAAAGTAAACATGTCCAGGCACAGGGAAAATGCTAATATTAGGTGAAAGACATGACCCATTAAGTCAAGTGTTCCTAACTGAGTCAAGTGTTTCCCTCAAAAAAATAATTTTTTTCTCCGACTCACCAACTGCTTGAGATCATCGATTTGAAGGCATTTATTGCCCGTCAAATAGTACGTGGGTCCCGACGCGTATTGAAAAAAGATGCAACGACTATAAGGGCTGGCGTCGCCGAGAATTTCAAGTTCGCCGCTCAAATCGACTTTCCAACGAGCAAATTTTTTAACTCCATCCTCTGTTGAAAGCACGGCGTAGACGTAATCTTCGGTCGCCAATTCATACTCGGGAATGACGTTTCCTAAGTGTATCACGTCATCAGCGTCATTCCATTTGAATACAATGCTGAAAAAAGAGTGATGTCTTTTGTCAACTTACCCTTGGCCAGACGGCGTGTAGGTTCCGAACCGTTTGATATCATGGCTCCAAGTTGCACGAATTACTGCGGGCAGTGGCCTGTAAACGTGGAAAGCATATCAGTGTCTCTCTTAAGGCACCTCCCAAAGGAATGTTATGCACGATGCATTCACAACGAGAAAAATTTTAAAAATCAGCAAGTCCTCACGCGGAAAAATTTTTTTTAGTAAAAAACTTGTCGCCTAGAAAGTGCGTTCTCCACTTACGTTTCGTTTCCAGTTTCGTTTTCGCGCAAGTCAAGAAGCCTTCTGTAAATCGTATAAGAAACCAGAGCTGTTGTATAATCGGCGACAGGAAACCGAATTTCAGCTTTTGCAGTGTTCTTCGGCAAGAAATTCTTCAACTCATCGCACTTCTGGAACAGTTTGAAAAACTGACGAGCCGGGTCGGCATTACCATCGTTCCCGGGCGGCAGCGCCCACAGTACCAGCAAGATGGCGAGGAAAGTCAGCATTCTCGAGAGCGACTGGTCGGTGGGGGTGATGAGGAGGGCAAATGGAAGAATTTCATTTTGGAAATGACTTTTTGACGCTCTGACAACGGTTTTGTTGCCGCCGATTTTTTTCCGTGAGAAATACATTTATCGACAAAACTTTTTGATTACCGAAATTAGGCAGCTAATTTTTATATATTCTGAGTCAGAAAATTTGGCGGCCTTTTTGTGGCTTGCACCATGCAAAAAAAAACAAAAGTTCCGGATCCAAAATACCACATTTTTTGCCAATGGATGAGGTCCGCCACACGTCAAAACAATTCTTTCAGAAAATTGAAAAAACAAGGAATCTCGGATCATTGATTTTTTTGCGAAGTGCCACGGAATTATCGAGCTTGAAAAATTATTTTCCTCTTCGAAAAAAAAATTTTTCTCGAAATTCTCTGGGAGAGGTTTCTTTTGTGACTCAATAATTCAGCGACATTTCGTCAAAAATCAATGATCCGAGGTTCCTTGTTTTTTCACTTTTTCTTTGACGTGCGCCACTGTACATAGTTGAGTTGTTCGATGACGTCATCAATTCTTCAGAGCTAACCTAAACATTCCGTTATCGGTGTCGCAGGTGAAAAAACTGTTCTTTTCCAAGCGAAGATGAAATTTTTTAAAATTAAAATTTACATTTCAACACTTCCATTACTGAATACATAATTTATTTCCTAAACTTTACTGTTTGACTAGTATCTTTATCCTACGAGCTGTTCTTTTCGATGAGTTCCTTGATTTTCCGATAAGATGGTCGCTTTGGGGGTAATTTGAGGATCATACGGAAGAGTTGGTTCATAAAATCTTTGATCTTCTGGTCCTTGATGAACTTTTCCATACGCTCTTCAAGCACCTTCCCCTCCATTATATCAGATTTGAGCTGATAAACGACGGTTTTCTAAAAAATAAGGGTAAAACAAGCTAATGTAATAATAGAATGAGGCCTGTAACGAGTGAAAAAGCTCCTTACATCAGTCTCGGTACTCCAGATCAGCGAATCCTTGTTGAAAATCCACATGACCACAAAAAAATAGCTGATCATGTCATCAAAATGAGCCCTCTCCAGATTCAAATGGGTGGATGGACTGCAGAAAGTGAGGTTCCCGAAGAATGGCACCTTGAGACGAGGGGACTTTGGAGTGATTCTGGCTAGTCCAAGGTTGGAAATGAGGAGTTTTGAGCCAAGAAAGTCATAGTGAAAACTGGAAGGTTTGATGTCCCGATGGATAATATTGGAAAAGAGAAGGTCCTCCATGCAATTGAAGGTCAGGGAGACCAGTTTCAACCTCTCTTCGGTGCTCAGGTTACCACTCAGAACTTGTTTCTCGATGGACGGACCAAGCTGAAAAAGCACATTCTTTTAGATGGAGAACAAATTAATTGGCGTATTTCATTTTATCCGCAAACGCTTCGATACTCAGAACGAAGATATTATTGATAACACCGTCTTCAAAGTCCTGTATTTACTGCCCTTTCTGCAGAACGATTCCTATATTCCAAAGCTATTTTAAAAACAAAAGTATCCCGAAAAAATCAATCGTGTCTTGGCATTGCGTTTTATTTTTTTCCGCAAACAAAATGCTCGTTTCGAGACTCAGAATTATGCGGCCATGTCTAGGGTAACGATTGCGCGGATTCCAAAAATCCAATTTATTTTTTTGATCTTCATATGTTTTGCAAAAATAGTATTGCAGGATAGAATTTTTTGCCGAATTTGTTCTCCTGGTCTATTGTTCAAAACCAGGGGAACAGTTGACACAGGACTTCTTTACTACGCGAGATTTTTTTTGTTTTTTCTCGTGTTCGAGCCAGGTTTTCACCGTGAAGACAACCTGGAATTTTTCCAAAAATGAAATTTTATCTAGACCCGCTCCCTCGTGCGATTTGATGTCTCTATTGCCAATTTTCTCTTCCGATAATCCACTAAATCTTGGAATGTTGCGATTCTTGTTGTGCCATGGACAATGTAAGTTTTATTTCTTACTGTGCTGACCTGTTTTCAAGCCTAATTATAGATCTATGTAGAATAGGACATTAGCTTTATTCTAATCAATTTCCAATCAGAAACATCGAGTTTCACAAAAATTCTTATGTTGTACTTGGTCCACGTGTTTGTTCCCTCGTTCAAGCTGCTATTCCATAAAATAAGTCTAGTTTAAACGGCAAAACTAACCTAGTGCCCGGCCCTAAAGTTGTACCTGCCCATTTTTTGCGAGCATGCCACTTTAGAGGGAGGAATAAATCACTCTACACCCTTCAGCTCTCACAGAGCACAATTTTTTTTTCTGCTGGCCTTTTCATATCCAACGGTGAAAAAACGGTCCGTTTTTTTATCGCAAAATAAGATTACAACTTACTTTTTTCGTTACCATCAGCCGGAAATTGAAGGCGTCCAATTGGGCCGTGACGATGAATTCGGGAATGGTTCCATTCACCTGACACTTTTTGGCTTGTCTCATTACCGCTGCCATCGCCTAGAATACCATTATTATTATGTCACAATAAGTTATTTTCTCTATTTTCCCCACTTACCTCAATCCTATTCAACTCAGATTTCACATCTTCAAACTGCACCGTGCACAACTCTCCACCCATTTCCATTTCGAATTCCCCAAAAGTTTTGTCGAATGTCTTGGCCGGGATGGTGACCCCAATCTTTCCGACGGTACAAAAGAATCCCTCCTGAGGTTCCGGCTGCCTTTCCAGGGGTTTATGGGGGAGCTCTGCCTCGACGCCTTCGACTTCATTCTGGTCGAAAATCTTCTCAATTTCCGGGCTCAATAAAAGATTTGTCACGGCGTCCTGTAAAAAATAAAACAATATTTTGGTCTTCCTTACCTTGGGCAATCCCTCAACAGTGAGCGGTGCCATCGTTTCCATTCGTGAGATTTTTGTTATTGAGGAGGAGTCTGCCATAGTGGTGGTTGTGTATGTTGTTCCTTTCCGAGTGCTAGCGTTGCTGTTGCTATCATGCAAAGATTCAAAATGCGCTGCTTGCAATCTTGCTTCCTAAAAGAATTGTTATTCGATTTTTTTCGAATTTTTTAGCCTTATTTTTTAAGGAATAAACTGCTCCTAGAAAAACATGGCGCTTACCCGAAGTTTTCTCCGCATGTGGATCCAGAACATTCCGTTGGCGATACTGATCGATATAAGAGATATGGCCAGACCCGAAAACACAATCGAATAGAGGGTGGTGAGGTTAGGGCACGGAGGACGGCTTAAAGATGAGTTTTATGGCGACTTGCCGCTCGACTTACCCCGTTATCCCTTCTGTTGTTGTTGTGCTACTAGAATGTGGCCTAAAAGTCTTGACATGTGTGCATAGTACTTTGTGGGGCGAGGGGGTCACTATTTACAAAAAATATGGGGAGGGGGGGGCGGGGGGGGGGGGTTTAAATGAGCGGGTGTCACTTATTTTTTTATCAATTGTGACATTTCGTTTGGACAAAACTCAAAAAGTGGGCGGGACGAATTTTTCGTTTATTTCGCGTTGCCGTGAGTTGCAGCTTATGTTGAGCGCGTAAAATAGCATAGTGCGCTCTTCCGTCGCACCGTGCTGAACATCGCAAAACGCCATGACCGCACAATGCAAACACATGTCAAGACTTTTCTTCTCACCTAATCGTGGACACTGTTTCGTTTCCTGGAACCGCCTGAAAAAAGACCAGTGTTATGATGTGTTATGAGCAGTCGCTTCGCATTGTGAATCACAATTGTATCAGCCCTTTTTCTTATCATAATTTCATTTGCATAGTACGACCCGTTTCCTCTCGAACCTCTTCCCTTTTCTTACCGGTGAATCATCCGGGAGGAATCGAATCTTGATCGAAGCGTGGTTGTCATAATTGCTCCAAATCTCACCATCGCACTCTTTTGTTAGCCAAGCGAACGCACTCTGAAAACGAGAGGAAATTGTAAACTTTATTGATAAACCAGAGCATTAAAACTTGTGCAAGGCCTACCAGACTGTACCATTCGTACAGATCGGAGAAAGCGAACATTCCTTGGGAGGTGTTGCATTCGCGGAAGTTTTGGTAACCTTCAGACTGAAAACCAAAAAATTTCTTGAACGGTTTGTACTTTTTAGCCAAAAAAGTAAGTTTTTGCGCCTCCTCTTTCCTTTTTTAGCGGACCTTTCCGTCCTTCGTGCGCCTAGTATTAGGAGAAAGACTCGACCCATTAAGTCAAGTGTTCCTAAATGAGTCAAGTGTTTCCCTCAACAAATAAATTTTTTCTCCGACTCACCAACTGCTTGAGATCATCGATTTGAAGACATTTATCGCCCGACAAATAGTACGTGGGTCCCGACGCGTATTGAAAGAAGAGCCAACTACCATCAGGGTTGGCGTTGCCGAGAATTTCAAGTTCGCCGCTCAAATCGACTTTCCAACGAGCAAATTTTTTAACTCCATCCTCCGTTGAAAGCACGGCGTAGACGTAATCTTCGGTTGCGAAGCCACACTCGGTACGGAAGTCCACTAAATCCATCTCGTTACCACCGTCCTTCCATTTGAATACTCTTAATATGCTGAAAAAAGAGTCATGTCGATCGTCCACTTACTCTTGGTCAATGGTGATTCCGAACCGTGTCATATCATGACTCCAAATTGCACGAATTAATGACCTGTAAACGTGGAAAGCATATTAGTGTCTCTCTTAAGATATCTCCAAAAAGAATGTTATGCACGGTGCATTCACAACGAGAAAAATTTTAAAAATCAGCAAGTCCTCACCCGAAAAAAAATTGTTTTGTAAAAAACTTGTCGCCTAGAAAGTGCGTTCTCCACTTACGTCTCGTGTCCAGTTTCGCTTTCGCGCAAGTCAAGAAGCGTTTTGGAAATGTCATAGGAAGTGTTATCGTTGGCGAGGACAGGAGACCAAATTTCAGCTTTTGCAGTGCTCATCGGCATGAAATTCTTCAACACTTCGCACTTCTGGAACAGGTTGAGAAACGCACCGACCGGGTCAGCCTTGCAATCGTTCCCCGGCGGCAGCGCTGACAGTACCATCAAGATGGCGAGGAAAGTCAGCATTCTCGAGAGCGACTGGTCGGTGGGGGTGATGAGGAAGGCAAATGGGAGAATTTCATTTTGGAAATGACTTTTGACAGTGCTTGCGGAAAGTACATGTTATTTGCATAAAAAAACAGAGTGCAAAACAAAATTTTATTTCGCACGATGCAAAAAAATGCACGAAAAATTTTGAACTGCACGGTGCGAAAAGAATTTTGTTTTTCCGATTGCAAAGTGCAATGAGAGAATTTGGCGACAAAGACTTGGATTTTTGCACTGATACCCTGCGCGGAAGGCCTCGAATTTTGGCCTGTTACGGTAACATTACGAGAGACGAAAAGTTAGCGAAGGCTCGGCGAAGACTTTCTATGTGTCCACCGTTTCCACTTTTAGCTATCATTAACGCTAGCTTTCTTTACCCTGGGTTATTGTAACGTATAAAAGAACGAAATTTGCGGCAAAAAACGAAGATCCGTAACTTTTATCTAGATAGTATTCTTATAACTACATGTAAAATACCTCGAAACAGGTACTGAACTATTCTAGGACCTGATCAGTCTTATTATTTCTACTAACTAAGTCTCCCCTTACTGATTTGATCTGATAACCCTAGTTTTCTTGACTCGCACCACGAGATCGTTCAATAGCCCGACATGAAAAATTTAACACTTCCCATCAACGAAAACCAATAATTTATTTCCTAAACTTCATACTTTGACTAGAATCTTTATTACGTATTCTTCTCGATGAGCTGCTTGATCTTCCGATAAGATGGCCGTTTTGGAGGCAATTTGACAATCAATCGAAACAGTTGGCGAAGGAAATCTTTAAGCTTTTGGTCCTCGATGAATTTTTCCAAACGCTCTTCGAGAAGGTTTCCCTCCAACATATCAGATTTGAGCTGATAAACGACTGTCTTCTAAAAAATAAGAGTAAAATAAGCTAAAGTAATAAAAAATTAGGTCTAAAAAGGGAGAAAATATGCTTACATCAGTCTCGCTGCTCCAGAGCAGCAAATCCTTGTTGAAGATCCACAAAACTACATAGAAATAGCTGACCATGTCATCGAAATGAGTCCTCTCCAGATTCAAATGGGTAGATGGACTGCAGAAAGTGAGGTTCCCGAAGAATGGCACCTTGAGACGAGGGGACTTTGGAGTGATTCTGGCAAGTCCAAGGTTGGAAATGAGGAGTTTTGAGCCAACAAAATCATAGCGAAAACTTGAAGGTTTGATGTCACGATGGATAATATTGGAAAAGAGAAGGTCCTCCATGCAATTGAAGGTCAGAGAGACCAGAGTCAGCTTCTCTTCCATGCTCAGCGTACCATTCAGGACTTGTTTTTCGATAGATGGACCAATCTGAAAACGAATGTTACAAAATTCTAGGAGTTTATTGAATCAGTAACCAAAAACAATAAATTGCTCACTAGTTTGTATAAACTTGGTTTCTATCAAGACACAACCAATTCTTGATTCTAAAATACGGATTTGAACGTAAATATCGCATAAACTAAGCGCTGATTTCTTACATTTTTCGATATTATTTTAGGTATCCCTAGGATCTGAAAGATAATATGGTCTTCGAGTCCTGTCCATTCTCTATTTCCAAAGATACCTAAAAAGCGAAAACTTCTCGAAAAACTAATCTTGTCTTGGCATTGTGTTTCGTTTTTATCGGCAAACACAACCTTCGCTTCGAGACTCAGAATCATTACCCTAGCGTAGAAAATTATTTTTTCTGCTGGCCTTTTCATTTCCAACGGTCAAAAACGGTACGTTTTTTCGTAAAATAATGATTTCAACTTACTTTTTTCGCCACCATCAGCCGGAAATTGAAGGCGTCCAATTGGGCCGTGACCATGAATTCGGGGATGGTCCCATTTATCTGCTTCTTTTGGGCTTGTCTCATTACCGCTGCCATTGCCTAGAATATTATTATTATTTCGTCCTGTTATTTTCTTTATTTTGTGCACTCACCTCAATCCTATTCAATTCAGATTCCACATCTTCAAACTGCACTGTGCACAACTCTCCGCCCATTTCCATTTCGAATTCCCCAAAAGTTTTGTCGAACGTTTTGGCCGGGATGGTGACCCCAATCTTTCCGATGGCACAAAAGAATCCCTCTTGGGGTTCCGGCTGTCTTTCCAGAGGTGTATAGGGGAGCTCTGCTTCGATCCCTTCCACTTCATTCTGGTCAAAGATCCTCTCAATTTCCGGACTCAGCAAAAGTTTTGTCACGTCGTCCTGTAAAAATAAACCAAAGTTTTGGTCTTTGTTACCTTGGGCAATCCCTCAGAAGAGAGCGATGACATCGTTGCCATCCGTGAGATTTTTGTTGTTGAGGAGTCTGCCGCAGTGGTTGTGGAAGTCGTTGTTTTCCGAGGGCTTTTGGTCTTCTTGTTACGATGCAACGGTTCGACTTGCAGTTTTGCTTTCTGAAAGCATTGTTCTTCGATAGGAAAGTTACGTTTTATACCTATTTTTTTGAGTAGAGGTTAATGTTTCCACCAAAAATTAAATTTTCCCGCGCGGAGTTATTACATAATTCGCTTTCTCGGCGGCGGTGCGATTTTTGATACATTAGAGCGCTCAATATTTTCAAGGCAGACTGATATTACAAAAAACGTGACTCTTACCCGCAGTTTTTTCCGCATATGGACGAAAAAAATGCCGTTGCCGATACCGATCGAGACAAGAATTATGGCCAGGCCCGAAAACACAATCGCATAGAAGTTGGTGAGGTCAGTGCAGAGCGGTTGTGTAGTCGGAGCGTAGATTGTTGTTGTTGTCGTTCTTTGAATCGCCTGAAAAAATACCAATGAATACTCTGTTATGCACAGTGACTTCGCACAGTAGAACAAATTTCCGACATTTGCACAGTGCGGCCCGTTTCCTCTCAAATCGCCTTCTCGTTTCTTACCGGTGGATCGTCCGGGAGGAATCGAATTTTGACGTAATCATGGGCCTTATGATCGCTCCAAATCTGGCCATTGCACTCTCTTGTCAGCCATGCGAACGCACTCTGAAAACGAGAGGAAATTATGGAAGTTTATTGATAAATCAGCGAATTAAAACTTGTGCAAGGCCTACCAGACTGTACCATTCGTACAGATCGGAGAAAGCGAACATTCCTTGGTGGGTGTCGCATTCGCGGAAGATTTGGTAACCTTCAGACTGAAAAACAGAAAAGAAGTAAAAAGTTGTATCGTCTTGAACGGTACTTTTCTTACGACTATGCAATAAAAAAGGGTAATTCTTCGGCAACAATTATTAGGAGAAAGACTTGACCCATTGAGTCAAGTCTTCCTAAATGAGTCAAGTGTTTCCCTCAACAAATAATTTTTTTTCTCCGACTCACCAACTGCTTGAGATCATCGATTTGAAGACATTTATCGTCCGTCAAATAGTACGTGGGCCCCAACTCGTATTGAAAAAAGAGCCAACTACCATTAGGACTGGCGTCGCCGAGAAGTTCAACTGTGCCGCTCAAGTCGACTTTCCAACGAGCAAATTTTTTAACTCCATCCTCGTGTAAAACCTGGCTGTAGACGTAATCTTCGGTCGCAAATCCATACTCGATACCGAAGGTGGTTCCCAAATCCAGCTCCTTTTCATCGTCATTCCACATAAAGACATTTTTTCTGATAAATTAGAGGCATGTCAACTGTCAGCTTACTGTTCAAAATCACCCGTGTAGTATCCGAATCGTGTCACATTATGATCCCAAACTGCAGGCAGTAAGTTGTGTTGTTGGCTGAAAATGTAAAAATATTATAACCAGGTGACCTGTTATTAACGAGGCTGACATGTCTTGTCTCTCTTGAAGACATCTCCAAAAAAGAAATGGAAGATTTTTTAGCTGTCTACAAAAATAAAATTCTTGCACTGTGTGAAAGAACTTTTTTCGCTGCGCACAGTGCATTTTTCTTCTTTTTGCACTGTGCAATTTTTGTCGCGCGCCCAAAATTCGCGGCGACATGGTTAAAAAAGGCTTTCGTCGCGCGATTTTGGAATTGCACGGTGCAGAAATGAGAATGATTTTTGAATTGCACAGTGCAAAAAAGCTTGGCGACAAAATATTTCCCATTGCACAGTGCAGTCACCACTTTTTCATCTGCACGGTGCACAAAGCGAAAAAATGTGAATGCACGGTGCATTCACATTCTGAAAAAATTTAAAAAATTCTCGTAATTTTGGCTAGAAAAAATATTTTTTTTGTCAAAAAAATCGCTAGAAACTTTGTTCCCCACTTACGTCAACTCTTCAGTTTTTCCATTGCGCAAGTCAAGACGAGATTTGTAAATGGAAAAATTTGTGCTTTTCCAGTCTGGGACCCGAATTTCAGCTGTTGCCGCGCTCAGAGGCAAGAAATTCTTCAACTCTTCACACTTCTGGAACAGGTTTTGGAACTTGCGAAGCGGCTCGGCTTCAGTTTGGGGACGACTACGATTTCCCGGCGACAGCGCTGACAACGCTGGCCAAATAGTGAACAAAATCAGCATTCTCGAAACCGACTGGTCGGTGGGGATAATGAGGAGGAGAAAATGAAAAAAAAAATTATTTTGAAAATTTTGAAAGTACACTATTTTTGCAAAAAATAAAAAAATTTTTTAATTTTTGTTTTTTCAAAATGAAAAAACTCCCTCAGTCTTTCCACCAATCCTGTTACCGACCGGTCGGATGTTTCTCATCCCTCTCTTCCTTCCCGCGATTTCTGCCCTCTTCTTAAGTCCTCAGCCGGGTGTTGTGCTTGATGCGCTTTGGCAGATTTACAAAGGCTGCGATTTGCGGCGGTACATGCCGGAGAACGCGACTGGGGCAAGGATTTACTCTAGGGAGCTTGATCCGTTGGCGATCAACAACCTGTATGTTGTTGAGTATGAGGTGGACTTTGTGAGTGGAATTAATAAGACCATTTCGAGGTAAGTGAGGGCTGAGTCACAAGTTTCTTTAAACTTTTTTTTCGCAGGCTGCAGAATGAAAATGAAAACAAAATTCCGATTTTTTTAGAAAATTCTTGATGAAGACATATAGAGCAGATGGGATCTGGAGCCGGGATATGAGCAAAGTGGGACTTATTGTGCACACAAACAATGAGTAAGTTGGAAATTATTTTTTTATTTTTTATATTTTTTTATTTTTTTTATTTATTTTTTTTTTCTTATTTTTTATATTTATTATTTTTTTTATTGTTTATATTTCTTATTTTTTATTTTTTTCTATTTATATTATTTTTTTATTTATTTATTTTTTATTTTTTATATTTCTTATTTTTTATTGTTTATATTTCTTATTTTTTTATTTTTTTCTATTTATATTTATTATTTTTTTAATAATTTTATTTTATTTATATTATTTTATTTTTTTGTATTTCATTTTTTTTATTTTTTATTTAATTTCAGACATCATTTTGTCTGGTCTAACGATCTAACCCGCACGTTAAAGTTGGAAAACCCACCACCCGGCGATTTAACTGGATTTGAGTTAAAGGGCAAAATTTACGCGATATTACAAGGTGGAGGAAGGTCAAAGTTTGGTCGTTGGAACTCTAATTTGACTGGAGGCGTCGAGTATTTTCCCGGGAAAGAAGAAGAAGGATTCTTTGAACTTTATGAGCCAAAAGGTTATATTTATTATTTGAATTCGAACTGTAAACAGTTCCCTAAATATTGGAGTATGGTGAGTTTTATAGGAAAAACAATTTTTTGGGGCTAAAATTGAAAAAAAATTTTTTTTGAAAAATAAAATTTTTTTTTATTTTTTCAAGTTTTACCAAAAATCAATATATTCTTCAAAAAACGTGTGTTTTAGTCGTTTCTCTACGAAATGCCTGACTGCGAAGACGGAGAAGGAATTTTTAATCGAAGCAAGCTTGGTGTATTTAACAGTATGGTAAGTCTCGTTATCACTCAAATAATAAACTTCCTTTTTCTGGCCCGGCGCTTCGCAGCTTGCGCCCTGGTTTCCCTGCAGACTGCGAATAAAAGGAGGAAACAGCCTAAGCGCTAAAACTAACAGGGGAAGTACACCAAGTGCGACGCTCAGATTTTGATGAAACTTGGCACAAATTTAGAATAATTTTTTCAAAGATATATGCGAGAATCCTGGCTCGCGCTTTGCAGAAACAACCGAGATTTTTAGATCGAAAGTCGGCCTAAATTTTGGACTTTTTGTCGAATTTCGGCACGAAAAGTTTCATGCCTATTTCTACCGTAAAGGATAATGTTTCTATAAAAAAATCAAATTTTTCCGCACGAAACTGCCAAAGTTATGGCCAAAAAGCGTTTTTCTCTTTGACCGCTCTCCACGTTTAGCGTGCTCTCTCGGCGGCAAAAATCGTTCGATATCTCGGCGGCGCCTGCAAAGCGCGAGTTAAAACTTTCAGGAATTGATATTTAGTCTATTCCCGACGTGTGTGCAAAATTTAAAGAAAATCTGAGCGTCGCACTTGGGGTACTTCCCTTGTAAGCTTAACTAAGCCTAACCTGCCTACGCCTGATATTCCATCCAACCGGAATTGTTCGGGCGCAAGCTGCAAAACCTTCTTTTCGCTGGGGCCAGAAAAAGGAAGTTTCACTCAAATAATGTGTCCGAAACAATTTTCTTCAGTCCATATTCGCATATCTGACAAGGAAGTGCTCCGATCAAACCTATAGCAACTACTGGAGCCATGCCTATGCGAAGATTCAGTTTTTTTCGCGGCCTATTGCAAATACGACCACGGTGAGTTTTGTGAAATCCGCACTGTGCAAAGAAGTGGGATTTTGAAAATCGAGATTTTTCGCCAGAATTCACTGTGCATTTGACCTTTTGCACTGCAATAAAAAAAAATTTCAAAAAATCAAACATTCAAATTTGTTATAAATTTTATTTTCAGGCTCTTGTAATTACAACGACCACCATTCCAACGTCCACTACACAACCCTCAACTGTAATGAGGGAATTAACTGTGAGTTTGTGGCATGACTCAAAAAAAGCGACAAGAAATTTTTGATTTTTGAAGCCCGCACAGTGCGGAGTTTGCAGCCGAACGCACTGTGCAAAAAAAAAAGAAAATTCTTTTGCACTGTGGACGGTGCGAAATTATTTTTCCATTTTTTGCACAGTGCAATTTTTAGCGATATTTTTTTAATGTGCGACAGAATTTTTTTGACTGCACAGTGCAGTAAACATAAAAAAATCGAATCTTTTTTTTTTAAATCAAATTTTTGCGGTAATTTTAGGTTTTTTTTCAGACCACTGAAACAACAACAACAACAACCATCACGACTATGACTAACACTGAAACATCTATTACAGAAGCTAGGTAATTTTACTGAAGCGCAAGATTTTTTATTTTTTTTTTATTTTTACCGGCAATGATACGGAAGGTTCAAATTATGAACAGCTGTATAATTGCAATTTTCATATCAACATAGCAAGCGGAATTAAAAAAAGAAAGTTTGGAAAAAATTTCTTTATTTTGGCCACAACAAATCTACTCCGTGAACTGCGCCCAAGCTTTTGCACTAAGGTTAGGAAAAAACGCTTCTACCTAGCTGGCACTGAATTACTATAATAGCTCTGTAGTTTTAAGGGTACCTACGAAGGCTATGACGACTCATTTAGTTCCATACGGAGGCAATAAGTTTAGTTCCGGACATGTTTCATCGTATAAAGTGTGAAATCGCAGGCTGCAGCCGTTTTTGAGGGGTAAGGTGGCACGTAAAAAAGAAGGCACCTTACTAACTAAATCCACTGTCCGGGCATTGACAACGATGAATTGAGCGTGCACGCTAAATTTGGGTTAATTCCTACCAGTTTCCGCGAAGTTATAAGTTGTGGCCAAAATAAGGAGCTTTTACCGAAAGTTTTCTGCAAAAGGTGAGCTAAAAATTTTGAATATATCTTGCAAAAAATGGTGTAAATGTGTCCTAAATTTGATTAATATCTCATCAAACTTTTTCCTACAAAATAAGATCCTCTATTTTTAGCTCTGAAGAATTGGTGACGTCATCGAACAGCTCAATTATCTACATGATTATCATCTCGATTCTCGGCGTTCTTTGCATTCTCGCCATTATTTTTGCTGCAGTTTAAATACATCTAGTCATGCTGTTCCGACGGATAGAGCCACGTGAAATATTGTGAACAAATTTTGTGAATAAACAATATCTTTATCTTTGATTTTCTTATTTTTTTTCTAATTTACAAGTTCAAATTTATTTTTTCGGACCTGTTTTATTTTTTTGTCAATTGCGACACTTCGTTCCATAACTCACAAGAAAATATTGAATAATGAGAACTAATTGAGGACAATGACGTCATTTCTCTTGAAAGTTTATTTTATTCCAAACAAAATCGGTGTAAAAAAGAATTTCCGTAACAGCAGTATGGCTAATTGTCAACTGTAATGCCAGGAACGTCAGTTATGGGTTGAAATGGGCCATAAGTGATATAAACTTGGCCATGTAATCGTCTGCGAAGCGATCCCATGAGGGAGGCCTCCACAAAAATGTAACTATCGTTCAATACAGGCAGGGCGCAAGTTTCAACGTCCTAAATTTCACATATATATTTTGTAATTTTTGAACGGAAAATTCCCGCCATTTTGGCAATATTTTGGCGTTGTGTTTTTTGGATATTTTTTAGATTGTTTTACCGTTGCCAGCGATATTTCCAACTACAAAAATGTGTTTTCGATCCTTAGGGAGCCATAAATACCTCTTGTTGCATAATGCCAAGAACCCAAAATTTGCATCCCAAGTTTCGTTGTAAAATAAAAAAAAATTGAAAGGGCCGGGCCTAAGCCCCAAAGAACTAGGGCGAGCCCCAAGCCGGTCTGGAACTTATCGAAATTTTCGAAGCCTGACTTGGTCCGGCCTTTGTCATGTCTGTATACGTACAACACATACCCTGGCAAGATTATGCAAAGAAAAAACAGCAAAGCACATTACCTTTCGACACATTGTCGGTTCCATTGTCATCTTGATCCAATAAGGCGACAACGGTCCTTTATGTGTCGCGTTGTGCACAGTGACTCGTTTGTAATAGCGCTGGAACGGGGGCTGCTGGTACTGCTGGTTGAACAACCTCTCCGCCTGCCCACCAACTGCGTCGGCAGTTCGGGGCGAGAGAATGGTCGTGTTGCGAGGGCGGGGAGTTGGCGTGCGCCGGGTACGACGCTGCGCACCGCTCAACGCAAGGACGATGCACAGCAAGGACAACACAAAAAGTTTCATTTCCACTTCTTTCGGAAATTGAACGCTTTGTGAGGCCTTTTATATCAACATGTATTTAATAAAGGTTAGATAAACTAGATAATTATTTAAATTTATGCAATAAAAAAGTTTAATATCTCGACGTTTGTAATCAAACATGTTACTTAATGGCCGAATGAAAATTGCCAATTTCTTGATCGGAAAACTTTACATCGTCCTTATTGCTTTTGATATTGTCGCCCATAAAAAGTTGATGGCCAATATTGCAAACCAATTGTTTTTTCATTTTGTCGGGAAAATAATGAGCACTCTGTCGCCGAGAAAAGAGTACTGGGACAAAATCAAATTGCTTTCCACACAAACATAAACAATGGATACGGGTTTCTTATTTGCTCGTCGCTTATAAACACTATTTCTCTAAAAAAATTAAAACGCGTTTTACTACAAATCGTAGATTGGCCCGGACATTGTTGAGTCGAGGTCTCAGAATTAAACCAAAATTGGTGAACCTGATCGTCATGATAGACAAAGCATTCGCTTTTATTATTTTTGCCCAAAATTACCGTATAACGGCATACTGTAACATTTTTTCTTAAAAAGGATATGCCCTAATCGAGAAAACGAAGCGCTATTTTAGCTCCAATCGAGTTCAGGTGTATGTTTTCGACCACGTAGAACATTTTTGTAATTGTCACCAAAAACCAAAAATTACATCTAAGCTATGTTACACATGAGGTGACATACTATTTCGGGTGTAAAATGGGCTACTGTAGCTTGTAGCACTTTTAGATACGCTTAAAAAAAAGTTCAACCTTAACCCAATAAACAGTAGAAATTTTAAAAAAATAAAATGCACAACTTTTGAGATACAGGGGTTTCAATCTGTCATGTACCAGGTCATCAGAACCCCGAAAAAAGCTGGCATTCTTGGAATTTGAGGTTGTAGCACTTTTTGATTGTCTCTAATACATTATTAGCCTTGTAAACGATGATGGTGAAAATTTCAGGCGAAAAAAAGCACAACTTTCGAGAAAATGACCAAAAGACCTTATTTTAGGTCATCAGAACCCCGAAAAAAGCTGGCATTCTTGGGATTTTGGCTTGGCGCAGATTTTGAAATCTTCTGATACACTTTTGTCACTTTTTATGACGATAGGATAAGCTTGAGATAAAAAAATATACAAGTTTTTAATAAAGCGATCAAAACACCTTACTTTATGTCACCACAACCCGGAAACACCTGGTATTCTTGGGGTTTTGGCCTGACGCAGATTTTCAAGGTTTATAATGCATTTTTATCACTTTTTACAAGGTACTAGCGAGTTTTAGAGGAAATATGCAAGAATGCCACTTTTTCGGGGTTCTGATGACCTAAAATAAGGTCTTTTGGTCATTTTCTCGAAAGTTGTGCATTTTTTTCGCCTGAAATTTTCACCATCATCGTTTACAAGGCCAATAATGTATTAGAGGCTTTCAAAAAGTGCTACAATCCGAAATCCCAAGAATGCCAGCTTTTTTCGGGGTTCTGATGACCTAAAATAAGGTCTTTTGGTCATTTTTTCGAAAGTTGTGCTTTTTTTCGCCTGAAATTTTCACCATCATCGTTTACAAGGCCAATAACTTCCGGCCCCCGGGCCGGGCCGACCGGGGGCCCCCGCCAGGCCCCCAATCGGCCCCCAATGACTAAAATTCTCAGTCTCAAAGCGAAAATTAGGGTTGTCAATAAAAATAAAACGCAGAGCCAAGAACCGATTGGGTTTTTTGAAGTACTTTAGGAAATGGTTGGTAATTTTTTGTTTCAAAAATTTATTGTCGATTGTTATAACAAAAAAATGGGGACTTGGGTAGTACAACCCGCCAGCCCAGTTCAGCCCCCCTGGACCCAGTATAAACCCCCTCATCCAATCTGAAGCGCCTACTCGGGATTGGGTTCTCTCGGCCACGATCGTCGTTGCCTGAACCACAAACACGAATTTGGACGGTAACTGGGGCTTTGAACTAAAACGCCTGGGGTCATTTTACTCTAGTTTGCATTTTTTGTATATTTCTAATTTTTTTATTACGGGGGTGTGAAATGGACAAAACAGTGGGGGTTTGAACTACCTTTCGTAGGGAGCTGAACTACCAAAGCCCCAAAAATATGTGTTATATCTCGCAATGAATGCAGTATTTATATTTACAGTTCGGCCCCCTGTCGGCCCCCGGCCCGGCCCGGCCCCCTGGGGGCCGGGGCCGGGCCGGGCCGAGAAAATTTGAAGGGGGCCGGGGCCGGGCCGACCCCTTCCGGCCCCCGGGCCGGGCCGCGATTTTCGGCCCGGCCCGGCCCCCCAGCCATGTCTAATGCCAGCTTTTTTCGGGGTTCTGATGACCTGGTACATGACAGATTGAAACCCCTGTATCTCAAAAGTTGTGCATTTTATTTTTTTAAAATTTCTACTGTTTATTGGGTTAAGGTTGAACTTTTTTTTAAGCGTATCTAAAAGTGCTACAAGCTACAGTAGCCCATTTTACACCCGAAATAGTATGTCACCTCATGTGTAACATAGCTTAGATGTAATTTTTGGTTTTTGGTGACAATTACAAAAATGTTATACGTGGTCGAAAACATACACCTGAACTCGATTTGTGCTAAAATAGCGCTTAGTTTTCTCGATTAGGGCGTATCTTTTTTTAAAAAAATGTTACAGTATGCCGTCATACGGTAATCTTGGGAAAAAATAAAGAAAGCGAATGTTTTGTCTGTCATGACGATCAAGTTGACCAATTTTGGTTTAATTCTGAGACATCGATTTTAACAATGTCCGCCCCCTGTTAGGCTAAGCTCCAAAGTGTGGCAAAACGCGTTTTAAAAAATAAACCTCAATTCTCCAAAAAATACTTTTTTCCAAGTCCCGAAGCGAAAATAATAAGCGGTATCGTTGCCCCGAACTGTCCCTGACCGGAAATGTCGGGACGCGGAAAAAAGCCTATTGTACGGTGCAGAAAGGAGGAAATTGCACAGTGCAAAGAAAAGTTTTGTTTTCGCACAGTGCTTGTCGCCGATTTCAGTCCGGCGACTTTCCGGAAGGACAAGTAAAAAATTATTATTTTTTCAGAAAGCCAAGAAGGGAAAGAAGTCTCATCGTCGTTCTGTTCCGATCCATAAAACCTCGTCCAATAGGTTCCAGAAAACAAAAAGCCGAGATTTTCATGAGACGAGAACACTTCTCCAGATGAAGTGAACAATTGTACATATAATATGATGCCGTTGTAAACATAAATTTGATAAAAGTTAATTTTTTCATAATTTTTTCTTTTGTCCAAAATTTTGCATTTTTCTCAATTTCCTAATTCTTTTTTTTCAGTTTTAATAATGAGTACTAATTGAGGACAATGACATCATTTCTGCCGAAAGTTTATATTATATTTATTATTTCAAACAAATCGGCATAGCAATTTAAAAAAAGAGTATCCGTAATTGTAGTATCACTAATTGTCGACTGTAATGCCAGGAACGTCAGTTATGGGTTGAAATGGACCATAAGTGATATGAACTTCACCATGTAAGTTTCTGGGAAGCGCTCCGACAAGCGAGGCCTCCACAAATATGTAACTATCGTTCAATACCGGCAGAGCGCAATTTTGGGCGTTCTAAATGTCAAATTTCAATGAGAATTAACGTTGAGGGTTCTTGGTACTATGCAACCACACATGACTTGATGGTAGGATTTTTGGCATTTCTGGGCCCCCGTCTGAAAAATTTTTAATCCCGGGCCAGAAGGCCGGCCTCGAAAAAACTAGGGCGAGCCTAAGCACTGCTCCAGAAAAGGTCTTTCCGCCCATTTTTCGCAATTTCCGAAGCCCGGTCCTGCCATGTCTGTATACAACACAACCCTTGGTGAACAACAAACAGCATCAAACATTACCTTTTGACACAGTGTTGGTCCCATTGTCATCTTGACCCAGTAATGCGGCCGCCTCACTTCACGTGTTGCGTTGTGCACATTCACTCGCTTGTAATGGCGCTGGAATGGGGGCAGCTGGTACTGTTGGTTGAACAACCTCTCCGCCTCCGCACCAACCGCGTCGGCAGTTCGGGGCGGGAGAATGGTCGTGGGAGGAGCACGACCCTGCGCACCGCTCAGCGCAAGGGCGATGCAAAGCAAGGACAAAACAAAAAGTTTCATTTCCACTTTTTTCGAGTATTGAACTCTTTGTGAGGCCTTTTATATCAACATGTATTTAATAAAGGTTAGATAAACTGGATAATTATTTAAATTTATGCAATAAGAAAGTTTAATATCTCGACGTTTGTAATCAAACATGTTACTTAAAAGGGAGTTTTTTACAAATCGAAGGATGGTCCGGACATTTCGAAAAAATGACCAACTCAGTATCTTTTGATATTTTGCATAGCTGTTCTACTATGTTAGATGAACGTCAGTACACATTTTTAGTTTCGGAAATTACCGTATACGGGGGTTACGGTAGGTACAATTTTTAGAAAGATTGGGTTCGTATGTAAAAACCCCGAGGAGTAAAAGGGCGAAACCCGAACGGTATATCAAAATATCATTTTTTTCAAAATAGGTGTAGAAGAGCCGCAAATATCGCCAAAATACGTTTTCGACCATGGAGAACATTTTTGTAATTAGCACTTTTTCTGTAGGATGTCGTATTCGACTACTTGGAAAATGACCAAGATACCATGTTCAATATAACTTTTCGGCATTCTACTTGTCTCAACTTTTGAAACCTTTGAAGAATACTTTGACATGTATGTAACAACATATCAAAAATGAACGAAAATAAAAGGGGTGGTTTTGGAGTTATGGTACTTTGAATGTAGCCGGTACCGTATATCAAAATTTTATTTTTTCTAAATTTGGAGTAGGACAACCGCAAGCATTGCCAATACACGTTTTCGACCATGGAGAACATTTTTGTAATTAGCACTTTTTCTGTAGGATGTCGTCTTCGACTACTTGGAAAATGACCAAGGTACCATGTTCAATATAACTCTTCGGCATTCTACTTGTCTCAACTTTTGAAACCTTTGAAAAATACTTTGACATGTATGTAACAACATATCAAAAATGCACGAAAATAAAAGGGGTGGTTTTGGAGTTACGGCACTTTGAATGTTGGACATACAGTACACCTCGATTTATTCTCGGCTAAACTTTACGTAGATTATTTTAAAAACAAAATTTAGTGCTTTATGTATGTTGTACGACCCTCAAAAACAATTTTCACTAGGAAATTCAGAAAATTTAGGCCTAAGCATACTGTAACATATCGTGCGCAGATAATTGGTTACTGTAACAGCAAGATCAGCGATTTCTTAAATTTTTTGCAACGATTACCACGGTTTAGAGTCGTGTGTGCTATACGACGGTGGAATCTTCCAATTTCGGATGTCAGCATCACAACGAAAGTTGGTGTACTGTATGATCAAGATTAAAAGTGCCACAACTCCAAAACCACCCCTTTTATTTTCCTAAATTTTTTATATGTTGTTACATACAGGTCAAAGTATTTTTGAAAGGTTTCAAAAGTTGAGACAAGTAGAATGCCGAAAAGTTATATTGAACATGGTATCTTGGCGTTTCTCAAACCGGTCGAAGGCTACATCCTAGAACAAAACTGTCAATTACAAAAATGTTCTCCATGGTCGAAAACGTGTATTGGCAATGCTTGCGGTTGTCCTACTCCAAATTTAGAAAAAATAAAATTTTGATATAAGGTACCGGCTACATTCAAAGTACCATAACTCCAAAACCACCCCTTTTATTTTCGTGCATTTTTGATATGTTGTTACATCTATGTCAAAGTATTTTTGAGAGGTTTCAAAAGTTGAGACAACTTCTCTGCAAAAAAGTTACATTCAATATGGTACCTTGGTATTTTTCAAAGTAGTCGAAGGCTACATCCTACGGCAAAAGTGTCAATTATGAAAATGTTCCCCATGGTTGAAAACGTAAAATAGCGGGGCTTTGTGCTTTTACTCCTTTGGGTTTTTACACACGGACCCAATCTTTCTGCAAATTGTACCTACCGTAACCCCCGTATACGGTAATTTTCAAAACTAAAAATTCACGCTGACGTTCAGCTATCATAGTACAACAGCTATGCAAAATATCAAAAGATTCTGAGTTGGTCGTTTTTTCGAAATGTCCGGCCCTTGTTATGAGAAGCTTCAATCTGTAAAAAACTCTCTTTTAATGGCCGAATGAAAATTGCCAATTTCTTGATCGGAAAACTTTATATCATCCTTATTGCTTTTGATATTGTCGACCATAAAAGGTCTATGACCAATACTGCAAACCAATTGTTTTTTCAGTTTGTCGGTAAAATAATGAACACTATGTCGCCAATGAAAAACAATATTCACTCAGATTGGATATCGGGCCAGTTAGCGAAACTTGGCGGCGTTTCCGAAAGAAATCAGAGGGCGTTAGATTTAGTCGGGAGATTACGAATAACTAATGACTTCGGCGATTCCCCCCACTGATATCCAACAATGCTTGCCCACGTAAAGCTAAAATAACCTCTGCGTCGACTTCACGCTGGATCTTCGAGGACTTTTTGGATCACTTTGAATTTTATCGCGTTATTGTTGGGGGATGGTCGGCTAGGGGACAGGGTTTTTTGAAGGGGGTCAGGAAATTATGGGTGACGCAGAGTCGGGTGGTGCAGGTTCGGGTGATGGAATTTTGGGGTGGGGGAATTCTCGGGTGATGAAAAATATTGCACTGAAGGCTACTAAATATAAAATATTGTACTAATGGCTACTAAATATGACGTAATATTGTTTAAATTTTTAAATTTTTTAAGTTTTATGCTTTTTTGGGGTTTTCGACCATCAGGAATCCAAAAATGGAAACCATTTTGAAGTGGGAAATTTCTAGGGTGATCTGGACGATGTTGTAATGGCCATAACTAACTATGACATGACATTGAAACCTCCAAAAAAAAACAAAAATAAATTTTCGAAAATTATCGCAGAAAAATAGTATTCACAGAAAATTTTGAACAAAATTTCCATTATGAAGCACTCTAGGCAATGGTTGGTAATTTTTTGTTTAAGAAATTTATTGTCGATTGTTATAACAAAAAAATGTGTTATACCTCGTAATGAATGCGGTATTTATGTATATTTACAGTCCGAAAAGTGAATTAGCCCTGTGCAAATTCGTTTTTGTCCAAGTGGTTTGCTTTTGACGTAAAGATTAATAGGAAATCACGATGTATTGATACCAATAGAAAGCTCGAGAGTTTATCTTATACGATGAAGATTTTATTCAAATCGAGAAAGATTAGGTGTTACATCTTATACGACGGAAATTTTTTTAAACTGAGAAAATGATTTGAAAAACAAATTCCATTGCATAACATGTCACACCTCGTTTTTCCAATTTGAAAAAAAATTTCATCGTATAACATGTCACACCTCAGTTTTTCAATTTGAAAAAAAATTTCCATCGTATAAGATGTCACACCTAATTTTTTCAATTTTCAAAAGGAGGGGAGTGTTCAAAAAGAGGGAGGGTTCATTCAAGGGGAAGTGTTCAAAAAGGGGGAGAGTTCAAAAAGGGTGAGAGTCCAGATTGGGGGAGGGTTCACAAAAAGGGGGAGAGTTCTGCCGCAACGTCCGTGCATTATACAAATTTAGTCTAGGAAATGGCTACGTTGTTAATATTTATATAGTTTAGCCTTCTGAATTCAATGGAGCAGAGTTTTTGAACATCGGATTGCTGTAACATAGACAAAACGGATTTCGGCCACTCAAAGTCGGCCGTAAAACGGTTGTTTCTAAAAAAAACCGTTTTTTTTTTGATTTTTGGAATTTGGAATATCTGAGGCAAAATAAAGAGCCAAAATGTCTCTACGCACGAAAGGATGTTTAATTTTCAAAATACAATTCTCCCGGAAATGGAAAAGGGACAAGTGGCGCACATATTGGTCTCGACAACGTTTTGAAGATCAGCGACAAAATGTAAAACAGAAAATTTTGTTTGAATTTAATGTGTCAACTTTCAAAAATGACAAATTATCGACGAAGAATCGTAAATCTAAGATGTTATCAACAGGCGTATAGACTCAAAAATTTTTTTTGTTTTTGACACCGTTCTGCGCAATTTGCAGTGGAATACTTCGTGACCCACAAACGACTACGATGAGCGAGTACTCCTATGTAGAGTCAGCGTTGAGCACCGACTCCGAGCAAGACGATGATGTTGTGTTTTTGGGAGAATGGCGTAAGTATCCCCGTAAGTTTTTCAATTTTATATTTAGGCCATATGGTTTGCCGCAACAACAACCACAACAGCCGCAACCAGCGCAGCCACAACTTCCGCAACCAACGATGCCACAACTACTGCAACCAATGTAAGTTGTATTTTTTTTGTGTAATGTTTATATGCAGACAACCCGAAAGCAACCGTCATCTATGGCTCGATTTCGTGCCTGAAGGTATTCTACTAAGAACTACACCACCGATCGATGGAACCTTGTGAACTGCAACTGAGCCGCCGCGCGCTTTTTGCGCTGCTCGAGGGGTTCCGGTATGGAAATCTGCCAATGCCTCAAATTCCGCTGCAACAACAAGAAGGGCTCCTACTGCCCCCGATCGTCCCGACCATTCAACAACAACAACAAGGGGTTCAAGTCCCCCCGATGTCAGCGTCGGTCCAGCCCCAAAAGCAACAACCAGTCCCGCCACCTCCATATGTGCCTGAGGGCTTTGTACTAACGTAAGAACTACACCACTTGAACGTTTTCCCTGACCATCAACTTTTTTGTTCCAGCGCGACTCCGCCCCTTTTTATCTTTTCTTTAGGGGTCATCTTTTTGAAATTGGCTCCCACTTTTTACAGGGTCAAAGGTCAACTGTTCTGAAATTGCATTACACAACTACTCCTCGCAGCAATTTTTTCATCTTCGGCTCCGCCTTCTACCGTAATTTCAAGTAGAAACCAGAGATTTGCGTCCGAGGCAACGTCTGCTGAAAATTTGCAAGCGCTTATATGATAAAATCTCCGTTTTTGCGTGTCGAGGAGCGTTTCGCAATAAAAATGATGAAATCTCCCCTCGGTTTGCGCTGTGGATTAATGTTCCACGACAAAAGTGCACTCTCTCCGAACCACAGTACACCTCAATTACGTATGTCCGAGTGTAGAAGCGCAACAAAAATGTTTATTGTCAACAACAAAACGCCCCCCTAGGGGAAAGAAAGAGAATCGCGCCCTAGACCTTCAGTCGGGGTTTGTTGTAGGCCTTGGGAGCGGACGCGCACCCTCCTCAATAGACTTTACATGGAATATAATATCGGCATCCTTTAAACCCAGAAAATGTCTACCGCCGATCAAGCAGAGATTTGCCTCCGAGGCAAAGCAACCAGCGTTCTGTACCGCTTTAGAGCCCATTGGACCTGGCACGGGCGCCGGCCAGCTGATTCTGGTGCCAGGTTCCGAGGTCTTAGCGATGCAAGGCTTCTGCAACGTAAAATCACTACATTGGACGTAAAATCACTACAAGCGGAAATCCAATCGGACAGCGTAATTTTCCGGCAGGCTCGATTATTCTTCGTAAGTCCGTCCGACCTGGCTGACGTTCGAGAGTTGGGCATGGCCGGGATGATTCCCGTAATCGCATGGACGCTAGAACAAACCTGCGGATTTCTTCGAAGACTGAACGACTATACTAAGCGGTATGTCCTATTTGAACGCACTTACATGAGCTCCGTAATTTAACGGAGTTACCGACTCTGTCTCCGAGCGACGTCGTTGGCAAAGAAGTAGAACTACGCTCGTTGATGGGTACCAGGTAAGTTATTAAAAAAATAACAAATTATCGACGAAGAATCGGAAACCTAAAGACCCACAAAATTTTTTGTTTTTGACACCATTTCTGCGCAATTTGCAGTGTGAAAAGTGGGCGGAAAAATGGACAGCGTTCTCCCGACTCCGAGTAGTAAGCTCTGAGTCCGAGGACAAGGAAGATGATGTGCTCTACTTGGGCGAATCTCGTTAAGTATCCCCATAATTTTTTTCAATTTTATATATTAATATATTATATCATATTATATATTACGTATTATATCATATTATATATTATGTATTATATTATACTTATATTTATTATATCAAATTACTTTATATTATATATATTATATCAAAGTAACATATTATATCAGTTATTAATATATATTATGAGAGAGACAAATGAGACTTTGTCGTCGCGCTCTTACTGCCCTCCTCGAAGCCCTCGAACAGCCGCAACGACATCCACAACAGCCACAACTGCAACCACAACTGTTGGAACCCGCGGCGCCACAACTGCTGCAAACATTGTAAGTTGTAACATTTTTTTGTGTAATGTTTATATCTAGGCAACCCGAAAGCAACCGTAATCTATGGCTCGATTTCGTGCCTGAGGTTTTGTACTAAGAACTACACCACCGATCGATGCACCTTGTGAACTGCAACTGAGCCGCCGCGCTCTTTTTGCGCTCCTCGAGGGCTACCGATACGGGAATCAGCAAATGCCACAGATTCCTGTGCGACAACAACAACAAGTACCCCAGATGGCGCCTCATGTTAAACAAGAACCAAGTACCCCTGATGGCGCCGTCCGTTCAGCCCCAAATGCAGCAACTACCGCCGCCACCACCGTATTATACCTATTATTACCGTTATTGTTAACATTTTAACGTAAATCATTGAGTTAATAAAATTATTGTTGTTGTTGTAAATCAAAAGTTTATCTTTAAAATTTCGGCTTATCAAGAACGATGGGAGATGTTTTCACAAGAACGGCGCGCGCAAGTTGAAGGACATTGGGGTGGGAAAGCGGCGATTGTTATCGCACCTTTGCGATAGGAAGACGGATGCATTCGATGCAAAACAGTGTGAAAGAAAAGTTTGTTTTAGCCGCCTGTGTAAAGTGAAAATAATATTGTTACAATTACTATTTTTGTTTTGCAGGTAACAAAAATGGAAATAATCAATATGGAACGAGTGGAGAGACAGTAAGTATAACATTTTAATCTAACGTTTACAGTGTGATAGAGCACGCGAGGATCGGAGTCGCCTACCCATTCCACGCTCTAAAACAAAACCACCGGGGACCCGTGGATTCCGAGCTCGAGGCCCATCCCAAACTGACGATAGACGAGAACGAGAGATCGGAGTCGAAATCCAAGGGTCGACTTTTCAAGATAGTGAGTTTTTTGCACTCAAAAAAACGTTTGACTTTCAGGTGAAACCGCTCGATCCTAAAAAAAAACTCAAGTTTACCGTAAAGATGCAATGTTGCGATAAGAAAGGAGCCCTCCTTTTCCAGTGTGATGTCATTTTTTATTTGACGCCTAAAAAATAGGGGCGTTTCGTTGTTGGCAATAAACATTTTTGTTCTTCTTCTACACTCGGACATACGTAATTGAGGTATACTGTGGTTCGGAGAGAGTGCACTTTTATCGTGGAACATTAATCCACAGCGCAAACCGAGGGGAGATTTTATCATTTTTATTGCGAAACGCTCCTCGACACGCAAAAACGGAGGTTTTTTCATATAAGCGCTTGCAAATTTTCAACACGATAGGGCCTGCGTACCGCCCGAGAAAGTAGTGGTGGACGACGACGAGACATAGAGTCGAAATCAAAACAACAACTTTTCCATCTGGTGAGTTTTTGCACTCACAAAACGTTTGACTTTTCAGGAGAAACCGCTGGATGACAACAACACGATCAAGTTCACGATAAAAACGCAATGTCACGTCAAGAAGGGACCGTTCCGCATCCATCGACCACAGCACCAACCCCTACAACTCCAACCCTCCCTGTAACCTGGGAGTTGGTCGATTTCTTGCAGTCGCATTTTTGGCTGTGCTTTCTCGCTTTCATTGCTCTGGCATTCCTGTGGTCCGCTATTTGATTTTTTATGGGTAGCTGTGCTAAGCGGCCCCAGCCCTTATACTCTCCATTTTCTTTGGAGTCGGAATAAATATTTTTGTTTCTTTTTTTTGAGTTTTTCCCCGATACAGCAGTCATGTCAGTGAACCCGTTTAATAATAATAAGATTTCCTTTAGATGAGACAGTATATTAATTGATTAAAATATTATTTTGCTATACATTCGTTCATCCGAACGAATGTTTTTGTCTCAATATCTCGGCTGCCCCATTTAAAGTGCGAGCTAAAACTTTAAGGAATTGATATTTAGTCTATGCCCAATCTCCGATTCCACCTTCGGTCAGAAAAGAAATCAACGATTTGGCTGTGGTCTTGCGGTGGTTTCTTCTGTCGATTACCTTACGCTACCTATTCTTGCGTATGTGGATGTCGGGTAATCGAAAGATGTCGTTCCCCTCAAAGATGAACACGAGAATAAGAGAAATCAACTCGAATAAATGATTTATCAATAAAAGTAAACAATACAATAAAATAAGCAATACAACACAACTCTACAACAACAACACTTCACAACAACAACAACCACAACTTCACGACTACACTCTAACAACACGACAACTACACTGATCAAGATGGGATAAAACCTCAGAGAAGGTTACGGTGTCGTGATTCAGGCTCTCCGCTTCGGGATCTCTCTATCGAACATTCTCGAACGCAACTGGGGAAACAGTTGACACAGGGGACATCTCTCTCTCTCTCTCCATAAATTCCATCGAGTTGACACATCGTGGATAACTCCAGGTTCCATGGAATCTGACACCCAACATGTGTGCAAAATTTAAAGAAAATCTGAGCGTCGCATTAGGGGTACTTCCCTTGTTAATTTCAAAAAAAAACACGCATTTCTTAATAAAAATTTACCCCATTTTGAAATTCAAAATCAAAAAACCCCCTCAGTCTTCTTATGAATTGTTTTACCGACCGGTCGGATGTTGCTGATCCTCCTCTTCCTTCCCGTAATTTTCGCGAACACTCCTGCCCCGAAAGAAGTGCCTGAAGCGCTGTTGAGGCTCTACCAGCAATGCGATTTGCGGCGATGGATTCCGGAGACAGCCACTGGCGCAAAGGTTTGGTCTTTGGAGGTGGATCCGAATGAACAACGGCTTTACGCCATTGAATACCATGTCGACTTCAAAAATGGAATCGTTGAGACCATTTCGAAGTAGGTGGGGTCAGAATCACAATTTTTTGGGCACGAAAATACTTTTAGGACACGGCTAAAGATGAAAAAAGAAATTGTATTATGATTTTTGGGGTTTACTTTACTTCGCAGGCTGCAGAATGAAAATGAAAAGTCAGTACTGACCTATATTTTCTCCAAAAAAACTAGAGGATTCGACCGCCTAAAACTTCTCTGGGCCTTGCCATAGAAGAGTTAATAAGCCAGTGGCCGTATAGAAACAATTTCTAATTCAAAGCTCGGGCGCAGACTGGTAAAATTTATTTTTAATAATTGGTAAAAAACGAGCTTTTTGCGACAGAAAGTAGCTAAACTTTTTTTAAAGGTTTAATTTTTTTGAGTCCCACTTTCATAAAGAGCCTTTCTCCGAGCTGCGCCCAAGCTTTGACTTGAAATTTTCTTAAATTTTCTTGACAAGTCTATGGTTTTTCACTTGAAGTTGACATCTCTTGAGACGACAAAAATTCGAATCACTTTTTTTAAAAAGTACTGAGATTTTTTGAACGGAATTCGGTAAAAAATTTGACCATTCTCTCGATGGAATTGTTTTAATAATTTTTCTTCAGGAAGTTCGTGTATAACAAAAATAGAGCAGAGGGGATCTGGAGCCATGATGTGAAAAGAGTGGGACTTATTGAATCCAGAGCCGACAGCTAGTATGTTCCAGATATTTTTTTGCCCTTTTTTTAATTTAATTTTCTAATTTTATTTTTTTATTTTGCTTTTATTTTTTTTATTTTTTTAAATTTTTTAAATTTTTTGAATTTTATTTTTTTTAAATTTATTAATTTTATTTTTTTTGTTTTATTTTTATTTCTGTTTTTATTTTTTTTTTTACTTTTTTTATTTTTGGTTTTTTATTTTTTACGTTTTATTTTTTTTGAATTTCAGTACGTATTTTTTCTGGCATGACGATCCCACTCACCCGATGAACTTGGACGTAAATTTGGCTTTACGCAAAAATCTTAATGATAGAATTCGGCACGTGGGTTACAATGGATTCGCCCGGAAAGACTTTGTTTACTCAACCATCAGAGTAGATAAAGTGAAGTTCGATAGGTTCTCTCGTTGGTACGCCAATCTGACTGGACTCGCCGATCTTGTTGGGAAGAAGGAATCGAAAGACGGATATTTTTTATACCCTGAGCCGCATGGACCTATTTATTTTTTGTTGGGGCGAAAGTGCAGAGAAGAACGTATAGATTTAGATAAATATGTAAGCAATTTTGCAAAGCACAAACAGAAAAAAAATTGTTTCTTCAAGGCCCAAAATGTTCTAATAACATGTTTTTTTCAGGCATCGGGGGTTCTAAGTGCGGATTTTGATGATGACTGCAGAGACTTTCGACCTCAAGGAATGTTTGCTCGAAGCCAATTTGGGATAATTTACAGCACGGTAAGTCGTGGTATCACTCAAATAATGTGACCGAAATTTTTTTCTTCAGATGATGTATGCCTACCTGACAAGGGACTGCTCCGCTCAAATCTATGACAACTACTGGAGCCATGCGTTTGGAAGGATTCAATTTACTAATCAGACTTCGGTAAGTTTGTGGCAGGGTCAAAGAAACGACAGGAGTTTTTTTTTAATCTTTTTTATTGTTTGAATTTTGCACGGTGCAAAATTTGCCGCAGGCCGCACTGTGCGTAGGAAATTGCTTTGCACTGTGCAGACATGTTGTCATTTTCTCGGTCAGCAAAAAATATTTTGTTCTTTTGTCACTGAAAAATTTTTTTATCGCACAGTGCAGCGTTTGCGACATATTTCTTTTTTTTTCCGCACTTTGCGGATTTTCGCCGAGAATTATTTATTTTTGTTGCACGGTGCGAACTTATTTTCCCACTTTTTGCACAGTGCAATTTTAGCGCGTTTCATTTTTTATGAGACGCAAGAATTTTTTGACTGCACATTGCAGAACAAAATCAAAATTTTGCTGTTATTGTAACTTTTATTGTCAGGAGACAACAACTACTACCACTACGACCACCACAACTACGACCACCACGACTACCACGACCACTACAACCACAACAACCACGCCTACGACAACGACCACCACGACTACCACTACGACGGTATATTTTTCTTGCCAATTTTTTTACTCTGCGACACAGGATTTTTTGACGCACAGTGCAGATACAATGCCAAAGTTACCGCTCAAATGATGCTGCAAGTTTCATTTTCAGACCACTAGCACAACAACGACAACAACGACCACCACGACGACAACCACCCCCACCACGATTACCACTCCAACAGTGCCCACTACGGTAAATTTATGGCAGGGTTCAAAACACCATCAAGGAATTTTCGATTTTTATACGATTCTTTTGGACAGTGAAATTTCCAGCGATTTTTTCCCCTTTTTAACCTTTGAGCATTATTTTTTGACTCCACTGCACGGTGCAGAAAAAGCTTACTGTTCAAATGATGCTGTAAGCTTTATTTTCAGACCACCACAACAACAACGACTACTATCACGACTACCACTCCAACAACTATTACAACTGCATTACCCTCTACGGTTGGTTTATGGACGTTGCCCAAAAAAGTGGCCTGAAATATCAGTCTGCCGGGAAAATAACGGCGGATCGTAGCAGCAAAATGCCTCGCCTCATCGAAAAAAGGGTGCAGTCGCGCACGAAATCCCCAGCCGTGGCTAGACGGCGCAAAGCGATGGTGGGAGATTCCGAGGCGTGATGATCCGCCGTTATTTTCCCGACAGGCTGATATTCTATTTTTAGAATTTGCACAGTGCAAAATTTGTCGCAAAAACGCAATGTGCATCAGAAATCCCGTTGCACTGTGCAAACAAAGTTTTTTCTACGTTTTATTTTTAGACTACCACGACAACAACGACTACTACTTCCACCACCACGACTACCACTACAGCGTCAACTACAGTGGCCACTACTGTAAGTTTCCGGCAGGGCTCAAGTTTGATTTTTGAACTGGGTTTTTCTGACTGCATAGTGCAGTAAAAGGGGAAAAATTCCAATTCAAAATTTTCTGTAAATTTGATTTTCAGACTACCACAACAACGACCACCACAACAACAACGACCACGACTACCACTACAACCTCAACTACAGTGACCACTACGGTATTTTTATGTCTTATGAGCATATACTAGGAATTATTGCGCAGTCAAGATCCTTTTGACAAAGAAAAATATTTTGCTTTTTTGTCACTGCACTGTGCAATGGAAAATAGTGCAGTGAAAATAAAAAATAAGAAATTTTTGATTGTGTGTTTTGTATTTTCTCTGTAAGTTTTGTTTTCAGACCACTACCACAACAATAACGACTACCACCACCACCACGACTCCCACTTCAACGTCTACTACAGTACCTTCCACGGTAAGTCTTTCACTGCGCAGTCAAGATTCTTTTGATTGTCCAAGAAAAATATTTTGCTTTTTTTATCACTGCACTGAGCGATGAAAAATCGTTTTCCTATTTTGTGATTGACAGGGTGCACAGTGCACCTTTTGTGAAGGTTTGGGTTGTGACCCCGTTTGATTGTGACGCACAAATTTTCAGACTACAACAACAACGACCACTACCATCACGACCAAGTCTACCACTCCGACGTCCACTAGAGTGCCGTCTACTCTTTCGCCCACAACAATTAATCCCAATGCTAAGCCAAGTGCAAGCAATATATCTTTCGTCACCACAGAGTTGCCAGAGCTGGGCAAAGAGTAGGTTGTGTTAAAGTGGCCCAAAAATTCTTAGTGCTTTGTCTTGTGAGTGCTTGAGGTTTAGAAATTTTTCGACGGGGTCTTTAATAATTGTTTGTCTTTTATTTTCTTCGAGATTCAAATCTCATGAATGTTGTAATTTTCATTGTAATTTTTATCCTAGATGCTGAGCTATCACCCACTAGGGGCCAATGCGCTATCTGAAAGTTTGCTGAAAATCATAGAGCGCAGATCGGAGAATTTGCACGGGCGCAGCTCGAAAACAAGCCGAAACTTAGCTCCGGCGAGCAGTGAAAGCTTGTTTTCCGAGCTGCGCCCTACCATTTTCAGCTAACTTTCAGCAAACTTTAAGATAGCGCATTGGCCTCAGAGCAAATGAAATCGGATTTCTTTTTGTAAAACAGATTTTTTTTGAAAAATTTCGAATATATCCTTGAAAAACTTTATAGAAATTTATGCTAAAGCCCATCAAGACCCGAAAAATGCTCCATTTTTAGCTCCGCAGAGTTGGTTTTGCCAGCCAACCACCGAACTGCCTACATTTTCACTGGCTCGCTTCTGGGCTTGCTCGCCCTTGTTCTCTTTATTTTATGCTCAATTGCGTTGGTCTTCCTCTACAGAAGAAGAAAGGAGAAGGTAAAGAAATGGCCCCATAATCGCATTGGATTTTTTAGAAAGCAAGGAAGATGAAGAGAAAGCTGAAAGATCGTTTTACGACGACGGGAACCTCGACAAGCGCGAGCCGTACTAATGTGACGACAAGGACGGATACTCGCTCTTCAATGGGGGATCGGATACTGTCTCAGGTAAGGAAGGATATTTGAAAAAAATTGTGACCGCACTGTGCAACCAGAAAAATATGTTTGATTTCTTTTGTACTGTGCGGCAAACATTTTTTTGCACGGTGCAGTTGGAATTAAAATAAAATATTTCCTTGTTGTTTGCACGGTGCAGGCCAATGTGGTGACTGCACTGGAGCGATGGGAAAAATATTTTTTGCACGGTGCAGTTGGGATCAGAGATTGCCACGGCTCCGGAGCCGGCTCTTGGCTCCGGCTCCGAGCCGGAGCCGGTAATTTTGGGTACGGCTCCGGCTCCCGAGCAAAACGGAGCCAGGCTTCTCAGCGTTCAAAAAAGTAAAAATTCCATAATCTTGTTAAACCAAATTGCTTAAAAAATACTGGTAAAGATGTGATGCATACTGCAAAAACGTGGAGTGTGTGATCTATACCACTAATAACTTTTTATTTGGAAAAATATTTTTTAAATTTTTTTGAATGGGAGCCGGGATTCAGAGCCGAAGAGTTTTTTTAATTTTTCATGGGAGCCGGAGCCAAAATTCTGACCGTGGCAATCTCTGGTTGGGATTACAAATATTTTTTTTTGTGGTTCGCACAGCGCAGGCCGAAGTAGATACTGCACTGTGCAATGGATAATAAATTTTTTGCATAGTGACAGATTTTTTTGCATTTTTACAAAAAATATTTTAAGAAATTCAATAAATTCTTTTTTCAGAAAGGAAAGAAGAAAACTGAGTCTGTCGATCGTTCTGTTCCGATCCAAAAGATCTCAAAGCTAAGAATCAAGGAAACGGAAAGCCAAGAGTTTCACTAGACGTGAAAACTTCTCCAGTTGAAGTGAAGATATATGTACATGTACATACTATATTATTATATTGTGAATATAAATTTGAGAAAAAAATTTTTGCTTTTTCTTAGAAGGTGTGGTTCACATCAAAAAAAAAAAAAAAAAATGAAAAAACAAGGAATCTCGGATCATTGATTTTTGACGAAATGTCGCCGAATTATCGAGTCACAAGTTAAACTTTCCCAGAGAAAAATTTTTTTTGAGAAAAAAATTTTTTTGTAGAGAAAAAGACTTCGCAAAAAATCATTGATCTGGGATTCCTTGTTTTCTCAATTTTCTGAAAGAATTTTTTTGACGTGTGGTTCGGATTCGGACAACAGAAAACTCCGTCGCCCATCAACACGGTTGTGAATGGAGAAACGACAGGTTCGAGAATGCTGACAATCCCAGCGCACGGCAGTGCATTAGGCTTTTTTGGGCTGTCGCTCGCACCCTGAGTTTTTTCGCACAGTGCACGTCGCCGAAATCATTCCAGCGACTTTACGAACGGACTAGTATTGCACGGTGCAAAAAGCCAAAAATTGCACAGTGCAAAGTGGACTTTTGTTTTTGCACAGTGCATGTTGCTTGCACAGTGCGGCAGCTCTCAAAGTCGCTGCATTGATTTTTGCGACATGCACTGTGCGGAAACAGCAAACTTGATACAGTTTACAGTATGGTAAGTCTTGTCATCACTCAAATAATGGGACCTGGTTAGCTCTGAAGAATTGATGACGTCATCGAACAACTCAACTATCTACAGTGGCGGACCAGCATTTTGGATCCGGAACTTTTGTATTTTTTTGCACGGTGCAAACCACAAAAAGGCCGCAAAATTTTCTGATTCAGAATATATAAAAATTAGCTGCCTAATTTCGGATATCAAAAAGTTTTGTCAATAAATGTATTTCTCACGGAAAAAAATCGGCGGCAACAAAACCGCTGTCAGAGCGTCAAAAAGTCATTTCCAAAATGGAATTCTTCCATTTGCCCTCCTCATCACTCCCACCGACCAGTCGCTCTCGAGAATGCTGACTTTCCTCGCCATCTTGCTGGTACTGTGGGCGCTGCCGCCCGGGAACGATGGTAATGCCGACCCGGCTCGTCAGTTTTTCAAACTGTTCCAGAAGTGCGATGAGTTGAAGAATTTCTTGCCGAAGAACACTGCAAAAGCTGAAATTCGGTTTCCTGTCGCCGATTATACAACAGCTGGGGTTTCTTATACGATTTACAAAAGGCTTCTTGACTTGCGCGAAAACGAAACTGGAAACGAGGCGTAAGTGGAGAACGCACTTTCTAGGCGACAAGTTTTTTCACAAAATTTTTTTTCCGGGTGAGGACTTGCTGATTTTTAAAATTTTTCTCGTTGTGAATGAATGCACTGTGCGTAACATTCCTTTGGGAGGTACTTTAAGAGAGACACTGATATGCTTTCCACGTTTACAGGCCAATGCCCGCAGTAATTCGTGCAACTTGGAGCCATAATATAAAACGGTTCGGAATCTACACGCCGTCTGGCCAAGGGTAAGTTGACAAAAGACATCACTCTTTTTTCAGCATTGTATTCAAATGGAATGACGCTGATGACGTGATACACTTAGGAAACGTCATTCCCGAGTATGAATTGGCGACCGAAGATTACGTCTACGCCGTGCTTTCAACAGAGGATGGAGTTAAAAAATTTGCTCGTTGGAAAGTCGATTTGAGCGGCGAACTTGAAGTTCTCGGCGACGCCAGCCCTTATAGTCGTTGCATCTTTTTTCAATACGCGTCGGGACCCACGTACTATTTGACGGGCAATAAATGCCTTCAAATCGATGATCTCAAGCAGTTGGTGAGTCGGAGAAAAAATTTATTTTTTGAGGGAAACACTTGACTCATTTAGGAACACTTGACTTAATGGGTTATGTCTTTCACCTAATATTAGCATTTTCACAGTGCCTGGACATGTTTAGTACAAACCGTTCAAGACATTTTTGGTTTTCAGTCTAAAGGTTACCAAAGCTTCCGCGAATGCAACACCTCCCAAGGAATGTTCGCGTTCTCCGATCTGTACGAATGGTACAGTCTGGTAGGCCTTGTACAACTTTTAATGCTCTGATTTATCAATAAAGTTTACAATTTCCTCTTATTTTCAGAGTGCGTTCGCATGGCTAACAAGAGAGTGCGATGGCCAGATTTGGAGCAATTATGACAACCACGATTCGGCCAAGGTTCAATTTATCCCGGGTAATCCACCGGTAAGAAAAGGGAAGGGGTTCGAGAGGAAGCGGGTCGCACTATGCAAATGAAATTATAATAAGAAAAAGGGCCGATGCAAATTGTGATCGCTGCAATATTCATAACGCATCATTCACTGGTGTTTTTTTTCAGGCGGTTCGAAGAAACGAAACAGTGTCCACGACTAGGTGAGAAGAAAAGTCTTGACATGTGTTTGCATTGTGGGGGGCGTTTCGCGATAAACAGTCAGCACGGTGCGACGGAAGGGCGCACTATGCTATTTTACGCGCGCAGCATGAGCTACGTTTCACGGCTGCGCGAAATAAACGAAAAATTCTTCCCACACACTTTTTGAGTTTCGTCCAAACTATGTGTCACAATTGACAAAAGAAATAAAATGACACCCCCAGGCCCATTTTAACGCCCCTCCCCCTGAATTTTTGCAAAATAGTTCTCGGAATGAAGATGCAATTCAAAACTTTCTGTAAACTACAGTGAGAGACCAGATCCAATGGCAACAAACGTCTCATTTTGCATCCCGGAGGGGATCAAAATGTCTCCAAACCCTTCCCTTCTATAAGCTAAAAAACCCCGGTTTGGAGATCCCGCCTTGAAGGAAAGGGCGCGCTTTTCAAAGCGGAGTTTTTTTATTAGGTTGTCCCATAAATAATGTCCCTCTTCGAGAGGGGTCAAGTCAAAGGTCTATAAAAAACGTAAGCAACAACCAAATTTCGTAATATTCTAGCATTTTGTAGCCATGATTTCAAGCTTTTGTTTAATATGTCATCTGCCATATTTCGATGAAATTACAGTAATTTAGCCCCACTTCAAAATTTCGGAAAAAGGGACGATTTGTGCCATCAACTTGTGGGAGCAAAAACAGGGTACGAAGGTTTTAGAAGTTACACCAAATATCAACGCCATGTTCGGCCAGTGTGCTGTGAGTCCGGCCACGGTGAAACGAGCGTTTAAAAAAATTCGACCTAGCCACAGGAACTCCGAAGGAAAAACACGTCATGCCAGCTTTGCGAATTTACCCTGAGGTCATTGGTCGACGGAAGTCATGGAATCCACGTCCGACGCCTTTCCGGCATTGTGGTGGTATCAAAATTATCGGTGGATAACAGTGCAATGTCGATAAATTCAAGAAAAAGCTCGACGAATTCTTCCCATATTATTGGACCAAGGCCCAGAATGAATGCTTCGCTTTTTTGCTTTACCGAGCCTAAGGTCCTGCTTTTCTGGATCGTATCATAGCTTGTGACAAAATGTGAATCAACTACGACACCTAGGCAAGATTTTCTCAAAGGTGGTCATCCGGGGTACCACCACAGCACGTCCCAAAGTCTGAGTTCCTCTAGAAGACGGTGACGGTCAATTTTTGATGGCGCAACGTGGGATTCATGCATTACTGCTTCCTGGAACCGGGCCAAACTGTAAACACCACCTCCTACTGTACCTGCATAGACAGCTTGTTGCACAATCGGCCTTCCACGGTACGCCACAGAAGTTCGAACATTTTTAACGGAAACGCGCAACCTCACCTTCTAAAAATTACCCTCCAGAAGCCGAATTAACCGAGATACGAAACTCTTCTTCGTCTGGTATATTCGTTGTAGATAGCCTATGCAGACTACCACCTGTCCAAGGATCTACCACGTTTCATCCGTGGTAGAAAATTAATCAATTAAGACGCCCTTGAAAAGGCCTCCAAAAGTTTCATCGGCTCCAGAAGCCGGGACTTTTAAACTACTGGGATAAAAAAATGCTTGGCACGTTGTAATCAACGTGTTAAAGCATATGGTAATTATTTTGATTAATTAGATTGCTGTTATTACGGTAAATTTTGTCGCAGAAGTAAATTTTTCAAAGAGGGACATTATTTGTGGGACAACCTAATAGCTTAGAGAGGGGAAGAGTTTGGAGTCGTTTTGGTCCCTTCCGGGATGCAAAATGAGACGTTTTTTGCCATTGGATCAGGTCCCTGACTGTATGTTTTTAGACCACCACAACAACAACGACCACCACCACGACAACGACTACCACTACAACCTCAACTACAGTGACCACTACGGTATTTTTTTTTGTCTTATGAGCATGTACTAGAAATTACTGCGCAGTCAAGATTCTTTTGTTTGTCAAAGAAAAATATTTTGCTTTTTTGTCACTGCACAGTGCGATGGAAAATCTTTTTCCCATTTTGTGATTGGCAGGGTGCACAGTGCAGCTTTTGTGAAAACCTTTTGGTTGTGACCCCGTTTGATAGCAAATTTTCAGACTACACCAACAACGACAACAACGACCACTACCATCACGACCAAGTCTACCAGTCCAACGTCTACTACAGTACCTTCTATTGTAGCGTCTACAACAACTGATCCCAATGCTAAGCCAAACGAAAGCAATATGTCTTTCGTCACCACAGAGTTGCCTGGGCGGGGCAAAGAGTAGGTTGTGTTAAAGTGGCCCAAAAATTCTGAGAACTTTGTATTGTGACTGCTTGAGGCTTGGAAATTTTTCGACGGGGCTTTAATAATTGTTTATTATATTTTCTTCTATTTTCTTCGAGATTCAAATCCCATGATTATTGTAATTTTTATTTTAATTTCATCCTGGATGCTGTGGTATTATTACCCATCAGAGCAAATGAAATCGGATTTCTTTTTGTAAAACAGATTTTTTTTTGAAAAATTTCGAATATATCCTAGAAAAACTTAATAGCAATCTATGCTAAAGTCCATCAAGACCCGACAAATACTCCCTTTTTAGCTCCGCAGGGTTGGTTTTACCAGCCAACCACTCAACTGCCTACATTTTCACTGGCTCGCTTCTGGGCTTGCTCGCCCTTGTTCTCTTTATTTTATGCTCAATTGCGTTGGTCTTCCTCTACAGAAGAAGAAAGGAGAAGGTAAAGAAATGGCCCCATAATCGCATTGGATTTTTTAGAAAGCAAGGAAAATGAAGAGAAAGTTGAAAGATCGTTTTACGACGACGGGAACCTCGACAAATGCGAGCCGTACTAATGTGACGACAAGGACGGATACTCGCTCTTCAATGGGGCCGTCCAAGGTAAAAAGTTGGTGACTGCACTGTGCAACCAGAAAAATATTTTTCATATTTTTTGCACTGTGCGGCAAAAATTTTTCTGCACGGTGCAGTTGGGATTACAAATATTTTTTTTTGTGGTTCGCACAGTGCAGGCCGAAGAGTTTACAAAAAATATGAAAAAAAAATTCAATATTTTTTTTTCAGAAAGGAAAGAAGAAAACTGAGTCTGTCGATCATTCTGTTCCGATTCAAACCTCAAAGCTTAGTCTCAAGGAAACGGAAAGCCAAGGGTTTCACTAGATGCGAAAACTCCTACAGCTGAAGTGAAGATATACATGTACAAACTATATTATTATATTGTGAATATAAATATACGAAAAAAATGTTTGTTTTTTCTAAGAAGGTGTGTTTCAAATCAAAAAAAAGTGCAAAAACCTGTTGTCTTACGGTTGTCTCTGCAGTCGATTACCTTCAACACCTTTTGCTTGGAAATACTTGGCCTTCCAAGTGGAAGGTTGTGGAAATCGGGTAATCGAATGATGTCGTTCCCCTTTAAAATCAACGCGAGAATAAACGACACTCAACTCGATTAGATAAATTTATCAAAGGAGCAACAAATACAATAAATTAAAATAGCAATACAACACAACTTCAATAATACTAAACAACAACTACAACACTCAAATCAAGGTGGGATAAAACCAAAAAAAGGGTTACGCTGTCGTGATTCAGGCTCTCCGCTTCGGGATCTCTCCATCGAACATTCTCGAACATCGGGGAAAAAAAGCTGGGAAACAGTTGACACGGGGGGACATCTCTCTCTCTCCATAAATTCCATCGGGCTGACACATCGTGGATAACTCCAGGTTCCGTGGAATCTGACAGACGTCATTCTCGGACATCTGACATAGTAAATCCACCTTTGTAACAGTCGCGAAAAAATTGGAGATCTCACAGATTTTAATTAATGTCTCAAATTACACCTGCCATTATTAAATACAGAATAATTTATTGCCTTCACTTTATTTTTGACTATGATATTGACCTTATTTATCCTACTAACTGCTCTTCTCGATAAGTTCCTTGATTCTCCGATAAGATGGTCGTTTTGTGGGTAATTTGAGGATGAGGCGGAAGAGATGGCCAAGGAAATCTATGATCTTCTTGTCCTGGATGAACTTTTCCACACGCTCTTCGAACACGTTTCCCTCCAACATATCAGATTTGAGCTGATAAACGACAGTTTTCTAAAATAATAAGGAGGTAAAACAAGGTGAAATAATCTAAAATTAGAAGCTCCGAAGAGTGTAAAAGACTGCTTACGTCATTATCGCTACTCCAAATCAACAAATCCTTGTTGAAAATCCACATGACTACATAAAAATAGCTGATCATGTCATCAAAATGGGTCCTCTCCAGATTCAAATGGGTAGATAGACTGCAGAAAACGAGGTTCCCAAAGAATGGCAGCTTCAGACGAGGGGTCTTTGGAGTGATTCTGGCTAATCCAAGGTTGGAAATGAGGACTTTTGCGCCAACAAAATCATAGTGAAAACTTGAAGGTTTGATGTCTCGATGGACAATGTTTGAAAAGAGTAGATCCTCCATGCAATTGAAGGTCAGGGAAACCAGTTTCAGCTTCTCTTCGGTGCTCAGAGTACCACTCAAAACTTGTTTTTCAATGGAGGGACCAAGCTAAAAATTTTCAAAAAATCAGCAGCAAAAAATTGCTCTGTCGCCTATACCTAACATCAAAAAATAGCCTTTTCTTGATTCTAAAATACGCATTTGAGCTCACCTTTTTCAACACCAACAACCGGCAGTTCAAGTCTTTCAATTGGATTGTGTCGATAAAGTCGGGGATGGTTCCATTTTTCTGGTTCTTTTTGGCTTGTTTCATTACCGCGGCCATCGCCTAGAATCAGAGAAAGATTACTTCACATTGATGATCTCAATCAATTGGTGAGCCAGAGAAACGATCATGTGTTGAGAGGAACACTTGACTCATTTAGGAACAGTTGACTCAATGGGTCAAGTGTGTCTCTCAACAGTTGTTGCACAAAATTAATTCGTCGCAGTTGCTGGAATAATTTTTGCGAAATACACTGTGCAGAAAACGTCAGGGTGCGAGCGATAGCCCGAAAAAGCCTATTGCACGGTGCAAAAAGCAAAAAATTGCACAGTGCATGTCGCTTGCACAGTGCATGCGGCAGTGCTCAAAGTCGATTGATTTTTGCGACATGCACTGTGCGAAAACAAGAAACCTACTTTGCACTGTGCAATTCCTTGTTTTTGCACCGTACAATGGGTTTTTTTGGCCCGTTGCTCGCACTCTGAATTTTTGTGCACCGTGCAAACGCCAAAAGTCACTCGAACGACTTTAAAAGCATCCATATAAAACCTATTTTCCCACTTACCTCAATCCTGTTCAATTCAGATTTCACATCTTCAAACTGCACCGTGCACAACTCTCCGCCCATTTCCACTTCGAATTCGCCAAACGTTTTGTCGAATGTCTTGGCCGGGATGGTGACCCCAATCTTTCCGAAGGTACAAAACAAGCCTTCGCGAGGCTCCGGTGGTCTGTCCAGAGGTTTTTCGGGGAGCTCTGCCTCGACCCCTTCCACTTCGTTCTGGTCAAAAATCTTCTCAATTTCCGGGCTGAGAAGAATGTTTGCAGTGGAATCCTGGAAATCAATTGATCACATTTTTGTAATACATTCGAGATTGTGCAAAAAAAGCCTTATTAGTCGCACAGTGCACAACCATTTTTTTCGCACAGTGCCGGAAAAAGAAATTAATCGCACCGTGCAGAAAAACAAATTTCCTCAAACTTAAAACCGCACTGTGCAGTGAAATCAAAAGTTTGATTTTCAACGCTCAAAATTGCACCGAATTCCTGGAAAGAAACTTGCGACAAATTCCCACCGCACAGTGCAAAAAAGCCCAACCTCAAACCGCACTGTGCGACGATTAAACTTCGGCGACAAATGCCTATCGCACAGTGCAAAAAACCTCAACCTCAAACCGCACTGTGCGACGATAAATCTTCAACGACAAATGTCGAGCGCACCCTGCAAAAACCGGCTTTTCATTGCACAGTGCGTTGTGGGGAAATCCAAATTCTGTTGCACAGTGCGACAACTGTGAAGCAAAAGCAAATGCACTGTGCGTAAAATTAATTTCCCATTGCACAGTGCAGTCGCCATTTTTATGGCCTGGACGGTGCAAGAAAAAAAAAATTGAATGCACGGTGCATTCTCGTTCTTACCTTGGTGTGATTATCTTTGGCATCTGTTTTGGGGAATAAATTTTCGTCGATCGAGCCCGTGAAAGTCTAAAAAGGCACACATCTAAATTTTATCACGTTTCAAAAAAAATATATATTTTATTTCTACTTGCACCGTGCCAAAATTTTTTTCCGCACGGTGCAAAAAAAATATAAAAAAAAAAACATATTTTTGTGATTGCACAGTGCAAAATCAAAAAAAAAAGGTTTTTTGAGACTAAAAAAATAAAAAAAATTCTGAAAAAACTGATCGAAAAAAAATATTCGTCTGATTGCACAGTGCAGTCATAAGTATTTTCAACTGCAACTGCACCGTGCAAAAAAAATTTAAACAGAAAAAATTTTTTTTTGTCGAAAAAAGTATTTTTCTAATTGCATAGTGCAGCATAAATTTTTCCAATTGCACCGTGCACAAATTTTTTTTTGCCGCACGGTGCAAAAAAAATAAAAAAATGGTATTTTTCCGGCTGCACAGTGCAGTCACAAATATTTTCATTTTCCCCCCTTACCTTGAACGATTGCTGATTCCCGGTGGTTGAGCGCTTAGATTTAGAGCGTTTAGAGCGAGTCTTTGTCACTGCCTTTGTTTGTGTCTTTGCCTCCTTCAAATCATCACTTTTTTCCACAGTTTCCGCCGACGAAAACTTATTCCTCGAGCTCTTAATCTCGCCACTGGCGGTCTTCAAGCCCTTTTCCACGGTGTCCGTCGTACTGTCATTCGTGACACTGCACTTCTGTGCCTGTATCTTAGGTTTTCTTGGTGTCTAAAAAAACTCGACGCCATTCTAGGACCAAAAATAAGATTTTTACCCGCGTCTTCTTCTTTTTCCTTCTTTTCTTGACCAACGCGAAGGCACTGGAAACAATGAAGAGAAGGCAGAGAACGCCGACGCTCAAGCCGACAATAAAGTAGATGGTTGTGTTTCCCAATACCGGTTCTTCCGGGCTAAAAATAGACGGTCGTATTTTGAAGGGAAGGTATTGATGAAATATTGATCAAATTTATCAAAGGAGACAACATTTTTCGAAATTTTTATTTCGCGTTTTGCAGATACGGATGAGATTTTTTGGTAACAGTTCCACAGATTGGCCACAAGCCAAAAAAAATGAAGCCTTGGGAAAATGAAAAGGGAGCGACCTGCAGAAGGCATTTTATACAAAAGTTAACTATGCCCATGTTATAATATTTCAGCTGGCCCAACCTTATCTTACTTATTTATCTTACTTAGGCATAGCCTAAGCTTACAGTGAGGGACCTGATCCAGTGGCAAAAACGTACCATTTTGCATCCGGGAAGCATCAAAAAAAGCAGCAAAATTCCTCCCTCTCCAACTAAAAAAACTCGGTTTTGAAGGGCGTGCTTTTGAAAAAACTTTCTTTTTAACTTTAAGAGGGACATATTTTGCCACATTTTTGATACTTCCCGAATGCAAAATGATGCGTTTTTTTGCCACTGAATTAGGTCCGCTAATGTAGATAAGCTAGGGTTAGGCTCCCATTTTTTTCCTGGGCGCAGCTAACATTGACCTTTAATTTTTTTGAGTGGTGGTTAATCTGTGGAACTTCTTCAATTTACGTCAAAAAACCAAACGAAAAATTATTTTTGGCCCTTTTTTCCGCCAATTTCACACAGCAAAGAACACCGCAATAGAAGACCAAAAAATCTAAATTTCTGCACTGAACAGATTTTTTTCACTTCCTGATTTACCTCAGTGACGACGTCTCAGCCAAAACTGTTGTTGGCATTGCACTTGCATTGGTATCATGGGTCGTTGTCGCATTTACAGCAGCTGGTTCTGTGGTGTTGATAGTTGTACCAGCCGAGGCAGTGTATCTTGTGATGGGTTCAACTGCCTAAAATTGAGAAATATAAAGTGTTTCTCATTGTTTTCAACAAAATCCTCTCAAATCCCCTCCTTTTCCTTACCGGTGTATCTCTCGGGAGGAATCGAATCTTGACGAAAACGTGGGCCCAATAGATGCTCCAAATCGGACTATCGCACCCTCTGGTTAGCCATGCAAAGGCACTCTGAAAAGGAAACTGACGAAGTTTACTGATAAATCAGCGAATTAAGACTTGTACAAGACTTACCATACTGTACCATTTGTTCAAATCCGAGCGAGTGAACATTCCTTTGGTGGTGTCGCATGCGGTGAAGAGTTCGTAACCGTCAGACTGAAAAGCAAAAAAAAAATAAGAAAATAACCTTGTCTCGAACGGTGCGTACTTTCTTAGACAGTAAAAAAGTCGTTACTAGATTAGAGGGAAACGCTTGACTCATTGAGGAAAACTTGACTCAATGGGTCAAGTGTTTCTCTCGCAAAAATCACTCCAGCGACTTTTCCAACGGAATAATATTTATTGCGCAACAACTATTGAGAGAAACACTTTACTCATTGAGTCAAGTGTTTCCCTCAAAGCATACAACTTTTCTCTACTCTCCAAATGATTTAGATCATCGATTTGAAGTAATTCTGTTTGATTCTGGGCGATGGCAACTTTTGAGAGAAACACTTGACCCATTGAGTCAAGTTTTCCTCAATGAGTCAAGTGTTCCCCTCAAAGCGAAAAACCTTTCTCTGACTTACCAACTCAACGAGGTCATCGGCTTGAAGACATTCATTATCCGTCAAATAGTACATGAGCCCAGACTCGTGTTGAAGGAAGAGCACATGATCCTCAGGGCTGGCATCGCCGATGATTTCAATTTCGCCGCTCAAATCGACTTTCCAACGCGCAAACTTGCGAGCCCCATCTTCCCGTACAACCTGGGTGTACACATAATCTTCGGTCGCAAATCCATAGTAGGTACCGGTCGTGGTTCCCATGTCTAGCCGGGGTGCCGGAGGTTCGTCCCACTTGAAAGCTTGGCTGAAGAAATAGAGTCATGTCTGCAGTCAACTTACTGTTCAAGCTGTACGTAGTATCCAAAGTTTGTCAAATCATGATTCCAAATTGCGGAGGGAGAACTGGGTGCTGGAGGATCGTGTGTAGCGACGCTGAAAGTATGAAGAAAAAAGTCCTCCACTTACGTCTTGCTTATTACATCACCACTGTGCAAGTCGACACGGAATTTGTTAACTGACAAGGCCGCATTCACCGTCCAAAAAAACCACAAATCAGCTTGTGCCGCGTCCGCCGGCACGAACTTTTTCAACTGATCACACTTCTTAAACAGTATTCGAAACCCTTGAATCGGATCCAAGCTCTCTGGATCATGACTTCCCGGCGACAACGCTAACAACACGGGCAAGATGGCAAAGTAAATGAACATTTTTTCAGAGCAACTGCTCGGTAGGGGTGATTGTGGGGAAGAGTGGACGAATTTTCTACTTTTTTTTCTTATTTTGTTCACATTTCTTGTGGTCTTTTGCCGTAAATTTGCATAATCAAAATTTAGAATCAAGGGAATTTCGATTTTCGAGAGCGCCAAGAAATTTTTGAAGTTGGAAAAAGCCTGTCTAACAATAAGACATAACCCATCAAAAAGCAAAAAAAAACTGGAATTTTGTTTGGAGCCGTGCCCAGAGTGGTACCATTGTTAAAAATTTGTTTAGTATATTCATCATAGCGTAGTAAACATCCAATAAGTAGTGTAATTAGTTTCAAAATGTTGACCATGTCTGGCAGAGCACCGTTTTTTCCGAAGGCACCCAAATAAGGGTTGATATTCCCTGGCCGAGTGTCTAACTTCTGGTCACTGGTTCTAGACATGGCTCTCGGGCCGGCCCGGGCCGGCCGAAATGTCGGCCCGTCGGTCCGATTTCAGATCGGCCGGGCCGGCCGGACCATTTCCGGCCCGTCGGCCGGGCTAGAGGTGGCAATCGGGCTGGGCCGGCCCGGCCCGGCCCGGCCCGGCCGGGCCCGGCGATTGGGCCGGGCCGGGCCGGGCCTGAGCAAATTTGAAAAAGCCCTGGGCCGGCCTGATCGCTTCGGCCCGCGGGCCGGGCCGACACTTTCGGCCCGGCCCGGCCCGGAAGGTAGATAAGTAAAAAATCTTTAACGCTAAACCGGCAAAATAAAGTACAAATGCTTTGTAGAATGGATGGAAATTAGATTAAACCTTTTTTGACTTATACGCTGTTTTACTACCCTTTAAAATTATGTATGTGTAACTTATTATGTATATGTAAAATCCCACCCAAATATGTAAGGGTCGGGCAAAAGTCTTCGAATTTTTTTATGATAAATTTAAAAATTTCACTGTAATTTTGAATCCTCAATGTAAATAAAAAAGTTTAACCAGTTTTTGGTTAACCATTCCTTATAACGTCCATAATTTTATATAGCTAACTTCCTATAGGATTAAAAAATTCAACACAATCCAACTTTTTGGCTAGATTTTAGCTACCTGTACGGATGTTCCAGTCATCCGACTGGACTTTTTAATTTCACGCAGACACACTTAAAAACCTTCTGGAAAGCATAAGAACTTCCAGTAGAATGTGCAAAGACTTTTATCCAACTTTTATGTATTAGCGGGCCAAACCGGGCCGGGCCGGGCCGGCCTGGGCTTTCACCGGGCCGGGCCGGGCCTGAGCAAATTTGAAAAAGCCCTGGGCCGGCCTGGTCAATTCGGCCCGCGGGCCGGGCCGCAAAAATCGGCCCCGCCCGGCCCGATTGCCACCTCTAGGCCGGGCCGGCGTTTCGGCCCGGCCCGGAATATTTAAAATCCAGAATCTCGGAGCAAAAATTGGGTTTGATAATGAAAATAAACGCAATGTCAAGACACAGTTGGTTTTTGTTTTTAGATAGCTATGGAACACAGTATTTATCCATTTACATGATGATAGAAAAAAATTTGGTCATAAGGAGTTAGACTTGGGGAGACTTTCGTTTCAAGAAGCAAATTTAAAACGGGCCGGGCCGGGCCGACGGAAAATTTGAAACGGGCCGGGCCGGCCTTTTTTTAACCCTGGCCGAGATTTTCGGCCCGGGCCGGCCGACGAGCCATGTCTAACTGGTTCTTCATTTTCCGAAAAGCTTGGGTAAAATCCTTTGAAAGGGCGTCGCGACACTTGCGGGCAACCACTTTGCGGGCAACCAGTTTGCGGGCAAATTTTTTGCGGGCAGCCACTTTGCGGGCAAAATTTGGAGGGTCACATTTGCGGGCAGCTGAAACATTTGCGGGCAGCTGAGACACTTGCGGGCAGCCTGGGACACTTGCGGGCAACCGACACTTGCGGGCAGCCGACATTTGCGGGCAACCGGCACCTGAGGGTAACAGGGTGGAGGTGGAAATATTACTATGATATTTTGGAAATTTGCCGACATTTGCGGGCAACCGACACTTGCGGGCAGCCGACATTTGCGGGCAACAGGAAAAAACAATCACACAGAGTGTATTGGAACTTTTAGAACTGTTGCCCGCAAATGTCGGCTGCCCGCAAGTGTCGGTTGCCCGCAAATGTCGGAAAACTTCCAAAATATCGCAGTAATTTTTCCACCTCCACCTTGTTATCCCCAAGTGCCGGTTGCCCGCAAATGTCGGCTGCCCGCAAATGTCGGCAAATTTCCACAATATCATAGTAGTTTTTCCACGTCTACCCTGTTACCTCCATAATCAGGTGTCGGTTGCCCGCAAATGTCGGCTGCCCGCAAATCTTCCAGGCTGCCCGCAACTGTCGACCCTGCCCGCAAATGTCCCAGGCTGCCCGCAAATGCCGGTGCTGGCCGCAAATGTCGGCTGCCCGCAAAGTGGCTGCCCGCAAAAAATTTGCCCGCAAACTGGTTGCCCGCAAAGTGGTTGCCCGCAAGTGTGCGCCCGCATTTGAAAGCCTAAGACGAAAAGTCTCATCGTATTGAGTGGACCGCTTGGTATGTCTTTATAACGGCCCTAAAAAATTTAGGAACAAGAACTTTTTGAAACTTTGCCGCGGGAATTGGCGCGCTGACCAGGCAACTTTCCTGCGACCGTATCTGAGGTTATTTTCCCGACTGACTGACAGTACATGTATATCTCCCGCCCCGGCTAAGACTGGGATTTTTTTTCTTTATTTACATCACAATAACACAAAAAATTTTCACTTCATCTGTATGAGTTTTCTCGTCTAGTGAAAATCTCGACTTTCCGTTTTCTTGAATCTAACAGATGAGGTTTTATGAGTCAGAATGGAGCGATCAAGAGACTTGGTTCTCTTTTTTCCTTTCTTGCCTTTCTGAAAAACACAAATATAATTTTTTCAACTTCCTCCCTTACCTTGGACGACTTGTGAAGCCGGGCCGAGGTGCGAGTATCCGTCTTTTTCTTCACATCAGTACCACTCGCCTTCTTCGTGTTTTTCCTCGACGTAGAATGGTGCTTTTTGGAGGCTTTGACGCCTTTCTTAATCGGCTTCGCTTTCTAAAAAAACTCGATGCCATTCTAGGACCAAAAATTATTTTCTTTACCTTATTTCTCCTTCTTCTGTAGACCAGCGCAATTACAACGGAACTAAGACAGAGGGCTAGCAAGCCAAGAATCGAGCCAACAGAGATGTAGACAGTTGTGTTGGTGGGAATCAGAACCAATGTATCATAGCTAAAACGGAGGAATTTGGTTAGATATTAATTTAGAGAAGGTCTACGGCTATAAAAATTGCAATTATTTAGGTGTTTATGACACTTGAACCTTCCAAATCATTGTTGGCAAAAAATGAAAAATCATGAAGAAAATGGCATGATGACAATAAAAAAATCAAAAAAATTGCCAAGTAAAAATAAAACATCACTGAACCTACGATTTAGCCAGCTTTGTGGAGGGTTTATAAGGCATAGTATTTGTGCTTGACGTATCATTGGGAAAAATTGTTGTGGGCAATTCAGTTGAGGGTACTGTAGTAGTTGTTGGAGTGGTAGTCATGGTCGTGGTTGTCGTCATTGTTGTGGTAGTCTGTAAATAAAGCTTACAGCAAAAATAGAAATTTTTTTTATGTGTTACTGCACTGTGCAGTCAAAAAAAATGCTGTTCAAAAATCCAAAAATTCCTCCCTTTTTTTAACCTTTAAACTTACAGTAGATTGTGTTGTAGGAGACGTTGTAGTGGTAGTCGTGGTGGTGGTCGTTGTGGTCTAAATAAAACTTTCAATTACAGCAAAACTTTGAATTGCATCTTTTATTTTTTTGTGCGTCGGAAACAGAAAAAATTCCATAGCTAAAAAAAAAGTTCGCACAGTGCGGAGAAAAAACAAACAAATCGTAAAAAAACCAAAAATTCCTCGTCGGTATTTTTAACCCGGCTATAAACTTACCGTAGTAGTTGACATCGTAGTGGTTGTCGTGGTAGTCGTGGTCGTTGTTGTGGTAGCAGTCTGAAAATAAAGCTTATAGCAAAATCTAAAAACGAAATTATTATTTCACTGTGCGGTCAAAAAAACCGCAAAACATTTTGTGACAAATTCGGCACTGTGCAGTACATTACTTTGTGCACTGTGCATACTATCAACCAGAGGAGCACCGGGAAAAAGCTTTTCCGTCGCCAGTGCAGTGACAAAAGGAAAACAAAATACTTTTTGATGACTAAAAATAATGATGTCATGTTTGCGCAGGGCAAATGAATTTCCAATGCACAGTGAGTTTTTCCAAAAATTTCGCACTGCAAATTTTAAAAATCAAAAATTTATTATGGCTTTTTTGGGCATTTTCAATAAACTTACGGTGGTGGGTACTGTGGTGGACGTTGTGGTCGTAGTGGTGGTTGTTGTTGTTGTTGTTGTTGTTGTTGTGGTGGTGGTGGTAGTGGGGATAGTTACTGGATTGATAATCTAAAAATAAAACTTACAATTCCAGCAAAACGTTTTAATTGTAATTTGTTTTTTCCATGAAGTCAAAAAAAAATTTTGCACTGTGCGGCTCAAAATCATTTCTTTGCCTTTCGCACAGTGCACTCAAAACAAATTTTACACGGTGCGGTCTAAATAAGCCAAATTTTGCACGGTGCGGTCCTAAAAAACCTCGAAACGTTTCTTCGCACTGTACAATCAAAGATTTTCATGAATTTTCAAAAAGTTGCGTGAAAATTTTCGCAGTGCAAAAAGTTTGTCGCAATCGAGTGAGGTTGCAACCTAAGGTTTTGCAATCTTCAAAACGTTTTTTTATCGCACCCTGCAAAATTAAATACATTTTCAAAATTCGGCAATTTGTGATTACTTCTTTGCACCGTGCATAAAAAATAAAAATAAAAATCATTTTCACCTACCGTAGGCGCTTCGGTGAGAAAACGGATATGCGCGAAGGCATGTGCTCTGACTTCTTCAAATATCCTTGCTTTGCAGTTTCTTCCGAGCCATGTGAATTTAAACTAAAGCATTGTTAAAATTTTCACAAGAAAAGTACTTCTACATGGAACTTTTAAAAAAATAGTAACTGAAACAACTTACAAATGGATAAATAACATTTGGTTTGGCTCTGGCGTAAATCGGACTTGATTTGTCGCAATCTACTGGTTGTTGGTATTCTTCCTGAAATAAAAAGAAAGTATTCTTGCAAAAAAAAAAAAATTTTTGACGTTTCTTTTGCTTACAACCAAATTTTTTTACACATTTCCTTACTTCTGAAAAGATCTTAAAAACCTGCTGACATCCCTCGGGCATCAGAAAATACATAAAATCCGCATCGGGCAGGTAGAAGTAGTAATTGTAATCAATATACGTCGGGCGTTCATAAATCCATTCGGTTTCGCGGGGCTTGCCCCAAAATCGGACAAACAAATTCTTGTAATCACTACCCTCCATAAAATAGTACAACGAGTCTCCGATATGGATGACATGTTGGATCAATCGGTTATTTCCAGGAAGTTCAATCCATGGGCCACCCGCCCCTCGCCAGTGGTAAAGAACTTCGCTGAAAATAACAAAAACTTACTTTTTCCACTTTTTTTGATTTTTTTATTTTCCTTAACCTTTTTTATTTTTTTTGTTTTTCTCTATTTTTTATTTTTTTTTGTTTTTTTCTATTTTTTCATGGGTCTATATTTTTCTCCCAGAAAGAAAATATTTTTCCCCAGAAAAGAGAATTATGAAAAAAATGCTATTTTCTCCCATAAAGAAAGTATTTTTCCACAGAAAAGAGAATTTTGTAAAAATAAAGCACGGAATTAGTAAACCTTATGAATAAGTTACTTTACTAGAAAAATAAATTAAGTAGTAGTGTAAAATAGTATTTGTAGTAAGTTTCTGAGGAAATATTGGAAATAGGGGTAATCGACGGTGCTGATTCGAAAATGATTCTTATTTTTTGTGATTTTTACTTTTGTGTGGTCAAAGAGTGCATTGAAGTGTACATCGACAGCCTTTCTTTGTCCCGATCCTTCTCAAATCGAACAGAAGACTCCACCACACATCTATGCCTCAGCGTTTGCGATAAAGCGCAATAATAGGCCAGTCTTTATCATCCAGAAGAATGAAATCTATGCGATCCCTTTATCCGAACACCTTGGTCTTGACGCCAGGACGGTGAAGCAAATTTACCGGAAGATCACTGGAGATATCTACAAAAGTTTTGCAGACTATGCGGAAAACAGATTTAAAGTAAGTCTGTTGGATTTGGAATAATCCGAAATAATTTTAGGTTTTTATCGTCTCAAAATCCAGTATGCGCTTTACATGCACATGCCCCGAAGGTACCAAGAAGAACCGATGTAAGCATGCAGTCTTCATCGTATGCAAGCTCAACTTGGCGCAATATCCCCCAGATGCCATGGCAAACCAACTTCAGCCAAAGAAGAAGAGAGGCCGTCCACGGAAAGCAATAACGCAAAGTCAAGCTTCAAGATCTAGAGTACAACTTCAGTCCCAGTTATCAGCTTCCTAGCCAAGACGACTTCAAACTGATGCACCCTCGCGGAGGACAGTCAAAAAAAAAAAAAAAATTGTTTGACTATATCTTTGCTATTTCGTATGGAAAAAAAATCAATTTTTTTCTGGAAACATTACTCTCTACGAGATAAATAGGCATAAAACATTTCATGCCAAAATTTGCAAAAAAATTGTCGTTTTTTCAACTTTCGACCGAAAAAATCATGAAAAATCTCGGTCGTTTCTGCAAAACGTAGGTCAGGAGCCTCCCGTGTGCTTCGGAAAAAAAAAACTTAATTTTTGACAAGTTTCACCAAAATCAGAGCGGCGCAATTGGAGCACAAAATAGTGTCTTAGTTAATACTTACCTGCCAACAGTGTGCGTGACTGCAATTCGGTCGAAATTCTCGGAGAAGAATGCCCAGTAACTCTTCGTGTCACTGCCTGGGGGAGCCAAACGAAAAGGGCTGAAATCTCAAAAATTTGATTTTTTTCACCCTAAAATTTCGAAATCAGCTGAATTTCAAAGCCAAAAAAACCCACCGCGATGCACTCCATTGTTTTCTTTCAAGGTCGAATGTGTAATTTTGGAGATGTGGGTTTCCGTAGTGCTCGAATCCGAAAATCTCGGCACCTTTCACGCCCTCAGGCAGGTACTCGGCCAGCTCAGGGCAATCACTGAAGAGAAACCCTGCTATGAGGGCGCCATATTGTTGAGCCAAAGTCTCCGAAATTAGGGCGATGACGAGAATTGGGAGCTTCATCAAGAAGCGACTGGTCGGTGCAAAATTTTGTGAAGAAAGTGGGAAAAGGAAAGTTGAAGCGTCAAAGAGTTCATGGGTTGGGAAAGAAATTTCGCTTCGGGGCTGGGAAAAAAGAATTTTTTTGGTGAATTTAAAAAATTTTTGAAATTTTTTGCTTCGGGACTTGCAAAACTATAATATTAAAGGGTATCGTGGACCCGAAATTTCGTTGACCCGACCTGTCGCGACCCGAGTGGTCCCTGACCCGAAATGTCGTAGCGCCGGTAAAAGGCGTAAAAGTCCACAGTGCAATGGGAAATTTTGCTTTTCTCGCAGTGCACGTCCCAAAATGAACTCCGGTGACGTTGCGAACGGACAACATAGTGTTCAGTCAAGGGTCGAGATTATTTTTTCTTTATTCACGACATAATGACATAAAATATTTTCACTTCATTTGATGGAGTTTTCTCGTCTACTGATAATCTCGGCTTTCCGTTTTCTTGAATCTAATAGATGAGGTTTTGTGGGTCGGAACAGAACGATCAAGAGACTTGGTTCCGCTCTTTCCTTTCTTGGCTTTCTGAAAAAAAAAATTTGTTGATTTTTTCAACAATGCAGAAAATCTCTCACTGTACAACAATTGATTGCCCATTGCACAGTGCAGTCACAATTTTTTTTAATTTCCTCCCTTACCTTGGACGACTTCTTATTTCCCATTGAAGAGCGAGTATCCGTCTTTGTCTCCACATCAGTACCACTCGTCTTCGTCGATTTTCTCGTCGACCTACGACGGCTTTTATTAGAGGCCTTCAACTTTCTATCTTTTGCCTTTTCTTTCTAAAAACCCGGTGCGTTTATGGGGCCTAAACAAGTTCTTTACCTTGTCCTTTCTTCTTCTGTAGACCACCGCAATTACAATGGAACTAAGGAAGAGAAGGGCGAGCAAGCCGAGGATCGAGCCAACAGTGATGTAGATAGTTGTCTTGTTCGATGACCCCACCAACTCTTCGAAGCTAAAAATAGACGATCATATTACGTTTGGAAGGGCTTTAAAATAGTCGGCCGGCTCTAGAATAACTTACTGTGCAGGCAACTCTGTGGTGACGTAAGATATATTACTTGTACTTGTCTTAGCATTTGGTTCAATTGTTGTTGGCGATAGAGTAGGTGGTACTTTAGTGGACGTTGGAGTGGTAGACTTGGTCAATGTCGTTGTTGGAGTAGTTGTGGTGGTGGTTGTTGCTGTAGCCTGAAAATTTCTGTGTCACAATCGAGCGGGGTCACAACCCAAAGGTTCACAGAAGCTGCACTGTGCGGAAAAATCTCGATCGCACAGTGCACACCTTTTGTTCACTGTGCATTCTGCCCATCGCAGAACCGGGAAAAACTTTTCCAACGATCAAGAGCTTCTTGTCACTTTCTTCGGTATGCCCATAAACTTACCGTGGTGGGTACTGTATTAGACGTGGTGGTGGTGGTAGTAGTGGTGATAGTACTCGTTGTTGTTGTGGTTGTCTAAAAATAAAAATTGCACTGTGCAAAAAATGGAAAGCAAGTTCACACGGTGCAACAAAAACAAATAATTCCCGCCGAAAATGCGCACACAAATGACAAATGCGTCGTAAAAGTTGTAATGTGCAAGATTTTTCATTCAGTGGAAAAAGAAATATTTTTTTGAGGACAATTTGATCAAAAAATAAAGTCTTTTCTGCACGGTGGAAAACAATTTTCAAGCTACTGTGCGTTCTGCGAAAATTTTAAAAATCAAAAATTTGTTCTCGTTTGCTTCAGCCCAGCCATAGACTTACCGTGGAAGGTACTGTAGTAGACGTTGAAGTGGTAGTCGTGGTGGTGGTGGTAGTCGTTGTTGTTGTGGTTGTTGTGGTGGTCTGAAAATAAAATTTTTAATCATAATTTTTTTTCACTGCCCTATGCAGTCAAAAAAATACTGTATCGCAGAGTAAGCAAAAAATTGGCAAGAAAAATATACCGTGGTAGTGGTAGTAGTGGTAGTGGTGGTTGTGGTGGTCTAAATAAAACTTACAATTACAGCAAAACTTTTTAATTGTATTTTTTTTTTCAGCCTGCACGGTGCAATCAACAAAAAAACAGTTTGCACTGTGCGGCTTAGATCAAACTTTGCTTTGCACCGTGCATGGAAAATAAAAATAATTTCCACCTACCGTAGGCGGTTGGCCGTCAAAACGGACATACGCATAACGATAGTATTTGATGTCTCCATAAAGTGTCGGGTCGCAGTTTCTTCCAAGCCAAACGAATATAGACTAAAACATGGTTAGAATTCCCAAAAAAAGCGAAACAACTTACAAGCGGATAAATAACGCCTGGTTTGGCTCTGGCAAAAACTCCAATTGATTTGTTGCATGGCTGGTCGTGCGCTCCCTAGAATAATAAAAGAAAGTCTTTTTTTACATACAGGATGTATGTAAAAGTACTAAACAGTACCAGTTATTTAAAACGTGGGAGTACTAAGCATCAAAACAACACCATTAACGCCAAAAGCCATATTTTCACCTCGTACTGTATAGTACCAGATAGTACTATAAAGATGGAAGCTAACATGATTTTCGAAATCAGCACCCCCGAAAACCCCGCGGCTTGCAGTCGCAAAGCGATGACGGGCGATTCCGAGGCGCGACGATCCGCTATTATTTTCCCGACAGACTGATATCCTCAAAATTTTTTTATCGCACCGTGCATTTTCAGTCTGTCGGGAAAATAACGGCAGGGTAAAAGTTCCTTATTCTGGCCACAACTTATAACTTTGCGGAAACTGGTCAGAATTAGCCCAAATTGAGCGTGCAGGCTGAATTCATCGCTGTCAATGCCCGGACAGTGGATTTAGTTAGTGAGGTATCTTCTTTTTTACGTACCACCTTACCCTTCAAAAACGGCTGCAGCCTGTGATTTTACACTTTATACGATGAAACATGTCCGGAACTCAACTTATTGCCTCCGTATATTAGCATTTTCATAAAGTGCCTGGACTTGTTTTCGCTTTCGCACAGTGCATCTTGAACTTTTGTCGCCAACGCACTGTGGATTTTTGTCTTCGCGCACCGTGCAAACCTCGAAAAAGCCGATTGCACTGTGCACATTTTTGATCAAAATCGCCGCGGCGCAGTTGAGAAAAGCTTACGTCGCAGCGATATTTCAAATGCACAGTGCAAAACCAAAGAAAGGCCAATGCACGGTGCAAAAAATCGCGGGCGTTTGTGCACAGTGCGCGCAGCGACAAAAGTCCAGGCACTTTGTGAAAATGCTAATAGAACTAAATGAGTCGTCATGGCCTTCGTAGGTACCCTTAAAACTATAGAGCTATTATAGTAATTCAGTGCCAGCTAGGTCGAAGCGTTTTTTTCCTAACTTTAGTGCCCAAGCTTGGGCGCAGTTCGCGGAGTACCTTTGTTGTGGCCAAAATAAGAAACTTTTTCCGAATCAGAAAAAACGAATATGATTTTTGGAATCTACGCCATCCAGTACCCTTCGGGGTCCCTTTCAACTCGGGGTCTCTTTCAACTAGGGATCTCTTTCGATGGCTTTCATTTCCTTACCTCTGTCAAAATTTGAAAAAGCTGCATACATTCCCCTTTGGGAGGCAAATAATACATAATATCCACATCGCGCTGGTAGATGTTTCCTTGACTGTAGTAGGGGGTGTACCATGCTCGTTCATAAATCTGTTCGTATTCGCGGGGCTTGCCCCGACTTCGTAAAAACCAATTCTTAACAAGGGTTTCTTCGTCATCTCTCCAATAATACACCGCGTCTCCGATCATAAAGACCGGCTGGAACATTTTGTTATTTCCAGCCATCTCAAAGCTTTGCTCGGGCGCGTCAAACCAATAGTAAAAAATTGTGCTGAAAAGATTACTGTGCCTTCAAAAAAACTTAATTTTTGACAAATTTCACCGAAGTGTGAGCGTCGCACTTGGAGTAAAAAATAACTTTTGGTTCATACTTACCCACCGCGGCCAAAGTACGTAACTGCAATCCGGTCAAAGTTTTCGGAGAAGAATGCCCAGTAACTTTTCGAAAGGCCGGTATCTGGATACAAACGAACAGGCCTGAAACCACAAAAAATTGTCTTTTTGGTATACAATTCAGCTCAAAATTAGGAAATCAGTCGAATTTTAAAAGAAAACTCCACTCAGATGCATTCCATTGTTTTCTTTCAAGGTTAAATGTGTAATTCGTAAGATGCGGTTCTGAGAAGTGCTCGAATCCAAAAACCTCGGCATGCTTTACACCCTCAGGCATGTATTTGCCCAGCTCAGGGCAATCGAAGAGGAACTCTGCTATGCGGGGGCCAATTGTTTCGTAAGCCAAAGTCTCCGAAATTAGGGCGATGACGAGGATTGGGAGCTTCATCAGGAAGCGACTGGTCGGTCCGAAATTTTGTGAGGAAAGTGGGAAAAAGAAAGCCGAAGCTTCAAAGAGTTCATGGGTTGGGAAAGGAATTTGCGTAAAAGTTTATAATTCAATAAACTTTACTGTCCGACAAAATGGAAATTTCTTTTTTACACTGTGCAAAAAACAACCAAAAAATCGTATTTTCAAACTGGAACATAAAAAATTTTTGGGATTTCCAAAAAATGAAAAAAATTTTTGCACTGTGCAATAGGCTTTTTTCTGCTGTCGCTCGCACCCTGACATTTTTCGCACCAGGGGCCAATTAGAGGTGGCAATCGGGCTGGGCCGGCCCGGCCGGGCCCGGTGATTGGGCCGGGCCGGGCCGGGCCTGAGCAGATTTGAAAAAGCCCTGGGCCGGCCTGACCGCTTCGGCCCGCGGGCCGGAAGGTAAGTAAGTAGAAAATTTTTAATGCTAAACCAGCAAAATAAAGCACAAATTCTTTGTAGAATGGATGGAAATTAGATTAAACCTTTTTTGACTTATCCGCTGTTTTACTACCTTTTAAAATTATGTATATGTAACTTATTATGTATATGTAAAATCCCACCCAAATATGCAAGGGTCGGGCAAAAATCTTCGAATTTTTTTATGATAAATTTAAAAATTTCACTCTAATTTTGATTCCTTGATGTAAATGAAAGTGTTTAAACAGTTTTTGGTTAACCATGTAGCCTTATAACGTCCATATTTTTATATAGCTAACTCCTATAGGATTAAAAAATTCAACACAATCCAACTTTTTGGCTAGGTTTTAGCTACCTGTACGGATGTTCCAGTCATCCGACTAGACTTTTTAATTTCACGCAGACACACGTAAAAACCTTCTGGAAAGCATAAGAACTTCCAGTAGAAAGTTCAAAGACTTTTATCCAACTTTTCTGTATTAGCGGGCCAAACCGGGCCGGGCCGGCCTGGGCTTTCACCGGGCCGGGCCGGGCCTGAGCAAATTTGAAAAAGCCCAGGGCCGGCCTGGTCACTTCGGCCCGCGGGCCGGGCCGCAAAAATCGGCCCGGCCCGGCCCGATTGCCACCTCTAGGGCCAATGCGCTATCTGAAAGTTAGCTGAAAATGGTAGGGCGCAGCCCCCAAAACTGGCACGGGCGCAGCCCCGAAGCCGAAACTTAGCTCCGGCGAGCTGCGAAACGTTGTTTTCCGAGCTGCCCTCGAGATGCGAGCTGCGCCCATGCCAGCTTTCCGAGCTGCGCCCTACCATTTTCAGCTAACTTTCAGCAAACTTTCAGATAGCGCATTGGCCGCAGTAGTGCCTAGTCGGGTAGAGGGCAGCTAGGAGAGATCGACGGGGGATAAGGCCCGGATTGACGTAATAACAGCCAACTGGGATATAGCAAGTATATTTATCCAGCAAACGTCACAAAAGCACACAATGCAACAACAGCGTGGATAGTCTCGGGTAGTCGGAGGAAGACCAGGGAGCCGACCGTCCACCGAGCCGGAGGAGTCCGGCGATTTTCCAGAAGGACTCGTATATAGCAGCAAACAAAATTTTGTTTTCTTTATTCACGACGTAGTAATGTAACGTATTTTCTCTTCATTTCGAGCTGTTTTCTCGTTTAGTGAAACTCTTGTGTACCACCCGTTGTCTTGAACCCAAGCGATGAGGTTTTATAGGTTGGAACAGAACGGTCGACAGACTCAGTTTGCTTCTTTCCCTTCTTGGCTTTCTGAAAAAAAATTATGGAATTTTCTCCGTATTGTTTTGTAACAATGCAAAAAAAATACAGTGCGCGACAAAATTATAACCGCACTTTAGAAATTGCTGTAACTTTTTTGGTTGTCAATAGAAATGTGTCATATTTGGCTCCAATATGCACTAGTGTCTCACGAATCATGTGCCAAAAAATTATTTCGGGAAATTTCCCCAATTTGGAAAAAATTGAAAAAACCAAAATTTTGATGATTTTCTATGCGACAAAATTATAACCGCACTTACGAATTTGGTGAATTAGCCTAATTAAATCAATGAATAACAATAACTAATGTTTATTTACGTTGCCTGAGGCTTCAATAACGTCGATTGAATAGCCGGGAATATTCTGGGCAAAGTTTTTTTAGCCTCTTCTGGCCAATATTGTGCCAGAATCGGAAAAGTGCCTATTTTAGCTCAGGTAGGCCATTCGGACAGAGTTTGCCAGCATCTAACTGAGTAACCCAGAAGCCTATAACACATCTAAACGTTCTGGGAAAAAGGTGCGCCACTGCAGCAGAGCAAGGGCTGATATATCCGCCAAGTTTCCAACTCCAATATCCCTTGGGCTCATATAAGCTAAGAAATAGGCCTCAATTGTAGCAGTAAAGCTATGATGGAGGTTGTAAGACACAGCTACGTCATCACTGGGCGTCGTATGAAGTTGTGGCCTCAGCTGGCCGGGTCCACGGCAGAGCGCGGCCGAGATTTTCCAAGGTGACATTGGCAAAATAGGTTGATCAGTGAAAGGTTAGTTTAACATCATTACAGTGCCGAAATCCTTGAAGATTTTATGGCCAAATGATGTACCTGACGGCTTCACACATGACCCACATTACAGACGTGAAATCAGAAGAGAAACGCATTACTTCCCGCGCCGTAACGTTTTAGGTGGCTTGCTGATAATCTTTCGGCGCATTCGAAGAACCGGAGTGCTTCCGTTGGAGGCCACATCAACTCAAATAAGTATCCTTGAGTACTAGGGAGCAGAGATTGCCACGGTCAAAATTTCGGCTCCGGCTCCGGCTCTTAGCTCCCAGAGCCGGAGCCGAGGCCAAATTTGCAGCTCCGGCTCCCGGCTCCCATGAAAAGCTTAAAAAGGCTTGCCGCTCCGAATCTCGGCTCCCATGCAGAGAATTTTTTAAAAATATTTTCCCAAAAATAAACGTTGCTAGTGCCAGAGGTCATACAGCCAAGGTTTTTGCAGCCAAGTCATACGCAACGCATTTCTCCGTAGTATTTATTTGGTTTAACAAGATCACGAAATTTTTACTTTTCTGAACGCTGAGAAGCCTGGCTCCAACTTTGGGCTCGGGAGCCGGAGCCGCACCCAAAATTTCCGGCTCCGGCTCTGGCTCCCGGCTCGGAGCCGGAGTCGCTCAGAGCCGGAGCCAAGAGCCGGCTCCGGAGCCGTAGCAATCTCTGCTAGGGAGTCTTAGGCAAGCATCGGGTAACGTATTGGCAACCAGACTACACGTAAATGCAGGGCAGGGCTCGCGTATACCTTAGCTGGTCGACAAAGCTGTTTCTTAAACGACAAGGAATTGCTATCCCGGACGAGCCCATGCGTCCCTTGGATTCAAATCCGACAGAGAACATGTGGGGCTTCCTGGTTTGTTAACTACACCGCGACAACAAGCATTATGCTACAGTAACTGAGCTAAAATAGGCACTTTTCCGATTCTGGCACAATATTGGCCAGAAGAGGCTAAAAAAACTTTGCCCAGAATATTCCCGGCTATTCAATCGACGTTATTGAAGCCTCAGGCAACGTAAATAAACATTAGTTATTGTTATTCATTGATTTAATTAGGCTAATTCACCAAATTCGTAAGTGCGGTTATAATTTTGTCGCATAGAAAATCATCAAAATTTTGGTTTTTTCAATTTTTTCCAAATTGGGGAAATTTCCCGAAATAATTTTTTGGCACATGATTCGTGAGACACTAGTGCATATTGGAGCCAAATATGACACATTTCTATTGACAACCAAAAAAGTTACAGCAATTCCTAAAGTGCGGTTATAATTTTGTCGCACACTGTATCTGGCACTGTGCAACAATCATTACCCATCGCTTCAGTGAAGTCAACACATTGGCCTGAGCCGTGCAAGCAACAAGGAAATATTTTATTTTATTTCCAACTGCACCGTGCAGAAAAGTTTTTGCCGCACAGTGCAAAAAAAAATCAAAAAAAAAATTCTGGTTGCACAGTGCAGTCACAAATTTTTTCAATTTCCTCCCTTACCTTGGACGACTTCCGATTCCCCATTGAAGAGCGAGTATCCGTCCTTGTCGTCACATTAGTGCGGCTCACATTTGTCGAAGTTCCCGTCGTCGTAAAACTATCCTTTTTTGGTCCCTTCAACTTTCTCTTCCTTTTCCTTGCTTCCTGAAAAATTCAGTGCGATTATGGGGTCATTTTTTTTACCTTCTCCTTTCTTCTTCTGTAGAGGAAGACCAGCGCAATTGAGCATAAAATAAGGAGGACAAGGGCGAGCAAGCCCAGAAGGGAGCCAGTGAAAATGTAGGCAGTTCGGTGGTTGGCTGGCAAAACCCACTCTGCGGGGCTAAAAAGGAAGTATTTTTCGGGTCTTGATGTACTTCTAGCATGAATTTCTATTAAGTTTTTCTAGGATATATTCGAAATTTTTGAAAAAAAATCTGTTTTACAAAAAGAAATCCGATTTCATTTACTCTGATGGATAATACCACAGAATCTAGGATAAAATTACAATAAAAATGACAACATTCATGAGATTTGAACCTCGGTAAAATAAAAAATAAAAATATAATAGAACAAACAATTATTATAACCCCCGTCGAAAAATTTCTAAGCCTCAAGCACTCACAAGACAAAGTTCTAAGAATTTTTGGGCCACTTTAACACAACCTACTCTTTGCTCGGCTCAGGCAACTCCGTGGTGACGAAAGACATATTGCTCACACTTGGCTTTGCATAGGGATCAGTTGTTGTGGGCGGAAGAGTAAACGGTACTTTATTGGACGTCGGACTGGTAGACTTGGTCAAAGAAGTTGTTGGAGTGGCAGCCGTGGTGGTGGTGGTCGTTGTTGTTTTTGTCTGTAAATAAAACATAAAAAGAGCTTTGTCTGCACAGTGCAACAAAGTTTTCAATGCACAGTGGGAATCCTTCGATTGCGACCCCGCTCGATCAAAAACACGTTTTAAAGACTTGGGGCTATATAGTACTGTCTGATACTATATAGTACGAGGTCAAAATATGGCTTTTGACGTTAATGGTGTTGTTTTGATGCTTAGTACTCTTCAAAAACACGTTTTAAAGACTTGTTGCTATATAGTACTATCTGATACTATGTAGCACGAGGTGTAAAGTTGGCCTTTAGGCGTTCGTGGTGTTGTTCTGGTGCTTAGTAAGCCTATTTTTACTTCGTACTATATAGTATCAGACAGTACTACATAGCCCCAAGTCTTTAAAACGTGTTTTTGAAGAGTACTAAGCATCAAAACAACACCATTAACGTCAAAAGCCATATTTTGACCTCGTACTATATGGTATCAGAATAGTACTATGTAGTACTAGAGGAAAAATGAACATGATTTTCGAAATCAGCACCCTCGAAAACCCCTAAAGCAAGTTTTTCCCGAAGAGAATCAAAGAATTTTCATCCCGGGGTCGCTTTACCCCATTTTGGGTCGCAATCGATGCGGGGTCGCAATCGATGGGGGGTCGCAATCGTTGCTGGGTCGCAATCCGTGCGGGGTCGCAATCGATGGAATTCTGCACTGTGCGCTCTGCGACAAATTTCGCACTGCGCAAATTTTAAAAATCAAAAATTTCTGATCGCTTTTTTAGCAATCTCCAACCTACCGTTGTAGAAGGTGCTGTAGTCGTAGTAGAGGTTGGGGTGGTAGTCGTGGTAGTGGTGGTCTGAAAATAAAACTTTCAGCATCATTTCTCATCGGTGATTTGAGCCCTGCCACAAACTTACCGTAGTGGGCACCGTAGTTTTTGGAGTGGAAGTCGTGGTGGTGGTGGGCGTTGACGTCTAAATAAAACTTTCAATTACAACAAAAATTTTGAGTTTTTGAGCCCACTCACAAACCTACCGTAGTGGGCACCGTAGTTGTTGGAGTGGTAGTCGTTGTGGTGGTCGTTGTGGTAGTAGTCTGAAAACAAAGTTTATAGCAAAATTTTAATTGTATTTTTGTCTGTTTTTTGGCAGTAAAAATCGCATAGCAAAAAAAAGTTGCAAAAAATCTTGTGACAAATTCCGCACTGTGCAGTACATTTTTTTTGTGCACTGTGCATTTTGTGGAAGAAGTTCCTTATTTTGGCCACAACCAAGGTACTCCGCGAACTGCGCCCAAGCTTGGGCATTAAAGTAAGGAAAAAAACGCTTCGACCTAGCTGGCACTGAATTACTATAATAGCTCTACGGTTTTAAGGGTACCTACGAAGGCTGTGACGACTCATTTAGTTCCATACGGAGGCAATAAGTTTAGTTCCGGACATGTTTCATCGTATAAAGTGTAAAATCACAGGCTGCAGCCGTTTTTGAAGGGTAAGGTGGTACGTAAAAAAGAAGGTACCTCACTAACTAAATCCACTGTCCGGGCATTGGCAACAATGAATTGAGCGTGCACGCTAAATTTGGGCTAATTCCGACCAGTTTCCGCAAAGTTACAAGTTGTGGCCAAAATAAGGAACTTTTACCCATTTTGTTTTGAGCCCCGCCAAACTTACCGTAGTGGGAACTGTAGTTGTTGGAGTGGTAGTCGTGATGGTGGTCGTCGTTGTGGTGGTAGTCTGCAAACAAAGCTTATAGCAAAATTTCATCTGTATTTTTTCTGCACTGTGCAAAAATTGCAAAAAAATTTGTGACAAATTCCGCACTGTGCAGTACATTATTTTGTGCACTGTGCACTCTGCCGACCACAGAAACGGGATAAAGCTTTTGCGTTGCACAGTGCAGTGACAAAAGAAGAACAAAATACTTTTTGACGCCCAAACACATGACATGTCTGCACAGTGCAACGGAATTTCCAACGCACAGTGCTGCGACAAATTTCGCACGGTGCAAATTTAAGAATCAAAAATTTCTTGTCGCTTTTTTTGGGTAATGCCCGTAAACCTACTGTAGTGGTAGTCGTGGTGGTGGTGGTAGTTGTTGTGGTGGTGGTCTGAAAATAAAAATTGGAGTGTGCAAAAATGGGAAAATAAACTACTCCCATAAACTTACCGTAGAACGCACTGTAGTAGACGGTGGAGTGGTAGTCGTGGTTGTTGTTGTGGTGGTGGTCTGAATACAAAACTTACGGCGAAAATGAAAAGCGCAAAAACAAAAATTTCTCCACAAGCTTACCGTAGTCGGTACCGTAGTTGTTGGAGTGGTAGTCGAGGTCGTTGGGGTCGTGGTGGTCGTTGTGGTCGTTGTTGTTGTAGTTGTGGTGGTGGTCTGAAGATAAAGCTTACTGCAAACTTTTTATTGTATTTTTTTCTCAACTGTGCAACCATAAAAATTGCGTAGCAAAAAAAAGTTGCGACCAGAGATTGCCACGGCTCCGGAGCTGGCTCTTGGCTCCGGCTCTGAGCGGCTCCGGCTCCGAGCCGGGAGCCAGAGCCGGAGCCGGAAATTTTGAGTGCGGCTCCGGCTCCCGAGCCCAAAGTCGGAGCCAGGCTTCTCAGCGTTCAGAAAAGCAAAAATTTCATAAACCAAATTGCTTGAAAAATACTGGAAAGGATGTGCTGCATACGAATTGGCTGCAAAAACGTTGGGTGTATGATATCCGGCACTAATAACTTATTTTTGGTAAGATATTTTTAAAAATTTTTTTTGCGCGGGAGCCGGGATTCGGAGCCGGAGACCTTTTTAAATTTTTTACGAGAGCCGGGAGCCGGAGCTGCAAATTTGGTCCCAGCTCCGGCTCTGGGAGCTAAGAGCCGGAGCCGAAATCTTGACCGTGGCAATCTCTGGTTGCGACAAAATCCGCAATGTGCAGTACATTACCTTGTGCACTGTGAATTTTGTTTTGAGCCCTGCCATAAACTTACCGTAGTGGGCACCGTAGTTGTTGGAGTTGTAGTCGTGGTTGTGGTGGTTGTTGTGGTGGTGGTCGTGGTAGTCGTTGTGGTCGTTGTTGTTGTGGTGGTGGTCTGAAAACAAAACTTACAGCATCATTTGAACCGTAACCGCTTTCTGCACCGTGCAGTCAAAAAACCCCGGAGTAAACAAAAAGTTGGCAGGAAAAATATACCGTGGTAGTGGTAGTCGTGGTAGTTGTGTCCGTGGGGGCCGGTTTTGGATCAAAAATCTGAAAATAAAACTTGCAAAAACAGCAAAATTTTGAATTTTTATTTTACTTCTTTCCTGTACTGTGCAGTCAAAAAATCGTCGTGTCGCACACAAAACTAAATGTCGCTAAAACTGCAATGTGCAGAAAAAATGAAAAAAAAGAAAAATTTCGCACCGCGCAACGAAAATAAATAGTTCCCGACGACGCTTTGCACAGTGCGGAGAAAAAAGAAATTGTCGCAAAAGTTGCACTGTGCGACAAAAAAAAATATCCTCAAAATTTTTTTATCGCACCGTGCATTTTCAGTCTGTCGGGAAAATAACGGAAAGTTCCTTATTCTGGCCAAAACTTATAACTTTGCGGAAACGGGTCAGAATTAGCCCAAATTTGGCGTGCAGGCTCAATTCATCGTTGTCAATGCCGGGACAGTGCATTTATCAGTCTGTCGGAAAAATAACGGCGGATCGTCGCGCCTCGGAATCGCCCATCATCGCTTTGCGACTGCAAGCCGCGGTTGGGGATTTGGTGCGCGACAGCGGCGAGGCGGGACATTCTGCTGCGACGATCCGCCGTTATTTTTCCGACAGACTGATAGTTAGTGAGGTACCTTCTATTTTACGTGCCACCTTACCCTTCAAAAACGGCTGCACCCTGCGATTTTACGCTTTATACGATGAAACATGTCCGGAACTAAACTTATTGCCTCCGTATGGAACAAAATGAGTCGTCATTGTCTTTGTAGGTGCCTTAAAACTATAGAGCCATTATAGTAATTCAGTGCAAACTAAGTCGAAGCCTTTCTTTAGTTCGCAAGCTTGGGCGCAGTTCGCAGAGACCTTTGTTCTGGCCAGAATAAGCAACTGTTTCCAACGGCGGGTCGTTGCGCCTCGGCCCGCCCATCATCGCTTCGCGACGGCTAGCAGCCGCTGGGGATTTGGATGCGCGACTGCAGCCCTCTTTCGACGAGGCGAGACATTCTGCTGCGACGACCCGCCGTTATTTTCCCGACAGACTGATATTATAAAAAAAAAAACATTTTTCCACCCACCGTAGGCGCTGGAGAGAGAAAACGGATATGCGCATGGGCATACACCGCGACATCTCCAAATATCTTTGCTCGGCAGTTTGCTGCGAGCCATGCGAACTTGGTCTGAAACATTGTTCAAGCTCTCAAAACGGTAAAAAACAACCTACCAGTGGATAAACAACATCTAAGTTGGCTCTGGCAAAAATTCCAATTTCCGGGACGCATTGTGCATCACGGAATATGTTCTGAAAAAAAATGCAAAAAATAAAAGAAAAATTAAAAAAAAAATATTTTTTTAATTTAAAATTTCCTTACCGACGTTCCTTGATTGTTAATCCAAATTAGGATACTAAACTCCCGACGACAAACATTGGTCTCCAAACGATACATGGTATCCACTTCGTAGTAGTAGAGGAACGAAGACGTGTCCCAGCCCAATCTGTTGTTATAAAGAATGATCGATTTTTTAAATGGTGCAGTAACGTCGGGTTTTAAGGATCCGCCAAAAACATTTTGACGACCAAATCGAGGATCCTGCGTCCACATCCAATAATAAATGTAGGCGCCGAGCACAAAGTATTCTTGAACCAACACTTCATTAAATGGGAGAAGATGCCGGTCGTGAGGCGTGTCTCGCCAGTAGAAATAAATCTTCCTCAAAACAAAAAAAATGTTTAAAAAAATATTAAAAACATAAATTTTTTTTTAATTTTTTTAATATGTAGGTAAAAGTTCCTTATTCTGGCTACAACTTATAACTTTGCGGGAACTGGTCGGAATTAGCCCAAATTTAGCGTGAACGCTCAGTTCATCGTTGTCAATGCCCAGACAGTGGATTTAGTTAGTGAGGTACCTTCTTTTTTACGTACCATCTTACCCTTCAAAAACGGCTGCAGCCTGTGCTTTTACACTTTATACGATGAAACATGTCCGGAACTAAACTTATTGCCTCCGTATAGAACTAAATGAGTCGTCACAGCCTTCGTAGGTACCCTTAAAACTATAGAGCTATTATATTAATTCAGTGCCAGCTAGGTCGAAGGGTTTTTCCCAACTTATGTGCCCAAGCTTGGGCGCAGTTCGCGGAGTACCTTTGTTGTGGCCAAAATAAGGAACTTTTTCCTTTTAATATTTATTTTTTAAAATTTGGTAAATATATTTTTTTGTCCTTGCATCTTTTCAAACGTCGAGCATTGGCCACAAAAATCCCCAAAAGTTTTGGCTTGCGCTTTGCAAGAGCCGCCGAGATATTGGACGAACTCTACGGCCAAGAGAGTACGCAAAAAGCGGAGAGCGTTAAGAGTGGAACGTTTTTTGACTATAGCTTTGCTAATTTCGCAAAGAAAATTTTATGTTTTGTGGAAACATTACCATTGGGTTGTCCAATGAGTAATTTCGTTTTCGAGGGGCAGTTTCAAAAAGAGCCGGTTTTTCTCAACAAATTCTTTCCAATTTTCGACCCAAAAGTTTGTCGCAAAACCTTCTTTTAAACCTTTGCCAATTTTCACCAAAATTTGAGCGTCCTCCTTCGAGTAAAAAATACCTTTTGGCCAATACTTACCCGCCAACCAAGTGCGTAATTGCAATTCGGTCAAAATTCTGGGAAAAGAACGCCCAGTGATCGTTCGCAGCGCCTGGGACCAAACGTTCAGGGCTGAAATCGCAAAAATTTAATTTTTTTGATTCCCACCCCAAAATTTCAAACTCAGCTGAATTTCAAAAGCCAAAAAAAAACTCGATAAAAGTTCCTTTTTTAGGTCGAAGCGTTTTTTCCTAACTTTAGTGCCCAAGCTTGGGCGCAGTTCGCGGAGTACCTTTGTTGTGGCCAAAATAAGGAACTTTTTCCAAAAACTCACCGCGATTCACCCCATACCCTTCTCTCGAAGTCGAACGCGTAATTCTGGAGATGCGGGTCTCCGTACTTCTCGAATCCGAAAACCTCGGCACCTTTTGCGCCCTCAGGGAAGTACTGGGCCAGCTCGGGGCAATTGAAGAGGAGCCCGGCTATGCGGGGGCCGTGGAGTTGAGCCAAAGTCCCCGAGATTAGGGCGATGACGAGAATTCGGTGCTTCATCAAGAAGCGACTGGTCGGTGCGAAAGCAGAAGCAGAAGAATGGATTGACTTTCTGTTTCGCTGTCTGTCTTTCCAAAGCTTCTTATTGAATCATAAAATTTTTGTACAAATTTTCTGATTGGTCGAAAAATAGCGGTCGATTTCGTGGGAAAATGCGATTTTATGGGCTTTGCAAAAAAGAAATTTCCATTTTCACGGAGATTGAAATTTAGTGAAATATAAAATTTTATGCAAATTTTCTCCAAACCCCATTTTGGAATAATAAAAAGTTCTGTAATTTCCAAGAAACTTTTAAAAATTTTTTTTTGCACTGTGCAATAGGCTTTTTTTCGGTTGCCCCTCGCACAGTGCAAGCGCCAAAAATCAGTCCGGCGACTTTCCAGAAAGACCCGTAGAAGCAAACAAAATTATTGTTTTCTTTATTCACGACGTAATAACATAAAATATTTTCACTTCACTTGGAGGAGTTTTCTCATTTAGGGATAATCTCGGCTTTCCGCTTTCTTCAACCTAAGCGATGAGGTTTTATGGGTCGGAACAGAGCGATCGACCGACTTAGTTCTCTTCTTGGCTTTCTGAAAAAAAAATTTTTAATGATTTTTTTCAGTGTTGTTTTGTAACAATGCAAAAAAAAAGATCTGGAACTGTGCAAAAAATCATTACCCATCGCTTCAGTGCAGTCATCAAATTGGCCTGCACCGTGCAAACAACAAGGAAATATTTTATTTTAAAAGAGAGTTTTTTACAACTCGAAGGATGGCCCGGACATTTCGAAAAAACGACCAACTTAGAATCTTTTGATATTTTGCGTAATTGTTGTACTATGATAGCTGAACGTCAGTACGAATTTTTAGTTTCAGAAATTACCGTATACGGGGGTTACGGTAGATACAATTTTCAGAAAGATTGGGTTCGTGTGTAAAAACCCCAAGGAGTAAAGACACAAAACTTCGCTGTTTTACGTTTTTGACCATGGGGAACATTTTCATAATTGACACTTTCGCCGTAGGATATAGCTTTCGACTACTTTGAAAAATACCAAGGTACCATATCCAATATAACTTTTCGGCATTCTACTTGTCTCAACTTTTGAAACCTCTCAAACATACTTTGACATGTGTGTAACAACATACCAAAAATGCGCGGAAATAAAAGGGGTGGTTTTGGAGTTATGGTACTTTGGATGTTGCCGATACGGTATTTCAAAAAACCATTTCTTTCAAAACCGGTGTGGAAGACCCGCAAACCTTGCCAAAATATGTTTTCGACCATGGCGAACATTTTTGTAATTGACACTTTTTCTGTAGGATGCAGTCGTCGACTACTTGGGAAATGACCAATATACCATGAACAATATAACTTATCAGCATTCAACTTGTCTCAACTTTTGAAACCTCTCAAATGTACCTTGACATGCATGTAACAACATATCAAAAATGCACAAAGATAAAAGGGGTGGTTTTGGAGTTTCGGTACTTTGAAGGCAGCCGGTACCGTATATCAAAATTTCATTTTTTCTAAAATTGACGTAGAAACCCCGCAAACCTCGTCGAAATACGTTTTCGAACCTCGCGAACATTTTTGTGATTGAAACTTTTTTTGTAGGATGCGGCCTTCGACCGCTATGAGAAATGTCAAGATACCATGATCAATATAACTTTGCGGCATTCAACTTGTCTCAACTTTTGAAACCTTTTAAAAACACTTTGACATATGTGTAACAACATATCAAAAATTTAGGAAAATAAAAGGGGTGGTTTTGGAGTTATGGTACTTTTAATCTTGATCATACAGTACACCGAACTTTTGTTGTGATGCTGATGTCTGAATTTGGAAGATTTTACTGTCGTATGGCACACACGACTCTACACCGTGGTAATCGGTACAAAACATTTAACAAATCGCTGATCTTGCTGTTACAGTAACCAATTATCTGCGCACGATATGTTACAGTATGCTTAGGCCAAAATTTTCTGAGTTTCCTGGTGAAAATAGTTTTTGAGGGTCGTACAACATTCATAGAACATTACATTTTGTTTTTAAGACAATCTACGTAAAGTTGAGCCGAGAATAAATCGAGGTGTACTGTATGTCCAAAATTCAAAGTACCATAACTCCAAAACCACCCCTTTTATTTTCCTAAATTTTTGATATGTTGTTACACATATGTCAAGGTGTTTCTAAAAGGTTTCAAAAGTTGAGACAAGTTGAATGCCGGAAAGTTATATTGATCATGGTATCTTGACATTTCTCATAGCGGTCGAAGGCCGCATCCTACAAAAAAAGTGTCAATTACAAAAATGTTCGCGAGGTTCGAAAACGTATTTCGACGAGGTTTGCGGGGTTTCTACGTCAATTTTAGAAAAAATGAAATTTTGATATACGGTACCGGCTGCCTTCAAAGTACCGTAACTCCAAAACCACCCCTTTTATTTTCGTGCATTTTTGATATGTTGTTGCATACATGTCAAGGTATATTTGAGAGGTTTCAAAAGTTGAGACAAGTAGAATGCCGCAAAGTTATATTGATCATGGTATCTTGACATTTCTCATAGCGGTCGAAGGCCGCATCCTACAGAAAAAGTGTCAATTACAAAAATGTTCGCCATGGTCGAAAACGTATTTTGGCAAGGTTTGCGGGTCTTCCACACCGGTTTTGAAAAAAATGATTTTTTGAAATACCGTACCGGCTGCCTTCAAAGTACCGTAACTCCAAAACCACCCCTTTTATTTTCGCGCATTTTTGATATGTTGTTACACCTATGTCAAAGTATTTTTGAGAGGTTTCAAAAGTTGAGACAAGTAGAATGCCTTTGAAAAATACTTTGGTATTTTTCAAAGTAGTCGAAGGCAACATCCAATGGTAAAGTTGTCAATTATGAAAATGTTCCCCATGGTCAAAGCGTACAACAGCAAGGTTTTGTGCTTTTACCCCTCGGGGTTTTTACACACGAACCCAATCTTTGTGAAAATTGTACCTACCGTAACCCCCGTATACGGTAGTTTCAGAAACTAAAAATTCACGCTGACGTACAGCTATCACAGTGCAACAACTATGCAAAATATCAAAAGATTCTGAGTTGGTCGTTTTTTCGAAATGTCCGGCCCTTGTTATGAGAAGCTTCAATCTGTAAAAAACTCTCTTTTAATTCCAACTGCACCGTGCAGAAAAATTTTTGCCGCACAGTGCAAAAAAAATATATTTTCTGGTTGCACAGTGCAGTCTCAAAATTTTTTAAATTTCCTCCCTTACCTTAGACGACTTCTTATTTCCCATTGAAGAGCGAGTATCCGTCTTTGTCCCGACATCAGTACCACTCGTCTTTGTCAATTTTCTCTTCGACCTACGACGGCGTTTGCCTGAGGCTTTGAACTTTCTCTCATTTGCCTTTTCTTTCTAAAACCCCGGTGCGTTTATGCGGCCTAAACAAGTTCTTTACCCTATCCTTCCTTCTTCTATAGACCACCGCAATTACAATGGAACTAAGGAAGAGAAGGGCGAGCAAGCCGAGGATCGAGCCAACAGTGATGTAGATAGTTGTGTTGTTCGATGACCCCACCAATTCTTCGAAGCTAAAAATAGACGATCATATTACGTTTCGAAGGGCTTTAAAATCGTTGGCCTGCTCAAAAATATCTTACTGTGCAGGCAACGCTGTGATGACGTAAGACATATTACTTGTACTTGGCTTGGCACTGGGATCAATTGTTGTTGGCGATAGAGTCGGCGGTACTTTAATGGATGATGTACTTGTAGACTTGGTCAACGTCGTGGTGGTTGTTGTTGTTGTAGTCTGAAAATTTCTGCGTCACAATCGAGCGGGGTCACAACCCAAAGGTTCACAAAAGCTCCACCGTGAGGAAAAATTCCGATTGCACGGTGCAGTCAAAAAAAATCGCGCAGCAAAAAAAGGTTGTACAAAATTTTGTGAAAAATTCCGCACTGTGCAGTACACATTTTGTGCACTGTGAACCCTGTGGATCGGAGAATGGGAAAAAAACTTTTCCATCGCACGGTACAGTGACAAAAGCAAAGCAAAGTTTTTTTCATGATAAAAAAATCTTGACTGCGCAGTGATTTCTGAGCATTACATGTCATTAGCCATAAACATACCGTAGTGGTCACTGTAGTACACGTCGGAGCAGTAGTCGTGGTGGTCGTTGTTGTTGTGGTGGTCTAAAATGGAGTTTTCTCATTTAGTGATAACATTTACAGAAAAATTTGAATTACAATTTTTCTCTTTTTACTGCATTGTGCAGTCAGAAAAATCCAGTTCGAAATTCAAACTTGAGCCCTGCCATAAACTTACAGTGGAGAGTACTGTAGTAGACGTCGGAGTGCTAGTCGTGGAAGTGGTAGTCGTTGTTGTTGTGGTAGTCTAAAAATAAAACATAAAAATGGCTTTGACTGCACAGTGCAACGGAATTTTCAATGCACAGTGCGTTCGTCAACAAATAACGCACTGTGCAAATTTTAAAAATCAAAAAATTTGGGGTGGCCTTTTTAGCAATGTCCGACCTACCGTAGAAGGTACTGTAGTTGTAGTAGATGTTGGAGTCGTGGTAGTGGTGGTCGTTGTTGTTGTGGTGGTCTGAAAATAAACCTTACAGCATCATTTGAACCGTAACTTTTTTCTGCACTGTGCAGTCAACACAATACTGTGTCGCAGAGTAAATAAAGAAATTTGCAAAAAAATATACCGTGGTAGTGGTAGTTGTGGTGGTCGTAGTGGTCGTGGTGGTCGTAGTGGTCGTGGTGGTCGTGGTTGTGGTGGTCGTTGTTGCCTAAATAAAGCTTACAATTCCAGCAAAACATTTTAATTTTAATTTTTTTTCCTTGCAATCAAAAAAAAAAAACAGCGTGCACTGTGCGGCTCAGAATGTTTTTTCTTTGCCTTTCGCACAGTGCATTCAATAGGAAATCTTTTTCGCACTGTGCAATTAAGCCAAATTTTGCATGGTGTGGTCCAAAAAGTCCCGAAACTTTCCTTCGCACTGTGCAATCAAAGAATTTCATGAATTGAGCGATCAAAAAGTTGCGTGAAAAATTGCAGTGCAAAAACTTGTCAGAATCAAGGGGGTTGCAACCCAAGGTTTTGCAAAAACCGCACTGTGCAGAAAAATCTCGAAACGTTTCTTCGCACTGTGCAATCAAAGATTTCACGGGTTGAGAGATCAAAAAATTGCATCTGAACTATGCGAAAAAATTTTTTCAAAATTCGTAAGTTTTTGATTACTTTGCCTTGCACCGTGCATAAAAAATAAAAATAATTTGCACCTACCGTGGGCGGTTGGTAGTCAAAACGGATATACGCAAAGGCATGTTGTGCGAGGTATGGAAAAAAGCTTTTGTAATCGAACACGCAGTTTCTTCCAAGCCATGCGAATTTGGACTAAAATATTGTTAAAATTCACAAAAAATGAAACAACTTACAAGCGGATAAATCACGCCTGGTTTGGCTCTGGCGTAAATTCCAATAGATTTGTCGCATGGCTGTTCGTAAATCCCCTAAAATAATAAAAGAAATCTTTTTTTTATATATAACAAATACAATATCTTGGTATTTTTGCCTTACAATCAATTTTTTTTCATTTCCTTACTTCCGCCACAATTTTAAAAAGCTGCATACATTCCCTGTCGAGGTTCAAATAATACATAATATCCACATCGGGCAGGTAGAGCAGGTAGAGGTAGAGTTTTTTGCCGCCACCCGTCCACGATGGGCGTTCATAAATCCGTTCGGCATCGCCGGGTTTGCCCCAACTCCGGAGAAACTGATCCTTATTACCTGTGTCATCCTCCACCCAATAATACACCGCTGTCCCAATCATAAAGACCCGTTGAAACAATCTGTTATTTCCAGGCAGTTCCAAAGTTTGGTCAGGCGTGTCTAGCCAGTAATAAAAAATTTTGCTAAAAATGATAAAAAAAATTAACAAAGAAAACAATTTTTTTTTATTTTTTTGTTCTTGCATCTTTTCCATGTGCGACGCTCAGATTTTATTTAAATTTTACACACACTTCTGGCATTGGCCACATATCAACTCCTCAAATCTTTAGCTTGCCTTTTGCAGGCGCAGCCGAGATATTCAATAATCTTTGCAGCCGAGAGAGCACGCGAAACGCGGAGAGCGGTCAAAAAGAAAAACAGGGGCTTTGGTCGTTCTTGTGGTTCAGGCAACGCTGATCGTAGCCGAGAAAACTCAATCCCGAGTAGGCGCTTCAGATTGGATGACGGGGTTTATACTGGGTCAAGGGGGGCTGAACTGGACTGGGGGGTTGTACTACCTTAGCCCCGAAAAACATTTTTTTTTGGTTTTTTTTTTTTTCTTTTTCAAATCCTAATTTTTGACGAGTTTCATCAAAATCTGAGCGACGCACTTGAAGAAAAAAATGCCAGAACTTCTGGTTATGAGTCTGTCGGGAAAATAACGGTGGTCGTCGCGCCTTGGAATCGCCCATCATCGCTTTGCGACGGCTAGCCGCGGCTGGGGATTTGGGTGCGCGACTGCACCGTTCTTTCGACGAGACATTTTGCTGCGACAACCCACCTTTAACACCTACCCGTCAACCAAGTGCGTAACTGCAATTCGGTCGAAATTCTCGGAAAAGAATGCCCAGTAACCGCGCGTTGCACCCGGAGGAGCCAAACGAACAGGCCTGAAATCACGAAAATTAATTTTGTTTTTTTTAATGTTCGCCTCAAAATTTCGAAGTCGGTTGAATTTCAAAAGCCAAAAACCCCACTCGGATGCATTCCATTGTTTTCTTTCAAAGTCAAATGTGTAGTTATGAAGATGCGGTTTTCCGAAGTTCTCGAATCCAAAAACCTTGGCGTGTTTTACACCCTCAGGCATGTATTCGGCCAGGTCAGGGCAATTGAAGAGGAACTCTGCTATGAAGGGGCCATTACCTTGAGCCAAAGTCTCCGAAATTAAGGCGATGACGAGAATTGGGAGCTTCATAAAAAAGCGACTCGTCGGTCCGACACTTGGAAAGGAAAGTGGGAAATAAGAAAGATGAAGCAAATATGAAGGTACAAATTGCAAAAAATGCATAGGTTTGGGAGAAAATTTGCATAAAATTTTATAATTCAATAAATTTTAATGTCCTAAAAAATGGAAATTTCTTTTATGCAAAGCCCAAAAAATCGCATTTTCCCACGTAATCGACCGCTATTTTTCGACCAATCAGCGCTCGAAATGGCTTTGGAGAGACAGAAAATAAGTCCATTCTTCTGCTTCTTTGAACCGACCAGTCGCTCCTTGATGAAGCTCCGAATTCTCGTCATCATCCTAATCCCGGGGACTTTGGCTCAACTCTATGGCTCCCAAATAGCCGGGCTCCTCTTCAATTGCCCTGAGCTGGCCGAGTACATGCCTGAGGGCGCAAAAGGTGCCGAGGTTTTCGGATTCGAGAAATACGGAGACCCGCATCTCCAGAATTACACGTTCGACTTCGAGAGAAGAGTATGGGGTGCTTCACGGTGAGTGTTCTTTTGGCTTTTGAAATTCAGCCGAATTCGAAATTAAAAATCAAAAAAAATTGTGATTTCAGCCCTGACCGTTTGGACCCAGAGGCTACGACCGATCACTGGGCGTTCTTTTCCTTTGAGTTTGACCGAACCAGAATTGCAGTTTTGCAAAAGCTTAGAGGGTAAGTATTGACCAAAACGGAGTGGCCCACTCTCAAAAAAGAATTTTTCCGACCTAGCAGCTTGCGCCCTGGTTTCCACGCAGACTGCGAATAAAAAATGGGAAATGTTTGTTCTCTTTTCAGAATTATGGGATATATTGCAATTATAATGTACATTGGACAATCAATTGTCAATTGCTTCGCCACCATTGTAATCTCGATCGCTTCGCGATCGACAAGAAGCCAACCGAGCGCTTTGCGCTCGGAAAAATCCAGCCGAGCAGGGACGGTCAGCGGGCCGGGCTCAAAAACGGAAATTTGCCAAGCGGGCCGGGCCCGTCGACGGCCGGGCCTGGGGTTTTTCTCCGCGCGGCCCATCTATATTACAATGCCAAACCATCCCAAACTAGGCGCAGTCGCTGAGTCTTCTATAAGCGGCGCTGCACGGGCCGGGCCTGAAAAATGCCTAGACGGGCCGCGGCCCGGTCCTAAAAAACGGCCCGCTGACCACCGCTAGCAGCATTTTTGTTTTATCCTTAATTGGGCGCAGTTTGCCGCGCCTGCAAACGGAATTGTCTGGGCGCATGCTGCTAGGGTGTTTTTCGAGAGTGGGCCACTTTGCGGAAGTTGTACCTGGGAAAATAAAGAATATCACTCCAAACATGATTAGGTTAATGAATAAGTTGCCACTTATTCATTAACAACTTCATATTGCTACTATATTGGACTAATCTGGGCTAATTTTATAAATACCCGAATATACCCGAGATTTCGGGTATTTACCCGGGTATGCAAGAACAAAAAAAAATTTTTTTTTGTTTTTTATATTTTTTAACATTTTTTTTTTTTGTTTTGAGGAAGGTTTATTTCTACTGGCGAGACGACCCTGACCATGGCCTTCTTAATCTCCACGATGATGTTAGACAGCTTTTTCAAGAATACCTTGTGATCGGCACCGATATTTATTTTTGGCTCTGGATGTGGCATTATCGATATGGTGATCAACATATTTTTCACGGACGGTCAATGCCAAGATTTGATTATTTTATTACCCCACCCTACGGGATTTATAACAACGTAAAGTTCTATAACGAGTCTTCGTTAATCTACATATCCGAAGTGGATACTATGTATCATTTGGAGACCAATCTTTGTCGTCGGCTGTTTCGTGTTAGGGCTTGGCATCGGCTCAGATCGAGGGTGAGCAAATTTTAGGAATTTTTCTTTTATTTTTTTGCGTCGTTTTCAGAACATATTCAAAGATGGACAAGAACAATGCGTCAAGGGTGCTGGAATTTTTGCCAGAGCCAAGTTAGATAAAAGGTATCCGTTGGTAAGTTGTTTTCTTTTACAGTTTTGAAAGCCTTTACAATGTTTAGGGTAAGTTCGCATGGCTCGGAGCAAACTGCTCAGCAAAGATATTTGGAGATGTCGCAGTGTATTACCACGCGCACATCCGTTTTCTCTCCCAAGCGCCTACGGTGGGTGGAAATGATTTTTATTTTTTATCAGCTGTCGGGAAAATAACGGATATTTTTTTGTCGCACAGTGCAACTTTTGCGACACATTTGTTTTTTCTCCGCACTGTGCAAAGTTTCCTCCGGAACTATTTATTTTCGTTGTACGGTGCGGACTTTTTTTTTCGTTTTTTTTTGTACAATGCAGTTTTAGCGACGTTTAGTTTTGTGTGCGACGCGACGAATTTTTGACTGCACAGTGCGGGAAAAAATTAAAAATAAAAATTCAAAATTTTGCTGTTTTTGTAAGTTTTATTTTCAGATATTGGATCCAAAACCGGCCCCCACAACCACGACTATCACTACCACGGTAAATTTTTCCTACCAATTTTTTTTACTCTTGGGTTTTTTGACCGCACGGTGCAGAAAACGTTACGGTTCAAATGATGCTATAATTTTTTTTTCAGACCACCACAACAACAACGACGACCACCACCACCACCACGACTATTACTACTACAGTACCTTCCACGGTAAGTTTATGGCCGCAAGTTTATGTTCCCATTTTTTGCACAATACAATTTTTTTTAGACCACCACAACAACAACGACAACCACCACGACTACCACTACGGTAGGTTTACGGGCATTACCCAAAAAAAGCGACCATAAATTTTCACAAAATTTTTTGCAACTTTGGTAAAAGTAAAAAATTCAAGAAATTACTTTTTAACATTACTACTTAAGCAAAAAATAAGAATCAGAGGTAAAAGTTCCTTATTTTGGCCACAACTTATAACTTTGCGGAAACTGGTCGGAATTAGCCTAAATTTAGCGTATACGCTCAATTCATCGTTGTCAATGCCCGGACAGTGAATTTATTTAGTGAGGTACCTTCTTTTTTACGTACCACCTTACCCTTCAAAAACGGCTGCAGCCTCTGATTTTACATTTTATACGATGAAACATGTCCGGAACTAAACTTATTGACTCCGTATGGAACTAAATGAGTCGTCGCAGCCTTCATAGGTGCCCTTAAAACTATAGAGCTATTATAGTAATTCAGTGCCAGCTAGGTCGAAGCGTTCTTTCCTTACTTTAGTGCCCAAGCTTGGGCGCAGTTCGCGGAGTACCTTTGTTGTGGCCAAAATAAGGAACTTTTTCCGCAACTTTTTTATCTTCAGACCACCACCACAACGACCACCACCACCACCACCACCACGACTACCTCGGTAAGTTTCTGGGGATTACCCAAAAAAAGCGACAAGAAATTTTTGATTCTTCAATTTGCACCGTGCGAAATTTGTCACAGCACCGTGCGTTGGAAATTCCGTTGCACAGTGCAAACATGTCATTTTTTTTAGGCGTCATAAAGTATTTTGTTCTTTTGTCACTGCACTGCAACGGAAGAACTTTTTCCCGTTTCCGTGGTCGACAGAGTGCACAGTGCACAAAATAATGTACTGCACAGTGCGGAATTTGTCACAAAATTTTTTGCGATTTTTTGCACGGTGCAGAAAAAATACGGATGAAATTTTGCTGTACGGTTTATTTTCAGACTACCACCACAACGACGACAACCACGATTACCACGACTACCACTCCAACGTCTACCACAGTGACCACTACGGTAAGTTTGTGACTGGGCTCAAAAACTCAAAATTTTTGCTGTAATTGAAAGTTTTATTTAGACAACAACGACGACCACCACCACCACGACTACCACTCCAACAACTACAGTTCCCACTACGGTATGTTTGTGGCAGAGCTCAAAACAAAATGCACAGTGCACAAAAAAATGTATTGCACAGTGCGGAATTTGTCACAAAATTTTTTGCAACTTTTTTTTTGCTACGCGATTTTTTTGATTGTATGGTTGAGAAAAAAAGACAATTAAAATTTTGCTATAAGCTTTATTTTCAGACCACCACCACAACGACCACCACGACCCCGACGACCACTCCAACAACTACAGTGACCACTACGGTAGGTTTGTGACAGGGCTAAAAAACTCAAAATTTTTGCTGTAATTGAACGTTTTATTTAGACAACAACTACCACCACCACCACGACTACCACTCCAACAACTACGGTGCCCACTACGGTAAGTTTGTGGCAGGGCTCAAATCACCGATTTTTCGAAAATTTGATTTATTTACAGACGACCACAACAACAACAACAACGACCACCACAACGACCACCACCACTCCAACAACTACCACCACCACAACTACGGCTGCCACTCCAACAACTTCGTTGACCAAGTCTATCAGCCCGACGTCCACTAAAGTACCATTTACTTTATCGCCCACAAGAACTGATCCCAATGCTAAGCCAAGTGGAAGCAATATCTCTCTCGTCACCACAGGGTTGCCAGAGCTGGGCAAAGAGTAGGTTGTGTTAAAGTGGCCCAAAAATTCTTAGAACTTTGTCTTGTGAGTACTTGAGGCTTAGAAATTTTTCGACGGGGGTTATAATAATTGTTTGCTTTATTTTTATTTTTTATTTTACCGAGGTTAAAATCTCATGAATAATGTAATTTTTATTGTTATTTTATCCTAGATGCTGTGGTCTTACCCATCAGAGCAAATGAAATCGGATTTTTTTGCAAAACAGATTTTTTTTTGAAAATTTCGAATATATCTTATAAAAACTTAATAGAAATTGATGCTAAAATCCACCAAGACCCGACAAATACTCCATTTTCAGCTCTGAAAAGTTGGTTTTGCCAGCCAACCACTCGACTGCCTACATTTTCACTGGCTCGCTTCTGGGCTTGCTCGCCATTATCCTCCTTATTTTATGTCTAATTGCGCTGGTCTTCCTCTACAGAAGAAGAAAGGAGAAGGTAAAGAAATGGGCCCATAATCGCCACTGGATTTTTTAGAAAGCAAGGAAAATGAAGAGAAAGTTGAATGATCGTTTTACGACGACGGGAACCTCGACAAACGCGAGCCGTACTAATGTGACGACAAGGACGGATACTCGCTCTTCAATGGGAAATCGGAAGTCGTCCAAGGTAAGGGAAGAAGTGGAAAAAATTTGTGTCTGCACTGTGCTATCCGATTTTTTCTGAATTTTTTGCCCAGCCAAAAGATTTTTTTTGAAATTTTTTGAACTGAAAAAAAATGCAAAAAAATTTTTTTACGGTGCACAGCGTTCTGTACTTTTTTGGAATGATTCCGACACCGATTTTTTCGAATTTTTCTAAAATAGCCCGCATTTACGCGGGTGTCGCAAGGAATACTGTAAGATTGACGTGTAAAATTTGCAGTGCTTATAGAGTAAAGAGAGATCTTTCCAACAATACAACTTACGTAAATTAATATGGAAAAAGAAATTTGTAATCAACGCTGAAAAATGACCGACTTTGGATTTTCGGCGCTAAATATTGCCCTTAGGCAGATCTCTTAGAAGAAGTGGATGGTACCACCTTATGCAGAATTTAATTCTGTACAACATATTCAAAAACTACGAAATTTTACTGCTTTTCCGTCGAATTATGCCTCAAAAATGCAATTTTTGCACTAGTTTTACCAATATTTTCAAAATATTTGCACCTTAAGGGCATTATTACAAAAACTGAGTCGTACATATTGAAGCTTGCATGGTAGCTGAGCATACTGTTTAATTTTACCCTGTCATCTTTCTCCATCTTCAAGAACAACGGAGCTAAAGTTTGGTGCTTGGAGCCGGCATAAAAATGCCCTAAGGGCGAATTTCAAAAATGCGACAGTGCCACTGAACGTAAAATAAGCGTTCGAACAGCCATGCTCAAAAGGCAACGATTCAATTCCTTCTTCTGTCACTGCTCCAAGAAATCCATGCAACATCATGAACGCGTAAATGTGTTCATGAGGCCACCGATGTTTCAAACTATTCCGGAAACTCCCAACGTTGATTTTTTCGTCAAATTTGGCGTACCTGTAGTACAAAAAATTCTATGTTCAGTGGCACTATCGCATTTTTGAAATTCGCCCTTAGGGCATTTTTATGTTGGGTCCAAACACCAAACTTTACCTCCGGTGTTCTTGAAGATGGAGAAAGATGACAGGGTAAAATTAAACAGTATGCTCAGCTACCATGCAAGCTTCAATATGTACGACTCAGTTTTTGTAATAATGCCCTTAAGGTGCAAATATTTTGAAAATATTGGTAAAACTAGTGCAAAAATTGCATTTTTGAGGCATAATTCGACGGAAAAGCAGTAAAATTTCGTAGTTTTTGAATATGTTGTACAGAATTAAATTCTGCATAAGGTGGTACCATCCACTTCTTCTAAGAGATCTGCCTAAGGGCAATATTTAGCGCCGAAAATCCAAAGTCGGTCATTTTTCAGCGTTGATTACAAATTTCTTTTTCCATATTAATTTACGTAAGTTGTTTTGTTGGAAAGATCTCTCTTTACTCTATAAGCACTGCAAATTTTACACGTCAATCTTACAGTATTCCCTTGCGACACCCGCGTAAATGCGGGCTATTTTAGAAAAATTCGAAAAAATCGGTGTCGGAATCATTCCAAAAAAGTACAGAACGCTGTGCGGTGTGATTTGAATTCAAATTTTTTTTTTGTGTTTCGCACGGCGCAGGTTGCCTCCAAAAAGTGGCAACTGCACTGTGCAATGGGAAATAAAGCTTTTGCAGAGTGAACGTCAAACTGAGGTAAGCTAAAACAATCCGATGAATGGGTTGGAAATTTGCCAAAAAAGACGCAAAAGAACCGATAGCGAAGAGTCTATTCCGATCATCGGACTCCTCAGTTTGACGTGCAGTGTTCTTTTTTTTGCACTGTTATATTTTAAAAATTCAATAATTTTTTTTTTCAGAAAGCCAAGAAAGGAAAGAAGCAAACTGAGTCTGTCGAGTCTGCCGATCCTTCTGTTCTGACCAATAAAACCTCTTCGCTCATGTTCAAGACAACGGGTACAAGCCAAGAGTTTCACTAGACGAGAAAACTCCTCCAAATGAAATGAAAATGGTTTATGTTATTATGTTGTGAATAAACAAAAAATAATTTCGAGCCTTGACTGAACACTATGTAGTCCGTTCGCAAAGTGGCCGGAGTTAACTTTCGGCATAGAGCTCTTATTATGAAGCTTCCAACTTTTCTGTGCTTGTCTCCGTTTAGATGTTTTTGTTCAAGCTTGGGACGTCCTTTGGAGCACAAGTAATGAATTATCGCAGCAGCGCCTTTGAAGGAGATTGCCAGTTCTCGAATGCAATGCCCACACATAGGATAATATCGGTACGATTCGATGCGTTCAACGCTTTTGATAAAGTACTGTGGAGACTGAAAACAGAATCATGATCTCCCATTTTCCATACCTCTTTTTCAGCCTTCATCTCACTTAGGAGGGTTTTTGGCCTCGGTAAGCGAAGGGCTGAGAGGTTGTGAATTTAAATGCAATTTCTTCATTAATATAAAGTCTTCACCGTCTGAGATGAACCCTTGCTTCCTTGGTTTCCTTAATGGAGTTTCAAGAGTGACGATGGGCGCCGTATTATCGCTTACATCGAATGGAATGGCCGTTTTTATTCGCCGGTTTCCTTCAGTGAAGGAATTTGGTGGGAAGTGAGTTCTACATACACGTCGAGTTGTATCAGGTATGTAATTTAATCCCAACCGTTTGGCTCAGAGCTGACGATCTCCTAGTAACGTGGGGAAGGTTGCCGCGACAGGATCAGGCTGGATGCAAGCAACACATCCTTTCACTGGTGGTGAACGTTTGAACATGGTGACAAGAAGTTGATGGACGTCGAATCAAGTCGACTTCAATTTTATGTTATTATAAGAGAAGAATAGACAAGGAAAGGTGCAGATGGCGCTACTGATAAAACGTGCGAGCTCAGTTTATTAAAATGTGCACAAAATCAAACCGAATCAAGTCAATATATCATTATTTATTTATTATTTACAGGGGAAGTACTCCAAGTGCGACGCTCGGATTTTGATGAAACGTGGCACAAATTTAGAATAATTTTTTCTAAGAGATATGCGAGAATCCTAGCTCCCGTTTTGCAGAAACAACCGAGATTTTTAGATCGAAAGTGGGCAAAAAATTTACACCTTCAAGAAAATCTGAGCGTCGCACTTGGGGTACTTCCCTTGTGAATACCGAAAAAATTTTTGTGATTTCAGGCCAAAAGCCCAAAAAATCGCATTTTCCCATGAAATCGACCGCTATTTTTTGACCAATCAGCCTGAAAATCGGCAATGCAAAAAAGAAAATTCCATTTTCTCGGACATCGGAATTTATTGAATTATAAAATTTTATGTAAATTTTCTCCCAAGCTTCACATTATAAAACGGTTTTCGGTCTCCTCTTGTCCCACCCCAATTTTCCCCACGCCGATTTCGAAACGCGGCGCGTCGAAATTAAGCCGCCGATTAGCCGTCGGGATTGGGTTGTCGCGCGCTTGTGTTTGGCCGTGACTGACCCCCCGAACCGCACTTCGCACCCCGCCCCCTGCGGGCAAATTCGCGGCCTTCGGACTCAAGTGTGGCGTCACGATCAAAACTTATTGTTTTTTGGTTCAAAACTACATTCCCGGCGGCTATTTTAAAACCTCTCCTTGTTTATTGTTGTTACTACGAAATTGGACCGCTGCGGACGCTTGAAAGTTGTATTCTCGAGGGAATTTTGAGATTTTTTTGGGAGTTTTACGTTGTTCTTGCTACTAGTGAATTTTGATGCCGTGGTGGACTGCGTGGAGGCATCCAAACGCAATTTTGGATGTTTTTTTGTTTTTGACAGGTAAGAAAAATATTTTTTTTATTTTTAAAAAGTTGAAAAATTAAAAAAAAAATTAAATTTTTAGGTTTTGGCAACTGCTTTCATTAAAAAAATCCTATATTTCATTGCAATAATTACCGCGATTTTTTAACAAAACTTCCAGCCCTCTTGCTATGCAATACAGTGGCGGGCCTAATCCAGTGGCAAAAAACGTGCCATTTTGCATCCGGAAAGTACCAAAAAATGTAGCAAAAAACCTCCATCCCCAAGTGAAAAACTTCGGTCTTAAAAGCGCGCCCGCTCTTTTTGTGAGGAAAAGGGCATGCCTTTCAAAACGGAGTTTTATTTTTTAGTTGGAGAAGGAGGCATTTTGCCACATTTTTTGCTTCCTCCCGGATACAAAATGGTACGTTTTTTGCCAGTGAATCAGGGATTAAGGTCGCCACTGTATATGAAGATAGTGCTCTAGTAGTTTATCGCAGCAGATTGAATATTTTTTGCCGTCATTTTTCAGCTTTTTAAAGTGCCAAAAAATGACCAAAAATAAAAATTATAATTTTTGAGTAATTATATTTTTATTTTTAGGTCTTTTTAAAGAGATTTTTTGCGAAATTCTCAATTTTTCAGCAAAAAAACCCGGGATAAGTTTTTTTTTTTTTTTTAAATTGAAAAAAATTTTTTTTGATCTTCTTTTTACTGCATTAATTTGAAATTTTTTTTTATTTTTTTCACCAAAAATTTTGAAAAATCTCATAACGGTGACCTGTTAAAATTGAAGGAATTACTCATCTCCCAGCACTTGTCACTTCCTGACCCTGTAATCTCCCCGCTTCGAATCGTTTTTGATATAAAGTGACCAGCACGGCTTGTTTGCGCGATTTCCGCGTCTTTTGTTTTCACGCGTCTGCTCAAACAAAAAAAAAAAACGCTTTGCTACTTTAAGCCGTGTGAATTAGGTGGTTTTTATTAAGGACGAAAACACGATTTTGAAGTTTAATCGAAATTTAAAAAACTGGAAAAAAAAATTAAAAAATAAAAGAAATATTAATTAAAAAATAAATACAGGGTAAAATACGAATTCTTCGATCTTTTGTGTACTTCAGACCGCATTATAAACCGAAAAACATCAAACCGCGTTATGCAGAAAAAAATTTTAAACCGCGTTAAGCAGAAAAACAACAAAATTACAACTTTTCAATTAAACATGGTCTTTAAAAATCAAAAAAAAAATCAAATCGCACTATAGAGAAACAATTTAAAAAAAACCGCGTTTTGCGGAGAAATTTTGCAAAGACCCAAAAAATCTCAAAATCCCAACAAATTCAAAATGTTTTAATAACTTTTTTCAGTATTACCTCTAACACATTCCCGATGCACAGTTGGCCAGAACTGCAATGACTGCGACTTCCTAAAGGCGGACCAGAAGCCATGCACGACAGATGGACGACTAGAACACTTTGTCTTCTGTGATGATGATCTTAAGCAAGTTTTGTTTTGAAGAGTTGGCTGAAATAGGAGAAACACGTCGTATTTTAAAAAGTAACGGGCTTACAACGATTTCCTGTTCTCAGTTCATATTGCATAAAAAATGGCTTTTCCTTCTTTTCGCAGGCAGCAAAATGAAAGTGAAAAAAGCGATTTCGACCCAAAGATTGGCCAAAAAATAATCATCAATTTTGATATGCTAGTTGAACGCTGGCATATTTTTTGGGTTGGTCTGAGATCTCAGAAGGCAAAAAAAGTTTATGGATCATCTAAAAATAGGGCCCAACTAAAAGCTCGGGCGCAGCTTGGAAAATTTTTTTTGTCTTGAGGCCTATTTCCTATTTGAAATGGCTATATAACGTCGGCAGGGCTCCGAAAACAAGTCTAGAAAAATTTGCATACTTGAAAAGTGGATTTTTTATTGTTATGTGGCGACCTGCGCCCGATCTGCGTTTTGTTTGTTATGCAAAATTTTCAGCAAACTTTTAGATAGGAAATTGCCCCTGGGCCACAAATGATGTAATTGTAGTAGGCCTTTTGATTATTTTTACCGATTTTTTGAAGAAAATTTTATGTAAAATACGATAGTTTGACCTTTCGGTAGCTTATAAAAGTTCAAAAAATCTGATTTTTCATTTTTCCAGAGTAATTCGGACAGATCCAAATGCATATTTCGAGTGTTGGAACGGCACGCTGCGCTCCGACAAATGCATTGATGGCTATATTTTTAATCAACCGGAGCAGCGATGTCAGCCGGCGGAAGATCACACTCTCAGGAAACGGTCAAGTAAGCAATATAGTTCACATTTCGTATCTTCTATAATACGTATTTTACCAACCAAAACTGTAAAATTCATTTACAACGGAGGTTGTTTAATTGTCATTTTCAGTGGGTGTTGCGGGCGCCTCACGAACCGGCGACATGTGTGCCTTCAACACGGACTGTCAGAGTGGAATGTACTGTTTTAATGGAGCGTGCACTTGCCTATCGGATTATGTGGCCATCGCTGGATATTGCTGGCAAAGTAAGTGAAGAAATATAGTACAATAAAGGCGGTACCAGGTGTCTCAAGTTTCGCTTTTGAACATAGTTTTTTCTGGAGAAAGACTTGACTCAAAGAAAGTGTGACCCAGCGAAATAGCTTGTATTTTACAGACTTGTTATTTTTTTGACATAAAGCGGAGCTCAAATTTAAAAATTTACAGTGGCGACCAGTGGCAAAAAACATACGATTTTGCATCCGACAAGTATCGAAAAATGTAGCAAAACGCATCCTTCTTTAACGACAGAACTCGGTTATGAAGAGCGCGCTTTTGAAAGCGGAGTCTTTTCACTTGAAGAGCTAGGTGTTTTGCCACATTTTTGATACTTCCCGGATGCAAAATCGTATGTTTTTCTACCACTGGAGTCGATAAACTGAGGCACTTTTTCGGGAATTTGTCACAAGTTCGAATTAACGCTTTAATGTGCTGAAACGCTATTGTAATATCATCGCTAGGGTACCCTTTTTTACTTCCGGATTCTTGGGTGAAAAAAAGATAAAGATTTGCGTATTTTACAAAAAACTCATATTTTTCAATGAAAGAAACAGTTGACACAAAATCCAAAACTTGTGAAACACTTGACCCTTGCATAGAAATTTTGCGTTTTGCCATGCTTTTTTATCATTTTAAATATTTTATATTCTAGTTTCAACTAAATTTCCACCTTTTCTTCAGAAGTCAACCCGGGCGATTCCGGTTGCGTCGAGGACCTCCAATGCGACGCCGTCTGGCCGGGCGCCAAATGCTCTCGCGCCGGGATGTGCGAATGTCCCGAATTTACAACTCCGGCCAAGACACGAGACGGCACAATGTGTGTGTCGGCGGGGGTACCGCCCGCTTGCCCATTGCCGGAGCCAATCAACGCCGAACTTCCGAATCCGGCCACGCTGTTGGCGAATCCCACCACACACCCGTTGGGCGCCGACTCCTATATGCCGGTGCTGTGCAGCAGCGGCTCCAATGAGGTGATCAACAGCAACGGAGGCGACGGCTCGACCTGGTGCATCTACCCCGACGGCGACAATGACATCTACATTGCGGACATTTACAATTGCATCCCGCATCCGCAAGTCAAACACGAATTTTTCCCTGAGTATTCGGACACGATTGATGGGATTTGTTGTCATTCCCGAGCTTTTGTTTGCGTTCAGCCGATGGAACAGGGTGAGGAGCCGAGTGTGCCGAGATGGTGGTACAACTCGGTCACCGGCACTTGCTCGCAGTTCTTGTGGGACCCGAATCAGGCGGATAATGTGTCGCCGAACAATTTCAGGACTGTGGAACATTGCGAGAGCTATTGCAGAGATAGTAAGTTAAGATTGTATCAGTTTTCTTTCGAAAAAGAGGATTTTTGTCTTTGAATTGAGAGAAAAAAGTATGATCACCCCTATATGAACGGCTATTGTCAGATAGAAAATCAGGACAAAATTTTGCACAAAGTAGCTAAAAAAATTCCGAGATTCCGAGCTTGCGATGTAGAGAAACAGCCGAGATTTTTTGGTATAAAGTTGGTGAAAATTGAACACTTTTTTGTGAGAGGACACATAAAAAATCCCTTTCATTTTTGCCGAATAACATTTCTATTAAAAATAAACTTTTTCCGCTCGAAATTGGGCGGAAGTTATTATTAATATAATTTGTTGCGAAAGTAATGAGCACAATGCGCTTTCTATTATACCTTAGCAACGCCATTGGCACACCGAGCTTGTGTTCATTACTTTCCCAACACACTGATAGCAAACTGTAATACCATTTTTGTCGGGATTCCATCCGTGTTTTACACGCTCTCTTGGCGGTAAGGGTCGATGAGTTTTAGGGCTCTCTCGAAAGCTTCTCGGTTGAAGAGGCCCCTGGATCGAAAAGACCCCAAAAATGAGTGAAGAGGCCTCCAAAAAATGGAAAATATTTTGCAAATTTTAAAAATATGGTGTGACATGTTATACGGCGAAAAAATTTTGGAGTTTGGGGTGACATCTTATACGATGGATGCAATTCTGCAAAATTTTTTCAAGCTACGGGTCACTTTTGCAACATGCACTGTGCGAAACCAAAAGTGCATCCTGCACTGTGCAGATCTTGTGTTTTGCTTTTGCACCGTGGAATAGGCTTTTTTCGGGTGTCGGCAATTGAGAGTAACACCTGCCCCATCGAGCCAAGTTTTCCTGATAGAGTCAAGTTTTCTTTCTCCCTATAAAAGTTTAGCTGATGGAATAAAAATTGCATATTAACTGTTTTATTATACGGCCGTTCTTAAAAACCACGTGTAATATCGACGTATTTTACCATCCGAGTCACACACTCTACTCTTATGACCAAAGCTTTTTTACAGCCTGTCGTCGAGGGCCCGTCCAATTCAACCAGCACAACCGCAACTCCATCATCGACGAGACCCCCATCACCAACTGCCTCCATCATGCTGGCGGGTGTGGCACCGAGTTCCACTGCACAGTCATCGGCTCCCATCAACACTGCTGTCCCACCGTCGCCCACATTTGCAGCGCGATGGGCGGAAGAGCGCACGATTACGTGGCGCTGGAGAACTTTGACCGAGGCGTGGCGGTGGCCGGTTATCGACCGGTCAGTCGGTTCTACTACGACCAGGAGCAGGGAAGATGCGCCAGCTTTGTGTACGATGGGCTGGGAAATTATAATAACTTCTTTACCAAGCAGGATTGTGAGAATTTCTGCTCCAAATGTAAGTATAATAAATGGAATGGAAAGGGTATATTCAAATTTTCAAAGTATCTCCATTTTTTTATCACCGCCATTTTCTAAATCCTTTTAGTGGTCTGCGAATACGGGAATCCCCTTCGCATTGGGGAGGATTGGCAGCGCTGCGAGACCAACAACGACTGCCCCTCCACTCATCAATGTGAATCCGGTCATAAGGTCTGCTGCCCCACGGCACAAAGCATTTGCACTCAGCCGAAGCGTTTCGGTGACTGCACCAGCAGTGTGCGGAGGTTCTGGTACAATGCGGCGACACGACAATGCGAGCTCTTTCAATATACCGGATGTCAAGGGAATGATAACAACTTTGACTCGTTGATGGACTGTCAGCAGAAGTGCAGGAACATTGCATGTAAGTTTGAGGGGGAAATTGGGTCTTGGATAGTATGTAATATAGCGAAATGATACAGTAAAAAAGGGCCGGGTCCGTTTTCGTATGTAAAAGATAATGAGCTAATCTCCTTTGACCTACAGTAGCCGGCGCCGTGACAAATTTGGTTGCCTGCCTCTTGTCATAACTCTAGTCGACTCACAACAAGTGTCAAGACTTGGATAGTCGAGGTCTAACGAGGCCCCTAACCTGCCCTCTACTCCTAATATTTACTGCCGCTAATAACCCGGAGATCACAACTAGAGAACTCTAGGAGAAAAACTGCGAACTCACACGAATTGACTCCAATTAGCTCGGACCACCACCGCACTGTGTCAAGGGCACTTCCAACAAATTAGAAATATATGTTTATTTCCAAAAACGAGTGACCAAAAAGCGATCGGTCTATTACATTTATATCAAAATATTTGTCGGTTTATGCTAATTTCTGGGAATTCTTCACGGAATCGTGACTCAAGAAGCCTTGTCTGAGCCGATGCGTGGAGTTAAGAACGTTAACTTGGCCTAGTTCAGCAGGCTAGTGACTAACGTGGGCACTACGGGATTTTTTGGCCAATAACACTAAACCGTCGACTGAGATCGTAAGGCGCCGCAGACTGTCGGTCAAAAGAAAGCTAGGAACCTATTAACCACTAGCTTCCATGAGGCAAAATTGGCCAGGGGTATATGGTGAGGGCATAAAGGTATTAGGGCAAAAATGGGTAATGCGGAAAACGTCGAAAACGGCAAGAAAGAAACTACGTTGCATAGAAGAAAACCAGTTTTTAACAAGTAATTTCTGAGGTTCCAAGGGCCAATTTTAGGCCAAAACGGACCTTCATGGCCCGTCTATAGAAAATCCGTTTTTTTGGGTCTTTAGCGGTTTTTGAACAGAGGTTTGACTGACCGCTTTTTTCTTACTAAACGGGAAAATATTCATCGCCGTATTTTACAATTTCAGTGGAGCCCAAATGTCCTCAAGGCCGTGCCCATCGCGATGCCAATGGTCATTTCTATCAGTGCTCGATGAAGAACGGAGGGAAAATGTGTCCGCCCAACTATCAATGCTACTTTGATGGCACGACCCATGGATGTTGTCCGACTAAAGGTAAAAAAATTATATTTCATATTTCAAAATTTCTTTTTCAGCCTACACTTGCAGTTTGAGCCCGGACAAGGGAATCCAATGCGGTTCGGGAAGGTCGTTCCGGTATTATTTTAACGCCCACAAACAGAGCTGTGAGTCGTTTCAATACGAAGGCTGCGATGGAAATTCCAATAACTTCCAGAATGTGGAGGATTGCCAGGATTATTGTGGTGTTGGAGGTACTTTTTTTACCAAAAAAAATTTTTTTTTAATTAATTTAAAAATCTTTTTTTATTTTTATTTTATTAATTTTTTTTCTTTCTTTTTTTATTTCTTTTTATTATTTTTTGTCTATCCAATCTCCAGGCAACGGTAGTCGTATTTTACAAACATCATCATCGAATTTTAGGATTTTTCGTTTTTTTTTTATTTTTAATTTATTAAAAAATTTTTTTTTTTTATTTTCACTTTATCATTTTTTTAATTTTTTTATTTTTTTTAATTTTTTTTTGTCTATCCAATCTCCAGGACCGTAGTCGTATTTTACAAACATAATAATCGTATTTTAGGATGTCCGAATGGCGGTCAGCCCCTCCGCGATCTCACGACCAATCAATTCATCGCCTGCCAGAGCGATGGCCAGACCTGTCCACAAAGTCATGAATGTGTGACCATCAACTTCAACGGGAATATTGCTCATCGCTGTTGTCCAACGAAAGGTGAGAAACAAGAAAAAAAGGTTTTCGAAAGGTTTTAGTGAAAGAACATCCATAGTTGGGAAACGTATTTTACCCATAAGATTGAGTGTACTAGTCCTTTCGCTAGGTCGCTATAGTGATTTCAGCGACATGCACTGTGAGAAAACAAAAGTTCACTTTGCACTGTGCAATTTCTTGCTTTTTGCACCGCTAAGGTAAACTAGCACAGTCCGGTAAATGAATTGGCAATTTGCCAAAAAAAGACGTGAAAAAACGCTTTGTCGGGGAAGAAATGGGGAATTTTTGGGGCGAGAGAGTACGTATTTGTGTGTCTTTTCTCTGCCTTCTCTGCGAAATCAAGACGAAGTGTCAAAAACCGATAGCGAAGGGTCTATTCTGGTCACTCCTCAGTTTGACATGCACCCTGCCATAGGCTTTTTTTGGACTCGTATCCTTACCTTTTTTGCACAGTACATGACGCCAAAATCATTCCAGCTGACTTTGCGAACGGGCTACTAGTTGTTCCAGAAAGTGCGTAGACTCTTTGTCGTGGACCGCACTTTGCATAAAACTCACTTTTTTGCCAAGAATTTGACCTTTTGCATCGTGCAATTTTCATTATCGATGCGACGCCAGCTTTTCTCAACTGAGCTGGTGCGGATTTTGAAAAATTACAAAGCGCAAAATTTTTGAATTTTTGCGAAACGCAACTTGCCCTGTGCGGAGCGAAAGGCCAAAAAAGTCTACGCACTTTCTGGAACGACACATATGTATAATAGTAGCGCCAACTCTTCCAAAATCCTCAAAACCACTCTCAAATCTTTTTTTTCAGCCCACATCTGCACCCTCCCACCGCAACAAGGCAATCAATGCACCAAAATCTCCGTGACTCGTTTTTACTTCAACATTGTCACCAAAGAGTGCGGTAGATTCAGTTACAATGGCTGTAACGGCAATCTGAACAACTTTGCCTCCGCGGATCAGTGCTCCAACTTCTGTACGTCCTCGGCTTGTCGGCCGGGCGAGTCCACCTTCAAGGACATAAACACCAAAAAAGTTGTGGAATGTTCGCCGAGTGTCATCAATTCCTGTCCGTTGGATTATCAATGTAAGCATGACCCATTGACTGGACGTCATGTTTGTTGCGGAACCCCGCCGTCGGATGTGTGCCCGGAGGGCGAGAAGGCGTATGTGAATCCGTTGGATGAGACGGTTAAGGAGTGTACGATAAATATGGCGGGCAGCTGTCCAGCCGACTATTTGTGTCGCTTCTCGCCGAGTCACAATCGATATTACTGCTGTGCTAGTCGGAATGGAAGTAAGTGTTATTTAATAATATTCGTTATCGTCTTTTGTATTTACCCACTAGAGAAAGAGCTGTTCCACTAGGGAAACAGTTTATCTATGGGGGAAACGGTTGACACATAACAGGAAGAGTTGTCCAATTACATAGATCTAAAATTTCCAGAAAATTTTGGAAAAACTTGGTCAATTAAAGAAAGATGTGTTGTTAGTGAAAGACTTTACCCACGACAAAAACACTTGACCAACTTGTAAAAGAGTCGACTCATAAGGATCAAAATTGATAGAATGGGGGAATACCTGACCAGTTTACTCGTGAATTGTCTTCTTTAAGAAATGTAAAGTCATAGACGAAAGTTTTGACTCATGAGCGAACACTTGACCCAATGAGGGCAAGACCTGACTTTTTGCCAATAAATTTTAACTGATAAAGGAAATGTTATCGTATTGCGAATAAATTGAGTCTAGATTTGCTTTTTTTTAACGAAGGTAAGCCCTAGGATCTTTGGGAGAACACTTGACCCATAGGAAACATACTTGGCTGATTTCTCGATCAGTAATCAGTTTTTCCTTGTGCCAGCTATCGTATTTTACCCTCCATTTCTAGATATGTGCCCGGACGGTCGAGCCTTATACAGAACCCCACGAACCTTTCTACCAACTCGATGCACTTTGTCACAAGTGCAAAACGGCTGCCCGGATGGATTTTCATGTCAAAGTAGGGTCGACGGAGTTCTTCAGGGCTACTGTTGTACCTCTAATAGTAAGTTTTTACATTTTTAACACATAGATAGTAATTTCATAAAGTGCAACGACACATACATTGAGCGTATTTTACCCTTTTACTCTGTATTTGATGCGGTTTAGGTGTGTGTCGAAACGGTGCCGACTTCCTCATCGACGACAAGACAAAAATGCCCCAGGTCTGTATGCCCGGCGCTTTCGCCATGTGTCCCGCCGGGTATCGTTGCAACAAGGCCTCAAATAGCGCGTCAACCGGCTACTGTTGCAAGGGCGAGATCAAGGCGATCACCGAGGGCTGCCCGCCCGGCGAATACGCCTATACGAAGCAGAAAGAGATCGTCCAATGCGACCCGTTCAACATCCAGGACAAGGGCTGTCCGGCGCACTACAGCTGTCAGTATGCGATCGCGTTCCAGCGCTATCAATGCTGCGGCAAAGAGCCGCTGGACGAGGAGGCGTTGGAGACGCAAGGCGAGGATACGGGATGTATGAATGATCAAGTTGCGTTTATTAATCATATCTCGAAGGAACCGCATGCGTGCACGGTGAATGCGGAGAACCAATGCCCGTTGGGGTATTTCTGTCAATTCAGCGACAAAAATAAGCAGTTCCAGTGTTGCGGACAAAGAGCAGGTAAGGAGAGGATCATTTCATTGATAAGACAAAAAATAAAGTCTCTGGGAAACATCAGAAATATCAGTCTGTCGGGAAAATAATGAGCGCTATGTCGCATCCAAAATTTCGCCGCGGAGAAAATGAATTGTGTCGCGACAAAATCAAGTTGCTTTTCACTTTAGCGACACTATAGGCGCAACGACAGAGCCCTCACTATTTTCCCGACAGACTAATGATTTTTAAAATACGCAGTTCAGAACACTTCCGCGAGTTGAAAAAAACAAATATTTTGGTCTTTAAAAAAAAAAATTGTTTTTTTTCGCGACAGAACAGTGTAAAAAGAGGCAAAATGCAATGTGGGCCATGCAAAAAGTATAGGCACTTTGTGGACAGACTAGTAGAGTCTTCAGCCATCTTCCGAAATTTTACATTTTTACCCCAAAATCAAAAAATTGGAGAGAAAACTTTTATATAGCCTTGGTTACTATCATTTTGCAATTTTAAAAAAATATGTTTTCAAAAATGTAAGGGGTCTTGTATCAGTCTGTCGGGAAAATATTGAGCAATCTGTTGAAAATCGCATCTCCTGAAAACTAAAATTTTGTAAAAATCAAATTGCTTTTCACTTCAGCGACACGACCGGCGCAACGAAAGAACCCTCATTATTTCCCCGACAGACTGATAGAAGCAATTTCCGTGCAAAAAACATTAGGCTTAACTTTTTCCAGGCTGCCCAAACCGCAAAGTCGCGTACATCGGGATCAGTGGAACAGCCCAGGAATGCAAGCCGGGCGTTCAGCAGCAATGTCCCGGAGGCTACACTTGTATTCGCGGAGAGGAAAACAAATTCATTTGCTGTACCAGCGAGGAGCCCGAGTTGCCCGGAGCCATTGCGACTACTCCAACCACAACCACTGAGCTGATTGACCCATCAACGGAGACCACGGAGAAACCGGATGGACAGTATAGGCATCACAATCGAAATTCCGCCGAGATTTCCGTGGAAATTGGGCCCGTGAAGCCGCGAGGACATATGACTTGTAGGCCGGATGAACATTTTACCAACGGGCAGTGTGTGTAAGTGAAAAATTCGGCATAAAAAATGCGCTTTATGGTCGACAAATATGGGTAAATATTCCCGTTGTCCACGCGTATATATTTTTTAATTTCTTAGAATTTTATCGGCAGAGAAACACTTGACCCGTTGAGGGTAAAAGTTGACTCAATGCGCTAAAATATGTTCAAAACATGTTGAAAGAGGCTTTTTCCGAGAAGTAGATATATTTTTCCCATATTATTAGAAGCTTTATTGTCAGAGAAACACTTGACCCTCTGAGGGTAAAAGTTGACTCAACACACAAAAATGTGTTCAAATATGTTGAAAACACGTTTTCAGCAAATAGAAATATTTTCCCGAATTTTTATGACTTTTATCGTTGGAGCAACACTTGACCCTTTGAGGGTAACACTTGACCCACTGTCGGAAATTTGATTAATAGGCTGTGACAAGGATAAATACCGATATTCTAGGATAATTTTAAAAGTTTTTACAGCACAGAAATACTTGACTCAAAAGTGAAACACTTGACTCAGGTGTTAGAAAGACCTCAAAGATAAAACTAAAAATTTTTTATTTCCAGTCCCCGCCGTCTCGGAGAAGCCTGTATAACAACAGATCAATGTCCCAAGACCTCGGTCTGCTCCAGTTTTGTTTGTCGTTGTCCCGATGGCACCAAACAGGCCGGCCAGATTTGCCTGCCAGATTCGGACGAAGAAGCTGATATAGTTGATGAAAATGGAGAATCTATCCTCTCCACGACCAGAACTCCCACAATAGCTGCAGTTTTTACTCGAGAGACGACAAAAACACCCATCAGAAATACCGGCAGACTGCGGCCTGAGGTTTATGAGATCGAAGACAAAGAGAAGGAGTTGAAATTGCAACGGAAGTGCAAGGAGGATGAAGTAATGCACAAGGGACATTGCCTGAAGCGAAGGGATTTGGGAGAGAGCTGCGTGACCAAAGATCAATGCAATGGCGGGGCGGGCTGCTACAGAGGACGATGCAGATGTCCACCGAACAAGGCGGGATTCATGGGACGATGCGAAGGTAAGGAAGCGAGATTTTGGGAGGGAAAATTAATCTAATTTTGGAATTTTTTGGTAATCAAAATGGGACTTTAAAAAAATTAAGGGTTGAATTTTCTAAAACATCTAGTTTTTCTGTGTAAATGTAGGAGATGTTTACCTCACGTTTTGAAAAAAAGAGATACTTTTAGATCCAAGATTTGATAAAAAATTCAGTTCTTTGCAAGTTTTACCACTAAAAATTTGCGTAGAGCTTCGGAATGGGCAAAATAAAATCAACTTTTCTAGTCGAAATTGGCACCGATATCAGTCTGTCGGGAAAATACTGAACGCAGTGACGCTACGCCGTGAAAAGCAATTTGATTTTTTCGCTGTACAATCCATTTTCTGTGCAATTTTTGACGCGACAAAATGCGCATTATTTTCCCCACAGATTCAAAAACTATTATTTCTAACCCCCAAACTTTCAGAGAACGTCTGCGGAGGCAATCAATTCCGTCTTCCCCAAACCGACCCCCTCACTTCCAATGTTCTCCAATGTGCGCACGACAACTCGGTTTGCCGTCAGCCCTACAAATGCACCTTCAGCAAGATCCTCAAGGACTACATTTGCTGCAAATCGACGAACAGATTGATCGAGGAGAACATCCCCACCATTCGACCCATTACAATGGCGCCGAACGTGTTCACATTCGGGACGACGCGGAGCGCGAAAACGCATCGGACCACCACCGTTCGCACGTATCCGTTCGGCAACGCGAAGACGCGCCGGAGTCGGAGAAAGTGCCCCGACGGCTCGTCGCCGTTGATGTTCACGCACACGGACCAGCCCGTGAAATGCACACCGCAACGCTCTTGCCCCAAGGATTACTATTGCAGCCATATGATTTGTTGTCTGGGCACGCCAACCACGCCGGCGTATGATGAGGAGGACGAGGAGTGAAGTCTGTGAAAGCTTGTGTAAAGTGTCTTTCAACATGGTCTCTGTCTCTTTTTTTTGAACTTTTCTTTCAATGTCATTGGGTTGCAGTGCATCTCAAGACGTCTAGTGTTGTTGGTTACTCAATTGTAATTGCTCAATAAAGAAGTTATGAAAATTTGAAGTCCATTACTAGGGTTTTATAGCCGGAGAAAGACTTGACCCATTGAAGGTAACAGTTGACTCAACACTAAAAATGCTTTCAAAAAAATGTTATAGACATGTTTTTTGGCATGTAAACATATTTTCCCCAAATTATAGGGAGTTTTATGGTTAGAAAAAAACTTGACCCCTTGAGGGTAACAGCTGACCCAAAAAACGGGAATGATTTCATAACATGTTCAAGGTGTGTTTTTCTGTAAGTATACAAATTTTTGACCCATATTTAAGAACTTATCGTCAGGGAAACACTTGACTCAGGTGTTAAAAATACCTCAAGTGGAAAGTAAAACATGGCAAATCAATTAAAATTCACCATAGCCCGTTGCTTTATGTGTAAAAAACAAGCTCTTAATGTAAAACCCGAGTATGTGCGAAGGAAAATTTATTTACACTCGAAAAACATACGAAAAAAATAAGCAGTGTGAATAGTAATGTAAATAGGCTTAATTGTAAGCAGTCAGACACCAAGTCAAAATATTTTACATTCGGAGGTTCAGCCAAGACGACTAACGTCAACAGTCGCAGCATTGGCCGTTCCTTCAATGTTCACGTGATTGTAGCCACGGAGGATTCTGAAGAACCCGTTCTCGCCCCACTGGGGTCCCCAGGAATTGGCGACAATCCAGTATGGAACGTTGTTCTGCTCTCCCCAACCGATGACGCGGACGGCATGAAGACCAACGTAGCCGCCGGAGATGTGCTGAAAATGGGTGAATTTGATCGTGGTTTACAAGGGAGGTGTAAAATCCCATTTGCAGCGCATATCAGTCTGTCGGGAAAATAATGAGCACAACATCAAATTTCCAAAACAACATTTTATAATGTTGATCCATTTTTGTATAAGCAAGGGTCGTGTGTTCGGCAAGTTTCAAAATTTGGTCAAGTGTTTCTTTCATTGCAAAAATGTATTATTTTTAAAATACGAGGTGCATTTTAAATGCCTTTCCGGCCACAAAATTTGTTTTTTGCTTTGCTGCAATCTCTGAAATGTAAAGTGCCGAAATACAAAACATAAAATAAAATGTAAAATACGAGTCTTTGCAAGGTAGCTCAAGCAATTTTGGCAACATAAAATGTGAATAATTAGTCTAAATTTTTACTATATTACATTACAGTATGAACTTTGAATTTTACAAAATTCACGCTGTTACACAGTAGCTATCTGCTGAGAGGACGGTTTTTTATTCTGAAGACCTTCAACTTACCTGATAAACTCCTCCCTTGTAATACATGAAATCCTCATAAATTTCCATGGCCGAGAAGACAATTGGCCCATTCCTCATGATCTCTTGCTGCATTGCCTGAGGGTTTTGGCGGAAGGAAAGGGCGGTAAGACCTGAAATGAATTGGAATTCAAATTTCTAAACCCTTTTACAGCAGTAATTTTTGAAGTGCCTTTAAATCCCCACCAAAGTTCTTATCCTGTTGATAGTATCTGTTGTAGCGTGGTTGACATTGCCCTTTACATTGAGGAGCGGGGAAATTTCCGGAAAATCCTTTGCACTGTGCATAGCTGCCACGCGAGGATCCAGTGCAAGGAGGGAATGGGTAAGGTAGACAAGTCGTCGTATCCGAATAATTACCGCCGGTGACAATGCCAGAGGTTCGAATGTAGTCGAAAGCGCGGAAAGGATAACCACCAGTACAGCTGAAATTTTGGATATTAGAAGATAGGGGGATTTTGACAATTTAAATTTTGAATTTCCCGCCAAAATTAAAAATCAGAAATTGATGACTAAAAAGTGTCTAAAATCAAAAAATCAGTTTAAAATCATTTTACTGACACCTTAATTGGGCAATTTAACCTATGTGTCCGCGCTGATGCTTTGTCTAAAAATTTGAATTTTGAATTTCCCGCCAAAACTTCAAATCTGAATTTGATGACTAAAAACGTTCAAAGTGTAAAAAAACTAACTAAAATATGCTTTTTGACACTTTAATCCAGTGATTTAGCATTTGAGTCCTCACCTATATGTTCTCCGAAAATTTTAATTTTGAATTTCCCGCCAAAATTGAAATTTCGAATATCGACTAAATAAATGCAAAAAAATTAAAAATTGTTTAAAACAATCAAAAATACTTAATCGGACTGCATCTTGCAATTTTCTAACACCATCCATTAGCTTCTCCCACCTCCTCTAGATACTACAGTTTCCCTTCTCTTACCCATTTCCGCAATTCGAGCAGCAACTCAACAGGTCATCCGCCGACAACGCCACGGCTCTACTTCCATTGCTCGCAATGCACAGACGATCAGAGAAAGCACCAGACGACGAGACGGCCCAACAACTTCCACACAAACTTTGGTCCTCGATTCTGGAGATCACCTTGTTACAGTGAGGCCATTGAGTTCTCGAGTCGAAAGCTCTTGGGATCGGAGTATTCGAGTAGCCATAAGCATCATTGGCGACAGGATGAGTGGCTTCGTATTCATCGACAACGTCATCGTGGTCGTCTTGAACGCCCAACATTTTCTGGAGGTCCTCAATGTTTTGGCCGCGGAATCTGTGGCCATAATGCGCTTCCCAACTGGAATTCTGGGCCTTCAACTTGTTGACAAGCTCCTCTCCTTGCAACGAGTTGGCGCGGCGACGATGAGATGGCCGTTTTTTATGGCCGGAGGCAATTTTGTTGGCCAATAGTTGAGTGATGACAATTAATGTCAAGAAGAAGATAAACAGATTTCTCATGGTGAATATCGATGCTGATGATATATTCTGCACTTTCAGTAGGTCTTATATACAATTTCGTTTATTTACATTGCCCTTTGTCACCCGAAAAGGTCACAATTTTTGAAATTTTTTGATCGATGAAAAATGCTTTGTCCCATTGTCACAGCGGTATTTTTGGCAGCCATTTTTTGCGACAAAAACAATGAAATCACACCTAAATTGGGTGAAAAAAACGTCTGCGATCCGTGAATTTCCGTGTTTGGTCAGCTGGTAAGGGCTAGGGCGTATTAATTTTGTGTGCATTCGGTTATTCATGCAAGGGCCCAAATTATTCAAATTTGTTTATTACTTTCCGCCTTTTTAGGTGTTTATATTATTTACAATAGCAAATAGCCGTAGCTGTTACCGTGTGGCTTGCCAAAAATCGGCTTTTCTTGGCGTATTTTTTTGAATGACTTTTCTTTCGATAGATCATACTAGTCCGTCAGGAAAGTCGCCTGATTTTTTATGTCTAAATTTTACGGTAACAGTTGTTATTTCTTGTCAACGGCCAGCCTATCTTTGGTCTGCCAGATTTGGACTCCGACAAACCGAGATATTTCCACATTATTTTCCCGACAAACTAATTTCAGCTTGTCAAGACTTACATAATTCATTTTCTCGACGGCGATGCGACTTTCGCTGCAGAGTGCTCATTATTTTCTCGACAAACGAATATTTAGTTGAAAGTTTTCAGATTCCAATTGTCATCATTTTTATTGCATCTAAATTTCCAAGAGTTCAAAGAAACTTTGAAAAAATTACAAGTTAGTTCACCCATTGTCTATTTGCTCTAGCGATTCTCGGTGTGGCCCGAGAAATGGCCGTAGGAATGAGGAAGATCCTCGAGCAACGTCATATTCCCCAAATGTTTCTCGCGCTCGGGCTCCGTTTCATTTGATCGAACCTGTTTGTCCTCCACGTCGGCCACGAACAAGATCACAAACAGCAGGACGAACGAGCCGTACAATGCGAAGAGCGAGAGGGCTAGGTAGTGCATTTGAAGGGGTGTAAAATATGGAAGGCTCAACAAGTCAACGCCAGGATGTCATCTGCAAAAAATAAGGTGAAAATTAAACTTTTCATGCATAAAATTTGAAAAGAAAAAGTGCATTGTTTTACAGGGAAAATGCTCGAAAGACCACGTTCAATTTATGGCAGTTGTCCCAAATTTATAGTAAATAACTTTTTATAAGGAAAATGAGAGATTCCGAGGCCTGGTTTTGCAGTAAAAACCGGTAATATTAATCGGAAATTTGGTTTTTTGAAAGATTCCACTTTTCTGGTTCAAAATTTGCAAATTACGGCCAAAAAGCGTCTTTCTTCATGGCAGGGAAGTGCTCGAACTGCGATGTTCAAATTTTGATGACATTCGACACATATTTGCTGTAATTTTTTATAGGACGTATGTAAGAAACGACAAAGATTTTTATGTTGAAACTAGGAAAAATGAGACACTTTTTTTGAGAATTTTGGAATGAAAAGTTTCTAATTCTGTTGTAAAGCGTTTTTTCCACAAAAAAGCTCTCCGCGTTTCACGTAATCTATTGGCCGTAATATCATTTAACATTCCAGCGACTCTTGTAAAGTGCAAGCTGAATTTTTTGTCAAATTTTTATTTTACCTTCCCACAACATGAAAAACTTTGAACACTTCCCTTGCATGACTCAAAAGATGCAATACACAAATAATTAATTAAGAAAATAATATTAAAATACGAACCAGATAACAGTATCATTTTCAACCTCCCAAAAAAAGGAAAAATCTTCATTCCGCAAAAATAATTCCTTTTCTTATCCGAAATCATCTTTGAATTTGGTTTCCTTGGCAACGGAAGCTCTGTAAAAGATAATTCTCATCTTCCCCCACGGCGGTTTCCCAATTAAATTTTCTCTGCAAGGCTTATATTTATTTAGAAATATATAGCAAGAAATACTTAGCCCAAATTAAAACAAAGATCTGTAAGATTAGAAGTCATGTTCCGGCCGGTTTTTCAAATATTCCTGTAGCTCTGGTAGGGAGTAAATCTTCTTGTGGTGTTGAAGGAGGACTGGGAAGTCCTTGAGGCTCTCTTTTGGGCCGTAAGTCAAGCATAAGTCAGTCAGGTGTGCGGCGTAGAAGTCGATGTAGGAGAGCTGAAAAAATTGAATGATAGGAAGATTATATTAAAGAAGAGCTTCGTTGAAATAAGTTGCAAAAATGCGAGGAAGTCCAAATGATGTCTAAATAAAAAGATGTTCTTTTCGTTTACTATACGATAAAAAATTGACCTTTTTTGCTTTAATAATCACGGATGTCATGTAAAATATCATTAGATATTCTGTCCAGCATTACTCGGAAGCAAAAGTAGAATAGTAAAACGCAGTACGAGACGATTGAGAGTATTATTCACAAAGCTAACGTTAAATTTTCTCCTGACAGTGTTGAGTTATACACAAAAAGATTATTATCCGTGGACAGCGAAAAATTATTTTGCGGACCACCAAGAAAATACGTCGAAAAAATAAGGATCGCCAAAGGCTTTGACGCGCTGCTTAAAGGAAAGGAAATTTAATAAATTATGTAAAATGAATCCCCAAAGACTTCTCGTATTTTACCATCCTAACTTTTGCCCAATCGCTAAAATATTTACCTCATTTCCCACGAGAAATCCGCTCTTTGTCGTCTCCAATTGGCGCTGCAACATGACTGCAAAGTCCTCTAACACCGCTGCTTTGTAAACGCTCTCAATTCGCTCTTCCAGCTAAAAAATGGTTTTAAAACACGTTTTCATGAGCAACCCTACCAGAGGCCTTAAATTGTCGTAAAGAAAACAGTAAAACCAAGGCCTCATTTGGTTCAAGTAATCGTTCAGGCGAACTCCCCAAACATTGGCCAACGCTCGGTCCTCAGCGGTCTTGGGAAGTAATCCATGTTTCTCGGCGAGATACTGTAGAATACAACTTGTGTAGTTGACTTCGAACTCTCCGTTGACGATCAGCCGGGGCATTTTTGGTAGGGGAGGGGCTGGAAAAGGAAGTATTCAAGTGTCAGAGTCTAATGAAGCTTGACACAAATTTAGAATAAGTTTTACAAGGACATATGTGAGACTTCTAGCTTGCGTTTTGCAGAAACGACGGAGAATTTCGGGTTAAAAGTTGGAAAAAAGTGATTTTTTTTGCGGATTTTGGCATGACAATGTTTCCTGCCAATTCCTATGGTAGAGAGCAATGTTTTTGATTCAAAAACAAGTTTTTCCGCATGAACCTGGCGTTGGCATACTCATTTGGCCGCAAAAATCGTTAAATGTTTGCAAAGCTCGCGCTAAAATTTTCAAAAACAAAAACAAATGAAACAATGTTTCTAATACTCCAAAATTACTGTAAAACTCACTATCTTTCACATTTTTGTAATTATTGTAGTCCTGTTTTTCATCCGTGAATTCGATATTGAAATACTTGAAGAACAGGCGGATCGGCTCTCCCTTGCCCCTCAAGTTGAGGTAGAGCAGTTGGTACTCTGGCTGATTTGCACTAAAATAGAAGTGGAATAGAGGAAAAAAATTAAAAAAAAGATGTCTAATTAAAGAACTTACTGCCCCATGAAGCTGAGGATATGTTGCATCTGAAAAGAAAAATATTTTTTCGAATCAAAAAAGCCGCTGAAAGCTCTGAATTAATTTTATAGCAATTTAAATAGCTGATCAAAAATCTCGCCCCACCTGCGAGACCTTGCGGCCGAAATTTTGCGTAGACATAGAAATCTTCCTACGAAAGGCCCCGACCATAGTCCGATTGCTGTCTATGAAATTCATAGCCTTGAGTGCTCAAGTGTCTATTGCGCGTAATATAAAAGTGCAAAAGGTTGGGCAAACAAAGCGAAAAAACAGCTAAATTAATCCGTTCTTTGACACCATGAGATTATCAGGGCATTCAAGGGCCACACAAGTCAGCAGACTGTAGTCTGTGGATTGCAGGTGGTATGAGTTGGAGGCTGGATCAGACAGTGTAAAGTCTGGAGCGTAGCCGTTTAATTGAAAGGTTTTGAATCCAACTCAAACAAATCAAAGAGCCATTTGCACGGGTGTGACGAATAAGCAGACATGGCAAGGACCTGATCAGCCGGGCCATGGAATTTTCAAAAAGGGCCGAGCCGGGCAGAGCTTTTCTGGGACCGGGTTTGGTGCTTGAGATTGAAAATTTTAGGCCCGGCATCTTCCGAAAAAAATTACTTTGTCTTGAAGCGAAAAATTGGGACTATGATTTTGAGTTCTTGGGATTATGCAACAAATAGTATATTTGTAGCGCTATAAGGATTAAAAACAATTGTTGCTGTTTAGGATCTTGTTGGGAAACAAAGAACTGCCTAAAAACCTTTTTATGTAAAAGTTTTATAAATGGTTAGGGCACTGTATTTTTCCCTAAAATAAGCCGCATCTCCAGTAGAGCTTGACCAATATGTGACTTGTGCAAAATTTTCGGACTAATTAAAACTACTGCGGACAGTGGACTGTTGTTAATTTTGCGTCTATTTTTGGGCCAGAACAAGTAAAAAAAAAGCTTTGCGGCATGGAATAGAACCTACCTTGCTATATAGTTATGAGAACGTTGTCCAGTAAACAAATTTTTTATTGTGTTTTGATGGAGTTCGTTGCGCTCTTAAAGGTTCAAAAAGTCCAACCCGCTCGTTATCTAAGAGGATAAGATATCACTTTACCCCACAAAACTTTTTTCTTGACCTCCCTCAAACGTCAAAACCTGAGTTTCTCTGATTTCCCACGTATCTTGTAAGAACTTCAACTTGCTCAATAAATGACTTACCCAACGAATAATGTAGCGCTAAAAATTGTGATCCCAATCTCGAGCAAATTGCTCTTATATGTAGCGAACGATAGAAGGAGACAATCCGCTTACGAGATGACCACCCAACAATTATCAAGGCATTTTTGAGCAGTAATTTTCAGCTCGTCTTATCTTATCTTTACAGTTTTTTTTCGATCATGCGGAGTTTTTTGTAATATCAGTTGTCGGGAAAATAACGTGGATTTCGAAAATCGCATCGCCGCCAAGAAAATGAATTGTGTCTCGGCAAAATCAAATTTCTTTCCACTTCAACGACGCTATTGGCGCAGCAACAGTGTACTCATTATTTTCCCGACAGACTGATAATAACTCAAGCCGTATATTGAGAGCATAATTGGATCTTCAACAAGATGACTTACCATTTTTTTGGCTTATTTGCTCCGGAAAGATAACCTCAATTAACTGCAATCACAACAGACACAAAGCAAATGGCTGTGTCGTACGAACAAGTAGCCGTATTCCCACTTTAGCCGTTCATTATTTGTTTGTCTTATGGAAATATGATTGAAGTGGTCGAAGTGCAAACTAACAGATATTTTTATGTTTTTTTTGGAGATGTGGTAGGATAAATATTTACAAAAAAGAATAACATATATTTTTTTAATAGCATCCATTGATAGAAAATTATGTCTTAAAGGCCAAGAGAAGACTCCTTTGTAAGTTTCAGTCAAACCTGTAGACTCGCAAAAAATTTCGAAAACTTGTTTGTGATGCAAAAACGTAGCTCTCAAGGCCTCATACATGCAGGGCCGCAAACTTCGGCCCGGCCCGCATAGCAGGTATTGACGGGTGTCATTGTATGGACACTAAATTTGACATTTTTGAACTCAAAGACGATCGCATTGGAAAGCTCTATTTTTGAAGCATTTTTTTTCTAACTGGAACGGTTTTAAAGAAAACATGTTAAAATACGTTGATTTTTTCTGCTGCACCCATGTATGAAGATGCTATTAATACTTGCAGTGGCAAAAAAAAGAGCTCACTTAAAATACTATATCATTTATTTAATAAAAAATCGCTTGAAAAGCTGAGAACACAATGCAGAAATGATATGTTCACCTCAAGGTATTGTAATTTACAAATCTCGTTGTAGTTATTTTATAACCATGTTCTTCCATGTTATCTTTACAGTTTATCCCATCCATATTTGCGCATTATTTCAGCCGCATCAATAAACATCTCCTTCATTCGTTGATGAAGTTCCGCCATTCTTATTTTGTGCGTTTCCTCCGGAGCGCCATCAGCGTTCGGGGAGAAATATGGGATAATCATTATGTTGACTATGGCTTGCTGCACAACACATAGATCATAGAGCTCTTGAGCCTGAAAGAAACAACGATTTGAGGGTAAAATACGGAACGGTACGTTTTCGGCATAGATATGAGCATGACAAAGCTTGGAAGGCATGAAAAGTCTAACAAATAGGTATGGAAAAAGGTTGTTTACTAGGTACTCGACAAGAAAATGGGCATTTCTGCAGCCGTCTTGCCAGCCAGGGTCAAAGTTAAATTTGAAAAAATTGTGGGGAAATTACGTCAAAAAATATTTTTTGGTCCATTTATTGATGCAACAGAGCGCTCACTATTCACCCGACAAACTGCTACATGACCACAGGTTCGGGGAGACTGCAGACAATCAGAGAAATGAGGTGTCCCCAAACGAAAAGCGTAAACGCTTTGATGGCTTTTCTTTTTATTTATCTATAACCAAATCTAAATGATAATTGGTCTCATCTAAACTATGACTGGCCAAATCTAAATGGTCTTGGCCAGGCAGCGAAAGCTGCCACATTTTTTCTTCGACAGCTGTCTGTTGTATTTTTACTTCTACGAAATAGATAACTGTAGTAGTTATAAATGAAACGTCGGAAAGGAGAATTTTGTAAATAAGTTCCTATTTTAAAGTTTTTCCGACAAAAGCCCAACCTTTTTTCAAGGTTTGTCAATCTTAAAACTTTGAATTTTTTTTTGAGCCAACCGGTTAGAATTGCAGAGCAATATAGCACCAGTCTGTTGGGAAAATAATAAACACAATGTTGCTGTCCGGAGTTTTGTAAAATTGTGCCAAATTTAAGACATGAGGTGTGTTAAATTTACGTCAATGCTGTCAGGTATTCTTAATAAAACGTAATAGCGGATACGGATTTTCTAAAAAAGTGATTGCTTGTTCTGATGCGCTCACCTCCTTCTCGTCGAAATTGTATTTATATTCCACTCCTTCTTCTTTGAACGCCTTTTTCAGACATCTCAAAAAATGCCCGACAATTTCATTATGAACCGATCTTCTGACTTCTCCTCTAGCACAGAGGACGACATACCGAGCAATGTCGAGGAACATATTTCCTAAAATTTATTTATCTTATCATACTATCAATCAAAAAAAGATTTTTAAAATACGTAAATAAGATTCGATACCTCCAAAAACAGTCTGAAAATCGACAAATGCCCTGAGATTATTGGAGATTCCAATTTCTTTTGTCGCATCTCTGTAGAAGAACATATTTCCGTTCCAAACATCGCCATGACATAAGGTAATTGCTCCTAAAAAGGTGTTAAAAATAAATTTTAGATACATTGCGAGACCTACCCAGTTCTCCCGGCCGTTCCAAGCAAGCGTATCTTGCAAATTTTTCATTGCTAACTGGCTGTAGTTCGTCCAAGAGCGGTTTTAAATTGGCTAAAATACAAGGAAAGTTGCTTTTAGACAATAAAAATCAGCTTACAATCGTACTCAACATTTGCTGGAGTGCAAACCGGGTTTAACACAGTATGAACTTCAAGGGTGTGGAAGTAGTCTTCGAAATGAGACCATGAGTTTTTTGGGAGCTTAGACACTTTCGCTTGAAAACGAGCAAGTTCTTCAGCGACTTTGAAGACTTGCTCGCGACGGCAAGGCTGATACATTGAGGGAGTTATGACCTCAGCGCCAAGGTCCTCGATTAACAGGATGGCTTGTTCTTTCTGAAAAAATAGGCTTGCATTTTTAGAGACTTCTGTTACCTATGCCTGTTACTTCAAAAAAGCAAAAGTAATGTCTTGGAGAACAATTGCGACCATTCCGTTGAATGCTGTCAATTTTTTTTACCTATGTACGTTTTACCTACAAGGGAAGTACATCAAATGCGGCAGATTTTCTTTAAATTTGGCCCACACGTCGGGCATGGACTGAACATCAATTCCTGAGTTTTAGCTCGCGATTTACAGGCGCCGCTGAGATATTCAACGATGTTTGCCGCCGAGAGAGAACGCTAAACGCGGACGGCGGTCAAACAGAAAATAGTTTTTGGCCATCACTTTGCTAGTTTCGTGCCGAAAAAATTGATTCTTGTGAAAAAATTGCCTTGTATGGTGGAAAGATGCGTGAAATTTTTCGTGCCGAAGTTCGGCAAAAAGTGTCAACTTTTCGCCGAGTTTTGATCTAAAGACCTCGGTTATTTCTGCAAGACGTGGGTCATTAGAAAAAAATCAAAATTTGTGCCAGGTTTCATTAAAATCTGAGCGTCGCACTCGGGGTACTTCCCCTGTTAACCCAAGACTAAATAGTATTGATTCGAAAATAGTCATAACGTATTTTACAAAGCAGTTTTACCCAATTCTCGATGATATTTTGCACCTTGAAAAACGTTCCTGGGTAAACGGTATTTTTCTTATTTAATTTTTTGTTTACTTTTTACCGATTTTTTGAGGAAAATTGGGCATTTTATACAAACTAAACAAAAAACATGTCGTATTTTACAAAATTTTTTTTGATACGTATCTCGAAAATTTCGTTTACAGCAATCAGAATGACTATAACACTCAAAGACTCTTAAAAACCTACCTCTCCAGTTTTCCGTCCAAAATAACACTTCGGGATTGTATTGAGTTCCACATCCTTGAAGATGTTGTAAAATTCCACTTCTTTATTATGGCCCATAAACGTTGTCTTCGGCATTACCAGCCCTCCTTCGGCCGTTATGCTGCAGCATGGGATTTTCACAATCAGCGAGAACACCGGGCTCCCTTCAAACGAGATTTTTACTCTGTAAATTGTCGAATTAAAGGCTGAGCCGACTCCGAGACGGGTGAAAGTGATCTGAAATTAATCAAACTGACAAGTGTAATTGACGTATTTTAAAATAACTTTATGCAAGTTTACCTTCTCAATTTTACATTTATGACACAGCTTTTTGACTTGACAATCTGCCTTTATCATGATGTTTAGCAGCCATTTTGTGGAGATTTGTCCGTCGCAAAGCTCCTTCGGAACGGTGTCTTTTATCTTACAGTCACAATGAAGGTTTTTGAAACAGTTCAGCGTTGTTGTAATCGCCGTCATAACTTAAATAAATAAATTCAAGTTCCCAGGAACCGTATTTTAAAACACATATATTCATGTTGTAGTCAAAAACTTGCAATGATAAAATTACTCAGCGTATAGGAAAAATAAAAGTTAAGACATTTTTACGCCGTCAACGCACTTTTGAAGGCGTAAAGTAATCCAAAATAAAAATGTTAGGAGGTGTCTGCAAGGCATCTGAAAGCCGTTGAATGCTCGGCGGACGCTCGGCGAACGATCGGCGGTGACTTGGCGGATGCTTGCAATATTGTAATTTTTTCTAATTTTAGCTATTGCTAACCTTAGTTTTCTTTAACCTGAGTTTTTCTAGCATATAAAAGAATAAAATTTGTGGCGCAAAACGAAGATCCGTAACTTCTATCTTGATATTTAATTGATGTGAGCACATGTAAAATAATACCTCAAAAAAGATGATAAGCTATCTAGGACCCGATCCATCTTATTATTTCTACTTAAAAAAGGTTTTGCGAGGACACAGAAAACATGATGTTACAGTAGAGACTTAAAATACCTGCCATAGTTAGCTAGCTATCAGTGTATTAAAATGGACAGGTCAGATTTTAAATTTTTAGCTTACTGTAGGTATACTGTAACATTTTTTGATTTTTCGTTTCTCCTCGATTAACATCCCGATTACTCTGGACCTTTTCAGGGTTATAGAACGATTGATTATAAACAACTTTCATATTGACATCTTTTTCCTAGGACTTCCGGAAGTGTGCGAAAAATTTGCATATTTAACAAAAAATTTAACTGCTAATACAATGACAAACCAATGCGATCCATAATATCTTTCTCGAACTGTCGTTGACCAGAAAACAAAAGCTCAATTCTCCCCTTTCCTTCCAAAAATCAATAATCCAAATTTTCGACAGTAATCCCCAACACTTCTCTTTAGCCTTTCCTAATTTTCAACGGGCTAAATTTTCTTCTCACCTGAAGCCTCACCTGATTTTATATATTTGCTCACTGATCGTTTGCGTTATTGATCACGGGCCCCGTCTCTTTTCAATACTGTAAGCGCTTTAACCCTGGGTGGGCCGCTGTTTTATCTGTGTTAATTGCAACCATCAACAAGACTCGCGTTGGGAGCACTGGAAAGTGGAATTTTTGAATTTGATATCAAACAAAGATGACAAAAAACATCAAAAATTGGGGATTAGCAGAAGTCGGCGATGTTTGATTACTTTGATTGGACGCAAAAAATAAAGACTTATGTCTGGCTACTGTCGGGACTAATCGGTTCAAACGGGGGACATATTGCAATTGGGTGGCCCATCAAGAAGTCGTCGTACTATTTTCTGATATTTTTACTGTTCAAAAAGAGTCAAGGTGCGAGCGACAGCCCAAAGAAGCCTATTGCACGGTGAAAAAAGGAGAAATATCACAGTGCAAAGAGAACTTTTGTTTTCGCACAGTGCATGTCGCTGAATTTAGACTGTCGAAGTTCCGGACTGACTAGTATAACACTTTGAAATTTTCGAAGGTTGAATGTTCAAGAAAAAATACAAATCGTATGTGACAGGTAAAATACGCTGTGTTGTGGTGGTAATAGCGATAAATGCCTGAAAGAGTTAGGATCTTGCAAAACTTTTTCAACCACCACTGAGAAAAAAGATTTAACTTTGTCAAATTGAAGAGCTGCCGGTTAAAACTATCAGTTCAAAGCAACTTTACTCGAGGCAAGTGCTGATGCCAGCCTGTCGGGGAAGATAATGGCGGGCCGTCGCAGCAAAAGCAAAATGTTTGCTGGTCGAGAACAAGGCGCGGCCGCGCACCAAATCGCCAGCCGCAGCCAGCCGTTGCAAAGCAATGATAGGCGATTCCAAGGTAGGACGCTATATTACTGTCCTATAGACTAATAATTTGTCGCGCGGAGGAAAAAGAACCGTTTTTAGAGCTAAAATGCAGAACTTCTTGCCTCAATATTTTACAAAAAATCTTAAAAAGTAGGAGCTTGTAATCCGAAAAAAGCCTTTTAAAATCTTAACCTTCTCCAGAATGCCTTTCAATTTGATCTTACCAAGAAAAGATGGGATAGATCTGTTTATTTGCACTGTCTTATACATACAAAGCTACTGTTTTTCTTGGTCCTCAACAGTTCTAATGAGATAAGTAGTAATAATAATGACCTAAAAACAAGCTATTTTTTGTCTGATTTCAATGAAAAAACAAATAAAAAAGTATGCACATATTTTAAATTTTTTTTGTTTTTAAACGTGTAATGCAGCCTCTTTTGACTTTTGAATAACTCTTTTAAAGAGCGGGTATAATGAGCCCAATGTCGCTGCGCCGATCGCATCGCTGAAGTGAAGAACAATTTGATTTTAGAGCGACACAGTTCATTTGGCGATGCGATTTTTGACACAACGTTGAGCTCATTATTTTCCCGGCAGACTGGCGCTGATACATGCACGCATCAACGTAAGGCTGCTTTTACAAATTGTGGAAAAACAACGGTTATTACACATTTTTTCCGAATTAAATTATCTTTTCTTACCTTCTCCTTCGTTGATTATCTTACTAGGGAAGTGTACAAACGAACCCTCACCAAATGGCAAGTGTTATACACCATTGGAAAGCCCTTGAAAAATGGTGAAAGGTACCATTTTCATTTTTTGCAGAATGCCTCAGGGCAAAAAATTATAAACGGTTGATTTGTCCCTTAAGTAGCTACAATATCTGCTGTGGGGCAAAATAAATCTTATTTCAAAACGCTAAATGGCAAATATTGCTACTAGGTTGGCCTAAGAATCATTATGAAGTTTGGCGCTTGCCAGTAAACCATTTTACATGTGATATTTACTGGTTTTAAACACCCATAACATGAAAAAACACTTTTCACTTTTTTTAATTTTGGAAAACGTGTAAGTTTGATGGTTTTAACCGTAATCGACCGTTTTCTAGAAAAATTAAAGAGTTTGTAAAAGTTTAACTCAAATATTATCCTAACTGTAAGAACGCAAAACGTTTTTGCCCCAAGCTGGGAATCGAACCTAGCTTGGTTTGGCTTATCAGCCTGCTTAGCAACCACTGCACTATTGAAGCAACCCTCTTCGAGGATTTTTATCCGCTCAAGAGAAAGAAAGATTGTTGTTGTCAAATGACCTAAAAATAATGAAATTTACAGTATGTCGTCGCGGAAAGGCATTCTGCAAAAAATGAAAATGGTATCTTTCACCATTTTTCTAGGGCTTTCCAATGGTGTATATCACTTGCCATTTGGTGAGGGTTCGTTTGTACACTTCCCTAGTTAGGTTCTTTTTTGGTTTTTTGCACTGTACAAACACCAAAAGTTCATTCATCAACTTATCCCAACGACTTTTAAGCCACTAATTTCCAATAAAAAATCAAAAAAAGTCGAAAAATTTATATCACATTTAGATCAAAAATTAAACTCTAGAAACCCTAAACATCATTTTTTTTCAAAAAATCCTCAAAAAATATTAAAAAATTTGAACTTTATTCATCAACGGGACACTTGTTTATCTCCAATTTTCGATCAATTAAAGCTGGGTCATGACGACGGCCCGCGTCGGATACCGCTGATTTTTGGTCAGCTCCACACCAAAACTTGTGGTATTATGGGAATTCAAATCACTCGAATGGATCTTCGGATATCCATTCATGGATTTCGAACGGAAATTCGGCTGCTTGATCTGGGAATACCTCGATTTGGGGGTCTCCAATGGCTCGGGCAAAGCGTCGGCCGGCTCTTCGTATAGTGGCAGGGAGGGCTGGAATGACATTCATGGGGAAAAAATCATAAAAATGTTTATATGTATGTATCAGTCTGTCGGGAAAATAATGACCAGTTTGAGGGTTGCAACGCTCATATTCTGCTTGCCGTGGGCTTGGAGCTTCCTACAGTAAAACTTTTTTTTTTTGTAAAATACGATGTTCTTTTTGTTTGTCGGGTTTCAAAAGGAAATTACTTCTATGGGGTATGGAGTTACAGGTCGAGACATATATCAAAATAATCGCAAATTTTTTCTGATTCAGAATATGTAAAAATTAGCTGCCTAATTTCGGTTTGTAAGGGTGAAAAAACCCTCGGAACTTTTCTCGCAAAATGTCTTTTTAACCAAGTTTGCACCAATTCAGAAGCTTCGATTTGAACTTTTCACTTCAGCGACGCACGTCAAACTGAGATAAGCAAAAACAGTCCGGTGAATGGATTGGCAATGTGCCAAAAAAAGACGCGAAAAAACCTTCTGTCGGGGAAGAAATGGGGAATTTTTGGGGCGAGAGAGTACGCTTTTGCGTGTCTTTTTTCTCTCTTTCACTGGAAATCAAGACGAAATGCAAAAAACCGATAGCGAAGAGTCTATTCCGGTCACCGGACTCCTCAGTTTGACGTCCGACGCGATTGACGCAGCGAAATTGTCCTCATTATTTTCCCGACAAACTGATATTACTTAGTCCAAAAACTCCTGAGAATTTGCACACGTCCAGCGGGCTATTGGCGGGTCGCTGCACGACAACCCGAGGGGCCAAAAATATGGCAAAAAAATTAAAAAAAAAATAGTCTGGAGTATTTTTTTTTCTCTATGACAACGTAATATTTTTTCTGAGGCACTTTTTGGACGGCAGTGACAATTTTCGAAGGCGTATTTTAAAAACTGACGTCATCAATTCGAAAAAAACAAATTTCAAAAATCAAAAAAAGCAAAAAACAAATAAAAAATGAAAAGTTTATTAATCCACAGGTTATGCGTTTCGACAAAATATTATTTGAAAGCTGGGCTGAGAAATTGGCTAGACCGTAAAAAAAATAATATTTTCTTTTAAAAAATGTTAACAAAAAGATGGGTTATCATCAAAATCGATGGAAAATATTGTTAGGAATAGAAAGAGGATTAATTTTGCGACAGATTGGATCTAAAATCAAAAGGAAATTGGAGTAAAATCCGAGGGAATTAAAGCAGTAATTGTTGTTGATTGTTAGGCGAATGGGCGCGTCGGGTTTGCAGCTGAAATACGGAATTAGAAATGGGATTAGTGAAGCAATAGTTGTTGATTAGTAAGCAATAGAATGGTTGGAGAGAATTTTTTTAATGTTTTGATTTTTTTTTTTTTTTTTTTTTTTTGAAAAATTTTTTCCGTATTTTAAAAATAAAAATTGATTAAAATTGTATAAAAAATAGAAAAATCTCAATGAAAAAAATTTTTAGAGCTAAAATACGAATTTTTGGAAGTTGTATTTTAGGTCTAAGAGAAAAAAATCGTATTTTAAAAATAAAATTATGGCGAAAAAATTCAATTTTTGAGCGAATTTTGATAAAAAAAATACTTAAAAAACATCGTATTTTGTAAATCGTCGTATAACACTAAATCTCAACTGAAAATTTAATTTTGAAGCGAAAAAATTTAAAAAAATTTTTTTTTTGCTAAAATACAACTATCCAAAACCCGTATTTTAGACAAAAAATCAATTTCCAAAGCCCTATTTTAACTTGAAAATTAATTTAACAGTAACGCAGGAGAAGAAGCCGTATTTTAAACCCCAAATCTTTTATTTTTTCCCCAAAATTTAGCAAAAAATCTACTTTTTCCCATAAAAAATCATAAAAATTTATCTTACCTTTCCATATCTGGGTATCCTCGAGCAAGCCGCCAGCCCCGCACGTGGCATGATATTTACAGCGCCTCGGGAGTCGTTTTCATCGCGGACTTCGATCATGGAGACGGTTGTTGAGGGGGGATTCTCGGCTGTCGAAATTTTTGGCGATGTGTGTTTGGAGAGAAAAGGAGAGGAATTTCCGAAAAGTTCGGGCTGAAAATACGGTAAATTATACTTGATTTTACTCTAAAATAAATCGCTTTTGCATTTCCAGGAGAAAAAATTCAAAAAATTTTGAATTTTAATTTCCCCGCCAATTCTTGGCATTGTGTTTTAGGACATCCAGAGGGACGGAAACATTGTAAAATACGAACACAATAAGTTTCTGCACTTTATATTAACGTAAAATCCAGAAAAAACTCAAAAAAAAATTGAATTTAAATTTTCCCGCCAATTTTTGGCATTGTGTTTTAGGACATCCAGAGGGACGGAAACATTGTAAAATACGAACACAAAAGTTTCAGCACTTTATAATAACGTAAATAGAGAAAAAAACTAAAAAAATTTGGCAAATTTTGAACACATTTTATATTATCCATGGCAAAAAAGTTGAGAATTAAATTTTACGAAATAAAAGATGCTCCGAAAGCTAAAAAAGGCACTGTCGTATTTTACAAAGACTAGAAAGTTCTATGAACATTATTTTATAAATTTTCAAAATTTATACAAAAACTTGACATACCGTATTTTACAAAGGCCAAAGAGCCATTTAAAACCTATTTTATGTTTTTCCATGAGACAAATTATATTATCCATGGCAAAATTTTCCGTCGACTGTAGTAAAATATTGCGTTCCCTTTTACGCTTCGCAATTAGCAGATTACGTAAATGCAATGTTTGAACGTAATGAATTCCCCTCAGGGTTCATTCATGCAAACACGATCTTGCTATTCAAAAAAGGTGATCCATGTGATCTTGGAAATTACAGGCCAATCTCTCTGTTATCAACGATCTATAAGGTTGTCACAAGAGTCATCGCCGCAAGGATAGCAGAAATAGCAACTTGTCGGATCCCATGCGAGCAGGCTGGGTTTAGAAAGGCATACAGCACGGTAGATCACGTTCACGCAGTGAATCTTCTAATAGAAAAAACTGCGGAATGGAGTCGGCCTCTTCAAATGCTTTTTGTTGACTTTCAAAAAGCGTTTTGATGCATTGAATTCTCGACAATTTGGCAGGCATTAGATTACTACCAGATCGATCCAGGTACAAAAAGAATGGTACAACAACTGTACCTAAGTGGAACTGCGTCTGTGATTCTTGGTGATTGCGAAGCAGACTTTGACGTAAAAAGAGGCGTCCGACAAGGTGACTCCCTCTCGCCGCTGTTGTTTATTATGACACTGCAGTACTGTCTAGATCGGATAGATTGGGGAAATGATGGTATTATTGTCGGCGATAATCGCATGAAATACCTAGCATATGCTGATGACGTTGTCCTCGTATCTAGCACACAAACCCAGCTTAAAAGGATGGTTGAAAAACTGGCAACAGCAGCGACAGAAATTGGATTGAAAATCAATGCCTCAAAGACAAAGTGGATGGGAACGTGTTCAACCCCTTTTGACATGTCATTTCAAAATACACCAATTGAAAAGGTAGACAAATTTGTATACCTTGGGCATGAGATAACATTAAGACGACAACACATCACGGAAATTTCAAGGAGGATTTCTTCCGATTGGAATTCCTACCGTCAAGTAAGCAGCCTTTTGACTCACCGGCTAACCGACATTAGCATAAAGCGTAAATACTTTCACATGTGCATTCTTCCGGTATTATTATATGGCTGCGAGACATGGGCACTGACCAAAAATGCACAGGAAAAGTTAATGCGTTGCCAACGCTCAATGGAACGAAGGATGCTGGGTATATCTTTGAGGGACCATATAAACCACGAAGATATCCGAGCTCGAACTGGATTGAAGGATGTATGTATGGAAGCAAAGAAGCGAAAATGGAACTACATGACAAAGATGGAGCTTAGGAAAGACGAACGAAGATGGGACCAGAGACTGCTGGAATGGGCACCCCCATACACAAGACAACTTGGCCGCCCACGGACGAGATGGACCGACGAGTTTCGAAAACACCATGGCCCACGATGGAGGGATCTTATACTGACCAGACAATGGAAACCAAACTGATTCACTCCATGCTTTTATACATGTGATTAGTGAATAAATTGAATTGAAATGGCAAAAAATAGCAAAAATTTTGCGTTTTTCTACAATTTTTCCCCGCTTTTGATAAAAACAAAATGCTCTCAAATGATATTACCTGCTGTTTCACATCCTCCTGCTGACTCTGCACGCTTCCCAGCACCTGAGAAGCGAGCTGCGGACCTCGGCTTTCCTCGCTCGAAAGCTGCTTGTCCTCCGTTTTCACATTGTTGTTCTCCTGTTCCAGCGCCTCCAACTGTCTCTGGCGCGCCTCCTGATTCTTCCGTTCTCTTTCCTCCCGCAACCGCTGGATGTGCGACTGTCTGGGCCCGTAGCGTTGCGAGGGCTTGCGTTGAAAGGAAATGGAGCGCTGATCTCGCCGAATAGACGGGTTATTTACATTCTCGAATTCGGTACGACCGCTGAAAAGATGGGGTGAAATATGAAACGAATCGTTGAGAAATTTATGAAACGATTTTTTGGAATTTTCAGAAAAAAAAAATAAAAAAAAAAGAATTTTTTTGATTTTTGGTTTTTTTTTGAGATTTAAAAAAAAAAAATAAAAAAATCATTTTTTTTTTTGAAAAATTTAAAATTAAAATTCCAACTTTCTGTGAAAAAATCCTATAAAAATCCCTCAAAAATCCCAGATCTTTCCACAAAAAAAAAACCTTTTTGAATTTTTTTTTATTTTTGAAGTGAAGAATAATTTAAAAATCACTCCTTAAAAAATTAAAAAATGAGGTCATAATCTCGAAAAAATATCCTAAACTTTCAAAAAAGGCCAAAAAAATCATTTATTGAAAAATTTAAATTCTAAAATTCTGAAAAAATTTCAAAATTTTTACAGATAAATTTTTTTTCCAAAAAGTTCGCAGAAAAAGATCGCCCCGAAAAATCCTCTTTCCACCAAAAAAATCTAAAAAAAATTTAAGAAATCTCAAAAATCTTCCAAAAAATTTAACTTTTTTCATTTTTTCCCCAAAAATTCGCAGAAAAAATCGTTCAAAAAAATCTTTTTTCCAACAAAAAAAATCAAAAAAAACTAATTTTTTTTCAAAAACTCTAAAAATTTCCACACTTACCGATGCTCAAAAGTGCTTCTGAACCTCAAAATCTGATCGGCGGCCTTCCTGTGCGGTCTGTGTCGTTTCATCCGATAAAAAGTGTGATACTCCACAGCCCTCTTCCACACATGTTTCGAGGCCTTTTGACTGGCCAGCTCGAAGACGAAGGTGTGTTGTTGGATCTCCTCACTAATATGTTCCTCCAGCACAATGGTAATGTGGCGGTTGTGGAAGGAGAATTGGGGCATAAAGTGCCAAAAAAGCAGGCCGATCAGGGTCGTATTGTCCAAAACAATGACGCCGGAGGGGGTTAGGCCGAGCATGTAGCGATTTCCGTCCTTGGCCAGCACCTCGTACAGCTCCACACCGTAGAATTCGAGGCGTTTCGCGTGGTCCAGGTAGAATTGTTCGGCTTCGGCGGGGGTTCGGCCCTTTAGTCGTGTCCATTCCTCGAGGATCGCGATTTCCATCTCTTCGTCCTGCTCGGGATGGAAGCGGAACTCCGAAACGAACGCCGCATGATGCTGTTCGGGGTTGAAATCGCCACATTCCGCTGAAAAATGAAGAGATTTAGAGGAGGGGGACATTTTATACGATGAAAAAACATAGTCAAAAAATTGCGTATTTTACAAAAAAATTATCGCTGTAAAAAGTGGCTTATTTGCATATTTATTATTTTTTTTGATTTTTTAGAATTTTTTTCAGAAGGCGACATTTTATACGATGAAAAATGGATCCGCTGGATCAAAGCGTATTTTACAAAAAAAATCAGGCGTAGCTTCACAGAACCTAATGTACAGTTTGAAATTAAAATCTTCAATTTTCAGCGATATTTTTGAGAGAAAAAGCGACATTTTATACGATGAAAAACAAATAAAATGGGAAACTAAGACACTCGTATTTTACTCTAAGTCTGGAAATTAACAATGAATTTACGATATATTTATATCAAAAGTCGCTTCGAAAAAACTTGGGTGCCATTTTATACGATGAAACCTGTCCAAAAACAAAAAACACATTTTGTCGTATAAAATGTCACCCGTCTCAAAAAGCCAATAAATCGAGAAATAATGGTAAAAAACAAACTAAAAAAGTGCAAAGAACAATAACAAAAATTTGTAACCAACACTAAAATGACTAACTTACATTGCAATTGAAGAGCGGCCATGGGAATAACAGCGCTTTTGGGGCACTTCAGCTTTCCAGTTCGGATATCATTCTTCAATTGCAGGAAGAATTGGTATTTTGTGAACTCGGACCTCAAGTTTGATGGCTCCGAAGAGAAGAATTTGACTTGAAATCGGAAAGTGCAAATTCGGCCGATGGAAATCTGCTTTCGGATCTTCTTCCAGGGGTCGAGCCAATGCTGAAAAAAAGTAAAAATTGATTAAATTTAATCAAAAATTTTTTCGAAAATACGAACATTCTATATTAATTAAAAAATCAAAAAATTTCAAAGATTAAAAAAACACTTTCCATCGTATAAAATGACACCCAAACACTACAAAAAAAATTTGTAAGCAGAAAAAAATTCAGCCAGGGCAAAGATTCAAAAAAATCCGAAAAAATTAAAACAAACATTTTCCATCGTATAAAATGTCACCTCATGAATTTTTGCTGGAAGTTTCAAAAATTTAGCAATACTTGAAGGTGCGGCCAAAAAATTGCTTTTCCAAATTTTTGCAAAGACATCTTTGATCGTATAACATGTCGCTAAGCCACTAAAACCCGAGAAAAAGCAAATTTTTCGTAAATTTTCCTATTTTCTACCAAAAAATAGGCTATAAAATTTTTCTAAAAAACATATTCCATCGTATAAAATGTCTCCATCACCTTAAAAAAACCCAAAAACCCCAGTAAACTCCATTTCCTTACCTGCACATTATAGGCATCTGTGTATTGTAGTCCAAAATAGTCGCTCTCGTCCAAGTCCAGATGGTTGAACACTTTGTCGTAGGCCTCTTGACCCACCGCCTTTCTGCTCAATGCAATGTTCAAATCGGTGCCGTCCAACAAAATGATTTTGCATAGGAATTGTTTGCGAGTGTTGATCTGGTCGGGTTTTGTGATTCCGTGCGATTTCTCGACAATTTCCTCGGGTTTCGGCGCGCGTTTCTTGTTGAAACGCTGCGAAAACGAGCGCAGAATGCTGACCATGCTGAGCTGAAATTAAAAAAAAATTGTAAAATACGCCTGGTGCTACCCATTCTCTATTTTTTCATTTTTTTCCAAGATTTTCAAAGTAAAAAAGAAGTGTCCAAAAAATCCGTCATCCTGAAGAAAAAAGTGGTTATTATCACAGATAAAAAATCTCAAGATTATTTTTAATAGCGTCCCCCTTGTCTTGGAGCATCAATTCATTAAAAATTTTTCGATTTCAAAGTCTCTAAAAACATGTCATCATGACACATTTTCTGGAAATTTAAAGATTGGAAGATTTCTGTCAAATCAAATTGTAAAATACGATATACAGAATGGTTTTCGTAGCAAGTTGATGTTTCCAATTTTGCTCAAAAAATGTGAGATCCAAAAAATCCCAAATTTCCAAAAAATCCGTCATCCTGACTTGAAAAATTCTGATCATTGGACAATTTCAAGGCAAAATATTTTTTGCAACATTCGAAGTTATCACTACTTTTAGCTGACTCCAAATTTTTCGTTTTCAAGATCTTCAAGATCATGTCATCATGACGGATTTTCTGGAAATTTTCAAAAACCCCATCATTCGCTAATTTTTCAACCAAATATTGACGGGGATCTAAAATACGATCAAAAATACCCTCCAAATTTACCTGAGCGCCCTCTCGACTCAGGGCCTGCCCCATTTCCGACCTTATTTTAGGCGTTACTGACTAAAACAAGGTCGTAAATCTCGAGAATCGAGCGAAACTTTTTGATGAAACCGGTAATTTCATTAATTTTATGGCTCCTCCAAAACCCCTGAGGTAATTTCTCACCGCAAATTTGTTATTTCGCAAGAGAAATTTGAAAAATTTCCCAAAAAAACCTACCTCTGGCCTTATGAAATCCGAAAAAATTTTGTTTTTTGGCGATTTCGAAACCGACGACACGTCGTCAACGTTTCGAAAAGCGAGGCGGAGAGAACGCCGGAGGCTCTGATGCGTCGAGTTTTTGTCTGAAAATGGGGAAAGTTTACCTAATTGGATCAAGTTGAGAGGGATGTAAATCGGACACGGATCAAGTCGAAGGGAAGGGGCACGTCAAGAAATTTCGGGCATTGCAAAGGTTCTCACAGCGAAAAAAAATTCATAAAACCTGTCATCCAAATTGCACATAACAACAATTTTTAACCTAATTTTTTTATGGGAACTCTAGGGAGTACTACAAGTAGTATACAACTGTTTTTTATACCGCTGGTACATTCTAAATGGGTGTCATCGTGACGCATTTTCTGAACACGGTTCGAGGTAGGCTAAAAGTAGTGCAAATTTCAAGGCCGAATATCAAAAAAACTGTCCCATCAAGCGGGACGAGACCGGTGTAGATACTCGAAGAACAGTTTAAGGATTTTTTGACGTGGAGCGTATACCTCCTTCCAGTGCTCTCTGACTCGGTATCGTCGATACAAACTTTTATTTAGACGTTGTATTCTACGCCTTCGAAGACTGTCAAAATACTACGATTATGGGTATATTTTGGTTCTATTAGCTTAAGCAGCTCTCAAGCTTTCTATTGGTATCAATATCTTGTGATTTACTATTAATCTTTATGTCAAAATATTGCAAACCATTTGGACAAAAACGGATTTGCACAGGGCAGAATGCCAAAAAAAATTCTAGGCTTTTTCATTGGGCGCCCGTTTTTCTTTTATTTTTTCTTGACGTGAGGGGGGAAGTGGAAAAAATCAAAATATTCGAGGATGTGGGAGGTCTGCGGGGGATTGTAAAGTGATTTGGATGATAATACAGGAGGTTTTTTTATGAATTTAGGGGGAAAATTGAAGAAAACATGTAAAAAATGTAAAAAAATCGATTTTTTCGAAGAAAAAATGTAAATTTTTTTTCACAATATCCTAGGGAAAAATAGTAAGAAGTATGAAAAATCAAGTCACTTGTAAATTGATCAAATTTTTTAACATTTTTTTTGAAAAATTTGGAAAAATCAATAAAAAATTTCAAAAAAATACCAAATTTCAGAAAAAAAAATTAAAAATTTCAAAATTTTTCCTCAGGCAATGACCAAAAAATAAAACGTGAAAGGTTCTAAGAGCCAATTACATAAAAAAATTTTCATAAAAACCTCAAAAAGTATCCAAAAAATCTCAAAAATATATATATTTTTCAGTGAAAAAATCATTTTTTTTCAAAATTTTTTGCTCTCAAAACTTTTTTTTACATTATGAACAACATTTTTAGCTATCAATTTTCCAGTGCTTACCCTTTTTTTTGCAAATTTCCCTCAAATTTTGGCATTTTCTCCAATTTTTGGCCTGAGGCAATAAAATTCCCTTGCAAATTTTCCCCTCACAAAATAAGCTCATGACCCAATGATCTCAAACGTTTTGATTTTACCATTAAATATCGCAACTGAACCCATTAAACTTAGGAATTTTGATTACTTCTTCCACGCAAGTCGGAAGGTGACAAAAATGCGTTTTATGACCAAAAATGCGACAAAAATTTGTGTGTGAAAATTCCTGAACCGCCGTTTTATGACTACAAATGACTTCTGGATTGAGAAACTGCGAAGATTTGAAGGGGTTTCGGAGATTTTGTGAGGGAAAAAAGCCGATTTTTGCTTGGAAAAACAGCTGAAAAATGTTTTTAAAAAACGGATTCTCATGAAATTACGTATTTTAAACCAAATTTTATTTGTTTGTCCAGCTTATATTTACGCAATTTTTCGAAATTTAAAAATTTTTGGAAAAAAATCTCAAAAAAAATTTCGAAAAATTTCGCTGCGATTTCGCTGAAACTTCGCAAAAATCAAGTTTAGAGTACTCTGATGACCTATAAAAATTTTTAGATCCCAATTCCAAGCGGCCATTAAGTTATGACCCTTTCAATTTCAAAAAATTCCATTTTTCACCTTTTAATACTGCCCAAAAACAGCAGAAACTGTTTTTAAATACAATTTTAGGGTGTAATAACGTATTTTAAACCAAACTTTATTTGTTTGTCCAGCCTATACTTGCGAAATTTCGAAATTTTTGGAAAAAATCACAAAAAAATTCGCTGGGATTTCGCTGAAATTATCTGAAAATGAAGGTTAGAGTACTATAAGCTCCCTCAAAAAATTTTAGACCCCAATTCACAGTTACGATTAAGTTATGACCCTTTCAATTTCAAAAAATCCCATTTTTCACCTTTTAATATTGCCCAAAAAACAGCTGGAACTGTTTTTAAATACAATTTTAGGGTGTAATAACGTATTTTACACCAAATTTTATTTGTTTGTTCGCCCATATTTGCGAAATTTCGAAATTTTTGAAAAAAATCCCAAAAAATTTTAAAAAAAAAATCGCTGGGATTTCGCTGAAACTTTGCAAAAATCAAGCTTATAGTACTCTGATGGCCTATAAAGAATTTTAGACCCCAATTCACAGCTAACATTAAGTTATGACCTTTTCAATTTCAAAAAATCCCATTTTTCACCTCATAAAAGTTGGCCGATTTTTTGTCCTATCAATGTAAAATTATTTTCAAAATATATCCATTAGTCGTTTGCGGTCACAAAACAGAAGCGTCCGCCATTTTGAGACAATTTTTTGGGCTATTTTTGGTCACAAAAAGTTTTGTCATCTTCCTTGTTTTAATTGCAGAAAAAGGCAATTAAACTTAATGGGATCGGTTGAAAGTTTTGTTTGTGTATTATGATGGGTCCTAAGGTCATAAGATCATGAGCTGATTGTGCATAAAAAGTTGCAAAGTCATGCATTGCCTGAGGGGAAAAGGTCAAAAAATGATGAAATTACTGTGCATTGAGGCTGACCACGTATTTTACAATACATTTGAAGGAATCTTTTACCCTTAAAAATTCATAACGTAGTAGGAAATACAGTAATTTCAATGAAAAATCGATCGTTTCGGGCAAAAAACATTATTTTAGGTAATAAAAATCGAAAAAATTAAAAAAATTTAGTAATTGCCATCAAATTAGAAATTGTAAAAAGGAAAAAGTTAACTCTGCGTATTTTAAACACAGTAACTTTCGTTTTAGAACCAAAAAAGTTTTTTAGGTAACAAAAATAGAATTTTAGGACAAAAATCTAATTTTTTGAATCAATTCGTATTTTACAAAGCTAGTACAAGATGACTAAGAGTGTATAGAAGTATTAACTACCATCATCTACAATTCACCACCTAAAAATCGGACAAAAACGGCTGATTTTAATCAAAAACATCAAAAATTTATATTATCCATGAGGTTTTTGATGAAAAACTTGATTTTTAGTCCAAATTTCATCGAATCAAAAGGAAAAAAGGGTATCAATTACAGTAGTCTACTCTATTTTTTCCAAAAATGATATTAAACTTAAGAATTTTGATAAAAAATATCCAAAATTTACCTTATCCATCAAAATTCTGCCCTCAAATCCATATTTTCGCCTCAAAACCCACTCGCAGAAGCAAGTGAAAGCAGTAAAAGTCAACGAGTATAACCAGCAACCAACCCGAAAACCAACAAAAACAGCAGGCGCCGTTCCTTTCACCCCTTCTTTGGGCAGCAGATCGGCGCTTTGATCTGAAGCCGCTACTGGATTAAAAGTCGAAAAACAAACGCCTTGAAGTTCGCCTCCGTCAAGAGCAAAACAAGTTTCATGATAAATATATTCCACTTTGCAGGGTTTGAGGGTGGGAAAATGTGAAAATTTATATTATTCATGGTGAAGGTGGTGGAAAATTAAGCAAAAAAAAGGCGAAAAAATCAATTTTTTGATAGTAAAAAATGCTTTAAAATACGTTTCTTAAAATCTAAACTAAATTTTAAGACGATTTGACCGAAATTCAGAAAAAAAATTTTGAATTCAAAAATTTCCCGCCAAATTGGCAAATGGTTGGCATTACATTTTGATCTCAAAAATTAAATTTTTGCTCTCCTCTAACTCTAAAAACAACTTTTATTTTAAATTCCCGCTATTAGACCAGTAAAAATTTTGAATTTCAATTTTCCCGCCACAACATAAGAATTTTTTGGCATTCTGCATCAAGTCATCAAAATTTCCAAAAACGCTTGAAAATGGATTTAAAAACCTAGAACAAGTCTCAATAGCATTTTTTAGACTTTGAACACAAGATAAAATCAAGAAATAATCATTTTTGAGTCAAAAGAAGGGATGATTCATAAAAAAGACTCATAAAAATACAAAATTTTAATTGCTAGAAAATTGGTTGTTAAAAAAAATTTTGCGGAATTATTTTGATACGGCTCAAAATGTAAAAACAAATATTTATGGACCCTAAAAATACCAAAAATTTGCGAAAAATCAGCTAAAATTATACATATTATCCATGGCAAATTTGAGGAAATTTTTTTGGTTTTTTGATTGGATTATGATTCCAGAATCAATAAAACACCATAAAATTAAGACTGAAATTCAAAACGTATTTTAAAAATGTCCAAAAATCGCTCAAAACATGGAAATATTCATCTTGTCCATCAAAATTTGATGTCAACTTTAATCTCAAATTCCTCAGCTACAAGAAGGTCAAAAAAACCTTGACTTTTTCTTAAATATTCTATATGTTTTGCTCTCAAATCCAACTACAGGAACCGCCCTAGAAATGTTGAATAAATAGGAGAAAATCCACTCCGAGGAACACCCTTTTTTCTGTCCCCAAAACTGATAATAATTGACGTCATTTTTGAATATGTTCTCCAAGAATACCCGAAAAAATCACGAGCATTTCGCTGCGGAAACTATAAACTACAAGAATCAGCGATGGCAACTTTTGGGATCGGAATGATGATTGATTTTGCGGTAAATTTATCTAGTGTAATATCAGCATTTATTGTTGGATAAAAAAGCAATTTCAACCCTTTGTAATTTTTAAAATACGACATCTAATCGCAACGCAGACTTTTTACTTTATTTGGAAGTAGTTACTAACAAATTTTTGATCAAGAAGATTGCTTTTTATATTGTTTTAGATGTCTGATATCATCCCCTAGTGTAATATAAAAATGTGGAAAAAATCCCTAGAATTGAATTGCAGATCACTCTAACTTTCTTGTATGGCATTTTTTATTATTAGGAATACAATCCACACCCTCAAATAGACTAGAATCAAGCACTGTGACAACAATTTATCTATATACTACAATATAGAAAACATGAAAAACTTTTCATCTGTAGTATCCCAGACCTTTACAACTTTTTTCTAAACATGTGATAAGAAAAGCAGATGTTATTTACTTACCTATCTTGTCAAAAACGATTAAATGTAC